GTTGTCAAACGAGTCTGTGCGGAACGAGGGATGACCAAGGAGGATATGAAGGGTGCGACCGAAACAGGGCAGCGGGGGCGGTGTCGCACTGGTAGAATCCACGCCCGCTAGTGAAAAGACGTTGCCGGAACAGTCAGGGAGTCCGACGTGAACACAAGGCGGTCCGTGTTGCGGGAGTTGTTCGCGGTGCAGAGCTGGACGGTCACCGCGACCCCAGAGGTTGTCCCGGTGGGGTACGCCGTCATGTGTACGCCGCCATCGCGCGAGTACGTGAGACTGGCTACATGCGCTGCAAGCCAGGGCTGTCCCAGGATGCCGCCGTACGCGCTACGGTCCGCCGGGGTGACGAAGAAGTGATGGTCGAAGTTACGACCCGAGATCTGGACCGGAGCTTCACGGCAGCACCCCAGAAGCGCGACGGGGTCGCCTCCAATGCCTTTCAGCGTCCAGCGTGCACCATCGCGGTCGATCGCGAGGCGAGACCTCTCCCAGATGCCACTGTTGATGAGGTTGAGCTCGGAGCCGCTGTCAACGAGGAACTTGCACTTCTGGTTCCCGAAGACACCCTCTACGAAACCTGCAGCCATAGCGAATAGGCGAGTCGATGAGCCCGGTGTTGTGCTGATCGCATCCGCATAACGAAGAATGACGTCGTCGAGGAGTTCGGAGTCTGCGTTGTAGGACAGGATGGCTGTGGAGGAGGGCTCGTCGGCGGGCCTGGGTACGTCATCGTCGTCCGACGAGACTTCTTCGATGTACGATGCGGGGACTGTATCAGTTGCGAAGGATGCAGCGGCCGGGGGCGTGTCCGGTGTCGAGTAGTCCCGGCGGGGTTTGACGAGCGCAGCGACCTTCCTCTGTAAGCTTGGCGCCATAGCCAACGCCTCGCGCAGCGTCATAGTGATGTGAGAATCGAGGAGACGATCGTGGACGTCGTCGAGGACGATGCTCTGCTGGACTTGAGAGGTGAACTTGAACGGCTTCGCAGGCGAACGACTGAACGAGTGGTGAGGCGGGGCGTCAGCATCAGGAACCTCTTCGACGGTTGTGGGGTGCTTCTTCAGACGGTATTCTTGGAGGAAGCCTTCTTCCGTGTTGCGAAAGTGCGGAGGCGGCACACCGGGCGGAAATGCGGGGGTGAAAGCTGGCTCGGTAGGGCTGACGGCGGGTTCGAAGCGGACCGTCTTTGGAGGAGGCGTCTGTGCCTTCGCTTTCGACCGGGTGGTGACAGGGAAGGACGACGCAGCAGCCGGGAAAGCGAAGGTCCCCGCGTATGAGAACACGGGCTCATCATCGAGGTAGAGGCCAGCCGCGCGCGCAGTGGCTCCGAGCACCTGGGCGTTGCCACTCTGTGAACGCATCCACGCGGCGAGGCCTTGAGGGAGTTGATTGAACCGCGGTAGGTAGCCTTTGTCCGTACGCTCCAACATGCCGGTGGTAGGATGGTACTGCAGGACACGGTCCTGGATGAGGGCGGTCGTCTCTGGGCAGTTGCGCATGCCGAACGGGTGTGAGAGCCCGTTGTTCTCGACGCCGCCGCACATGTAACAGACCCGTTGACCGGGAGGACCAGGGTTCGTGCCGGAGGGCTGTGCGGCGTACGCCGAGGGGTACCCCGCTGGCACGCTAGCGAACGGGTTGAGGGCTGGCCCGGCATTGTGCACCCCCGCGTATACTACGCCCTGAGAGGAACCGGCAGGAGGAGCCAGCAGGCTCGGATCGGTGTGCGGCGGCACGGACGTCTGCTTTTTGAGTAGCTCGAGTTGCAAGCGAAGCGCCTTCACCTCCTTGCGCGTGGACTTGTGGCCACGACGTCCAGAGCGGACCTCGGAGTCCGAGTAGGACGAGAGCCTGTCGCGACGCGTCTTCTTCTTGCCCTTGCGCTTCGGAGGTGAGGCAGTGTCGTCCCCCGAGGAGTATGGTGCGGCGTCCGAGTCCGAAGAATCGGTCTCGCTATCAGAGCTGGAGCTGTCCGAGTCGGGTGCAACACGCTTGCGACGGCGACGGTAGGCGTCGATCCCACAGGATTCGTAGTACTCCGTGACTGCTGCGCAAACCTCCGCGACGGAAGCAGGGTTCGTCCGGGGTTCGAACTTCTCACCCGTACGCGTGTGGACGACGGTCTTCAGGGTGGGCCCGATCGAACCACGGAGAGAGTCTGGCAGGCCGATGAAGAACAGGTAGTCATGTTCCTTCCGCTCGAGGAGACTTTCTTCGACTAGGGTCCCACTGTACTTCATGAAGTCAAGGCGGTACTCGCTGAGAGCCTCTTCGGAGTCGACAGTCTGCTTCTTCCGACTCTTCGCCGCGAATGACCGAAGGCGCTGGGGAGGATAACGCGCGGCAGAGTCGCGGAAACGGAAGATGGAGTGGAGGAGCGCCTTGGCCGCGGCCCAGTCGGTCCCCTTGAAGACAGGTTCGCCAGCGAGACGGTTGCGGATGTCCGAGTCACAGTACGAGAGTACACACTTGGGAAGATCTTCACGTTTCGCGCCGACATTGTCCGCTATGGCCTCCAGCTCGAACAGGAAGTCCTTGACGTTCCGGCCCTTGAAGCGTGGGGCGGTCTTGGCGCGAGGCGCAGGCATCTTCGTCGCGTTTACCGACATGACAGGTTGTGCGTGCTGAGGTGGTGGGGTATGGATTCGATGCAGCGGCGGGGGAGTCAGGGAATGGGTGCGATGCGATAGCGGGGGAGGCGAGAGGGGAGTCGATGCGCGAGGCCCTCTCTGGCGGGCAGTTGAAGTATCCCCCGTGCGTGCTTGATTCGCTCGGTTCTCTGGACGTGTGCTCAACCGTGATACTGCACCTCGGCCGTTTGGCGGCAATGGCAGCGGTGGTGTCGGTTTAGCTGCGAGCCGTGACGATCGGCGGCCCGGGCCCGTCGGGTTGTTCAAGTTTGATCGTAACTTGCTTGTCTGTGCCGAGGGCCTGGCGGTGCCTACTGCGCTAGCGCCATGTTCGATGGGATGAGTACCACTTGAGCTCGCCAAAGGCATTCTTGTAAAAATGCTGGCGTCGAGCGAGTCCGGGTGAGGGCGAGAGAGACGAGATTACCCCCCTGCGGTGGTCACCAATTGTAGTAAGCCCTTCGACGGTGTCTCCTAGGCGAGACGTGTGAATAGGGTGAGCGCTGCGGATGCGCGGGGACGGATTCGGCGGTTACGCGGAGGGAAGACGGATACGACGGGTAATCGGACACGGGTTCGACGGACGAGCGAAGACGGGCAGGGAAACGCGATGGGAGAAAAGCAGAGTGAAATGTGGGGGAGAGGAAAACTGGTCATTCCGTGTGCGTTCGTGCTACTTTTATACATGTGCAGGTACTACTTCTTCACTGGGTGTGCTCTGTGACCGCGCGCTGCTCGGTCGACACGTGACCGTGTTCTGTCGCGCGCACGCGCGTGCTTCAGAGTACCCGCGAGCGCCCAGCGCAGCGGGACTCCTACAACGGGGGGGCTGGGCCGGCTGCCGGCCCACCCTCGATGAAATCAACCTGCGCCCCGGCGCCAGGCGCGGTCGACACATACGTGCAGGCGCGCGGGCGGGGAAACCGCCTCGAGGCCCTCCTCTGGTCGTGTCCAACACCATCTCCAGCAGTGCCACCTTCACCTCATGGCGCGAGCCCGCCATTTCTTGCCCCAGGCCCAGAACCCAATCCGCGGCACGCCCCTCGACCGAAGAAGCAGCCGCCCATCCGGCAGAGCGCCCGGACCGAGCGCAGACCAAAGGACCAAAGGGTGCGGCACGTGCGCGTTCCTCCTTCCAGGCGACGATGGGATGGGATGTACCGCGAGCCAGGCAGCGATTAGGCCCGAAGTCCCGTGTACGTCGCGTAGGGCCTGGGTAAGAAAGACGGGAACGGTAACAGACAAATGCGCGCGGGGGAAAAAGGTATATTGTTGCGGTTATACCGCAATTCTAGTTGACATTACAGGAGTATTGGCGGGGGGACAGGGACCAGGAGAGATGGGCACGCTTGTTGGGCTATTTCACTGGTGCTACTATACAGCCTTCAAATTGGCAATTGATGGCTGCATAATACCGCGATAGTAGCTGGGCTTTAAACTTGATGTCCCTACGGGGTGACCAGGCGCTTATCGACAGAAAACCGATGGGAGACCGATACGACTCGGAGCTCCCGACAAGCACAAGTACATAAGGAGCTCTGCGTGCGCCCGCGCTCTCGGCCACATTCCTACGCTAACTCGCGGGGTCCATCCCTCTGATTCCTGCTTCAAGTCGTACAACTACCTCCCCCGACGACGGAACTCTTTGGGTAACCTCGGAGATGGCCCTCTGTGATCCGGAGAGGCATCCTCCGAGGTTGACGCCGCAGACAGCATAAAACTCGATCGAGCGTGGAATCGCACGACCTGGTGAGCCACGATTCTCTCTAAGTACTGGTGCCCGGAGACAGCTTTCGTGTTACGCTGAAAGTTCCTCGCAGTGGCCGCGAGTGTGGCTGTGCCACTCATTTGGCCATAGCCGCCCGCCATCTGTGGGCACTCGGACGCTCTCCGTGCACTGGTCTACGGTAGGGAGGCATCGCGAACGCCCGCCGAGTGTCACTGATGAAATGCATGCACCAGGCAGCATATGCATATCACACGCACCCGGCGCTTGGTCGGCGGGCGTCCTTGGAGCAGGTGTTCGGAGTCCGGTTGTCCGTTCCTGGCGACCCCGGACACGGCGGCTCCACGGGCGGCATCCTCGAGCTCGCGTACTTGCGCTTTGCCCCTCTCCTGTCGCGCGACGACCGTCGAGCACCTCCAAGCACCCAACTCACCGCGTCGCACAGTCCCCGAGCCCGCCCCGTCTGTCGCTACCGACGCGCAGCTCTTCTCCCGCCCGCGCCCTGCCCTCTTCAGCAGCCGCCGTGTACAGCCCTCGACCACCTGCCCTTGCCTTCCCTGGTCCCGTATCTCCCCCCGTACCCGCCACGCCCTCGCTCTCCTCCTCTCTCCTCCTCCTTCTTTTCTCCGCACAACTCCTCCAGAATGACCCTCAGCTCGATCTCCGAGTCCCTGCTTCCCCAACCGCCCTCGTTCCAGAAGAAGAAGTGCTATGAGATCCACAAGGTCCTTGGCACTGGCACTTTCGGCAAGGTCATGGTCCGTCATCTCTCGCGCTCTCTCTCGCTCTCCTCCCGCTAACTATCTTCGCTCGCCTGTCCATATCCTACCCCGTCATACCCGCGACTCGCCTGTTGTGCCCCACGCCCACGATCTCTCCTTCGCTCATACCACATCAACCTTCGCGCGGCTCTCGCGCTTGCCTATCTTCTCATATACGCCCACCTCGTCCCCTCTTTTCACCGTCCACAGCGCGCGACATGGCACGTCCCGCCCGGCCAGATGAACGTCGCCCTCCGCGGCGCCGCCGCCTCCTCGGACACCACTCCCGCCTCGCCCGGCTCCAAGCCCTCCCCACCCGCGCGCACCCCCTCGACCTCCAACCTCAGCCCGTCCGCCCACATCACCGCCTTCACCAAGTCAGCCAAGAGCGCCGCGTCCGCGGACGACTACACCGTCGAGGTCGCGCTCAAGGTCATCCCGAAGAAGAAGGTGAAGGGGAACGAGAGCAGCGTCTGGGGCGAGATGGAGGTCCTTCGCGGGCTCGACCACCCAAACATCGTACGTCTCCCCCCCCCTTCCGCCTCGCCGTGTATCATCGCCGTCGCCCACCTGTCGCGGGGGCGCTGCGTCGCGTGTCGCGCGAGCTACGGTGGCGGCGGCTAGAGGTGCACTGCGCCCGGCTGACGACTTTTCCGTGGTGCCAGGTCAAATTCTTCGAATGGTTCGAGTCGCGGACCAAGTATTACCTCGCCTTCGAGCTTGCGCAGGGCGGAGAGCTGTTCGAACGGATCACGAAGAGGGGCAAGTTCACGGAGAGCGATGCTGTAGCGGTCTTGCGGTGCGTTGCACGTCTTCCCTTGCCTCCCTCTACCGCGTGCCCCGCTACGATTCGATATGACGCATCGTGTGACCTTCGCGAATCTGAATATTGACACCGACTTCCCACGTACGTATTCAGGTCCATCTTGTCCGGTGTCAAGTATCTCCATGATCACGACATTGTGCATCGAGACTTGAAGTAAGGCATATACCCACCGCTGCGTATCTCTACTGACGTCAATACTCTAGGCCAGAAAACATCCTTTACCGCACACATGACGAACACTCTGACATCGTATTGCAGACTTCGGCATGTGAGCGCGACTCCGGTCCACTGTCTCGGCGTACGCTGACGGCACCCGCAGCGCCAAGCACCTGCACTCACCGGAGGAACAGCTGCATTCGCTCGCTGGCAGCTTCGGCTACGTTGCGCCTGAGGTGCTCAACAAGAAGGGCCACGGCAAGGCCGTCGACATCTGGTCCACAGGGTGAGTCCACCCTACTGTTTCCCTCGGTGCTACGTTGTTGACCGCGCGCCCGGCCGCGCAGGATCATCACCTACGTCATGCTCTGCGGCTACTCCCGTTCAGGTCGGACGACATGAAGGAGCTCATCCGCGAGACGACCGCGGCGAAGATCGAGTTCCACGAGCGCTACTGGTCCAACGTCTCCGCCGAGGCCAAGGACTTCGTTAAGCGCTCCTCAACCCCGACCCCGCGCTGCGGCCGACCGCGGAGGAGGCGCTCAAGCACCGCGTGCGTCCCGTCCCCTTTCTCCCTCTCCCTCTCCCCTCTCCTCGTCCGCTGACGGCGCCCGTGGGGCAGTGGCTCACCGAGCACGTCCCCTCGGACGAGCACGACATCGGCACCGGCCTCCGCGAGCACTTCGACCCCAAGGCGCGCTGGCGCGCCGCGATCGCGGGCGCCCGCGCGCTCCACCGCTTCAACTCGACCTCGTCCCGCACCTCGGTCTCCTCCGGCGGCTGGCGCGCCTCGACGCACGTCGACAGCGACGACGACGACGACGAGGAAGACGCCGTCGTCGAGCCGCGCCGCGCCGAGGACACGCCGCCGGACGACCCGGGCGAGAACGAGTACGTGAAGGTGACCGCGCCCGCGGAGGACTCGGACGCGTCCGAGCCGTCGTCCGCGCACGAGCTGCAGCACGAGGCGGACTCGGGCGCGCCCGCGCCGCTGCAGGCGGAGGTGCCGCCGGTGGTCGCGGATCGCCCTCCAGTGCAGGCGCAGGAGGGCGCGGGCCCCGAGCCCGAGCCCGCGCAGGAGCAGGACGGGCGGGTGACGCCGGAGCTGTCGATGCCGGGCTCGTTCGACGTGCCGGCCGCGCCGGCGGACGCGCACCACCACCACTGGGAGGGTGGGTGGATGGGCCTGTTCAAGAAGATGCACATCCGGCAGTAACACTCGCTGGCGCAGGGGGTGATATAGTGTGCGCCCGCGGGGTTGTCGGTTCGGACTTTTGGATACGGGTGATGCTAGGGCCGTGGAGGCCGAGGCGGCGCAGTCCTCGGTCGACGAGGAGCCATCTACGTCTACATAGCAGGATAGATACTGGAGAGAGCAGGTGTACGCAGCCACCGTTCGTCGCCGCACGCCGGCGGAACATGTGTATCATATCGCATTATTCACTCGAGGATACCCCTTCAGACCGCCGTGTGCGCAGGCAAATAAACAAGAAGGGCGTCCAGCCCTCCGAGGAGGGCCGACTTGTCTTCCTCCCCGTATGCGCCAGACGCACTGTAGAATACCTGCATGTATCGCCTGCCAAAGGGCTCGGCCCTCGAGGGCGTAAAAGGGAAACAAACAAACAAATAAGAAAGGGTGCGCGGGGATCCGAGAGCGTACAAATATCCGACGGCCACTGGGCGCGGTGGACTCACACCGAGACCCAGCCGCGGCAGCCGTCCGCGCCGCACATGCAGTCGCGCGCGCCCCGGGGCCGTTCGAGCTGCGAGCTCGGCTGCGCGTCCGAGCCGTCCGGGTGGGCCGCCTTGGGGTCGTAGTCGATCGTGAGCTCGGTGCGCGCCTGGAGGTCGCGCGTGACGACGAACGCGAGGTAGGGCTGGTTGAGCTGCCGGGGCTTCTGTGAGCCGACGCGTCGGTCGCCAGAGACTCCGACGCGAGACGCACCTCCGGGATGGTGTCCCAGACGACGGGGTACACGCGCATGTTGGGCGAACACGAGTGGCTGGACCGGGCGGAAACGCGAGGTCAGCGAGGAGACGGCGCGTCCGGGGGCGACGGAGGCGAGACGGGGGACGGGGGGGGGGGGGCTCACTTGATGAACCGCGTCCAGTTCCCGTACGACCACGCGTCGACGGAGAACTTGTTGTCGTCCCCATCGTCCTCCTCGCCGTTCTCGTGAACGTCGAGGTCGAAGATGTACGACCTGCGCTCGCCGTCCTCGTGTCGCGCTTTCGCCACCGATCGGGGGCTGTCAGTCCCCAAGGCCAGTGTCAATGTCGGCAGGTCAGACTCAGACACAAGGGAGTGCACAACGCTCACATCAGTTCTCTGTGCCGGAGTAGGTTTTAGCAAAAGAACGCGCGGATTAGCCACGGTGTCGGCGCACCCGGTGTAAATCCCGACGACCCGCCCGCGTTGGAGTGGGATAGTCGCGCGTGCGCCCCATCCGCGGTCGAGCGTCCGGAAGACCTCGATAGGCACGTCTCTCGGACGCTGCGCAACGCGATTCCGGCAGACCTCTCCGCATGCGCAATTCTGTCGGCTGGGGTGAGTATGTCACTCTTTGATTGACAGCATCTGGATACGAGTAACTCGCCTGATTGCACTCGATGGCCTCCATCCCTCGAGGAAGGCGGAATGTGAACAAGCCCTACAACGAGGGTGGAAATCAGAGTGCGGTAGTACGTGTGCTGGAATGATCAAGGAGCTACCTTTTTGCTGTACGCGAATTTGCGGTCACCGCTCTGAGGATCTTGGTACTCGGATGGGTCTTGGCAGTCGCATTTGTCCGCTTTGCACTTCTCCTTGCAACTACAGCTGACGAGAAGCTGTAATCCCTCCCTTCTGGTCTGCTCGAGTTCTTCGCTGCAGGCACCGGGGATTCAAGATGAGCACAACCGTGACCGCACGCTCGCGCTCACCGCACTTGATACCTCCGCTCGAGGTACTTGAAATCCTCGACGAGCCTCGGCGGCGCACCCTCGCCGTTCACCTCGTTCACGATCGTGACCGCCGCCGCGTCCACCTCCTTGGCCGCCTCGTTCCACTGCTCCTTGAACCGCTCTCGCCTCTCCACGTCGCGCGCGCGAAGGCCGGGCGGGACCCCCCGCCTCGACGAGCCCGAACCCGACGACGGCGCAATCGCAGGCAACTCCCGTCCGTCCACGGAGGGCGACATCGGCCGCGTCATCCGCCCCTTTCCCCGTCGCGGGGTCGTGGCCGACCGCGAGCCGGGGCCCGGGCGCACGTCTGGGGTGCGCACCGCGGGCGAGTACGAGCTCGTCCTGACCCGCTTCAGGCTCGACCTCGCGCTTGTGCGCGGCGCGGGCGGGGATCGCGTTCTTCGCCCGGAAGACGACGCCGCCGCGGACAGCGTTCTGGACGTGGTTCTGGACGCCATCGTTGACTGCACCCTCGGCGTAGACGCAGAGCCCGAGGTTCTGGAGTTCGACCTGGACGCCGCAGCCATCGGCACGTCTTCGTCTTCGTCCTCGTCATCGATGTTGTGCTGTCCGCGTCGTCGTCGTCGCCGTCACCCTCGTGTTCATGTTCGCTCTCGTCCTCATCCTCGTTGTCGTCGTCCTCATCGTCCTCACCGTCCTCACCGCCGTCCTCCTCACTGCCGTCGCACTCGTCCTCGCCGCCCTCAAACCCCTTCGCATCCACAAAATCCCCCGGCCCAATCCTCACCCGCCCCGTCGCCGCCCCCGGCTCCCGCACGAGATACGCCGCGCGCTCCTCCTCGCGCCCCCTCGCGCGCTCCACCGTCCCGTCCTCGTGCGGGACGTGCCACGCCGCGCGGCCGACCGCGACCCCGCCCGCGACCCGCCGCGCCGCGCCTCCCGCTGCGCCGCGGCCCACTCGCGCACGCGCGCGGCGAGCGCGCCCCCGGCTCCGGCGCGCTCTCCCACGTCGTGTCGTCCCGTCCGCGCGGCTCCAGCCGGCCCATTTGACCTGTCGTGGGGGAGGGGGAGGCGTCAGCGCGAGCGGACGGTTGCGAGCAAGGAAACGCAATCGAGCGGATCGGAGAGAGGAGTCTGCGCGAGTTCGTTAGCGCTCGCAGGCTTCCGCGGGGGGAGAGGGAGTGGGGAGAGAGGCAAGAAGGGACGGTACCTCGTATCTGGCACAGAAGACGTCAGCCTCAAGCCACACAGTTCACCACGTCCCGACACCGGACGGCGTCCGCGCACCTCGTTTGTCCGAACCGGTCGACGCTCTCGCCGACGATCTGGATGCTGTCGTCGGGCCACTCGAGCTCGTCGCTGCCAAAGTCTTCGGGAGGCGTGGGAGAGGGCGAGAACGCGTTCCGATCCACGTCCATGGACGGTAGCCAGCCGGAGGGCGAGCCTGACGCCGTCAAGTGCGGGCGACGACCGGGGCTGGTGGTCGGAAAAGGCCCATGTCACTGCAGCCCTTCGCGCGCGCTGGGGCTGCATCGTTTCTCCCGGTCACATGACTCACTTTCACACTGTCCAACCAGAGACCAACGACGTTTCGATGTTCGACTCAACCACATCCGTTCGCTCCTCACGCGGCGTGCACGTTGCTGAACCTAATCCAATGATTCGTAAAACGCAGGATAAGTACAGTGTGTCAACAAAATATGCTCTCATATACTATAACTGACAAATTACGAGCTAGGAATGGGAGGGTGTAATGATCGGTACGCTGTACATGTGTGAAGAGTACGCAGTACAATGGTAGAGGCACGGAGCAGGAGCAAGCAACAAGCGAGGCCGGGTCTTAAACGGACTAGTAATGAGACGGCGGATAGAGGAGAGGGGGGACGGGGGAGGCGGGTTCGAGGGAGACAGACGCGAGACAGAGGAGACGGAAGACATGGGGTTTGGTTTATATGTTGTGCAGGGACGGAAAGCGAGAAGAGCGAGTTATTTGACGAAACACCTGGTGGGGGATGCGGATGTGCAAAATACAATTGCGCGATGCTGGTAATATAGTTGAGAGCCGACAGGCCGAGCCCGGAAGGGATGCATGAGGGGGACCGCCCGCCGGAGGGCGCTAGTAAACAGGGTTCATGGCGAGCCGGCATGGTATCATCCGCGCACACGCCGAAGGGCGTGCATGAGGGAAGGGGAAAGGGGAGCGATTACGCGAGGTGTACGAGAGAAAACGAGTGTCTTGGAATGTACATGCGTTCCACTTGTCGGCGCGCCGGCCATGTCCGCCAGGGAGGAGCGTGTGCAAGTCGACCCTAGCGGCAGCGATTGCACGCCTTTCTTCTAAAGGACGACGCTCACATGCTGTAACCGAACGACGCCCGCTGGTAGGGGTCCGCGACGCCGACGGGAACGAGTTCATGTTGCCGTACGAGGACATGCCGGAAAAGCCGCCAGCACCAGCGGAGTGGGTATGGGGCGGCGTCAAGCCGGGACTGTGCTGGTTCGAGCCTTGCATCACGTAACTGTCGATCCCGTGCGACTGCAGCCCGCCGTGGAGGGGCGCGGCGTGCAGGCCTGGACCGCCTTGGAGACCGTACAAGCCGTTTTGCGCCGTGTAAGCGTCCGCAAGGGCACCAGCCTGGAGGTGGGACAGGTGACGGCCCGAGGCGGGTCCGTGGTTCATGCCTCCCATGCTCTGATTGCCGAGAGCCATGTTGACAAGCGCCTGCGGATTGTGATGGTAGCCTCCACCGCTGCCGAACGCGTCGCTGTGCTCGCGCTGCAACTTGTTCTGGATGCGCTTGCCGTAGGGAGTGTTCCTGATGAGGGGAAGAACCGGGCGGATGCCCTCCACCAGCAGCGTGCGTTGGCCAGGCTCGGCGTAGTCAAGCGCAGTCTAACCGACCGCTGTCAGCAAAAATATAGCGTGCTGCGTACGAGGGCACCAACCTGGACACAGTAGTTGCCATACGAATCCCTGAGAAGCTTCTCAAGCCGCGTACGGTTGAGTAGCTCGCCGATGAGGATCTTACGCGTACTGTGCTCGGCGACGCGGATGCACTAAAGAACAGGAATCCCTCTGATGAGACATTGCCCGACCGGGCAGTTGAAGAAGCGATCCGCTTACCTTCTCGATTACGTTGGAGCTGAACTTCTGCACGGAGAGCGCGCAAACATTCCCGGTAAATTGGCGGATGACCGCATCACTGAAGCGGTTGTCGTTAAGGTCCAAAATGTATTGGACGACCTATTCGGAGGCCGACATCAGCATCAGACCGACTCAATTTGAGACATCAAACACTCACATAGTTGCCATATGGGTCTTGCACGAGCGTGAGTGCGTTGTAGGTGATTCATTCACTAATTGCACGCGCTGGTGCTCCGACGCATGTCAATGCAGCGCTGAAGGACGCAGCATCCGTGACGGTGCGTAGCCACCTCGACGCAGTTCGCAGCGACGCATTGTAGATGAACTACGGGAAGCGATGAATCACCGCCGTGACGCAGGATGATGTCGGATATCCACACACCTGGTTGTCCTCCGGGCGAGCTTGTTGAGGCATTCTGGATTACGTGGTTCCCGTTGAGATCCTTGATGAGCACGACACATGCAGGCTGAGCGCGAGGATAATGGAGTGGATCTGCACAGTCCGACGAAGGTCAGTCTAAGAAACACTCCCGTAAGATAAGCGGGAGGAGGATAATGGAGAACACGACGCTGACCTGTCTACGCGTCGACAAGAAGTCGATCATCTTCTGCACCGCACGCGTGCCGTGCATGTTCAGCGAGATGTTGACGAGGTCTTGGGCGACGGACTCGCAGATGACGTTACGCTGCTCATCCGTGGAGAACTCGAGGAGCTTCTGGCAGAGGTAGTTGCCGAAGGGGTCTACACAAGAAGTCCGTTAGAACTCTCGAAGAACGCAAGAAGGTTTAGGCACAAACCCGTCATAAGGTCCGCGAAGTGGTTAAAGGTCTCGCGGAAGATCATGTCGCGATGTTCCGGAACGCCTTCCTCGAGCTTCTTCTGCAGGTAGCGACAACCGTGCTGGTCTTTGCAGAGCTGCGGAATCTCGCCCTGGAGGTCCTCGAGGCGGGTGCCCGCAAAGCGGTTGACTGAAGGGCAACGGGCTCAATCACGTACGTCGGAAGGTATCAGGAATGGAACACGCACACTCGCGATCAACGTCGCCCCGCTTGTGCTTGGGCCCGTGCAGACCGTTCATCTTGCTGTCGGCTCCGTTGGGACGTCCATTCATGTTGAAGCCATACTTGGCACCGTTGTGGTGGTACAGCGCCGTGGAACCGGTGGCGCCTACCGCAGCACCGCGGCCGCCGGCTTCGAACCCGTACGAGTTGTAGCCGCCCTCCATTCCGCCGCTAAGGCCGTACACGCCCTCGCCGCCATACTTCTGAAAGTAAATCCATCAGCTCGAGAAGGACGCGAGGCGTGGGCACGTGTCCGGTCTTACCTCGTCGAGGCCCCCCTGGATTGAGTTGAAGCTCAACGGGCTGTTGTCCATGTGACCGGACGACATCCGCGAGAGGGAGGGGTTGAGCTCGCTGTCCTCGCTCAGCTGGCGCGAGATCTGGGCGCTGAGAATGCCGTTGATGTTGTGCGGGTCCCCAGAGAGCGGAGTACCCGGCGCTTTCGCGAGCTGGCCCGCCGAGTTGGGCATGCCGGGCAGCGGAGTCGCAGGGACGGACCGGGCGGACGTAATGGACGAGAGCGTGTCACCAAGGCTGAGCGGAGAACCACGACGGGACGAGAGGCCTTGCGAGAGGCCCTGGACACCTGCTGCAGGAGAGGCGTCGTCGTGCCGGACACGGTGCCATTGATGATGAGTTCACCGAGGCCACCGGACAGGCCCATACCAGGGTTGGTCACGTTGCGGCGGTCCGGACGGCCAAGGCCTTCAGGAGACGACCGTTCCCGTTGAACTGAGGCCATTCCGAAGGCTTCTGAAAATTGTTGGCACCGCGTCCAACCGAGGACGAGCGAACCAGATTCGATGGCGCCAAGTCAAGTGCAGCAGTAGGCGAACGCAACTTTACGTGTAGGTCAGGAACGATTGGCAGAGAGAAAGGCACGACGCACCTTGCCGACGAACCCGTTGCTCGAGAACTTGTCCTCGTCAGACGTGGGCAGGTGGCGGATGGCGTCTGCACCCCATCAGACGGACGTGAGTACGGATAAAACGTGTACGCACTGTGCATCTCCTGGTCCAGCTGTTCATCCAGCATGACGCCCGCATTGTATCCACCCGCGTAGTCGTTGCCGAACCGCCCGATGTTGGTGCGCAGGATCGACTGGGGAATGCCGCCCGAGGGCGTGGAGATCCGCTCAGCGCGCTCACCGGCGAGGGACAGGCCCTGGAGGTGACCAGCAAGTTCCTCGTCGTGCTCGCTGGCAGAAGTGCGGCGGCTGGCAGGCATGCTCTTCGCACCGCCGGGGCGGGCGAAGGAGGGGTTGCTCGAGGGCATCTCGGGGGAATGATTGACGGAGGGGGCGTAGGTAACGGACTTGCGCTTGTCCGCCTTGCCTACCGCCTGAGAGAGCATGTCCGCGTCGACGACGTGATGGAGGCCCGAAGGGTAGGTGGGGGAGTGGTCATCGCTGAGCACCGCATTGACGCGTGGCGGGGTGGTGGGGGCCGAGACGGCAAGATGCTGGGAGGTCTCGAGAGGGATAGTAAGCAGCTCTCGGGCTTGCTGCTGCTCGAGCTGGCGCATCTGGTCCTCGAAGATGCGACGCTGGATCACGCGCTGGCGCTCGTGCTCCATGCGTTTGAGAGCGCGCTGATGGGGGTTGAGAGGGCAAGGATGAGTTTGGATGGGCCATGGGCGCGGATCGCAAGGGAGGGAGGGAAAAACGCACGACAGCAGCCACATCTTGGATATTACCGCCGAGTCGCGCGGCCTGGGGAAGGCGGGAATATATGTCAGGAGCGAGGAAAGGGAGGGAGGGGGAGGGAGGACAGACCGAATCGGCGAGGTCCAGGAAAGCGGGGGGGCTCTGGATCCTCTCGTCATTGGCATGGCGAGAGTCGACGGGGGAAGTAGAGGAATCCAAAGTAGTACTCATATCGAAAGAGGGACGGGGATACTTTTGCTCCAAGGGGTGTCGGGAGAACAGATTGAGCAGAACGGTTAGAGTAGTGAGTGAGTGAAGGCTAATTGCACAAGGGGAATCCTGGGCGGGGGAGGTGAGGCGGGCGGGTGATGCGATGGAGGGCGACTTGCCTGCCAGCTGGTTTTAGCCCGTCTATAACGACTATGTTGTTACAATGTATCGGAGTGCTGGCGGGGGATGAGCTGGGGGGACGGGGGGCGGGGCGGGGGACGCACGCTGGGCAATTTTGATAGCAAGAGGATGTCGAGAGCGGAGAGAGGACTATTAGCGGTGTACAGGAGCGGCCGACTGGGGAAGAGCACGCAACTCTAAATGCCCGCTGGCCGGGGAGGCCCCCGAATTTAAACCTCCGACTACCAACGCGGCCGAGCCCTTAACGCCCCTTGAAACTCTCATCAGCCCTTCACTTTTGCCGTCCTTTCGCTTGCTACGTCCGCCGCCCGCCCGCCCGGCCGTCCGGCGTCCGGATAAGGAGATTCCCGATGCTCGCCGCGGCAACAATCGCCTCTGCCCCGCTTGGGCTCAGTGCGCGGGGTGCCTGCCGCACCCGCAGACCGTCGCGTTCGCGTTCGCTGCCGCCCTGCGCCTCTGCGCTGCTCGCACGCCGCTCGCTCCGCCCGCTCTGTGCTGCCCGCGCGCGGTCTCGCCTGTCAGGCCCATCATCGCTCGCGCGACCCCGCGTAAAAACCGTTTCCCCGTCCGCAAGCAGACGGACGGACTAAACGAGCTTGGTGTCCTTCTGCTGGCCCTTGCGCCTTAGCACACCGCGGCCGGGCGCCCGCACAAACGACACCAACCGTGCCTGCGACCCAGACCGGTCACGCTCCCCGGCGCGGTGTCGTACTAGACTCGTAAGTTGAAGGCCTTGCACGCGGGGCTTACGCGACGTGACGGGGGAGTGAAGGGCACGATGCGCACGCGGCGTCCGCTGCGGCGAGGACCTTCCTCGCTGGCCGTGTTCGGATGCTTCCCGCGCCCCGGCGTCCACCGCGCACTGAGGCCGATGCCATGGAGACGCTCGAGCTTGCTGTGCTACCCCTCTTTTACCACTCACTCACCCGACGAACCCTTGGAATCTACCTCCGCCTCTCCTTCTGCGCACCCGCCCGCTTCAACCAACTGCTCTGCTCAGTCCCTTGCAGCCGGGCCTCAGGCCTCGCCCATCAGGGACACCGAGCGCATACCGCCGGACGCCCGCTTGCCCTTGCGCACCACAAATTTTCGCCGAGTGGATCAGCCCGCGCATCGCGATTTGCTTCCGCGGCGCGCGACCCACGCGCAGCCCTGAGCAGCGAGCGACTCTCGCCAACCGCCATAGGCTCGCCCGCCGACCAGCTTCATGCGTCGCCCCGCCTCCGCCTCCGCCCCTTGCCGCTTTGACACCACCGCCTCCCTCGCCTCTCGGTCTCACCGCCGGCGAGCACACACGACTCGAAGCGACGCTTTCCATTTCGGGCCGCCGATCGCAAACCGCTTCTCGTCCAGCCACCTCCGCATTCTTAATGTTTTAATTCTGCGAGCCGTTTGAGATCGGGGTGTGAGAGCTTTCCTTCCAATGGTGAGAACGGGCGCGTGATCGAGATCGACATCGCGCTCGAGCCGGCCGCTGCACACATGTCTCTCTCTGTTCCAGGCGCGTCTCGGAGACAAGCCCACCGAACGGCTCTTTGTTCACCCGCTCAGCGCAACCGGCTCCAACCTTCTCATGTAGGTGCGACCGCCGACCGCAGCGTCGGGGCCAGAAAAAGCGAGAAGCCGCCGCAAGCTGCACGCGTAGAGCGGAGGCTTTTAAGCAAACAGGATCGAGCCGACGTGCACGCTTGCCCACGCGAGCCCGACCCGGCGCGCCCCGTCCGGACGCACGCCAATTTACCTGTACACACCCGCCGAACGCCCAGGTCGGCGGTTTGGCGCGATGACGAGAGTGGGACGACGTCGTATGTGTCGCGCCCGCAGCACGCGTTCCCTGCGCGCGAGGCGGCCTGTCAGCTTCCCCCGCCGGTCAATTGTCCGTGCTGTCCGTTCGAACGGTCTGATGCACGCCGTCCCCAGCCGGGAGGTCGCCATGATGCGCGCGGGGATGGCGCGGCTCGCGCCGTCGCCCACCGCGCGACACTTGGACAGCGACACGCGCAGACGGACGACGCGCACGCTCGGGTTTATGTCAGACGAAAGGTATTGTATGCATACGTATATACACCTGCCGGCATCGCGCAGGGAAGCAGACCCGTGCGGCGGCTGCGGACCGAGAAAATACACCGGTCTCCCGCCCCGGCAACTCATCGCCAAACGCGCCTGCGCCCGCCTCCCCGACACGCTACGAGCTCACGACCACCGCCGACGACGGCGCCTTCCCCTCCGCCCCCGCCACCTTTTCCCTCCCGGCCGCGGTCCCCGCCCTCGCCCCGCCCCCTGCCTTCTTCGGCGTCGCGTCCCCGTTCGCCACCTTCGTCTCCCCCTCGTCCTCGTCCCCGCTCACCGCCCCGCCGCGGATCGTCCGCCTGTCGTCCTCGTCCTCGTCCTCCCCCGCGCCTCCCTCCGAGCCGCCGCTCTGATCGCCGTGGGCACTAGCCGACGCCTGCGCCTGCGCGCCTCCGCCCGCGTCCTCTTTGGCCGCCGGCTTCCGCCCGCGGAGCGTAAAGTAGCCCGTGAGCGGCGCGAGGTCGAAGTACGACTTGCGCGGCGCCGCCGCGCGGCTGGTCGCCGTCCCCTTCGTCGGCGTCGTCGCTCCGCTCGGAGGCGGGCTCGTGCTCCGCGGCCGGGGCGTCGCGCCGCCGTTCTCGGAGGGCCCGGTCGTCACGGACTCCGTGGATGGGGCATCGCTGTCGGTGGGCGCAGGTCTTGCGCCGCTTCCGTTCCTGATGTGGACGTCCGCTCGGAGGGAGCGTTCGCAGCCAGCTCCGACTGCAGAGAAGAGATCGAGAGCGAGGACGCCGAAGAGATCCGATGGCCGCTGTAGGAGCGCAGCGTGAGGATCAAAACGCTTCAGTGAACGCAGGGCTGATCTCGTGCTTACGGGATACTCCGCTGTTCCTTGTCGGTGAGCGTCAGGAGAAGATTTTTCAGGTTCGGCAGCGTGTGGCGCATGTCAAGTGCTCGAAGATTGCGTTCGCTCATGAGCTGGCGAAGGACGACGATCAGTGGTGATGCCACGGTCTTTGGATAATGAGATGCTGACCGATTCAATGTCCTTGTTCAGCAGGAACACGCCATACTCAAATCTGTAAGTATCTACCCCTTTGGAAAAGAGCGGGAAGCTAACATGACAACATGAGCACCAGCGTACACAGGAATGTGTGCTCACGCTTACCTGCGAGGTCCAACCATTGCGGAGATGCCATCCTTAATCATGCTTCGACTTCCGACGCACGTCACAGGATAAACGAGCCTGTGCCCAAGGTAGGCGGCAAGAAGCTGGACTACTTGCGCCGAATATCCCAAGGCAGTTGCAATGCTGTCCTCATTGACATCCTTGAAGGCTGGTAGAGATAATGGCGGTGCAGGATCGGTGGTGGCAACAGGAATGGGTAATGGGACATTCAGGATGGAGAAAAGAAGATCCGGTGGAGACACAAGGTCTATGGGGTATATGAACGACACGATAGAGATGAGATTGCTGCGCATGATAGGAAGCATGCTTCGAAGCGACGATAACTGAGCCCTGCACCATTAATGAATGAGCAGTGTGCGCAGACGCCGCAGTCCGAAGAACGTACTGCTCTTGTGAGATCAACTTTTCCGTTCGCGATGCTGTCGCCTGATCGTCCTGATGCATCTGTTGAGCGCGCAAGAGAAGTTCACGTCGTCTGCGAAGATCCTCTCGACGAACAGATATTCGGGCGCGCACTGATGGGTCGTGAGCGACAGAAACGAGTATAAAACGATATGCGTCTCGCAGCTTACAAGCTTCCGAATTGGTATGAACTTCCGAAACTTCACTGTGTAGCTCGGTGACCAATGCTTGCCGCTCAGATGCCTCACGAGACAACACATGCGCCTCGTTGCAGACGACGGTCTTCTCAATCTGGTGGACAACGTTCCCCAGCGATTGCTGGGTATCTTGTATCACAGCCTGTAGGTTGATCAACCTGGTAAGCGAAAGGTGAGTAAGTCATCGACGTGGGGTAAAGAACCGCCATACTTGAGTAGATCCTGCCAGCTCGCGGATTTGACTGTCCGTTTCCGTCGTGAATGGTGTCCGTCGAGTTCGCTGATTGTGGGGCTCGAGGGCAGACTGTCCAGTCGGGGTGTCTGGAAGCCCAACTCACCCAGATCCTTGATTCGGTGAACCTCCGCTTCGGGGTCCGAGCGATAACCCCCGACAGGTGATGGAGCTCGGGACGGAGGACTTGACAGCGACTTCGGTGGCGCATACAGCGTCTCACCAGTCGATAGCGTGACTATGAGCGTATTGAATGGGAGATGCGCTTTATGCGCAGCAAGCTGAACGACAAGACATGTTAACAAAGGCATCATGAAACCGGAGTAAACGTACTAACGTCGGCTGGCAAGAGCTTAAGGTCGTTGAGTGCGACCTCCCACGACTCCAGCACCTTCCACTCCGCATCGCCTCCAGAAAGGTCGGGATGCTTCTCCCTCCCTTTGCCCTTGGCATCGGTCATGCTGCTGCCGGAGCTCATCCGTCCCCATACCTCGATGCGCGTCTTGGTCGCGCTGAGATCAGCACCAGCAGTGAACTCGTGCTTGCTCAGTGGAAACACGGGATTCGTGGAGGGCCAGTGTATGGGAGACATATAGTCTGGGACTTCGGAACCTCCACCTGTTGGCGGTAAAGCTGGCGAGTCCGACCGTGCAGAGACGGGGGACCGAGGACTTGCCGACGCACCGACCGTGCCGCGCCTGGACATAGCTTTGGCTAGAGTACCACTTTTCGAGCGGGTCTTGTCTTTGCCGGCTGGTGTCGGACTTGCGGGGCGCGAAGAAGCTGGTGAACTCGCCGCATGTTGGCCGTCTACATGACTATACCCATTTGCAGCAGGGCGAGAGCTTGCAGGACCAGAGAAGAGGGTGATGGTGATAAATGTCTCCACCAGTCGGGACTGCAGGATCTTCTCGAGCCCTCTCTGGGAAGTATCTCGGAGCAAGTCGGGGAAGATAGACGAAGTTGACGTGCCAGCATCGCCGGAGAATAGTGAAGACGAGGATGGGGCTTTGTGGGATGAGAATGAGGCGGTCGAGGATGTTCGAGGGCGATGTGTTGGCCGTACCGGGGGAGGAGGTTTCGGACTTGGAGCAGCATTGACAGAGGTGGATAAGACGCTGGCTCTGGATGACGTCCTGCGCCTCATAGTGGGCTCCCCGAGACGTTCCAAGCTTCCATACGAGACGTCTTCATCACCCTTCGAGCCAGAGTGGTTGGAACTCGTACCCGAGATCCGCCGCCCGCGTTTCCTCCCAACAGTGACATCAGGTCGTCCGCCAATTGTCCGAACGCAGTGAACTGGGAGTGCTCGGACGGCTTGGTGAGCGCTGACGCAAGAGCATCGCGGGCAGGAAATGGAGTCAAGTTTCGGACTTGGATGGAGGTAATGTGGCGAATGCGGCGCTAGTCCGAGGAGTTAACATCGAGCGGACTGAGGAGAATGCAGTGGAAACTCACGGGCAATGTGGCTGCCGCATGGGGAAAGCTCTCGCGTCGGGGCCGCGGCGAGACGGGAGTGTCGAGGATGGCATCCAGAGTGATTAGTGCCCGGGGGCGATGGGAGTAGGGAAGCAGTGTGTGGAGGATATCTGGTGGTCGGTTGAAGCTAGAAACAGTCTAGAGGAGCATAGAGCAGGGTCTAGAAAGGAGGAACGCCGGAAAGTAGCAACGAATGCGCTGTGGGCGAAACGCGAGGTCGGGTGAGGATGGCGGGGGATGCAAGAGCTCGTAGTGCTACAGGAGCCTCGATCGTGACGCGCGTGAACCCCGATCCAGCCGCGGTGAGCGACGTCGCGCGCCCTCGTTCAGCCACCCGTCTCTCTCTCTTCCTTCCCAACTACAATGGCCCCCAAACCTCGACCAGTGCGCAAACTGCCCAACGCAGTGCCTGCCAAAGATGCAAGCGCGTCCATCGCGCCCTCTGCGCCTGCAAAGGACATCCTGACACCAAGCACGTCTATGCCACCTCCCCCAGCCCCCCTCCCACCACTTGGCATTCTAGAGGGAGAAATTGGTGCATTGGGTGCCTGCTTGCAGGTATGCTGCAGGGCTCCAACCGTCACAAGGACATCCCTCATTCCCCCGCGCGCGAATAGAGTGCTGTGGTCAAAACCGCTCAGATCTATGGCTTCTACACCGACGTGAAGAGGCTGTAAGGAATCGGTCTGTGGTCACCTCTTCTGCACTGAACATCGTCCAGGGGTATCTCGCAGCATCAACCCGCCCCACCGCGTAGTTTAACCCAGTCTCTGCGCCGAGAGGTCATCAAGTATGACCAGTTTTGCGACGCTATGGAGTCCCACCTGGTACGCCCTCCTCCCTGCTGCCGCCCACGCATTCGCTCAACCGCTCCCAGTTGCGCGCCATCACCGTCCTCCAACGCGACCTTGCGCGCGAAGAGGCACGAATCAAGGCCGAAGAAGAGGCCGCCGCCGCCTCCAAAGTGCCCTCGCCCGCCGCGTCCGGCATGACCCCTCCCAGCTCCCCCCAGCCGTCCGAGCTCCTCCCCGACGGCTCCCTGCGCGCGCGCGTCACCTCGGTGAACATCACGCCCGCGCGGCGGCAGTCGACAATATCCCTCTCCTCCCTCTCCCGCCCCGCCTTCCCGCCCCGGCTCGACCTCTCCGCCTCCGCGCTGCGCATCAACCCGGACGAGATGATGATCCCCTCCGGGTTCTCGTCCCCCGTCACCCTCGCGCCGCGCACCGCCCGCGCGCAGTCGCACCCCCCGCCCGACATCCTCATGCCCTTCGCGGGCGACCCCGCCGCGCGCCCGGTCGACATCGACCTCACCGTCGACGCCGACATCGCCATGGCCGCCGCGGGCGACCCCGTCCTCGACCCCGGGCTCGGCAGCTCCGTGGACAAGCCGATTGAGCTCGACATCGACATGGGCGACATGGGCGACATCAGCTTCTTCGCAAACGGCCCTGGGGCCAGCGGGGACGGGTCGACGGAGCCCATGTTCGGCCCGCATCCTACGGGCGTGGGTGCGGGTGAGCAGGACCTCATCAAGCCGAAAGAAGAGGCCATCGACATCGACCTCCTCAGCGCGCTCGCCGGCACCTCGACCGGCGCGCCCGACGACATCTCCGCTTTCCTCGAGGGCGCTGGAGTTCCATCTGGCTCTCAGCCACAGGCGTCGGACTCGCACAAAGCTCCGGCCGGCGCGCCGTCGCCCGGCACGCTTTTGGCTGGATTCGGTGCGGGACCAACAGCAGGAACCGAAGGAGCTATGGTCTTCGACGGGCTAGAGATCAACCAAGACTTCTTCGCTGGTGCGCAACCAGGTCCAGAGGTAGAGATGATGAACGTGGAGGACATTTTGAATTCGATGGGCGGCGGGTCCTCCAACACAAGCGGCGCGCCCACGGGAGGATCGACGTGATCATAAACGTCCAGCAGTCATCTTCTGTTTGCCACATTACATTCTTATCAGCACTACTTGATCAACGGAGTGGAGTTGACATCGCGCGCAGTGGTATACGCAGCAAGCAAGCGTATCGCGAGGGAGAGACATTACGAGCACAACCACTATACAACAACCATTATTCGCTGGACATGAGATATCGTTACTTCGTCGGCCACACGGGCTGCCTTCACGCGCGGCCACCCTTCTTCTTCTTGTTCACGACTTTGAACCCTCCCCACTCATTCTGTGCCGGCTTCGGCTGCGTCTTGACGACGTCCGCGATGGAGAGACCCTTCGCTACGCTCGCCGCGGCCGCGCCCTTGCGAGAGGTCGCGTCCGCCTTGCGCCGGCTGACAAAGTCGTTCGCGAACCGACGTCCGTCGAGCGTTGTGCTGCTCGCGTAGATGAGGTCGGAGATGATCTCGATGGTAGACGGGTCGGGGTCCAGAGGGAAGGCCAGAAGCATGTAGCTGAGCTCCTCGACTGGCGGAGATATCGCGTCAATTAAAGGACGCAGTACGACAGCAAAGAACACGTACGTTGAACGGAGTTGTTGAGGCCCTTAAGAGAGTCGTGCATCCACTTGAGGAACTCGAGCGAAGGGCCAGGGGCAACTGCGGGCTCCTCCTTTGACGGCGTTGCCTTTATGGGCGTCGCTGCGGGGCGTGGAGCCTGCACTGACGTAGCCGGACGCGTCGCTGCAGGCGCGACCACAGCGGAGACAATGACAGGTGTTGCCTTCGTCGCCGCAGGTGTCGGCGTACCTGCCGGGCGCGCGGTCACGACAACAGCCGGGGCCTTGCCGTTCGAACCAACGACCGCCCATGCACCTCCAGGAGCGGGTGGAGTAGCGGCAGCGGGCTACGGACGACATGAGCACTCGGCCACATCTCATAGCGCGCAAAACCACTGACCTTCGTCGAGTCGGCGTACGCCCGACGAGCAGCCGTCGCCATGGTCGCCGCCAGAGCCTCCTTTTCCTTCGCCTGTTTCTTCCTGCGCTCCTCCTCCTCCTGAATCTCCTTCATCGTCTTCTTCGCCGCCGGTACCTTCGTCGCGTTCGTCCAAACTGCGGGAGCGGGCGTGGTGGAGGCAGGTCCCGTCGCCATTGCCGTCGCCGCCGACGAGCCCTCCTTCGCGTTGCCCCGGCCAGCGCCCGCAAGCGACGTTGGGAGGCCCCAGGATGAAGTCACGGGTTGGAAGGCGTCGTCCAACTGCGAGCTGACACGCGCTGCGCGCTCGCGCTCGCGCTGTGCGGCCTTGCGGGCTTCTTCTTTCTTCGCCTCCGCCTCCTGGATCTCACGCAAGTTGATGCCCGAGGGCTTGGCTTTCTTATCGTCGTCGATGGCCCAGGGAACAACAGGCTTTGACTCAGGCGCAGGCACGGGCGAAGGCGGCTTAGCGAGAGGTACAAGAGGAGCGGCGACGGTGGATGCTGTAGCCTTCGCAGCGGGTGCAGACGCCTGTTGGCCGGCTGACTTGCGCTTGCTCTTCTGTGGGGAAGATGGCTCGGTGGGAGACGGTTCGGACGGGGTAGGCGCCGAGGGTGCTGCGGTAAGCCGGGGTTCCTCAGCAACAGGAGCGGTAGCCTCGGGGGTCGGCTCAGGAACAACGTGCTGTTGAAGCTCTGCCTGACGTTGCTGCTGGTCGTGCTGGTCCAAGTTCGCGGCCGTCAAGCTCGCAGTGGGTGTAGACCACGGGTCGTTGGCGACTGGTTGCGCAGGCTGTGCCGGTGTAGGCCAAGGAGACTGTTCGACCGATATCCCGGATATCGTGCGTGTGAACGGCTGGGGCGGAGCTGTAGGCTGTACAGGGAATCCATTGTTGCCCACAGGAAGAGCGGGCTCGAAAGGAACGGGGCGGCGAAGAGTCTGGTCTGGGGCGTGCCATGGGGAGTGTGCCGTGCCGCCGTACGAAGGGCTCTGAGTGAACGGCTGCTGCGGGAAGTGTTGTTGGAACGGATTAGGCTGGCGGTCGGTGATGGGTGTCATGGAATGCATAGCGCGATTTTCCTGTCCTGCGAACGGGGAGAGTGGGGCGGAAGAGAACGGCTGGGCGTGGGGGACAAAGGGAGAGTTGTGGTTTGAGAAACCACCGCCTAATCCAGGCTGGACCATCTCGTCCAATGCAGGCTTCCCAAATGAGTCCCGGTTGAGTACTCGTGAAGGGATGCCTTGGTTGGAGTGAATGCCACCTATAGGACCGAACTCAGTACCGTTGAGAGCAGAAGAGCCTATCATCCCATTCATGGGTCCAGGCTCCTGCTGGAGCCTCTGGCCGAAGGGGGAACTTCCGAGATTATTGTCAAAAGTCGAGGGGGATTCCGTGCCTAAGGACAGCCAATGAACGAGAGCAGCAAGAAAGCCAGCCAAGGAGACCCACCGTTGAACCCTAGAGCGTCGATCCCTACACCAGAGCCGCGCCCCATGCCGAAACCACGGTTGGTGAAGATCTGCTCCACAGGATCTTGCATAGTCGCACGTCGTTGCCCAGGGGTCCCGATGGCCGAAGAGGCGAAAGGCATTCGAGATTCGGTAGGCTGCTCGTACGCAGCCTGGCCGCCGGTGTCAGGAGACGCGTTGACGAGGCGACCTCCAAAAGAGGATGAAGGTGATTCCGAGGCGGCTGAGCCATTTTGCAGGTACGAGTCAAGGGTGCTGCTCCGCAAAGACCGAGTAGGCACAGGTTGATAAGGCGAGTGCTGCAGTCGTTCGGGGATCGCGCGATCGACAACGGTCTCGATCGGACGCGTCAGGCCAGGGGGAGAGATTTCGTGCACCAAGGGAGAGAGGAACACTGGCTGCCCAGCGGCGCGACGCAAGAGCTCTCCCATCGGCGTGAATTCAGCGTCAAGATGGGTCCGTTTCATGAGCAACGCAGGCTGGAAGTATCCCTGCTCGTGCCAGCCTTGCATGACGTCCGCCATGAACGGCCCTACGGATGAGAAAACATCAGACATCGTACGCACTTGTCAATCTTCAGTACACACCTTGAAGCCGCCCTTGAGGGTCGAGGTACGACCACTCGACCTTGGACAGATCAGCAGGAGGCTTGGGCGGGGCAGGAGCCCCAGTTGCAGATTGTCCAGAGATCGACGTTTCCTGCACCTGCCCGTTGATCTGCTCTGTAGCCTTATTGGCGCCAACATTGCCATTCAGCGGCTGGCCGGTCGAACTCCCAGTCGTCTCCCTCGATCGTTCCGAGGGGAGCGGCGGCTCCTCTTCCTCTTCTTTGATATGCGGATCCTTGGGTTCCCCGTCGCCTTCTTTCTCGCTCTTATTCTTGGGAGCATTCTCCGACGCCCTACGCCGCGCCGTCCACGAGTCGTTCAGCACCCCGTCGAACCCAGCCCGGACCCGGGGCGACGGCAGGCCCCCCTCGCGCGGCGAAGCGAGCCCGTTCTGCATGTTCGACAGCGAGAGCTTGCGCGGGAGGGCGAGCGGGGCCTGGTCTGCGTGCGGCGAACCGCATCCCGGTCACGTCAGCCTCGCCGTGCCCACGGACGAACGGCGCACTCGACTCGCCTGTGCTGTCCCCCCTCCGGCGCGCGCCCATGAAGTTCCCGATCCGTTCGCGCATCGGGCTCGCCGCGCCCGGGCTCGCGTGCGCCAGCTTCGGTCGGTCCCCGAGGTTCGCAGTCGTGAGCGGCGATAAGAAGTCCGTCGACTGGCGGCGGCGGACCTCCGAGTTCAGCTGCCCCGCGAACAGCTATGCGTGCGTGCATGTGTGTGTGCCGGACAACGACACACGCAAAGGGGGGGGGGGGGGGGGGGGGTGCAAGGGGTGGGGGCCGCGCAAACGCAAAGGTGGAACGGAAAGGTTTCAGCGTCACGCCTCCCTACGATCCGCCGCACACGAGGGCGGGCGGGCGGGCAGACCAGCGAGAGCAAAATTTACCGCACCTTCTTCTCGGCGTCGCCCATCTCCTTGAGCCCGGCGGGCTCGTACCCGACCTCGCGGACGATGCCCTCCCAGCGCTCGACCTCGAGCCCGAGCCCGCCGCGCCCGCCGCCCTCCTTGTAGATCCGGAGCATCTCCTCCTTCGAGTACCGGAACGGGTGGGCGACGTCGCGGCCCTCCTGCGGCGGGGCCGTGGCCGGCGTGACGAGCGCAGAGTACGTCGAGTTTCCAGGTGGCGCCGTCGAATTTGCCAGAGGCGGGGACGGAGCGGGGCGCGAGGAGCCTTGCTTCGTGCGCATCCATTCGGGGCCGAAGTGCATGGTGGTGGTGGTCATTTTGTTCGCAGAAGGAGCTGGGAACGGACGGTATGAGTGGGGGATGTGTGTTGGGTCGCGGGCAGGGGTGCAAGCGCGGAGTGGCAGCGAGTATGTGATGAGAAAAGAACGCGAGAGGTTCAGTAAACGGCCTACGGGTGGCAATCGGCGTGACCTGCGCCTCAGGGCCGGTCCCTGTGACGCCCGCTAGCGCTGCTGCATCGTTGGCTGCACGTTCCCGCACACGAGGCCACAGCCTCTCCGCATTCTCGTCCGCCAAAGAAATAATAATCTAAGCTGCATCGCGAGTGTCGCGGAGATACAAACAATGCAAGCCGTACGTCTACTTTTACAAATTATCCGGGCAGAGTCCTATCCTGGCAGTCCCATCAAGACGATATCCTCCACTTGCTCACCGGGATGGCTTAAACGCGCTCGTTAGCATCCGTCTCTATAAACAAAACAAAAGCACGCACTTTGTAGTTTCTTTGCGGTAGGAATGAGGAAGAATAAAACGGAAATAACCCCGAAGATAAGACAAAGGCCTGAGACGACGTAGTACCCGTCTTGCTCAGTAACGCATTGTCCACCTAGCTCGTTGCAGGCAGCTTTGCCGTGCTCCGACACGCACTCTTGCGCTGAAAGTGGTGTCAGCACGACGATCAAAACAAAGTCTCCGGGACTCACCTTTGACGGACAGGCCGGCTTCAGTGATATTACACGTCGCGACGCTGAAGTAGTCCACTCCTGTCGTGGCGACCATCGCATCAAATCCACTCATGAGCTACGTCTAGCGCACCTTTGAGTACAAAGAAGCGAGGCCATGTGCCGCCAAGGTTGGTAAGTGTGTTCAGCAGCTAGATATACCGTGAGAAGGCTTGGCATATGCAAAAAAATGATTTGGGTTCACCGTCATGTAGGTACCACCAACGACGGGATCCGAGATTCGGGTGTGGAATGCGGACATGCCTCCAAATTGGATGGTGCTGCAAATAGCAGCGATTAATGAAGGAAGGCACTCAAGCTCCATGCGACACTTACCTTGTAAATGACTGCAGTATCGTCAAGAACACGAGACCGGCCAAGAATGTGGAGGTGACAGGGGGTTTCGGGAACCAGTAGACCACCAGTGTCGCAATGAACGTGAACAATAGACGAGGCCAGAAGCAGAAGATCCAAGCCCGCAAAGGTTTTTCGCCGCGAGCCCATTTGCCGGCAAGCCAACCCCCGATGATTTCGAAGGGGAAGTCGATCAACACGGTCATAGCGAGGTCTTCTCGTCCAAGCCCCTTCTCGACCATCTTCAGTTGAGTAACCGCGTCATTGGCTTGCCATCCAATTTTGGCGAGAAGGTGTATGCCTAACAGAACCTGTACATCTGCGACATTGGTCTTGGTTAGTTGTCGCCGTACCTCTCAGGTCACTCTCACGTTTAAGCTTGCAGATTTCCCACATTGTAACATAGACTTGCTTGATGCCGATGTCTTCGTTAACATCTTTGTCCTGTGCGAGCACATTTGTATCAAACGACGGCGAACGATCGTCTCATAGGAAGAACATACCTCTTTGACAAAGAACAGCCAAAACGTTACTGCAAACGACATGCACGCGCAGAAGAAGAGGTATGAGCCCAGAGTGAGACGCGGGATACCCCATTTGTTGCTATAGCTGGATCAGTAAGCCATCCGAGATTGGGGAAGAAACAAACGCACGCGAAGTCTACACTGTTGAGGGCAAGGAAGACAGTGTAGGACATGAGATAGCCGGAGTTCAAACCGATGGTCTGGCACGTAGAGGCATAGGCAAGATTTTCCTCGGAAAGGAGTGTAAGGGCCCATCCTACAAGGTGTGGCGTCAATGCAGGTCGAGAAGGCTCGGGTATACGTGTTGCATACCGTCTACCGCAATGTCTGTGCACGAGTATTCAGCAAAAGCGCGCCAAGTAGCCCCGGAAAAGCACATACCTTGGGTAGCGGAGAAGAAGACCAGAGAGGTGAATGCGAAACTTAGTGTGTACAGATGTTTACCGGGCTGTGGAAGGCGGTTTCAGCGACGACACCGTAGCCGTACGTTGTATATGCGTACGTTTTCGACCATCTCTTCGGCACTGGTCGACATGATGAGCATGATTGTTCCGACAATAAGCTGCATGGGGATGATCCAGGACTTGCGACGACCGACTGAGCGGAAAAAGACCGAGTCTACGATGGGTGACCAGAAAAGCTTGAGGGAGTAAGGGTATCCCGCGAGAGAGAATACGGCTAGTTCGGAGTATGATAGATGTTCCCTGAGAATGAATGGAATGGACCCCAGGGCCAAGCCTAACTGCACGCGGGGTTGAGAGGATGCACGCGAAATGCATGGTTGGGGACTTACAGGAAATCCTTGTATGAGGTCTTCACCCGGTAGAATGTCAGTCTACCAGCGCGGAAGGCTCCCACAACCCAAGCGGGGGCTTACAAAGGATGGTGAGCAGGACCATGGCCTGCTTGTCGCGCGCCGACATGGACTTTTTGGCGTCGATCTGGGCGAGATACTCCTGCTCCTCGTCTAGCGTAAGGTCCGAGGCGGCCTCCCGGCGCTCCGCTTCCCCGAGCAAGCTGAGCTCGACCTCGTCGGCGTCGAAGGGCGTGCGTGCGCCATGGCCGCGACTGCGTGCGGTTGCGGGCGTCCTGGGAGTTCGAGGGAGGACCTCGATGCTTTGGAGGGAGGTGGCCTTGCCGCGAGCGTGCATGGGGTCGTCGGATCTGGCGGGGACGCCTTGTCTTTCTTGCCCGTGCGCCGGCGCGGTTTGAGATGGGCAGAGCCGTCGGGGGTGGAGGAAGACATACGAACAGGAGGGGTCAGAGTGGTATTCGGTCGCCTCCGTTGTGCCCGAAGGACACGTACCTCCACCTGCGCGCGCTGGCAGCGCGATCACGTTCAGGCGCTTGTTCGCGGCGGCCACCCCGGCCCGGCTGGTCGGAGTGATTGGAGTGGTGGCCTGCATCATATGCTGCTAGCAGCCGTGCGCGGGGAGAGGGATTGCGGGAGAATGGGACTGGCGACGAGCTGCTTGTGCCGCTGTGCGCCATCTCATTATGAGCTGCACGTGCAGGCGACGAGGCGACGAATCGCGGACTTCTGCGGGCACAACTGGGACAGGCGAGCACGGAGCCAAAAATAGGTTCTGTGGCATGGGGCTTGCATGGGGCGGCCAAGTCCGAGGTTCCCTCTCCTTTCGTCCTCTTGCCCCTCTGCTCTCGCCCGTTCGTGTATCGGAGTGCCAGACACATGAAGCTTCGAACCCCTGCTCGTCTGCAGTACCCTTTCACTCGGGAACGAAGCCTGGGGTGCACGCTCCAGCTCGGCTACCATGACGAATCGCCTGCCAAGAGCGATTCTGGAGGGCTCCGCGTTCTTTCTGCACCAATCAGGAGGGAGCATGGATTCAACCGCGGGTCAACATTGAACAAGCTGCCATCGTGGCTGCCACACATCCTTACCCGACCTTCTCCTCTCCGCAGGCACGACCCACAGTGCACAGCCACTCCGCCCTCATCAGCAAAAGTTTAGAGCGCATGGGAAATATTGCTTAGAATGCCTGATATGCCTCGGAATTTCTGAAATGCCAAGGTCGACGGCTGTGCTAGGATACCATCAGATTTACAGAAGTACTACAGGTGCACAGTGCGAAGATATCATGCACGGGGACTGAGCAGTATCTGCGCGACGACATGCGAGTCCGCCTAAGCGACACATGCACAAGCCGAGAACAGGACACCATCCGCGCGCGGTACTCCTCAAACTGCGTAATCATAAGTGCCACCTCTCTTCGCCACCCCGACCTGTAGGCTGAGGCTGGGTCACATCAACTGTAAGGCGGCCTATTGGCAGCCTACCCACCGCAGACCGCACTGTGGAAGCAAGTGCGCGCACGTCACAATGAAATAAAGGTCAGATAACGTGCCGCAAACAGTATCATAGCTTCTACGCATGCGAAGAGACGATGCTGTCTATGGGCACCAAACGCAGAAGTTGAAAATCAGAAGTGGCGCACGGAGAGCCGGCCTCACAACGGTGTTGCATCCGCGGCGCGTCCCCGCAGCCATCTCGCGCCACCGCTAAGAGGCCTCATCTAGGAGCTCCTCTGCGTTCTGCTTACGTCTGCCCACTGATTCGCAGGGCGCGACGTCGACCGCGCCGACCGCACACCCCTTGCGGAGCAGCCCGAGCCCCGGGGCGAGCTTGTCCGCGTCGTGTGCCTCCCGTTCGGGCCCGTCCGGGAGATGGTACGTCTTCTGGCTGAGGAGCGACTGGTTCTGCGTGTCCGCGGTGCGCGGGAGGTATAGCACTTCAACCTGTCACTCAGATTGGAGGAGCACGGGTAATATCGTGCAAAGACCGGCGAAAGCGCCCATTATGTCGGCCTAAACGCGGTCTTGTACCGGTGAACAAAACCTGGGAGGGCTGTAAAAGGTGAGAGTGTCAAAAGCGGGAGGCGAGATCTAGAGCGTTGTAAAGGGCTCGCGGGCAATTCTGAGTGCATTCTAATAGCCGGGCCGCCACCCCGAGAATGCCCGGACCCTTACCGACCGGGTACATACCCGACCTTTTGCTGATGATTGAGCCCGGTGAGTCAGTCTTGCCATGGACACCTCTAAGGTCCCCTAGGGTCGGAGCTGTGTCTCATGGCGCAGTTGGCTTAATATATATATATCCCGTCTGGCCGGTTCTCCGGGTCCTCGCCTTCCCCACCGCACGATGCAAACCAACGCATCTCCCCCCAGTGCTCGCGAAGTGATTCGATCGACTAGTACGACGAATGTGTCCAACCAGGGCCTTGAAAAGGCGGCCGACGGTCGCGCAGATCGTCCAAGGCGCCCATTTGGGCTTCGATGGAGGAGCTCTGTCTGGTTCATCACCCTCGGTGCGCCGCACTATCAGCCCCACGCGCTCACAGCCTGACACTCCAACGCCCCTCAGCCGTCGCTCTAGGTAAATCCCTCTCTATTCGGACTCACCCGCATCCTCGACGCCGACCGTGATCGTGCACACTTTCCAGGGGTATTCGTCGATATCCTCATCTACTCCCTCATTGTGCCCGTAATCCCGTTCCGACTCCAGGACCTGGGCTATGACGGCGTCTCCGGTTTGGTCGGCTGGCTGCTCTTTGCCTATGTGCGTCCAAAGCGTTCATCGTATCTTATCAAGACTTACAGCAGTGAATCCCATAGTCTGCAGCGCTGGTCATATGTCGTCGTGCCGCCTATCTGCAGGACGATCGTTCACCCCTGCCATATTGCAGCTACCCCGCCAATTGCTCACTTGACAGAACTGTACAAAAACAGGCGAACACCCCTTCTTCTAGGCCAAGGGGCTTTGATCGCTGCTCAGATTATGCTCATGGAAGCACCCAAGTACTGGTTAATGGTATTGGCCCGGATCGCTCAAGGTGTCAGTGCGTCAGTCATTTGGGTTGTCGGCCTCGCGCTCGTGTACGTGGTCTCTTGTCGACTGTATGCGCACTGTTTCTTATAGTCTTTACCAGTTGCGATACCGTCCCATCGACCATTGTTGGCAGTGAGCCTGACTCCACAACCTTCGTGATCTCGTAAATGACGACCCTTGTAGAACAGCTTGGTTTCGTTGCGATGGGAGCTTCGTTCGGGTGCGTTCGACGCTCCGTAGTCACAACCAGTCACTCATGTCATAGCAGCTTCGTCGTCGGCCCTCCTGTCTCCGGTGCCCTCAACGATCGGTTCGGCTTCCGCGGACCCTTCATCTTCGGCATCATAGTCACCTTCATCGAGTTCATGTGCCGCGTCCTCATCATCGAGCGCAAAGAAGCAGAGCGGTGGGACGCGTCATTGTCCCCCCTCGTCCGGACAAACACCTCCAGTTCACGACGCCCTGCTTACGGTGGAACGTCGAACGAAAAGCGCGACGAACCTGCTCCTACGGATGTTCTCACTGCTCCTGCAGATGCAGACGCCGGCCTCGAAGCCCCTTCCGGGTCTGCTGCTGCTGCTGCGATGGGAACCGACGCGGCCGCTGCTCAAACCGCCCCACAACTCTCGATTGTGCGCTTGCTGTGGCTGATGGTCAAGTCCAAGCGCACGATGGCTCCAGTCCTGCTCGCTTTCGTTTACGGGTACGTTCTATAGTGTGTACGGCACCCACCATGGCTAACAATTTTCTCACAGGGCTGTTCTGACCTCGCAAGAGCCCGTCGTCCCACTGTACCTCGGTGGCACCTATGGCCTTGACACTTCTCAGATCGGGCTGGTCTACATCGCCGCCGTCATCCCGTCTTTCATCTGCAAGCCTCCATTTCGTCCCTGTCTTCGCGCTCGGCGCTGACGCCAGCATCCGAACAGCCTCCCCGTTGAGTGGATGGTGGGCCGACAAGCACGGAGCCACGAGCGCGGTGCTCATCTCCGTCGTGTGCTCCCTCCCGTTCTTCTTCCTGATAGCCATCAAGAGCTCGCTGGCGTACTTCATTGTCATGATCGCGCTTGAGAGTGAGCACGGCGCCTCGAACGTACAGCATATGCCTACCGTCCCTGACTAACACATCCACCCCACCTCTGCCAGGCTTTTTCTTCTACGGCACCTTGTCTCCCGTAACCGCAGAGCTCGCTGCGGTGACACAGAGCCTCGACGGCGTCGGATGTGAGTGCCCCCTCGGTGCGTCCTGCCGGGCGAAATCGGTCTGACCGCGCGTTCGCGCCGCAGACGGCCACTCCTACGGTGCCTTCAACATCGCCTACGGTCTCGGATCCGCGGGTGAGTCGCGTCCCAGCACCACCGCACGGGGCTTCCCGCGCTCATCGTCCTTTCGCTTTTTCCGTTCCAAAGTGGGTCCCGTCATCGGTGGACAGGTGGGTGCCGCCCCGCCTTTCAGCAAGGCGTTCTCCCCAGTGGCGCTCCGCTCACTCGCTTCTCCGCGCCCAGATCTACGACCACGCGTCCAACGGCTGGATGATCGTCAACTTCTTCGACGCCGGGCTGGCGATCGCAGCGGTCGTCTTCTGCGTCTTCTGCTTCGGGGAGGAGCCGCTGTCGACGAAGATCGTCCGTCGCCTGCGGAAGCGATCCTCGTCGGATCCCGAGGCTGGTCTCGAGCAAGATGAGCATACTACTAGCGAGCCGACCGGGGTCGCGGAGGTTGAGTAGCTACCGCAACGGTGCCACATGCGATACCAATGATCAGATACCCACCTCCCCACTCCATAAAAGACGCATAGTACGCGGTCAACGTTCGCGAATCCGGAAGGTGCTCTCAACGACACTGTGTGGTGATGCGGTATAGGATGGATTTGTGGGATGGTTTAGCTGGAGACGTACGTGCGACTGGCGTCTTCCGTGAATATGCTAACGACAGGGGCAACGACGTATCCAGACAATACATAGTGTGACGTGACGATTAAGAAAGACCATCACATAAGGCGTGTATTCTGAGAGTCGCAGAGCGAGAACAAGGAAGTATGTGTCTCTATGTGGTCAACTGGCGGGAACATGGCTACATATGCTACAGTCCTATCGGATATTGAATATGTATATGGGGCAAACGAGATCAAGGAAAGCGAGGAATACATACGACAGGGTAAATGATGGAGAGGTATAGTACGTGATACATGGGCGAGGAACAGACGGGCACGGGATCACAAAGCAATGCGACTGACGTAATAATATTGAGGCGGAGGAGAGGTGCAAAGTCACGGCGATGTAGGTGAAGGCGACGGGCGTTGTGACGAGGCAGGGGCAAACATTCCGAGCAAGGACAATAAGTCATCTAGAAGGACGCCCATTAGTCCACAAACTACGAATCTCCGCGATAGGACGACGTACTCTTCTTGAGTGGTTTACTGAAGAAGCCATTCATGCCGGCGCTCAAACAGAGCTGCTTTGTGGATTCCTGGCAATCCGCGCTAAGAGCGACGACTAGATCAACGAAATCAGCATCCAGCTCTGACTACCAGATAGCCGGACGGGCTTACTAGGTAGCACAAAGGGCACCTTCCTTTTCCCTTCAACAATGCGCAGCCTTTTGCAGGCTTCGACGCCGTCCAAGATGGGCATATCTGAATATCGATAGTGAGATGTTGATCTACGCAGCGCGTCTTTGGAGTCTCACGATGGTCAAAGAGCGCCGCAGTGAAGTATCCAGGCTCATGGCTCTCCCATTCTGTAAATTGATGAGATTGAGACCTGCAGACCAACAACCAGCAGTTTCACACACCCGCTATTGCTTCCTCGCCGTTTGATGTCGCGATGACATTGATGTCATATCGCTCCAGCTGCTTGATAAGAAGCTTCTGCGCGACGGGATTGTCTAAAGCACCGGTTAGCACCGACGCGGGACATTAGAACCAGTAGCTCACCCTCTGCCACGAGTACGTTCCCATACAGCGTTCGTTGGGCCAACGCATGTTCTTCACGGAGGACCGCCGAATCTATGATCGGACGCAACGGGATGTGGTCAAGAACGTTCTTCAAGCTTGCGAGGACCTGCAACAACTTGAGCTGTCGGGGAGGTTTCGTCATTCGCACAATGCCAGGCGGCGACGCTGTGTCGTCCCGGAGCATCGGGGCCCCAGCAAGATTGTCCGTTGTTGGTGTGAAGAAATGGACGACCTTCGTGTCTTGTAAAGCCGTATGCGACAATGAACGTATGAAACGCGTTAGATCATCAGCGCGGCTCTCCGACTGGTCGTCAAGGATTACAAAGTCGAGGGGTTGCGAGAGGAACTCGGCACTGTGAAGAAGAGGCTCGACTTCGTTGATGCTCGAGATGGGGGTGACCGAGAATCCGCTCAACATGGTGCTGAGCATCGCTTGAGTCGTAGTGGAGGCGGAACCCACAAGGATGCGCAGCGGCTGGGGATTCGTCAAGAACGAGCGAAGACGTTCGACTTCTGCCAGGGTCTGTCTTGACTCTTCTGACTCGAATATCTTGACGGGGAGTGTGAACCAGAACGTTGAACCAGCGTTGAGCTCAGATTCCACACCAATGACACCTCCCATGAGCTTGACGAGTTGCCGGGAAATCGATAGTCCTAGACCTGTGCCACCGAAGCGCCTTGTCGAAGAGTTATCGGCTTGCTGGAAGGGAACGAAGAGTTGATCGACATCCCTGTGAAACGCTCAGCACGTAGTTATCATAGCAGAAGTTTTTCTACACACGTTCGACTCAATCCAATGCCGGTGTCCCTGAAATAATCCTTTAGGACAGAGACGTGAACTCAAGTGATCATTCCTTACTGTATGGAGAATCTGAGTGATATCTCCGTGGATGTCCTCGCCACGTTGGGGTCGACGGCGCAAGTGAGTCGGACGAAACCATTGGCGGTGAACTTGACCGCGTTGCCAATAAGGTTCATCAGCACTGGGATAAAATGAGCATATGCGGCCCACAGGCGAGTACTGAGGTACCTTGACGTATTCTCGCATAATCAGACTTGACCCCTACGAGGACCTGTAAAAACGCTCTGCTAGATGCAGAACTGGCGATGGCACTCACAAGGGGGAACATCCGGCTCGATGTTGAACGAGAGGTCCAGCTTCCTCGCAGCCATGGGAAGGAGGAGCTCCATGCAGTCCTACACGACTGGATGATCAGCGCGACAAAAGAAGCAGCGTCGGTCATACTAACTGCAAGCAGATTCTCGACGGAGAAACCCGAATACTCTAATTTGACAGCTAACCGGAATTCAGACACATCGCAAGCAGATAGCGTAACAATAGTAGCGTACCGTCTGCCTCAAGCTTGCTGTAGTCGAGGATAGAGTCGATGATCCTCAAGAGCAGCTCGCACGACTGCTTCGCAGTTTGTACTGGATAAAGGTCAGACAAGGAGGAGGCAACAAGGAGAGACTCACCAATCTCTCTTTGTCCAGCATTGAGTTCCGTGCCACTCAGGATATCCAATAGTCCATAGAAGGAACTACAATGCGCTCAGTAAAGCGCAGCAATGTCAATAAATTGTACCCACCTGAACGGCGTTCGGAGCTCGTGACTCATAGATGCCAAAAAGTTGCTCTTGATCTAATAAAGCATAGGTTGGAATCAGTCTTCCTTATTCAACAACGCAGTTGCAACTTACCTTAGTAGCCTTCAGAGCATCCCCACGACTCTTTCGAGCAGCCTCCAAAGCGTCGCGTTGCGCCGAGATCATCTTAAGGTTCTCCTTGGTCCCCGCCTGCACAGACCTGAACAAGAGAGCATTCGAGATCCCTATGCTTGCTTGCTGGCACAGGAGCGTCAACATGGTCACAATATTTGGGGAGAACGCGTATTTCGAGGCCAGGTACACGGCGCCAAAGGTCTGGCCGCGGTTGCTGAAGATGGGGATACAGATAACGGAGCGATGAGGGCTCTGAGCGGCCTCATTTGCGAATCGAGGTTCTGTCATGATATCCTCGTAGTAGACCCGCTCCTTGTTATTGAGAGCTACAATCGATCAATCGTGAGATGCGAACTAGGCAGATAAATGAAGAACCGTACCATGCTGGATGACAGTCCGACGCAGTGGATCGACGATGGAGCGGATGGATATAGGGTTCCTAATTAGTAGTCATGATTCGGGTTTGTAGAGTGATAGTATGAACAAAGCACGCACTCATGCACTTTGCACGCTTCAGGGGAGTTCATGCTTGTTGCTACAGTGTAGTCTCCAGCCTCCCGCGCGATGACGACGCATGTGTTCTGGCTGACTGAGATCTCCGTAGCAATCTCAGTCAATCGCTGCAGAGCCATCGAGAGGTTGATGTCGCCTGAGATCTCCTTGCTCCACTTCAGAATAGACGCCAGGTCAGCAGCGGTCAAAGTCGAGATTTGCTCCTCCTCAGTTGCGTCAAGACTTGTTCGATCCAAGGGGCTCGTGAAACTTTGCTGGGTTACAATGACACTGTCAGTTTGCACGGCAACATCCGAAGTGAAGATTTGCCTCTTGAGTGGCGCAGGTTGGGATCGCGTTTCCAAAAGGGAGCTCAAGTGGTTGCTGCCACGGAATGTGAGTACATGAACGCATCTTTAAATATATTTAAAGAGACGTACACGACGCCTCTTGCTCCCCATTGGGCTTGACGTGCGATACCTCGTCGTTGTAGCTCTCCTCCAAGGTTTTCTACGCCGCAACGAACAAAGTGGGAACCTTGCTGAAGTTGTACAGTAGTGATCAGCAAAAAATGTAGACAGAGACGAGCGTCACGAACCAGATACAATCCGTAACCTCCCTCTAACATCCAGTCGTTGGTCATTGCCAGTCTGGAGACCGTTGAGCCATGTGATGTGACAAAATCCATGACACTTACTTGACTGCGACGTCGTACAGCTTGAAAGCATCCGGGTTGTTCGTCAAAGAAGCGATCTCTGCGTCCTGAACAGGTATGAGTATACGTCAACGTATACACGCTCGAGGACCCACGATCAATGCAACCCAAGCGCTGGTGTTGACTGGACTTGGCGACAACCACCTACAATGAGGTCATCAAATTGTTGACACGATACACCCTTCACGACGCACTTGCGGATGTACGACTGATTTGCTTCGACCTGTTTGAAACAGTGCGCCCGCTCTTCTACCGGGAGACCGCCATTCCGGATGCGATGAATTAGGGCGAGACAGTGAAAGAAGAGTGCGTATCGGATGTGACGATGACTAGAAACCGCGTCATTAGTGCGGATTCACAGTAATCATAACGCAGTCCTCACTTGGGGTTACTGTCCCTGGTGTCCCAGACGTAGAAGCCGAGAGCAGCTGCCTCCTCCACAAATCCTAGGCAGAACAGCCCGACAAGCTTGAATGAATTGTACCAATTCATCACTACCTTAACATGCTCGAAACTTGCATTTTCCTGGAGATACTCAGATTCGATGAACGTATCTGTGTCGAACGCCGTTTCCGCAGAATGAGCGACTGTGTAGCCTCCGAGAGCTCGGATGCAATTCAGTGTTCCTGCGTATAAGCTTCAGAAAACTAGTAACCTGCATGTGATTATGGCGCACCTTGAGCCAACATAGACACACCCAGGCTTGATGTCCACAGTTGAACATCTGTGAGTGACTGTGAGGCGTAAGCAGGCGCGTGACGTGAACACAAGGACGAACGGTCAACTACCTCTTCCCCAGCAACGACGACTTCGCTCACTACGGAGGAATCAATACGTCAGGCCAGCCCTTAACAAGTACGGACCCACGGTGGTCGCCGATGTACAGCCTCGTGAGAACAAGGTGAACACTCGAGAAGCTGGTGAACACCCTATCCCCAGCGCCTTGTCCGTACTTGATCGCCTCTTCCAGTCGAGGGATATTGGCACGGATGTGCACGTTATCGAACCCGGACACCATGGAGACATATAGAACCAAGGCCCGGCTGAATTCCGGCTCGACGATGAGCCACCTGATGCAATAACCCTGCGAGAAATCACTCACCACTTCTCGAAACTTGTGCCATACTGGTCCGCAATGCGCAGCGCAAGCTTGCCAAGGTCAGTTGAGAAGCGGAAGAGCTCCCGTCTCTCCGCCGCCGCTATATATCGCAGTCGTTGACAAACGAAGGGAAGGTAAACCTCGCTTGACACTCACCTCCTAATGCCCAGAAGAAGCCCAAGGCGGTGCCAGGACACATACCGGCCCTTCGGAAGTGTTGATCACTTAGTGATAGACGAGTCGGACAGACATAGAATAGGTGCTTACCGCAAGGCCAATTGAACAGTCTTGAAAGAGGTGACGTTCGCGTCAAGGTGGCGTGTCAAGCAAAGCACGCGGAGACTCACCGTGAGCCCGATGACGTCGGCGAAGCCTTCTCCTGGGCTCCAGTACGCATTCGTGCCTTCCACACAGAGAGTATTAGATTGTGTAACGTCAGTAGTACATGGGACCCAACTCACCGGCGTCGTTGAGCAAACCAATCGCGAGATCGGTGCGACTGTCGCGCGCCCGAGGAATGTTGAGGATGTCGTCGAAACCGACAGCGAGGATCTCATTCTTGACCAGCTCGAACATGATGTCTGCCTCTCGTCGTGAAGGTGCCGTGTTTACGTCTACGCCCAGAAGATGCAAGCCAAGGGTGTTGTCGTTCAAAGCCGCGCCGTAGTTCCCTCGCATCCAGTGATTTCGGGACCGCAGGCGAAGGATTCGCGCCTTGTCCTCGGGATGTTCGCACCGCAACAGGCACTCCTGGAGTAAGTTGTCAGAGATATTGAATTCGGCTTTCCACGTATACATCCTGGCAATCGCCGGGCTGTTAGAAATAGAAGCCGATAGAACGCTTGAGCTGACCCACTCCGCAAGTCTCATGAAAAGGGAAGAAGTTCTCGCAACATCGGTCTTCCACGAGTCCTCATCCAGAAGCGAACGTGCATTCATGTAGGATTGAAGAGCCAGCTATGACGTAAGTGTCAATAGACAACTGCAACGAGAACATCGCAGACATACCTCGTGTGCGCCGCGGGCTCTCGCTGAATCGCCGGCGTTTAGAGACATTTCAAGCAGCTCGTCTCTCTTTGCGAATTCCCGCAGTAGTGGCAAGCATCGTTTGGCATGCTCTGCGACCCGGTAGATGTCCGGAGCGTCATCATCCGCGTCGTGCAGCATCATCAGTATGATCTAAACGAATGTGCCTCAGAAATGTATTGAAGTCACTCGTTGAGAAAATATTACCCTGAAAGACATCTTGGCCGTGCTCTCCTCAGACTGGTTTTCGGCCTCAGCTTGCGCAGCTTGTCTATACCGATCGTGTGCGAAGGTACACATGTCGCGTGCCCGTTGCACCAGCCAGCCTTCGGTGATAGCAGTCTGCAATCCCCGAACAGATCGCCTCGTGGTACTCTCCTTCAAGATGCTGACCGCTTTGGAGATATTCCACATGTCCTTGATATCATCTTCGGTACCGCTGCTGTTGCTTTCCTCTGAATCGTCCCAGTCCATGAGTAAAGCAACCTCTGTAACCTTGAAACTGGAAAGACGGATTAGTTAGCATTTTAGCAATATTGTAAGAAAGAGTCCCTTACGTTGGGCCGAAGAACGACGCCCACATGATGAACTTTCGGGCGTCTTCAGGAAGCTGGCGTAGATGATCGACGAGGAAAGCGAGATTCCCTGGTTCGGTGGAGACTTTCTTGTCTAGGAGGTTCTTCTCGATTTCCGCAATATTGAACCTTGCACATAGTAAGTACGTACACCGACAGCTATGCTCTGCAAGTACTCACTGCCAGTAGTTGCGATCCCAGTCGTACCAAATCTGCAAACCAATGACCGTTAGGACGTACGTCACGAGATAACGGATCCTCGCACATGTTTCTGCCTGTAGAGAGTAGTCAAGAGGTTCCTGGCAGCGAAAGCGTTGCCTTCGGAAGTTCCATGCACAATGCGAGCCAGATGCGCGACGTCCTCCTTTGGGCGGTGAAGTGTTCGTGCAACCAGCGTCGAGACTGAAGGGTAACTCAGAGGCTCCAGGGTGATCCACGTCGACGCCTTTGTCGCAAACGTCTGACGGATTCTGTCTACCCTCTCCCTTCAAGCACTGCGTTAGGATCTACACATACTCGAAGATAGCAACCACTGACTGTTTGTCGGAACGGACAGTGCCGAATATGAGCTAAGACGTTCAGTTAGCTTATGATCATGCTGCCTCTGATCAAGTGCATACCAGGCGTGTACGCGAGTTGACCAGAGCGTTGATCAATTCCAAAGAGCTTAGAGCATGCAGGGTCAGATGACGCTCTTTTATACACAGTGGATGTGGCACTCACGAATCTGACGCTTCATGGAGATCATCAAGGAAGAGTGCAAATAGCCGGGTTTCCGCCAACACAGCGAACACGTTCTCGACCAGTGACTGGAAACGCGCAGGAAGTTCGCTGGTCTCCAGCGTCTCTTGGGGCAGATCAATTGTAAGACCGAATATGGAGAAGATGGTCTTGAGCTCCGGTGCGCCTTCATATAGAAGAGGAACGTTCTGCAGCTGGGGCCCTAGGCGTTGCTTGAGGTCGTTGACGAAACGATGCAGGTCCGAGTTAAACACTATAAGTTGCCTGAGTACATGTGACAGGCATGCAAGCTGGAACGGTGTCAGCGTAATGTAAAGACGTTAGGCTTTAAGGCGACTGACCAGCGATGCGAACGGCCCTGTTTCTACTTCAGTGAACTTGGCCTGACCCCACAGACCATGGGCGCGCCACTTGGCCTGCTGAGCAAGGATGAGGGAACTCTTTCCAGCTCTGAAGAAAGTGAATGAGTGCGAGAATAATGAGCAAGTCTCAACTTCGCTTACCCAGGGGGTCCAAGGATGATCGCAGCATGCGTCCGGGCCCTACTATGTGAAGGTGCCAGAGCGACTCTTCGCAGTCCATCGCTTGCCGTCATCGACCCTGCCGTCACGGTGCTGGGACCAGAAGTACCCGATGCTGCAGAACTCTGGAACTGGTCCACCGTAGAAAACTTCGATCCCGGAGAGTCGGGTGATTGGGCCATCTGACCAGAGGCTTCACTTTTCGAGGACATGGAGTCGCTACGCTCTTCTCCCGTGGTGACGTTGCTAGTCCCGCCAGAGTTACTTGAGCTGACGACGTAGGGCCCGCGCGAGGTGGCAATCTGTCTCGAGTAGCTTGTGGACGTATGTCTGACGATGTTTCGAATCGTCTCGAGCTCCTTGTCTCGGCCGAAGAGGAGGCCGGGGATAGTGAAGTCCATGCAACGATCCCCGGTAGCAATTTCGAATGAGGGGATGAGCTCCGTGGGGCCGTCGGATGAGAGGGCGACGGCGGCCAGCAGTCGTCGCTGACACTCAAGGAGATCTTGCTTGAGACCGTAGGCACTTTGATATCGTGCATCCGGCGACTTGTAGAGGAGCTTCTCTATGATGATCGCGAGGACTTGCGGGATGTCACGGCGGATTTCATGGACGGGCATTGGACGTTTGTGGACGACGGCGTAGAGAAGGTCCAGAGGACCACTTTCAAACGGCAGAGTACCGCGGCCGACGAGGAGCGTCCAAAACATGATACCAAGAGAGTACAGGTCCGTCCTATGGTCCTCAGGGAGATTCTCCATGCTCCCTGTTTGCTCCGGAGCGAAGTACGAGAGTGCCTCCTTCACTTTGAACTTATTGTCCTCGTCCAATTGATCTGCCTGGAGTACGTACTCTGACGGAACGCCGTACTCCTCGAGCGACACCGCGCGGTTGCCGAAATGAACAAGACGCACCAGGCCGCTGTGATGATTCAGATGGAACGCATTGGCACGGACCTCTCGGTGGACAATGTTGTTACGATGCACCATCTCCAGACAATGCGTGGCTTGAATGGCGAACTCAAGAAAGGTCGCTAGGTCCATGATCTCAATGGCCTCCATCTCTTCCATTGCATACGGTTCTTCCACGCCCGTCATGAGGATGTCGCGGTTCCCGGAGGCTGGCCCGGCTCTAGAGATGTCGCCCAATAGAAGATCGTTGACCTTCGCAGGCGGAAAGTAACGGCCGAGAACGTTCAACCCGGGATGGAATAGAAGAAGGACGACACAGTCGCCATTGGTTTTGGGAATCGTGAAGAAGTCGATCATCTGCAGAATGGTGCTGGAAGACTCCGGAGAGGTGGCCATTCTCTCAAGTCTGCAGCGAAACGCATCGTCAATATCGTTCACGAACAGGGCAAGAGAGGGTCGGCATAAGGAGCGAGAAATCACCACGTGTCCGCGAATGCATTGAGACTGTGTCCGACCAAAGGTCCACGCTCATAACGACAATTTGGAAGATTGTAGGAGAAGGCGGATATTGCGGTAGAAAATCCCGACGTACGCCACAAATATGCATCGTGTAATCACGAACGCGTCCCGTCGCATAGAACAAGTCCGCCGGGCGAGGCGCACTGATCGACGAAGGAAAACTCACATGTGGGCCTCGCGCTCGAGGAAGAGGGACGCATTTGAATGAGCAGGGACGATCTTGGCCAGCACGCTTGTGCCATCTTGCAGATTGGCCCCTTCCGCGAGAAGCGTCATGCTACCAGTGTCCTCCCATGGTACCGCCTACCGCGCCGCATTCCATAGCCGAACCGAAGGATGGAAGATGATTGGGAGCCGTCAGGTGGATGAGATTTGTTGCGCGATGACGACGCGTACCTTCTCGAAAGCATAGCCGGGGACAGAGAGGATGCCATCCTTGAAGTAAAGCGTCGGAAGGGCTGGCTGCGCGTACTTTCGACGCATACTAGAGGAGACGCTCCTCAGTGCGAAGACGAGGAACCAATTCGCGTCTAGGAGGAAATGACAGCTGAAGCGGGGAGGGCCACAGCGGAGGAGGGGTGATGGGGCCGCGCGCGGATGGATGTTAGACAGGGGAAAGCAGGACGTCGCCCCGCGAACTTTGGGCGGCTCTCCCCAATGCGCGCTTTCGCGCGCAAACCAAACTCACTCCACGCATGCAGCTGTACTGCCCACCTCCCACTCGCTCTAAGGCTTTACAGTTCTACAACAAGACCAGCTGGGTTTCCCTTCAGCCTCCGACTTCGATCCTGCCCTGTCAACCCCCCGCCACCGCGGACAAGAACTACGCTCGGTTCTCGAAGCCGCCCAGAAGAAGGGATCACAGCTCGGGGCAGACGCCGTACTCCAGACGCGGGGCAGACGCCGAACGGGCAGGCACGAGGCAGCCGCCGGCGCGGGCTGGATTGTCCACCGCGCCACGGCCCGCCCAGCCGCATAGAGCCGCTTTCACACGCCGGGGCGACCATCTTTCTGGGAGCTTTTCTGGGAGCCTTTTATAAGGTTTAAAATCCACGTGCGGTCAGAAAAAGCATTTCTATGGGTTTCTATGGGCGAGAGAAAACCTTACTTGCCTTTCTCTCGGCTTTAATGTGGCACTAGAAAGATGGTCGCCCCGGTGTGTCAACGCTTTACTCACCCGCTCCGCGTGCTGCGGAAATTCATTTCTATGTAAGGACTTGCCACACCCAGGCTAGACCTAGCCCGCGTGACCGGCGCTTGCGCCCCATAACACCGCGTTTGAAAGGCGAGCATGACAAGCCCTTAGAAACAAATTTCAGCAGCATGGCAAGCCGGTAACTAGAGCTATTGAAGCCCTTTGAAATCCCTGGGAGGGCCGCCAGTTCCGCGTCTGCCCCGCGGCTGCCCCGCGCTGTGATCCCGTTCTTCTCGGAGTCGCTCCGTCTTGCCACAGCTTGCCACTCGTCGACATGGTCTCCGGGCCCCGGCCCGTCCTCGCCGTCCCTCTAAGCGCCGCACTCCGCTACTGTTCGCTGGAGAGCTGACCCCAGTGCGCCACTACGGACTAGGCCCTCTCGCATCTTCGCTGCTATCCTTCAACCCGTCCTCACTGCTCTCGGATGCGCCCTCGCCACTATTGAACGCGCCCTCGTCACCCTCGCACTCGCACTCACCAATGGCCTTTAATCCGTCTTTGCATCCCTCTGTGTCGTGCCGGCGGCCTCTCTCTCAAGTTCTTTGGTCCCCAGTGACGCAATTACGAGGCGTTGTAGCCAACCAAGGGGGTTGCTCCGTCCGACACACTGCGTAGATGTCCTCGCACCAGCAATTCGATGAGCCTATTGATACATTCTTGATGACGAGTACAATACAATGGTGGCGGGATCAGTGGGACAAGAGAGCGCCGTACACGAGACAGACAAAAGTGCAGCGAGTGGCCAGGATGGCGTCGGATAGCGTGCCCCCCTGCGCGTCCTGTGTCAGAGAGGACGGGGACGGAGACTGGGAGGACTTTACGTACCTGTGGCTGAAAAGACTGTCTCTACATAGCCTAGAAGTTTGAGGTGACCTTGGCAGTGAGCTTCCTCGGTCCTGCAAGTCAGACCATGAGTGTCCGTCACATCACAAACGATAAGAGTAACAGACGTTTGAACTCCCTACAGTCCTTCTTGACAGCCTTGACAATCTCCAGGATCCTGCCGACCCCACCAAGGTCGAGAAGGCTGTGGCTCCAATTGGGAATGGAAGGAGGGGTGATGCCAGTGGTATGCTGTTTGGCATACAAAGCAAAGGTGGATCCCAGTGTGCTCACTCCACGGAAAGTGGGCAGAGGACAGTCTGGAGCACATTGTGAACCCAAGCGAGAGAGCTAAAGGCGGGGTGCGACGAACCTGGTCTGCTCAGCCGCTTACGCATCAGCCTGTCAGCGATCTGACACTCCTTTGTGTAGTCCATCTCTGCCACTGATTTCTGGTGCACCACAAACACTGTGTGCTTCCAATCATATACGACCTCGAAGCGGAAACATTGCTGACCCCTGGAAGCCCAGCGCGCAGGGAAGACGATGAATCCAGATGGGAAAGGGAATGCGGAGCGGAGGAAGGCATCCCAAGCAGTCTCACAGCCACCCTCGAGCATCCTGGGGTGAATGGTGCGGAGTTGACGACAGAGTAAAAGGGCCATCTGAGACATGGAGGGCGAGAGGTTGATAAAGACGACACAGATGTGGACGTTGATAATATACTTGTGCGACTCCATAACGGATGGCGGGCCCTCTTGACGTCATCTGCCGCATCCGGCAAATGCCAGCCACCTACAGTTGCTTGCAGTGAATTTGGTTTGCGCGCGAAAACGCGACGCGCATCGGCTCGGCAGGAGAGCCGCCCAAAATTCGTGGGGCGGGCGCAATTATCCTTCACTTTCCCGTCTCCCCGCTGCTCTGCGCCCCCCGATGAGCTTCAGAACGTGTTCGGCGAACTCCAATGCACATATTTGCGCTTTTCCGCGAGCTGAACGGCAGAATCTACGCTATGGACGACAAGTGGACGTCCATGGAGAATATCTGACGATCCCCTCGTCCCTCGCCCTTCCTGTGTCTACGGAGAGCCTTGGAAACCTCTGGAGGGTGGATGCAACATCCTTGATCGCGTCACGACCTGACGTCACTGTAGCCGGATACCTCCGGCCTCCACGACTGCAGTGTTGCCACCTGAAGTCAACAAGCACACAATGAGGGTCGTCCATGATCAGAGTGGGATTGACAGACGCGATACGGCAATACTGTTGTACAAACGCAAGTAATCTACGGCACAGAAAGCGAGATAGGGAAACAGCACGAGCGCGCATGAACCATTAGGACGTCACTGGGGGCACCGAATCAGCTCCAGTCCGGCGAGAAGACAGGGCATAACTTACTGTAGCTAGCAGGGTCGATGTGGTCGGGGAGTTCCGGTACGGCGACCTCGAATCGAGACTGGATGGCAGCCATGACCTGTTGGTCACTCTCCGAGGACACGAAGGTGATGGCAAGGCCCTTGGTACCAAAACGGCCTGCGCGACTAAGTCGTCGATTTTAGTTCGTATTCAAAGAAAAGCGTCTAGGGGATTCACTCACCCCACACGGTGCAGGTAGCTATCGGCGTCGGGAGGTGAGTCGTAGTTGATGACGATGTTGACACGCTCGACATCAATACCGCGTCCAAAGATATCGGTCGCAACCAATATACGCTTCTCGAACGCCTTGAATGCAGTGTAGCGAGAGATACTGGGGAGAGCGTAAAGGGAGAATCAGAGTCGCACGACAGAACTACACACCGTTCCTCCTGCTGGAGACCCGAGTGGATGGCAATACTGGGGAAGTTGCAGGAGACAAGCAGCTTGTCCAATTCGATCGCCCGTTGAACCGACTTGACGAAGATAACAACCTTAACAGCGGTAGCTTTGTTAATTTTGCGAGGGAAACTACGATTTAGGTCGTGAGCATGCCTGGTTGAACTCGAGGGTGTCGAGGAGCTCGTTGAGTTTCCTGTTTTTGGCGACTTCCTCCAGCTTGACGTAGTGCTGCTGTAACCCGTGGAGAGTGAGCTTCGTCTCATCATCGACGAAGATCTCCAAAGGCTTATGACAAGACCATTAGCTGGCGTTCAACCACGAAGCGTGTCCGAAGCTCACGTTAGCCATGAACTTCTTGCAAGTAATGCGAATATCCTTGGCGAGCGTCGCGGAGAACATCATGACTTGCTTGTGATGCGGTGTGGCCCGGAAGATCTCTTGAACATCGCGCCTCATGTCTGGTGGTCGACGGTGCATATGGTGAGATGACGTCGCGCGCATAACGGAGCAAAAACATGAGTAAAAAAGCAAGGCGGAAGGAATAGGGCCAGAAGTCTTCGCAGTGACAGCCGAACGAGCTTGCGGTGACTTGGCGTAACGGGTCCTCGAGAGAAGGCCACTTCCACATCGTTGGTATCGCCACAATTTCATCCGCTCCTTCCCTCCACTCTCCACACTACACCCACAGCAACAGCCGCAAGATCCATCCGCCGAACAGGGGTCCAGGTCGTCGCAGGCGAAGTTTGGCACCGAGACGCCGTGTGACGTGAGGGGCGAGCGAAAAGGGCGAGCCCCGGTGATGTCGACGCATCGAGGGTAACGAACGATGCACGAATGATGATGATGGCAGGCCGAAATTCGCATGAGACTAACCAAGTTGCTCGAGCATTTTGTCGCACTCGTCCAGGATGAAGTGCTTGACCTTGGAAGCGTCGAGGACCTTGTCGCGGACGAGGGCATTGAGACGGCCTGGAGTGGCGACCACAACGTGAGGGCACTTGGTCTTGTCGCGGAGCAGCTCGGCATCCTTCGCTACGGAAGTTCCACCAAAGAAGGTGCTGACACGGACGTCGGGCATGTACTTGGCGAAACGAGAGTACTCGTTTTTGATCTGGAACGCCAGCTCACGGGTGTGGCACAGGACTATGCCCGACACCTCGCCGTTGACCGGCTCGAGCTGCTGAAGAGTCGCCAAGACGAAGACAGCCGTCTTTCCGTGACCAGACTTTGCCTGGCAGAGAACATCCATGCCCAGGACAGCCTGGGGGATACACTCCTGTTGGACTATAAGGAAGGGTTTGTCAGCTACTGGTGCTCTAAAACGGACAAGAGCTGTCGTACCTTCCGAAGGATGCTCAAAACCCAGATCACTGATCGCTCGCAGCAGCTCGGGCTTCAGCAGGAAATCCCTAGGAGCGAGACGAGACGTGTCAACCGCGTACATGGAAGACGAACACGCGTATGAGCACACCTGAAACCCGTTGAGTGAATACCGGCGAAGTTCTTCTTGTCCTTTTCACCTTCGCCGTCAGCCCCAGCTGCTGCAGTGGCACCGCTGGACGCTGCCGTCGCAGGTGCTCCAGTGGTGACTACGTCGTGCTCGTCCTCGTAGTCGATGAGTTCTTCGTTGTCGTGGGCGCTCATGGTTGAAGTCGGCAAGGAAGAAGGAAGAAGAAAGCTAGAGGGGAGGCAAGAGGTAGGTAGCAGGGAGGAGGTGGCGGTTGAAAGAAAAAGGGCGCGTCGACGTTTCACAGCGCCAATACGAACGAAGCGCCGTGGTGGAAACCTTGTTGTGCACGGACCCCGGGCACGCTCTGGCCCAGCATGGAGATCACGGACCGCCTCAGCTGAATTGGCTTTGCTTCGGACGTAGAGACCTCGATCGTGTTGTCCTCGCGCTCCTCGTTCAAACCACCATGGTCGTGCGCCCGCTGCACTGCGCCACCGTTCCCTTCGCCCATGCAACTATTTATTCTCCCCCTTGCCCACCGGCTCCCGGCGAGGCGTTTCAACGATCACGGGCCGTGCGTTTCCGACTAAAGCCGAATTTGTAGACCGGTTTTTCGGCGTTCAGCTCCTCCACCCGTCTCCTGCATGTCTCCTGCTACTCACCCATAAACCCCACACTCTTTTATGGGATGAGCCAAACGGTTCCCCGCAATATGCAGTACAGGACCCCAGAGGTGCCCCGCCCCGCCCCAGTCGTCTCCTCGCAGGGCGCGAAAGCGCAGCAACAGACGTATCCATTCTGGCGAGTAATTGATTGCTCTTCACTCTGCATTGCAAGCTCATATGCCGTCATCGTCGCAGGCTCGGCGGTAAGTCCAACATTCTATCAACCACAAAGCATGTCTGAGTTATGATCTGGCGAGCATAGGTATCGGGGCCACCAGTGAGTAGCTTAGTTCCTTGGCTCCTGCTGGCCCTTCTCAACGTGTCATATACTTGAAACCAGTGGCTGCGTGTTGTACACATCCCCTCGACCTCGCGAAAGTGTAAGCAGTTTTAGATGAAAATCCGCTTCCTCTGTTCGTCAATACCTGTTGCAGTCGGCTACAGACTATCGCACCGACGCCAGGATCTCCTCATCCCTCGACGCTGTCCGTGCTGCGAATGACGATCAAGGAGTCTGGCTTTTCGAGTCTGTACACCGGATTATCGGCTTCGGTGATGCGACAAATGACGTACTCCCTTGTTCGACTGGGAGCGTACGAGCAGATGAAAGCACAATTGTCGAAGGATGGACCGGCACCGGCTACCCATCTCTTCTTCGCGGCAATGCTTGCCGGGGCGATTGGTGGTTTTGCTGGCAACCCTGCGGGTACGCCTCTCGTCCATCTTCACGTCGCTCTTCTCACGTATCCGCTAGATATCCTGCTTGTGCGAATGACGAGCGACTTCGTGAGGCCTCCCGAGAAACGATATAATTATCGCAATGCTGTCCATGGACTCGTCACACTCGTCAAGTCAGAAGGCCCTCACTCACTCTTTCGTGGCATGGGCACCAACCTAGTGAGTGATCGGTCTGCTCATTCGGCTCACACTCAACTAACCGAATCTGCAGACGCGCGCGATCCTTATGAACGTGAGTCAGGGTATACGGGTCTGTGTTGTATAGTACTCACCAAGGAACAAGAGTTCACAGGTTGGATCGTGAGCGCATGATGAGTTTCGGCCTCAAGTTGCTCCCACTAATATGGAGTCTACAGATATGACCTTTTCAAGCAAATTTTGTTGCGGAGCAGAATCCCCCTGATAGACTATCAAATGACGGATGGCTTACTACTTCACACGGTTTCAAGCATCACAGCGGGCGCCGTTGCGACTAGTACGTGGTAGGATTCAGTTCCTTCGTCCTCACTCTTACCATACCCGTCGCAGCCATCACAGCCCCAGCGGACGTCCTTAGATCTCGACTCATGGCGGCCGTATGTTTCAACCACAAGTTGCATCAGCATTGACGTGCTCACATTCTTTCGCAGGCCGGCACATCGCATCCCCTCCAGGTGCTCACCGCGGCACTCCGAGAAGAGGGCCCACGCTTTCTCTTCAAGGGCTGGACGCCTGCATTCATCCGCCTAGGGCCTAACACAGTGCTCATGTTTGTCTTCTTCGAGGTTAGTAAATGCTCATGTTCATTCGACTGTGAACTCACCCTCCCTGCAGCAATTGAAGAAGGGTTGGCGCGCTTTGTATCCTTCGGATTATCTTCTATAGAATCTAGACGTCGATGTGTCGCACTATCCTTATCAGATGCTTGGCTGATTTCTTGACTAGAGTATATCACACCGTAGAGTAGAATGCTCTGTACTTCTCTGACCAGAGGATCGACTCTACAGTCACCAGTGTACAGGATAGAATCTAGTACTTTGTTTATTAACCCATTAATTCACGTGCGAAGGGTGCTTTCATTGTCACGGCCTGCGGAGTCCGGACCGCTTTTGTTCCAAACTTCCAGTGTCGATTTTCCTGTCTTCTGTGCCCTCTCCAAAATGGCACGTGATCCGGTCGCGATCGCGTTTTTCGCGCCAAGTGCATGGCACTCAAGTCTCAGCCTGCTCGCGACTTCAACGGAACCACTGCTTCCCTGCGCGCCCTTCATTGACATTTACTCATCCACACACCCTTGGCAGTATCCAACAATGGAGGCTTTCCATATTTTATCTCGAGGAGGAGCAAGGTTTGACAAGCAGAGATTCAAGGGAGATGTCGACCTCTTCAACGTGAGTTGCATGTTGCTGTTCGTATACACATCCAATAGCTTCTACGCTCCCAGGGCAAAAAAGGCAAACAAGCGAACTCCTTGACATCCATCCGCACGGTCGACGGAGAACTTCCTCCCGAGCTAGATTTCTTCAAGTACGCGGAGGGCGGCTCTTCGAAACGCAAAGCTGGAACCGGAAACGCCGTCACGGATTCGAAGCGGAAGAAACGCAAACTCGACGAGGGCGACAACAGTGAAATCGAGGATAGCGAGGGGGCTCAGGAGGACGAAGAAGATGCGACGGAGGACGCGCCCATGCCTCGGCATCGCGTAACAGCGAAGGGGAAGGACATTCCTGCGCATGCAGAGACGTTCGAGGAGATGCGAGACAAGTACAACATCCCCTCGCACTTCATGCAGAACCTCGCGCGGCACGGCTACAAGCGACCGACCGGTATTCAGTCGCATGGGGTCCCTATACTACTAGAGGTGAGTCTTTCATGCGTCCTCTCTTTCGTGCGTACATGTCCCTAAGAATTTTGTAGCATCGGGATCTTGCTGCCATTTCGCCCACTGGTACCGGGAAAACGTTATCCTACCTCCTTCCCGTGATGTCTGCTCTCGGTGCTCCCGCGAGTTCCAAGACCGACGCAGGTTCGGGCGTCCGTGCCGTAATCCTCGCGCCAACCCGGGAACTGGCGCACCAGATCCACAACGAGTGTTTGAAGATTGCGCAAGGACGGAAATGGCGGATCGTTCTGTTCAGCAAGGCGACTGCAGCGAGCCTTGCTGATAAGAATGCTCGGGACAAGACCGGTCAGTGAATCCCCTGCTTTCATACCATTCGTGCGCTGATCGACTTGCAGACATCGTCATTAGCACACCCCTTCGACTGGTAGCGTCGCTACAAGCAGGGAACCTCGAGCTCGATAATGTCAGACATCTTGTGCTTGATGAGGCGGACCGCATGCTCGACACAGAATTCCTTGAGCAAGTGCAAGAAGTTGTCGCGGCGTGTACACATCCCGACGTTCAGAAAGCGGTATTCAGTGCAACCCTTCCTGCAAACGCGGAAAAGATCGCTATGAACATGCTCCAAAACCCCATCCGCGTCGTCGTCGGCTTGAAGTATGTGATCCACGAAATTACTTCTGTGCAGTTGTTCTAACCTGTTGCGCTAGGGATACTCCTCTCCCGCTGATCGCCCAATCCCTCACCTACGTCTCCGACGACCAGTCCAAGCTACCTACCCTTCTGCAGTATCTGTCTCAGCCCTACAACCCTCCCCTCCTCATCTTCGTGTCGACGCAACCCCGGGCAACGTCACTGGCGGAAGAGCTCGTCATCAGTGGCACCCCCAACGTGGACTGTTTGCACGCCGGCATGACTAAGAAGGAACGAGAAGACGCCGTGTCTCGGATGCGCCGAGGAGAAAGCTGGGTGATGGTCAGCACCGAGGTCATGGCACGTGGTATGGACTTCAAGGGCGTCCGCGAAGTCATCAACTACGACTTCCCTCGAAGTGTTCAGAGCTACGTGCACAGGATCGGTACGATCCGTCTTCCAGCAGCTAGACAAAGCACTGTCTGACAGCCCGTCACTTTAGGCCGGACAGGGCGCGCAGGGCGAGAGGCAAGGCCATCACGTACTTCACGAACCAAGACGCGCCCTTCCTCAAGACGTAAGCGGAGCCGAGAGGGCTCGTTTGTGCAAGAAATGTGGCAGAGCGCTCATGGAGTCTGTTCCGCCCGCAGGATCGCGAACGTGCTTCTGCAATCTGGATCGCAGGTGCCAGAGTGGATCCTGAAGCTCCCGAAGCCGTCGAAGATGAAGCGGCGGGAGATGGGGAAGGTGAAGCGCGCAGAGTCGGTGAACAATGCACGACGGATTGGCCGCGGGGATGCCATCAAGCGGAGGTGAGTGCGGCTTACGTGCGGACGGGAGACGCGTACCGTGGTTGATCTCACGTACACCGACAGGGAAATGATCGCGGGATCAAAGCGCAGGGCTGAACGGGCACAAAGCAGGACGAAGGCGCCCGCAACCACTTCTGACGCTGAGCCTGAAGGTGTGGAGAGCAGTTGAGGATCTGGATTTCGTCGGTACGCTCCGATGCACCCGCTCGAATGAGTCACCGTGTGTGGGTCGGCCCTTTGCCAGGAGTCTTCTGCTTTGCGAACAGCTGCTCGGTGGGTCACCAAAGCCTGAGGGAATTCTCGAAGGCCAGCGCGAGGGAGCTGGACAGATCAGCGCTCTAGCTTGGACAAAGCGGATGCGGAAATGAAAAGCAGCTAGATCAGGAAACATCGAGACTGTTCGCCGGCTTCGGTCCCCAATGCACCTGTACCTCCCCGATCGCCCAAGAATCTTCTCCGGTATGTGGCTTCACCCTCGTAGGGCTATGCCCCCCACACCGATGCGCGGCAGTGGGAAACGGTCGCCGACGAGGGGGTGCGCGTTTGCAGTTGCCCGGATGGGCGGAGGAGTGCCTGGGATCACTGCGCCCCGACGAGAAGGAAGTTGTCGTGCGCTGTGGACTCGCGGTGGCTGCCGTATGGAGGCCGTCGGGAGCCCACAACGGCGGGGCCGACGATGCTCACGGCGCGGGCATGGGAACGGACCCCATTGACGGCTCGGTGCGATGGCGTGTTCCGGAATCCTGCACAGACCTAGTGTCTGGCCCAGAAGAGGACGGGCGACGCGAGCAGAGGATGAATGCAAGAAACATGCTGGTCCGGGACGAAAACGCGAGGCGGGCCATGAGGCGCCCTGCCACGCGAGCAGTGCTTCGAAACTTCGAAAGGGGAGTTAACTCTAATCCTCGCAATCGTGTTTACTCGGTCTATCAAGTGGCACTGGTGTCTATAAGCTCCCCATGCCCGCCCCGCACATCCAGCTCGCGCATTCGCCCTGCATCGCAACAGCACCTCTTCGCTGCACTGCTCTCACCATGGTCATCGTCCGTCGCTCGCGCCGCATCTCCAACCAGCCGCCTCGTGCCCGATGTACGTCGTCCCTCTTCCTTCCCGGCCCGCCCGCTCACCTGCCCGGTCCGATTAGACGACGGCGACTACGCCTCTCTCGATCTGAATCTCCTCTACCCCGACCCGCCCTCGCCCGACCCGTCCGCGTTCACTGCGCCCGACACTCCGTCCTTCAGCTCCACCACCCCCAGCCACCCTGCCCGCGACCTCGCCCCGCGCTCCCCTTCCCCCGACTTCGTTCCCTCCCATTCGCACTCTCCCGCCCCGCGTTCCTCGCACAGCCGCAAGAAGAAGTCCGGCCACATCCCCCGCCCGCCGAACGCGTTCATGCTCTTCCGCTCCGAGTACTGGCGCCAGGAGAAGACCAAGCCCCAGGCGGAGCGCGACCACCGCCAGATCTCCTGCACCGCCGGTGAGCTCTGGAAGCAGCTCTCCCCCAAGGAGCAGGCGCCCTTCCGCCTGCTCGCCGACGAGGAGAAGGCCAAGCACGCGGAGCGCTACCCCGAGTACAAGTACTCGCCCGTGTACCGCCGCGACCGCCCTGCGAAGCGCACCTCCAAGGCGGACAAGGTGTCTCGCGCCCACGCGTCGGACAAGGTGTCCCAAGCCCGCACGTCGGACAAGGCCGCGCACCGCAGCAAGCACGGTCACGGGGACGTCTTCCCCGAGAAGAAGTCCAGCAAGCGGCGCGCACGCGAGGACGACGACGACTCGGACGCGTCCGAGTACTTGGAGGGCCCGGCCCGCAAGAGGACCCGCAAGTCCTTGAAGGCCCTCGGCAAGAAGGCCGCTGTGCCGCGTCCGTACGTCGTCCGCGCACCCAAGGTCGAGTCGATCGACGAAGATATCGCACTCGCCGCCGGCTTCGACGACGAATGCACCATCGCTTCTCCCAAGACTACTTCCTCAGCCCTCGCCAAAGAAGAGTCAAGTTCATCCCCCTCCCAGTCTCTTCCTACCCCCCCGTCCGTCGACGGCGACTTCAAGTTCGACAGCTTCGTGCCGACCTCCGCCATTCCAGAGCTCTCCCTTGGTGAGGCGTATGACATTTCAGAGGTGCGCATTCCGTCTCCGTTCCATGCATCCTCCCTCACCTGACACCTGGTACAGCAGATTCACTTCACGAACCCCTTCGCCTCGTACGTTACCTCGACGCCCAAGCATTACCCTTCACTCGACCCCCTCGTGCTCGACCGTCCGCTTGACACTCTCGCCTCAGACTACGGTCTTGGCTTCCCCGGTGCCTTCAGCCCAGTCCCCGTCCAGGAGGCGCCAGAGGCAGTTTTCGAGGCTCTGGACCGGGAATCTCATACAGTTCCTCGGGAGAATGCGTATGAATTCCCCGCAGACTATATGGCAACATTGGGAGCTGGTGCCTCCATCCTCGACGAGCCGGACTTCACGGAATTCATGACATTCGAGGAGTGTGAATGAAAAGTCGTACGTCGAAACAACAGCAGTTTCTCTCTCTGCAATCACCTCTATCTTTCCCTGGCCGCTCTATCGTTTCTTTTTAGCTCTTCCTTCCTTTCGTTTCTTGGCTTCATTTACGTACCTCGCTCGCTATTACGCGCGCCTCGGCTCAGTCAATTTTTGTATACCTCCAGCGGGTCTGCGATCCGCGCTTCAGATCACAGTTCTTCCCATCTTCCTTCGCAGCACGCATCGTTCGAAGCGCTCCTTCGTCGCATTTTCGCCATCCTCTGTACGCTCGCATCACCACCGCCAACGCCCCCGTTGTACTCCCCGCGTCCCCACCCAATACACTGTACCCTGCCCACATCTATCAATACCAACGACCCTTCACCTCACGCCGTCCGCAAGCTGCGCCCCTCCTCTCAGTCCGGCCCGCGCCGCGCTCGACCACAAAGCACAGACCAGAGCTCACCGCTTCGCCTTCTTCGCGTCCTCCCCACCCGCCGGGCCCTTCCCCCGCTTGCCCTTCGTCTGCGTCTGAACGACCGCAGCGCTCACGCGGCCCGCGGCCGCCTCCGCCGCGAGCCACGCCTCCGCCGCGTCGCGCGTGCCCTCGGGGCCGGGGTGCGCGAGCTGCCACTCGACGACGCGCGCGAGGACGGCGCCGGTCCACTGCCCGCCCGCTTTCGCGCCGAGGATCCGCACCACGTCGTTGCCCTGCCGTCGGCGCGCGCGCGCGCGCGTGTGTGCGGGGGGACGCAGGCCGATCGCGGGCAATAGCGCGATCACCGCGGGGCGAGGGCGAGGAGGGGGTAGAGACACGGCGTGGCGAGTGGCACGGGGGCGTGTAGACGGGGTGGGTTGGGCGGGTGAAGGGACGCGAAGGAGAAGACGTGGAAACGGTGGGGGAAGACGACGCCCGTCCGAGCGAACAATCGTGCCGTCGAGGGGCCGTGGGTGAGCGACCGGAGGGGACGGGACGGGAGGACGGTAGGCGAGCGGACAGATGATCGCGGGAAATGAAGGCACGATGCGCACGAGCATCGGGGCGGGCGCAGAGCAGAAAGAAAGCAACGTTAGCGGGTGGGTCGCAGGGTCGCAGGAAATGAAGCGGTACTGACGTCCAGCACCGGCTTGGCGTCGACCGCAGCCGGCAAGTCGAGCTCCTCGATCCGCGACACAAACTTGTTGTACGCCTGAACCCTCATAGCGCCAGCGTCGGCTGTTTGTGGGGGCGGGTGACAGAGGGGCACGGGTTAGGACAGGGAGCATCAGCAGGGGCAGATGCACGCGAGATGCACGCGCATCCCGCACGGTGGCCTGACTCACTGTCGAAGACCCCGGTTTCGGCGTCCCAGAGGGCGGTGAGCTCCTGGACGAGAGCGAACAGGAGTGACGTTGACCATATGGCGTCGTACGAGGAATTGTGCACGTTTTTGTCGCGCAACAGCACGCCTGCCGGCAGCCGTAAGTTCAGGTCCGGTATCCCGCCTCAGACGCCGAGTTGGATAACTTACCTATCCATACCCGCTCCGGCTTACCCAGTTGACCATGCTCCCAGTCTATCACAGCTCTCTGTAGGGTGTCGGCAGCGGAAAAGAGGAGGGGTATTCCGTCATGGTAGTGATGTTGTTTACCAAGTCTCAAACTCTCTCGGATGACTACCTCAACTGCAGGTTTTGACTGGCCTTTCACAAGGTATGTAAGGTGTTTGTACGGCGTAAGCGCAGAAGCCAAGTATAACCGACGCATAGTGCTTGACGAGGTGGCGAGCTCTGAGAGCAAGAGGGGATGTAGAGGCGGAAGGGTTGGGAATGTCAGGTCTGGGAACGTGATTGTTTCCCCAAGCGGACCGACTAGCTTGTACAATAGAGCGGCCGCGTGCAACGCTACCTTCGTGATGTCGGTACTCCAGATAGCTCGATATTAGCTCGCGATGGTATGCCAAATGTTGCCGCGTACATCGAAAGATCACGGATGGTATGGATAGCCAGTAAAGGACCGGCTGTTCCGACGTTCCGGTCAGGCGTGTTCGTATGGTATACACATCCACTGTTCACTCACATTGCATCATCTTATCGACTTCAACGCCGACTCGCTCTCGACTGATTTTTTCCTTGATTGCTTGCTAAGCAAACCATTGATAAGCTCGCGTTATTCAGGAAGGCGAGGATACCTACCTGGATCATTGGATCACGAGCAGCCTCTCGCAGTGCGGGAACCATGGAGAAACCAAACGACTGGCGAAACGCACACATCTCAAAACGCGGAGAGGATCGTCTGTGAATGTTTGGTGAGGTGGTAATGGTGTCCGTACAACCCATTTCGTAGATCGTCAAGACCCTGCATTCTCGCGTAAATAGGTTGGTATACACAGAGCGCGAGCCTTGCTCACTTGACCGGTATGATCTTCCACCTTTCTTGAGTGAACATTGTAGAACAGGGCATTTATGGTGATGTCTCGCCGCATCGCATCCTCGTATGGTGTTCCGAACGCCTGCACATTGTGTCGCATTAACATACGCTAGAAGGAACAGAAGGAGCTAAACTGACAACTTCTGTTGGTATTCGGCTGTCCCCCGTGTAGTCTTCGCTTCTGAGATTGACCAGGTCCAGCTCGATTCCCAATAGTGTAGTGCGTGCGTCTCCAGATGTTTGGACTGGTCAGGATTACTGGCAATCTCAGTGACTTGGTTCGTGTCGAGGCCTTTGACTTCTCGACAGTACTTAAGCAGCTGTTTAGCAAAGGGGACCCCCATCATATTCTCGAGCGCAAGGTCGATGTCATTAGACTCCAAGCCGAGCAACTATAGAGGCGACGTGAGAGAAAGTAGCGGGCTCGAGCGATGGTGCAACGCACCTTATCCCGAACCCACCCCCCAGCAATCCTGCAAGACGTCTCAATGCGTTGCTCCTTCAATTTCTGCGTGAACTCGTCCACCAGCGTGCATAGCTCATCTTCCACCGGAGTGAGCTTTATTTCCATAGGCCCAGGCAGGTGAGTGGCAAATTTCCGCAGTGGGAACGATACGCGTCGCAATGGGAGTCGGGCGAGGATGCGTGACAAAGACAGGAGGGCACCAGCATCGAGAGGCAAGCTGCAGGGCGGCCAAAGCCGACTCCGAAAACGACGAATTGGCCCACGTGACCACGCGGACTGTCCGGTAGACGCCAAATAACAAGTTCGTCACTGTGACGATGATGTGACAGTTAGATACTCTTATAAGTGCTATTATAGTGGTTTGCTTACTCTTGTGAATGCTTTATGCCTCCGACTTAGCCCACTTTATTGAGACAACAACAAGCAGAGCGTTACACAGTCGATGAGCAGGGTGTGACAATCGAAGCGTCCTCCCCGGCGCTCAAACTTCGCTAGTTCTGTCGGACTATCCCATGACGTCGGTTGCGTGCGGAGTGGCAGTGTGCTTCTCCGGCCACCAATGTGAAACTGCGCACCTACTAGGAAGAGCAACGTTTGAGGTAGGGTGAAACATCGAATTTTCAGGAGCATACATGTAATTAACAGGATCCGGACTCAAGCGCGAGGACTAAAGGAGATTCGTACTAGTGTTCAAGAGGGAAGGAAGCGAGATTGGGGACTGGGTTATTTGGTGAGCATTATCGTAGTATATCAACAAGCCAGCGAGCTAGATCGTCTACAACTGCGTCGTTTGTGGAGTGTCTAAGCCTCGTACGCCTTGAATACCACCTCTCGGTCGCAATCTGCAGAGTCCCGGTCAAGAAAGCGATGGCTTCTTCTCCGTACGAGAGCGGTACTTCAGTGTCCGCGCTGCCGTGAGACCAGAATACTGGCAAGTTTGGCTCTATCTGTTTCATTGTCTATACATGTGATGTCAGTAACTTGTTCGTAGACAATTGAATCAGTGGCGAAACATACCTGTCTGCATGGACGAGGAATCCATCCCGATAAACTGGCAACACCTCCAAGTTCATGCAAGTAGTGAGCGCCGTCACTAAGGACAAGCTAGCTCCTTGGCTGAAACCTATTAGGAAGATTCTTGACTCGGTCACGACACCTTCGCGGACCTCGGCCAAAATGAGGTCTTCTAGGTAGGCAACGGAGGAAGCCATGCCGCCTCGTCATAGTGATTGCATGGCGGAAGGCTCTCGAGGTCGAACCAACTGGGACGAACTCGGCCTCTACTGCAGGTGACTCGTGAACGGCGTCTGATTGCAAGAGTCAGCTACATGCATGAACAAAGCAGACATGACTCATACGCTTGCGGCAAAATCCACTTTACTTGGGGTAGTTGGTTGGCCAGCCTGCGGACGACATGCACCCAATCTTCGTTTCGTTGTCCCAATCCCTTGAATGGAGTAAGTTATGAGCAGGGAACGGCGCATATGGTACTCACGTGGACGAAGAAGACGTCGATGAGTGCGTGTCCATCGGGAGGACGACGATGGGCGCGGGGCGCGATTCGCTGCTCGAGGAAGTAGCCATGCGGACGTTGGATGCATTCCGCCCCCGTCGGCGCAGGATACTTTAAAGGTTTAGGGACCGAGAGAGTAAGCGACGCGCCGGGGGTCGTGCGCAGCACTCATCGCCATATTAGTTTGCATCGCCCATGGATGCCGCAGTCGTGTGTCGCGGCGGGCTTCTGGTGGCAGGGCGCGATTGAAGAGCATCAGGCCGAGTGCGTACCGGAGGTAAATCCGGCCGTTGCCGCAAACGCTGGGAAGGACGAGAGGAAGAGGACGCACCAACGATCTTGCGGGACCGTAGACCGTTGCGGGGGCGTCGCCCGGCGCTTGGGTGAGGCCCGTGCCCATATGCGGCAGGCGGAAAAACACGGCCAAACATGCCTGCGGGAGGGCAGCAACTTGCTCGGTGTTGGAGACCCTGGCCTCGTCCTCCTCTGCCTGTTCGCTTCTACCCGCCGTCTCCTCTGGCCTCCCTCCGCTCGTCCTCCCCACCTTTGTTGCTTTGCGATGGGTACTGCCTTCAGCTGCTGCGAGTCTTGCTGTGCGTCTCTCGCCTCTCTCTGCCGTCCCTTCCCAGTTAACGTCATGCTCCAGTCCGCTCGCGGAGGTCCAGCTACGAGCCCTGTTGCTGGAGAACGAGCGGGAGGCAGTGGCAGATCTGTTGCAGTACCTTGAAAGTACGTTGCTATCTCTCTGCGGGTCTCCTTTCTTCCGGTTGTTGCATACGACTTATGGCCGTTCTGTCTCTCTTACATCGCAGACCGTACTTCAACCGACTTCTTCCGGGATTCCCCTGGCAGCGCTGACAACACTCTCTTTCTCGGACAATGTCGACCTCCAACGCAGCGCCGCGCTCGCATTCGCTGAAATCACGGAGAAGGAGGTCCGCCCTGTCGGCCGCGACACGCTCGACCCTATTCTCTTCCTCCTCGGCAGCCATGACACCGAAGTGCAGCGGGCTGCAAGTGCGGCTCTGGGGAACCTTGCGGTGAACAGTATGTGCAGTTTCAACGTGTTTTGCAGTTGCCGCACTGACCACATGTGCTAGCCGACAATAAGTTGCTCATCGTCAAGCTTGGGGGCCTGGAGCCTCTCATCCGGCAGATGCTCAGCCCCAATGTGGAGGTGCAATGCAACGCTGTTGGTTGTGTGACAAACCTGGCCACACACGGTGGGTCACCTCTCCCCTCAAACTCCTCCAGGGCCTAAACCCGACTTCGTCATGCAGATGACAACAAGACCAAGATTGCGAAGTCTGGAGCCCTTGTCCCTCTTACTCGGCTTGCGCGTTCCAAAGACTTGCGTGTTCAGCGCAATGCAACGGGTGCCCTTCTCAACATGACCCACTCTGGTATGCTCTGTCCCCGTCCTCCTTCTGGCTTTACCCTGACATACATCCGAAGACGAGAATAGGCAGCAGCTCGTCAACGCGGGCGCTATTCCAGTTCTTGTTAGCTTGCTCAACTCTCCCGATACGGACGTGCAGTACTACTGCACAACCGCCCTGAGCAACATTGCTGTAGATGGTAATGCCCGTTGTTATTGGACCTATATGCGCTCTTATTCATCGTATCCCGTAGCGCACAATCGCAAGAAACTCGCGCAGTCGGAACCGAAGCTCGTCTCGAGCTTGGTGCAGCTTATGGACAGCTCCAGCCTTAAAGTTCAGTGCAGGCTGCTTTGGCGCTCAGAAATTTGGCTAGCGACGGTACGCCTGTCCGTGTTTCAGATCGGTGCACCCACTGAGATTTCCATCACAGAGAAATACCAACTGGATATTGTCAAGGCTGATGGCCTCACTTCCTTGCTGCGTCTCCTTCAATCCACGTACCTCCCTCTCATCCTCTCTGCCGCCGCTTGTGTCCGCAATGTTTCCATTCACCCGCAAAACGAGTCTCCGATCATCGAGTCTGGTTTCCTACAGCCTCTAATCAACCTGCTGTCGTTCAAGGACAACGAGGAGGTCCAGTGCCACGCCATCTCGACTCTTCGTAACCTCGCCGCCAGCTCGGAGAAGAACAAACAAGCGATTGTCAAGGCTGGTGCGGTGCAAAGCATCAAGGAGCTGGTCTTGGAGGTTCCGATGAACGTGCAGAGCGAAATGACGGCGTGCATTGCGGTGTTGGCTCTCAGTGGTGCGTACACCTGCAATGTTCGAGTCCTATTGCAGCTAAGGCAGGGTTTCCAGATGAATTGAAGGGCCAGCTATTGGAAATGGGTATCTGCGAGGTCTTGATCCCCCTCACGAACTCGCCCAGTTCCGAAGTCCAGGGCAACAGTGCTGCGGCTTTGGGCAACCTTTCTTCGAAGGGTACGTTGCAGCACATTCACAGTACTGTGTCGTTCTGACGTGATTGTACAGACGGGCGCACGACCACTGATGACTACTCGGCATTCAATGACGTCTGGGACAAGCCGGATGGCGGGATGCACAGATACCTGTACCGTTTCTTGACGAGCGCCGATGCCACCTTCCAGCATATCGCTGTGTGGACCATTGTCCAGCTCCTAGAGTCTGGCGGTGAGGGTTTGCGTCAATTGCTCATTGACATAGAGCTGATATCAGTATTTGCACCGTTCGTTTGCAGACCCTCAATTGATCAGCAACATCCGTAGCTCTTCTTTGCTCATGCCTAACATCCGTACACTCGCCGAAACCCGTACCTCCACCCCGACGTCGTCTATTGGCGGTACCCCCCACTCGCACCGCTCGGCCACTCACTCGTATCAGGACACAGACACGGGCAACGGCCAGGGCGAGATCCAAATGCTCGCGCGTCGCATCCTCGACTTCACGGACAGTGAAGGTGCCATGACACCTAGCGCCCTTGCCTCCCAGATCCAAGCAGGCTCCTACTCTATGCATGCCGAGAGCGAGAGTGGCCGTGAGCACGAAGAGCTCCGCAAGAGCGTACGAGAGGCCTTCTCTGGAAGCTCCTCCGGCCACTAGTGGACGCTGCTTGGCCCTTGTTCGGGGCCCGCTTCCACCCAGGCGTCCCCCCTGTAGAGGTCGCTTCGGGCGCTGGGGATGGACAGCCTTGGACTCTTGCCATTTCACCCTAGTGCGTGCATGCCGCTGGCCTGGCCCGTCCGGCCAAGAGCTTGCACGTATTCGCGTACGTCGTTCTTGTTCCCATTCGCGCGTTCCCCGCCTCGGTTCAAGCTTTCGTCCGTACCACATTTTTATTCCCTTGACTTTCGCCTCACCGTTCACGGTCTTGTTGTTGTTTGCATCTGGCTTTCGGTACACACACCCCTCCCCCATCCTCTCCCTCTCTCGGCTTGACGCGTCCGCTTTTCCTTTGCCTTCGACCTTTGTCGGCGGCATATAGCTGTTAGATGGGGTCGAATAGAGCGCAACGCGATGTAGATATATATGCTGCCTCTGCTTCCCCGTGTTCCTGTCGCCCATATGCATGCCGTCTGGTAGTGCACTCATGCCTGAGGATACCTCTGCCACCACCCTTTTCACCTCGCATCGCGCTGTGTCGGTCGCTGACATGGTCAGTTATGCCTTGCCTAAGCATGTCCACGTCCACAGAACAGCGGGGACACGTAAGCACCGATCTTGCTGCGCTGTTCCACGCATGCTGTTCCACGAATTATCAATGCGGTGTCAATGACCGTAGAGCTTCGTACAGCTTGCTGAAGTCCTTAGCCCTCGGCGCCGCTACTTGCGGCCCCAGATGTCGTTGACACGACACATCTAGTTCGCAGAAGCCAACGCAGACGCACCGCTGATCGCAGACCGCGAGAGACATTAATGCTCCTGCGATGACCTCAGCTGGACCCTCAATGCGGAACGCTCAGTCCTCGCAGCGACGCGTACAATACAGAGGTGTGTACGCCCTTCGCGTGCGCGCATCAGGCATGGAGGGCGTCGTGGCGTGACAGCGCGTGGCCCGCAGCCCACGCGAAGCGGTGCAGCAGACAGAACGACGGTCGCGCGACAGGAAACCCTCGGGGCGCGCAGAGCGGCCTACTGACCTCCGTCCAGTACTGCCCACTGCTTTGCGCAGGCCTGGTGGTTCGCAGCGGGCTAGAGGGGCCGCGAGCTGCGGCTGAGCGAGATGCCTCTGGATGCGAATGTGCGAGCGCGTCGGCGGGCGCGCTGGCCCCACGGCGGTCGGAGTCCGGAATGAAAGAACTCGGTGCACCGCATGGTGCGCGACTCCGGCGCCGCGGCGGGGGAGTCTGCGTGTTGCGGGTCGTCGGGGAGAGGCGGCGCTCCGGGGCACGAGCGAGGGTCGAGACTTGAGCTTGAGAGCGGTCAGCTTCCTCCGGCTTCGTGTGTTCATGCCCATGCACCGCCCGCGCTACACGGCCAATCGACCGTTTTATCCTGGGATAAATTGACTGGATTTGTCCTTCTGGAGATCGTGCAGGGACCGCTTCCATATCCGAGTGATGGCCCCACGGTATCGGCACTGCGATGTGCCCGGAGCCACGCCGGGATGTGTCTAGGATATTCCAGTTCGGATATCGTCTAGCTGCTCCTACGTGCCCAGTGGGTTATGTCTGCGACACCAACCCAGTGTCCCCTTTGGACTCCAACAATGAGTGGCAGCCTTCAGTCAGAATCAGGCTTCACACGGATCAGTGGGAGTTAGATCATGGCCGTTGTTTCACTAGACATTCTGCGCTAAGCTAATATATTTGTATTCTTTGAGGGATATGAGGAAAAACGGGCCTGTGAGTGGACGTGGTGGTGAGAGCCAAAGCCCAAGTCCGAAGCGCTGACCGACATGCGCGCGCGAGTCACAGCGCACCAGTGTCGGCGCTTCGGACTTACGACCTGACTCTCGACCACTACCTGCCAGCACACTTCCCATTCGCCACTTCCCTAAGTTTGTCCTCGCAGCCTCTCTTACATAGGTATGTGCTTCGATCAACTTTTCCCTCAACGGGCTAAGTATATCCCCCAGTCGTGCGTTCGCTCCCGGGGAGTCCGGATGTCCGTTTCGACCGCCAGACCCTACCGGTATTGAACTCCCTCAGCTTCCCCTCTGTATCTTCATCTTGTGCATCCCCTTTTCCGCTCCGAGGCCAAACTACCTTTATCTCGTGAGTCATACGTTGCTTTCCTGTGTTGTGCACACCCGTTCTGCCGTGCTTTTCTGTGACCTATCCGATGGCTCCGTCGATGATCGATTTGCTGCGTCCCTCCTCTGGTAGCTATATTACGACTGCGCCCTGTAGTTGTATACCATACGTGTTGGTCTGCGTCAGTAATTGTAACGACCAATTTCACAGTTTGTCAGAGCACAGCCGCTACCGCGGCGCACGAAGCAGGTCGAAGCGGCACAACACTGCGAGGGCTATCAACTGACATCCGAATGAGACAAACTAGATATATGGGCGCCGATATGAGTTGTAGCAATTCCAGTCAAATATCACCGGACATCGCAGTGATGTCGTAGGATATTTCGGCGTAGTTATCCTGAGTTATACCGGACGACTGGGCGTGGAGGACTTGCACGGTGTTGATGCGTATTTTTGGAACGGGTGGCCACGCACATGCCATGGTCGGAGGAAGAGAGGGTGCTGAGAAATTTGAAGTGGTAGGACTCTCATAAGATAGCGCGGACTGCGGATAAGGCCTTAAGGGCTGGTGAAGAAGATGGATGCCCCGACGCAAGAGTCTCGGAGACGAAAGAGAAGACGGATCTGCGATGCCACCCGCGGCACCCTCAGCGGCCAGTCGGGGAGCGTGCCGGGCCGTCACTGCCGCCGCTTCCGGGATGTCGAGATATCAATATATAGCCAGTGCGTGCTTGGTGGATCAGTGGTATCCACAGTAGATGATGTCGGTCTGTTCTTCACGCCTCGTGTCTTGCGAGTGCACATCCCGATATACATATGGCCACCTATCCCCAGGCTGCTCTCTTTCCCCCTCGCCCTATCTGCTGCGCACTGGCCTGCTGGCCTCTGCGGACAATTACCCACCCCACTCCACCACGCACGCGACGGGGCCACGGCCCACGGTAATTTGCCCCCTCCGTCCCTCTCCCACAGCGCGCTCTTTTCTCCTCTGACCGTCATCGACTCCCCCCCTTCCCCTCCTCCCCCTCCGCCCTTCGGGCACCCCAACCTCACGATGATCGTGCACGTACCGCTCCTGATCTTCCTCCTGGCCAACGCCACACCCTCCGACGCCCCCTCTTCGCGCGCGGCGGGTCCTCCGACTCCCTCTCGCGGGCAGCGCGCAACGTTCGCCACGTATTCAGGCGGAGCACCGGCTTATCGACGATATGCGCATCGCCTACGCGGGCATTCGTCTGAAGCAGCAGCCGCAGGTGCTCGCGGCGCAGTCCAAGCTCTACTGCACCGCCGGCACGAGCCTCACGGGGGCACAGGGACGTCGAACGGGACGTCGACGGGTCTGGGAGGGAACGACGGGAGCAACACAATGGGACTGGGGACCCCGGCTCCAGTGGGTCTACTACTACTTCTTCGGCGGCGAGCACGTCGACTACCCGCTCGGCGAGCCCGTCTCCCGGGACTTCGACCTCATCGTCACCCGCTTCTACCACAGCGACCTCCACGGGCTCGAGCTCTACGCCTACGTCTGTGTCTGGCTCGTGGAAGATCCAGCAGACCTACGTGAGTGCACATTCGCATGTTCTGCGATCGAGTGGCGTTTGACATGCTGTGCCTTACCCAGCAAGGGGGCTCGTTCTTCGACGGGTGGACGTTCACGAGTTCCGACGACACCACCACGCACGGTACTGCCACTTATGTTGACCAGCCACCGCAGTATGTTCCTTCATTCTCAGCCATTTCATTCTTTGATTTGATGACCCGCGCAGCAATCAGCAACTTAATCGAAATTAACTCGGACGGAAACGCTATCATCCGAGTAGACACCACACCTACCGTGCCCGGGAACCGTCAGTCCATCAAGATCACCAGTACGCTCGTTCTCAACGGCGGGTTGATCATCCTCGACGCCGTGCACATGCCCACTGGCTGTGCCACATGGCCGGCTTTCTGGAGCTTTGGTACGTTCACCGTGTTCTTCTGTTGTGCGCAAGGGTTGAACACCCTCCACTAGGCCCCAATTGGCCGGTCGGCGGCGAGATTGACATCGTGGAAGGAGTGAACAACTACACGAACAACCAGTACACTCTGCACACGAACCCCGGTTGCACGCTGCCTTCTTCCGACACTGGTGTGTTGGGTATCACTGGTACCTTGGTGGATGGTACGGACTGTGCAGCAGCCACGACCGGGAACGCTGGCTGTGGGATTCGAGACAGTCGGACGAACTCTTTCGGGGCTCCGTTCAACAGCAATGGTGGAGGTGTTTTTGTCAGTACGTCGAGATCCAATCCTTTGTTGTCTCCGTCGTTCACACTGACCGTGCACCGACAGCATCGTGGACCGATGAGGGCGTTTCCTCGTGGTTCTTCCCTCGGAACGCTATCCCAAGCGACATCAGTAGCGGCTCCCCAAACCCGACCGGCTGGGGAGAGCCGGCCGCCTCGTTCCCGGCGTCGACCTGCACACCCGGCACATTCCTCTTCAACCACAACCTTGTGTTTGACACTACTCTCTGGTACGCCCGTTTGTCCTCCTCCCAATGAGTCCTTCGTACTCAATCGCCGTCGTTAGTGGTGACTGGGCGGCCGCGGTGTGGGGTGCGACTGGTGTCCCCGGCCAAGATCAAAGCTGTGCGGCGATCACTGGAGTCGCGGATTGTCCGACATTCGTTCACCAGAATGGCGCCTCGTTCAGTGAAGCCTGTAAGTTTTTCTCGTGTTTGCTGCCGAGATCTTGCTGATGGAAGCGTCATCTGCAGACTGGGAAGTCAAGTCAGTCAAGATCTACCAGACATCATAACTCGTTCGCGCATCCGATGTTCTTGGTTCCATAAGGTCCCATGACAGTCTCGTCTGTCGATCAGGCGTAGCTGCGCACTTGCCAAGATCCCCGATCGACCTCCTTTCTTTCTCTTTTCTCGGTCGTTCCTTCCACATCATCCCTCCGGACGTTGGTTCTACGCGAGGTCCTGTATCATACAATGTGCTCATAGAGGACCACTGGGTCACGGACAGACAGACACGACATAAGTAGAGCGAGCGGATCCGGATCCGCTCTGCATCATGCCCCCCTGCTCACGGTTTTGCGACGCTCATGACCAGCTGCCCCCGTCTGTAAGACAGACAAACTTTCGGCCGCTCACATGTATCGTCGCTATCGCATTGTAGATTACTGTCCCTGCCATATACTCTGGAGTTCTCAGGTATTTTATATCTAACGCGCTTCATTACGAATTACCATTACACGAGTCTGAGACAATATTTGACGTTGAACGTTTGACCACCGGTCTGTGGGCCCCTGTGTGTTTGAATACAAAGGACTCAAGGAGAGTGTTTCGGCACCTGACGGCAAGACGCCGGTTTGATGACCGGGCCGATGTTCGTTTGCCTCTGTTCAACGCGTCGCGTCGCGTCGAGTTCCTTCAAGCCTCCACCGCGCCCTGGCAGCGTTGGCTGCCCTCCTTCCTCCATCCATCTCACTACCCTTGTACACAACCTATCACGGCGACGAGAGCAGCGATGGTGGGCCCACCGAACCCTTCCCCTTCGAAGACAAAGGCCCACATGGCCCCCCACGTCGTGCACACCAACCTCGCGTCGCAGCCGAGCAGGAGCGAGGTCTCCGACAGCGAAGAGGAACGACAGCGGTGCGTGCGCTCCCTTCTCCCCCGCCGTCAGCGACCGCGAGTGGCTCAGACGACCCCTCCCGCTGCGGGGGACGGCACGCAGGCGGATCCGGCTGAAGCGCGCGATAGTCGTCCCGGTGGACTACCACAAGCTGCAAGTGATCGAGATCGAGTCGTCGGACGAGGAGAGCGAAGACAGGTGCGTACAGTGGCGCCGTCCTTGTATCTGCGTGCCCGCGCCTGTGCTCACCCGACCGGGCGGAGGCAGACGGTCCACCAGAGCGCAGAACGGATCGCAGAGCCAGGCGCTCACCGAGCCCCGCTCCCCGGTGCGCGAAGACAGGTGCGCGCCCGCCATCTGGGGCATTCCATATGCAACGTTCTGACGTCGTGTGTGCATCGCTAGCGAGTCTGACGAGGAGCTGCCTCCGGTGACCCCGCGCCGCCGCCCCGGCCAGCGCGCGCGCACCCTCGTCCTGAGCTCCGACGAGGACGACTCCTCGTCCGATGACGGGGTGCCGCCCGCGACGACCACACCCAGCGTGCGGAAGCGCCATGCCATCGACCCCGACGACGACGACGACGACGACGTGATCGACCTCACGCTCACCTCGCCCGAAAGCGAGAAGCCGCCGAAGCCGCCCGCACCTCAGACCACAGCGGGTCCTTCGACCCCCGCTCGCAAGACCCCGAGCGAGGAGGACGCGTCGACGCTGCCCTTGTTCCTCGACGACTCCGACGACGGGGAGCACGAAGACGCATGCGACACCGACGTGTCGATCCCTGCGGACCCGTACGTGCACGCGCTCGACGGCGGCGCCATACTCGTGCTGTATGCGTCCCGTCTTCCACGCTCTCTCGCGCCGTGCTCTGACGAGCTCGCCCCAGGAATGAGCCTCCGAGCGCACGCAAGCCCGCGCGTCGCCCCGGACTCGGCACCCCTGGCCCTCCACCCCGCGCCCGAAACCGAGGCCGAAACCGAAGTCTGCCGTCGCCGCAGACTCCTCCGCTGCGGGCTCCGACGACGAGGTGTGCTCGATCGTCAGCGTGCCCGCCTCGCGCGGTACACCCGCGTCTGGAAGCAAGACCCCAGCGGGGGCGGCGAAGGCGCGGATGACGAAGGCGGCGATGCAGCGGCGCGAGCTGCAGCGGCGGCGCGACTACGCCACCGCGTTCTTCGAGGAGCTGAACGCGACCGTGTTCGGGGGCGGGATCCCGGCGGGGACGGAGCTGCAGTGGAACAAGCGGCTGCTCACGACCGCCGGGCGCGCGCACTGGAAGCGGTGGGTCCGCTCGAGTGCGTCGGTGGCGGGATGGGTACGCTGACGGCGCTGTTGTTGAACGTTCAGGACGCGCGAGGGCAAGCACGAGACGTCTATCCAACTCGCAGAGAAGATCCTGGACTGCGACGGTCGGTGTCTGCGTGGGTGGAGACGTGATGTTGCCGCTGACGAGCGGGTGCCACAGAGCGGATTCGAAATACGCTCTCACATGAGATGTGCCACCTCGCGTGCTGGGTCATCGACAATGCGCCGAACGAGAATCACGGAACTCTGTTCAAATCCTGGTGGGTCTGATAGTGCCACTGCTTCATGAGAGACGGCATGCCGAGATGCTGACAGGGCGCGGAAGGTGATGCGCAAGCGAAGGGACGTGGAAGTCACCACCAGACACAGCTACGAGATTAAGTGCAAGTACGAGTGGAGTGCGTCGTGACCGCGTTCTCTTTGATGCAGCTCTGACCCGTGTTCCGCAGAGTGCTCCACCTGCAGCAAAGTGTGAGTTGGCTCCTTCACCTGCTCTCAGCGGCGCGAGCTCACCTCCGAGTAGGTACGGCCGTCACTCCAAGTCCATCAACCCGGACGAACATGGTACGTGGTCGCCGCTTTCTCGAGCGAGGCGGTCCGCGGTGACACGAGAACGCCTGCAGTGTGCGGCGTGTGCAAGACCGGGAGGCTGGTGCCCCAGTTCGAGACGCGGGCGCCGAAGACTCCCAAGCCGAAGGCAGACGGCCAGAACGCTGCGGCACGCGCTCGCGGTACGTATCTTCCCTCTTTCGATGTTCTTGTGAGTGACAAACGTGGTCACCTGACGATTCCTGTGCCAGATTCGCCGCTGCACATGCCTGGTGGATTCTCGCCCACACCGCCCAAGGCGGCAGAGGGTCGTGATGAAATGGATATCGGAGCCTTGGCGCGGACGTTCAGGCCATGGGGCTTGACACGAAGAGGAATTGAAGCGGTTGCTAGTGCAAGTGTTAGAGTACGCACAGTCCGTCGGGTGCGCTATAGAATAGATTTGTTGAAATGGGCAAGATGAAGGAGTCTGGGAAGCGCCGGGTGCGGTGGCGCGGGAGCCCAGCGCATACACGATCGCGACGATCGAGCTTCGTTTTCCGGGGCAACATGCACGCGGCGCGCGAGGTTGTTCACTGCGCGTTCTGTTCGCCGCGTCGCCCAGGCCAAACAAGAGGACGGAGAGGCGGCACGCGGCACGCGGCGGGCGGGCGAGCGCGGCGGCTATGCACAAAAGGAAAGGGAGCCGCGTGGGGAGGGCAACGGGACAAGGTGCGGCTCTCCTTTTGTGCCCTCGCACTCTGTCTTGTGCGCACCCCGTTTCTTTGCGCCCTTCGCCAACGACGACCGCGACAGTCCGGTTGATAAGCCTCCGCCTGTCTGTCGCCCAGCGCCCACCGTCCGTTTTCTCTCCGCACCCGAGCTTTCCGCGCTCGGCCTTTCACGCAACTCCTTCTCCACCTCGACTCCCGGGCTGCGCCTGGACTCCCTTCTCCTCCACCCGGCCCTCTCCTGCTGCCCACAGCGCCCTGCCACTCTTTCAGGCCCCCTTAGACCCCGCATAGACGTCCGGCGCCCGCCCCTTTCTCCAAGATGCGCATCTCGCTCTCCCTCCACCTCACCCTCCCTGTCCTCCTCCTCGCCCATGCGTCCCCCGCCGACGCCGGCCTCTTCGCCCGCGGCACCGAGCAACTCGCGCGCACCGCGAACCACCTGCACCACCGCGCCGCCAAGCACAGCGCGGGGCTCGCCCGGGATCTCCGCCGCGCGTTCTCGGCCATGGTCTCCACCCAGGAGCTCGTCGCGACGACCGGCTCCGCGCAGAAGGTCTACTGCGTCAACACGGGTTCGTCCCTCACCGGGGACGGCGGCAACGGCAACTCGTCTGCCGGACACTCACCGTCCACAACTTCCGGTGCGTCGGGCGCAAGCGGGACAAGCACTAAGCACTCGTCCACCACAGTGGCCGCGAATCCTGCGTCCTCTTCTGGATCCTCGCCGTGGAAGCTTGCTCAGCACTGGGTGCGTTGTGTCTGCTGTTGCACTCTTAGTCGTGGCTCATGGGGAGTGTAGGAAGGGAACGATTTCTTCGATGGCTGGGACTTCTGGACAGACGCGGACCCCACGCACGGCACTGTCGACTACGTCAGCCAGTCGACCGCGGTGAGTACTGTCGTGATTTCTCGCCCCATCCACGTCCTCACCCTATCTCTGTGCCGCCCAGCAATCCGAAAACCTCATCGAGATCAACGACGCCGGGCGCGCGATCATGCGCGTCGACACCACCCAGACCGTCTCGACCGCGCGCAAGTCCGTGCGGATCACGACCCAGTACTCATACAACGGCGGCCTCGTCCTCCTCGACGCCGTGCACATGCCGACCGGCTGCGGGACCTGGCCCGCGTTCTGGTCGAACGGGCCCGACTGGCCGAACAAGGGCGAGATCGACATCCTCGAGGGCGTGAACGACAACTCCGCGAACCAGGCCACGATCCACACCGGCCACGGCTGCACGCTCCCGAGCTCGAGCCCGTCCGCGCTCAACATCACCGGCACCGTCGTCGGCGGCACCAACTGCGCCGCCGCGGAGACGAGCAACGCCGGCTGCGGCATGGTCACCAGCCAGGACAACTCGTACGGCGTCGGCTTCAACAGCAACAACGGCGGTGTCTACGCGAGTGAGTCTTGCTCGCCGATCGTCCTGCACACCTCTTCCTTCTGCCCGCGTGGAGCACCATGCTGACCGCATCTCGCCCCGCCCGCAGTGCAATGGGTCGACTCCGGCATCTCCGTCTGGTTCTTCCCCCGCAACAGCGTCCCGGCCGACATCTCCAGCGGCGCGCCCATCCCCACGGGCTGGCCGAAGCCGATGGCGCACTGGCCCGCGACGGACTGCAACCCGTCCACGTTCTTCCAGGACCACGTCCAGATCTTCGACACCACCCTCTGCGGCGACTGGGCCGGGAACGTCTGGGGCTCGACCGGCTCGCCCGGCCAGGAGCAGAGCTGCGCGACCCGGACCGGCGTGGCGACGTGCGAGGAGTTCGTCCTCAACCACGGCTCGTCCTTCAGCGAAGCCTGTGAGTCCGCCCCGCGCCCGTTTTCCTCCGCGCCGTCCAGTTGCTGATCGACTTCAGACTGGGAGGTCAACTACGTCAAGATCTTCCAGTAGACGCCTCCGTCCGCCCACTCTCCCCGGCGTTGCTCTCCCTGTGCTGTCACGCATATCACGACCAGGACATGCCATACCCGCCATGCTGCTTGCTTTCTAGGGCATTCACACACTAACACATACATAGATCATGCGCTCTAACGACGTTCAGGACAGGTCTCCGGCAGTCACGACACACGGGTGTACTTAATATTTTTAATATCATATGTAGCATTCCTTACGGGCCTCTCCGTCCCTCTCCTTTGTAATTTTTGGTACGCCTATGCTGCTGTATACGCGCATGAGGCAATATACACTTCTTGGACACACTGCGTGCGATACGGATAGCGTTGGATACGCAATGGTCTGTCATGGACGCTGACACGATGAAGCCTGTGCTGGCCTTCACACACTCTTATGATACACGGAACAACAGTGATGGGAAGCGCAAGAGTGTCTTGTTGTGCATAGCATACTACTGCATACATGGAGGGGCCATTTTGCGCTGCGCCGCCGGTCCTCCAGGGGCGTCTGGGGAACCGTGATGATGGAGGTGGAAAGAAGATGAGGAAACCGAAAGCAGCGACATGCAATGGGGCAGGAAGGTGCTACAGGGAGGGCTCATCGAGTCTGTGAGGGGAAGGGGGAGGTGCATGAGCTTCAAGGGGATCGGCGTCGGGTAGCGGAGGAGGGAACACACCTTGTTGAAGCCGATGGCAGCCGCCTTCTCGCGGAAGCACTGGCGGCAGAGGTCGAGGCCATACTTGCGGATGAGACCGGCCTGGTGCGCGCAGAGGCGGCTGTGGGGAAGCGGAGGTGGTGAGCACCCTGTCCTATTCGTGCGGCGCCCCAGTCCCGACGTGCCATCCCATCCAGCTCATCTACCATTCCCTTGGCATCCCAAGCCCTCTCACTCGCAGCATCCATAGCAATCCTTTCAAGTTAGAAGTACTCACCACTCGCGGGCACCCTTACCGTACTTGCGAGGGCGAGAGAACCAGACGGAATCGTGGGTCATTTTGAGGTCTTGGGGGCGGAGGAGCTGGGAAGAGCTAATTAGCACCGTGTAGGGTCCATGCATACGGTCAGGAAGACATACCTGGTCCGGAGGGTGAGGGTGGGCTTGCCGTTGGTGGAGGTGTCGAGGGAGCTACGCGTTACGATTTGTGTTGTCCTGTACAGTCGATCTGAAAAGTAAGGTTCAGTGCAGTTCAGACTCCGCCGGCGACCTCCGCAAAGGCGCCAGACGGGGCCAACCGGGCCGGTCCTTCTTCCTTCACCTCCAAAACGACAGCCTGCATGCAGATTGAGCAGCAAGTGTTGCGCAATACATACATACAGATCGCTAGTACAAAGCCAAAGTGTCGAATATACACAAGCCGTGCTAACTATTGCGCTCAAGGTTTTCCTTATTGCTTCACTTCTGCTCCCACAACTTTGCGTGTTGCCATCACGAACCACCCCGTCTTGCCCGTCTCTGGATCGACCCCACCCGACGCCTCCTCTCCCTGCCGGTCTGGCACCAGATACCCCACCTTCTTGTACAGCCGCTCCGCCGAAGCGTTCGACACATTCAGCCCAAGCGCATACCTGACTTCGTCCTCCCGCACGTCCTCGCCGCCGCCCGCCGCGGTGTAGTAACGCGTCACCGCGCGCACCACCGCCTCCGCAACGCCCCTCCGCCTCGCCCCGGGCGCGACGAACACGTACCGGACCGCGGCCATCCGGGGCGTGAACCGCCCGAGGACGACGAACGCGGCGGGCGCGCCGTTGACGCGGCAAATCCACACGCGCCGCGCCGCGACGGGCGCGACGAGCGCCGCCCGCGCCTCGGCGACGTCCATCGGGTCGCGCCAGTGCCACGTCTCCTTCTGGAAGTCGACGAAGAGCGGCGCGAGCGCGTCGAGGTCGTCCGCGGTCGCGAGCGTGGGGACGTGCGAGGAAGGCGAGGAGGGCGGTGGGGGTTGGGACGCGCGCGTGGCGTAGGTGACGATAGAGGGGTGCAGCGGTGGGGTCCAGTTGACTTCGCCGAGTCCACGCGTCTGGAGAAGGGCGGACCATGCGCGGGTGAGAGCGTCGACGACGTCTTTGTGGCCGAGAAACTCTTTCAAAGTCGAGGGGTCTTCGAGGTGCGAAAAGATACCCTCGGCGAGGCGCGCTGCGGCGGACGAGAGGGCTTCTGTCGAGCCCAGGATCTGGTGAGACGTAGAGGATGGCACGTTGATGAGCCAGAAGCCTCCGTAAAAGACTCCTTGGGTAGCTGATATCCTGGAGCAATGGCCATCAGTTCCCAGACGCGATGAGGTCCGGAATGTGAGTCGGACTCACAATAGGTGATCACCGCGGTGCAGAGTGACAATGTCCATGGGAGGAAGAGCTCTGAACCAGCTTCCGCTAGCTGATCTGCCAGGGCGCCGAGGCAGAAATTCATCCACCCATCATCGTATTTCTTCGTGGCTTCGAAGAAGGCACGAGGGTCATCGTAGTCTGTGACCCGGAGATCCTCCATGGTGTGCGGGGATCGATGTGAGACGAGACGTTTGCACGTAGACTGACCTCCTATAAAGTAGTACCAAGTCTACGCGCTAGGCCAACCAATATCAAATTGTAGTGACTCGATGTTACGTCCACCGAGACCGGCGCAACCGTTGAACGTGAACGTTTGAGCGTTGAACGACATCTCGCCGGCGTGAATCATTCGGCAGAAGTCCATATAGTATCTGGGCGGTGCTTTGGGGGTCCTGTACGGAATTTGACAAATCCTTTCATGGTCAAGTCCCAATTCATCTGATGAGATTGAGGACAGCACTCACGAGTCACGGACAAGTTCGGAGCCGGCAGCTGGAACAACTGAAGATTTAATTTTATATGATGATATGGTCCTTCATACCGTCCATCATCATGGCCCGAGGGAGTGTCGTGTTACGTTGGGCGGAGGTGTGTGTGACTGCGCCATGTAGTGACCGTGGCTGTAGTGCGACTCGCAGCCGGACAATTTGCGTATGTTTATGACGGGCGTCGGAGTCGCACAGCCGCTAGAGGGACCTTCAAGTTCGTCGACTTGAAGTCTTGACAAATTTGACCAAACTCGCTACGCTGTTGAACTCGCTGTTTATGTACAACTACAAGCTGCACTCGCATTCATATCTGAACGGCCCCTCGGCTTGCAGCTCGGGGAGTTACGGACGTTGGGCGCTTTGAGTTGGCCCGAGTCTCTAGAACGTCGACGTCGTCAACGGTGGAGCCCTAAACTTGCTCTGCGACCACCACTACCAGTCAACAATCTGTGAGCGATTTGGACTACGAAAAACCCGCAGGAATATTCATTTATTCAGGCCGTCTTTGTGATGCCCGAACTCCCTGGTGTGTCGTGGCTTGGCCACACCGACTACTACTAATCGCGGTATCAAACTAACGCACTCTGTCGTGCTTTCATTGCAGAGGTCGAACGCGCCGCCAAGCTTCTGCGTGATGTAGCCGTCGGGAAGACTATTGTCAAAGTCGATGCTCTCGAGGACACGATTGTGTTTACAGGAGGTATCACGAACGAACACTTCGTACGTTCGAACCGGAGAAATTGATTGAGCCTTATACATCCCTGACTGAGATGTCGCAACAGGTGTCGGAGCTCGAAGGAAGGAAAGTTGCAGATGCGCAACGATACGGTAACTCTGCTGTCGACGACATATGTGTGTTACGCTGGTACTGACTTCGGCTGGGACTCGACAGGCAAAGTTTTCTACCTCATGCTTGAGGGAAAAGGCAGACACCCGGTCTTACACTTCGGGATGACTGGAATGCTTCAGGTGTGGCCTATGGAAAACTGTTGCATTTCTGTGTGCTGATGCTCCCCTCCAGGTGAAGGGACAACGCGCCATGCGATACAGGGAGAATGGAAAGAGCAAGACAGCGTCTGACGAGGAATGGCCCCCTAGATTCATGAAGGTACTCGTCTCGGACCTGTCGTGTTGCATCAAGCTTAATAGACCTTATACGCAGTTTGTGGTTCACCTCAGAGGCGACAGTGATGAAGACGAGACACAAGTTGCCTTTCTCGACGCACGCCGGCTGGGGCGCATCCGCCTGTGTCAGACGCCTCTGACCGAACCCCCCATTTCGGCTCTCGGATTCGACCCCATCCTGGGGATGCCCAGCTTGGAAGAATTCTCCAAGGCAGTGCGGAAGAGGTCGTCTCCCATCAAGGCCCTCCTCCTCGACCAAAGTTTCAGCGCAGGCGTTGGGAACTGGGTCGCAGGTGCGTCACGCGGGTTTCGCCTCACAATGCAGCTCTCACGTTCTTCCAGATGAGATTCTGTACCACGCACGAGTTCACCCAGAGGAGCGCTGCAACGTACTCACCGAAGCACAAGTCCAAGCGCTACACGAGAAGATCTCGTACGTGTGCGAGACGGCGGTCTCCGTGAACGCCGACGACACAAAGTTCCCCGAGAACTGGCTATTCCAACATCGCTGGGTGCGTCCGACGCTCCTATTTACGTCTTCAAGAAAGACGTTTACCTCGAGGCCATCTAGGGAAAGGGAAAGAAGGAAAAGCACACTCTCAAACTTGTTCGTCTGTCTGAGTCTTCCGTCAAGCTCAGTGTGTTGATCAGTCTCATACAGCCGGATGGCAAACTTGCGACCATCAAGTGGATCACCGTAGGAGGACGCACGTCCGCATACATCGCCGAATTGCAGAAGCTCAAGCGAGGGATCGACTCCACCGCGAAAGTACGTTCAAAATAATTCTCCGGAGCTGCCCTCGAACTTTATCCCATGTCCTCCCATCAGGTCGAGCCAGCGGAAGGAGACGAAAGTGACCTCACACCGATCTCAGGAGAAGAGGACGTCAAGGTGGCGAAAGTCACCCGCAAGTTGAAGCGGAAGGTATGGTCGTTCACCGCCTATTCTGCCTTCGCTCGCTGAGTATCATACAGTTGAACACCTCTGAAAACCCGACCACGTCCGCACGGAATACTCGGCAACGAGCCACACGCAGCCGGGCACAATGATCTTTGTTCAGAATAGTAGCTGACATACACGGCGATGCGTGATTATACATACGATACGACGAGAGAACCTTACACTACAAAGAGTGATACACATGCGGAGCCTGGACATATCTATCTAGAGACTGGCACAACGAGAACCTTACATATAGTGAATGTTCAAGACAGTAATCCGAGGAAAGTACACAGAAACGGATGACGCGGCAACCCACACGTCACGAGGAGGTATCACCGAGCGGGGCCAGGCTGGAACTGTTGAGCCTGCTGCATGGAATGCTGCATCTGCTGTTGCATAGGGTGCTGCATTTGCTGCTGCATGGGCGGCTGCATCTGTTGCGCTTGTGGATTGAAGGGCACGGTGTAGCCGGCTCCAGGGATCTGAGGCTGCGCGAGGGCGAGCTGGGTCTGCGCGACGTGCTGGCGCTGTGCCTCTTGCTGCGCCGCGAACTGGTACTGCGTTTGACCGGGTGCGGGGTGAGTGTAGGTTGGCATCACCATCGCGGGCGTGAAAGGATTGGGAACGACATAGAGCGGCGTAGAGGTGCTGAAATAGGGATGGGAGAGCGCCTCTTGTGCTGAAATCCGCTTGGAAGGATCAAACTGCAAGAGTCGCTCCAGAAGGTCCAGTGCTGAAAGCCAAAACTTAGATGAAGAGTGCACAGGGGAGGGCGATTATCGCACCTTGCGGCCCGGCCTTAGGAAGAACTTGAGAGAACGGAATTTTAGGATAACGAGGGTACTGCTTCTGGGCTTGGTTCTCCGTTTGCTATTTCAAGTATGGACAGGTTAGTCTGGCCGGAATACACTCAATGCATGCACTTACTCCTTCGGTAGCTATCTTGCGTAATGTGCGCTCGTCTGGGGTCCCGATGATGCGCATGATGTGGAGCAGCTGATCTTGATTATCCCGACCACGGAACAGAGGCACGCCAGAGATTATCTCCGCGAAGATGCAACCGCAGGACCAAACGTCGATCGAGGTGCTGTACGTTCTTGAGCCCATGAGAACGTCGGGTGCACGGTACCACAACGTGACGACCTATAACACGCGGTTGAAGCGAGCACCTCGATCGAAAGAGATCTGACTCACTTCGTTGGAGAATGTGTTCACCGGTACACCAAAGGCCCTCGCCAAGCCGAAATCACCAATCTTCAACTCCCCTTTCCGGTTGATGAGAAGGTTTTGAGGTTTAAGATCGCGGTGAAGAACTCTGTTCTCGTGGCAGAACGCGGTCCCTTTCAGAAGCTGGTACATGAAGCTCCTGACAGTGACCGGATCAAGGGCTCCTCGTTCTCCGTGGACGTCCATGTATTTCTTGAGGTCGCGCTCGCAGTACTCGAAGATCAGCACTAGCTTGGTCTCAGTGTGGATGACGTCGTAAAGGCGGACGATGTTGACGTGCTTGAGCTCCTTCATGAGCGAGATCTCGCGAATGGCAGTCGATGGTGTCCCCTCTTCCGCATCCAGGTGGATTTCCTTCAGAGCGACAATCTCATTGGTCGTCCTAGAGCGTCCCTGTACGTGTCCACTGAGCACCACTTGCGCCGATTGTGGCATGCATGACGCACCTTGTACACCGTCGCATAGGTTCCCTCACCTACAGCGCATTTAGCAAGTGCAAGATGCCGCCACCCCTTCAGCTAAGACATACCGAGTTTCTCGAGCTGTGAACGGATATCAGTGATGTCTCAAACCCATCCAACAGAAGCATACCGACCTGGACATAATTCATGGCTGGGTGACACTGGAAGAAAGGATGTGGGGTGCGCAGTGAAGAGGCTGGAGATCACAGTGGCGGTGGCTAGTTATATGCGTGGCGGGGACGAGAGCGAGCTGGTGCCGGCGATACAAGAACGGACAAGAAGGAAGGCTGCGCGAAGGCCGGGACTTCGCCGGTTGAATTCGGTCTGAGCACGCTCTTCGCGGCTCGCCCCAGTCCCAAGCGCCTAAAGATTCGAAGGACAGGATCACGTGCCCAGTATTCTAGGCGCGGTGCAAATCTTTTGCTCGCCGTCCTCCTCGTCCTCCTCCCCAAGGTGAGTACTTCTTGCAGTCGGTGCTTGCGTATCAGAGTCCTTTTCACTCAGTGCGTTCTCAGAACATGGTTTCTTCTCCGTCAAAAGCCAAGAAGTCGCGCACCAAACCCCCTCGCAGCCGGCCACAGGCCACTTCGGCGATCTCCCAGCCGTCGGTCGAGGACGCTTCCACCTCTACATACCTCTCCTCGTTCTCTCCTGACGGGAACCTCTTTGCGTTCCTGTCGCTTTCAATAGACAAGCATGCTCTCAAAGTTTATGATACCGCGACGAGAAGATCAGTGGCCGAGCACGTTGTCGACGCAGCGCGCGTAACCTCCCTTTGCTGGGCACGCCTGGATCTCGCGGAGGGATCAGGGAAGGATGGGGGGGATGAAGACAGTGCGCGCAAGAGCAAACGGAAGAAGAGACAAAGCCTTGCGGCGGAGTCTGCGCCTTCAAGCAATAACGCTCCACAAGTCGTCGTTCTCGGCCTTTCCAACGGTTCGCTCCTTCTCTTCTCGCCCACACACGGACGGCTGCTCCGCACACTCTCCGATCCCTCATGCTCCTCCGCCGTTCTTGCCGTTGCTTCTCAAGCTTCGGGTGAACTCGACGCTCATACCCTTTGGACATCAAGTGCGGATGGTGCGTTGCGTCTGTGGGACGCTCGAGCAAATCAAATAGCCAAGTCCATCCTCAGCGACGACCGGGTTCCCTACACATCGCTCTCCGTTCGTGCTGGTGAAGAAACAGGCGTTACAGAGATTCTTGCTGCACACCACTCAATTCAACTTCTCGCCATCCCTGCGGACTCTCCAAAACCTAAAACCATCGCCAAGTTCACAGGGCACGCATCCCCCACCAGCCACCTCTATTGGATGGATAGCACACGCTTTGTTTCTGCGGCGACCGCGGATCGGTTTGTCAAGGTCTGGGAGCTACCGTCAGGGCCCAAGGTTGAAGGAAAATCCATCGCCTCTATCCCCTTGGATGCCGACTGCCGCATGATCGTTCTTTCCCCCATCACTCTGTCAGACTCCCCATCTGGACAACATTTATATGCCCTTTCAGCCGCAGGGCGTTTGTCTGTGTTCACACTAACCACGGACTTGGCGAACACCGGCCCCAGCAAAGGCAAGAGTGCTGTTCCCTCTCTTACGCCAAAGTCGGTCATCACGCTGTCATCGAAGAAGAACGGGGCTTCTTTAGCCGTTCTGACTGTGGCTTCTCTGGACGAAACCCTTGGGAGATTGCGTGTGGCCAGCGTGACTGGAGGAGTGCAACTCGCGTTTGACACAACGGTATGTCACAAACAATGCCCTACCTCTCCATCTGTGCTGAATGTAGACTCAGGACTACAGAGATCAGTCTGGCAGTTACATCTCAGACGTCACTGTAACTGTAACACCGCCAGACACCCTGGCCGCCCAAAGCGAGCGAGACGTATGTTCCATCGTCGAACCTTCATTCACCATCGACTGATCTTTTGACAGGGTGCTTCCAACAAACGGTATAATGAGTCGGCATCTCTCGCCGTCAGCAGCGGCGCAGAACTAGGACAAGACCGAGAGTTGGACGACTTGGTCATGCAAACGGTAGATGGAGCCCTGGATGCGGATCTGGCAGAGCTTAGCCTGGGCCAGCGCCTCACCGCTGTCCACGGAGCCGTGAACGGGGTCGACGAGTCCAATTTAAGCTCAGAAGAGGACGAGCCTTCCGCTCCGAATGGCAAGGCCAAGAAGACCTCGCCCGTGGCAGTGGACACCGTCCCCGCAGCCTCCCTCACGCGTACGCTTATCCAAGCCTTGCACTCGGCAGACACACGTCTACTGGAGACGTGCCTGGCGCATTCCGATCCGGCACTCATCCGGAATACTGTCAGGCGATTACCTCCACAACTCTCAGTCCCGCTCGTCACGGCCTGCGTCGAAAGGCTCAGCCGAGGCGCTAGAGGAAACAACATGAAGGGTGGAGGTGGAGGTGCGAGCTCGCAGCGGGGAACGGCTCTCATCAACTGGGTTCAGGCCGTGTTAACCACTCACTCTGGCCATCTCATGACGGTGAGATCACTTGTTATCACTATGCCATGACTAAACGAACTCTTGCAGATGCCCGATCTGGTTGCGCGACTATCAGGCCTGCACGCCACTCTCACCCAACGGTTGACTCTCCAAGAGAGCCTGCTGTCATTGAGCGGACGGTTGGACATGGTCATCTCTCAGATCGAGATGCGCTCCTCGGGGCCTCCAGCGCCTCTGCCAATGCCGAAGAAAAAGAGCAAGAAAGCTCCCGCAGGCGGCCGCGAGCCACGGCGGTACGTGGAAGGCGAGAGCGAAGATGAAGAGCGTCGGATGGACGTTGAGGTCGAGAGTGCAGACGAGGAAGGGAGTGTCGAGGACGTTGAGTTGGGCGGCGAGGACACCGAAGAAGACAGCGAGAGCGACGAAGATGACGAGGACGAGGAGGACGAAGAAGACGAAGAAGATGAAGGAGATGACCCTACTCTGGGCGGATTCATTGACGATGAAGCGGAGGAGTACAGCGAAGAGTCGGACGAGGATGAGAGCGAATAATCGGGCTCAAGTCTTTACTGCTGCATGTACTCTGAAAAGTATTGTTATTGTATTGTCAATGCGAGGAATGCATAATCTTTGTTTTCATGACCTGAGACGAAAGGCAACAAAGTGGTGGCGAAGGCGCAGGTTGGCGCGGACCGAGCGCGCGCGCTTCGACGAGTGACCAATGGGCACAACTTCGGGCGGCACTCCGCTCTGTTAGCTGCACCCACCCGAACTCGATCTCTCTTCTCCCGCAGCCTGTCCAGAGCCACTGTCTCTATAAATTCTTATCCGGGTCTTCATTGCTCGCCAGACTCTTGCCTCAGAACATTGCTTGCTTTCCATTCTTGCTTTGTTGCTCACGGTTCAAGATCATAACTGCCTCCGCGGGGAGCTCATCTACATCCCAGTGGTACGCTACGCAGACCATCTCCTGCTCACGTCCAGTCATGCCATGCCACCAGTTATTTGTTTCTCTCGTCAACCATACGCTCAAGTACCACGGCTCGTACACGAACTCAAACATACCTTGCGAACATGGAGGATGAGATAGAGGAAACCCACCGCCAGCTCCGTCATTCGGCCGCTCTCATCCAGGATGCTTTCGAAGGACTCAGTACGTTAAATTCCCAAGATTCTCAGCATGCGGGCTCTGCCCAGGTACATGAGCCAGGCGAGCCTGCCTCTCCCCGCTCGCCTCATCGGGGGCTGCATCCATCTCTTGACACACCCTCTACTCCCACGACACCGTCTGGACAACATGAACCCAACTCCATGGACCCCGGCCACGACGTCATAGTAATCTCGTCGGAAGTTCCTTCAGTGCCTTCAGTCTCAAGCCCTCTCCCCCCTCTTCCTCCGTCGGCGTCCCACCGTCGCGGTCGCTCCTCGGACTCGACCCTCTCCACTCTTCGCGCCGAGCTCCTCGCTTCAACGCAGAATGTACGGGAACGGGCAACCGAACTTGACGACCTGCGCCGTGCCATTGCTCAATACGCAGAGGAAAGGCAAAGACTCTTGACAAGCCGTCGATCGTCTTCGCCGCCACATGCCTCCGCTGCTGCTACTCCCGCGGCTAGAGATGACAGGCGAACAGGACAAAGCACTCCAAATGCAGACCGTCGGCAGCGTGCCCCCTCGTATGCGCTTGGAAGCGACCCTTACCTGACCCAAGCTGTCTCCACAATGCAAAGTCGCCAAGCTCTGCTGAATGACTCTTTGCGCTCGCAATTCGACCAGGCCGAGGCTGAAGGTGCCACTTTCCACGGAATGATGGTCGCCGCTCGTACGGCTGCGTCTCAACATCCACCTACGTCGGGCTCTATCGTGGAATCCAGTGCGTCGTCGGCATCGACCGCAAACAGCCAGGCGGGTGCGCCGCTACCGACCGTGATCACATCCCGGGTTACACGACTTGCTCTGGAAATCCAACAAGACATCTCCCGCATCTCACAGCAGACAGAATCCCTCATGGCCTGGATCAGCCGCACTCGTGCCGAGGCTGCCTTGTCTCGTGCCTCTGCATTCGACCATTCGTCAGCCCTAGACTCGGCAAATACCACGGCCGCAGCTCGGGGCGAGTCTACTACATACCCGCGCTCCCTTGGTAGAACACTGTCTTCCTGGACTCCTCCTCCGCTCCCAAGAACCGCCCGAACAACGCTGTCCCAGCAGGACGAGGACTCGATCATTCCGAGTGAGGCGTTCGCCTCCACCTCCGCCCCACACGCCCCACGACCGCGCCCTCGTGTCTCACAAGACGGTGGAACTCCTCGACCTCGTTATATTCGGTCCGGCCCTTCAGTCGGTGACAGCCCAAACTCGTCAGGGACAGAAATCGGGGACGCGTACCGCCTACCTAGCGAGCAGAGTTCCTTTGATTTCGTGCAGGACCTGTTGGCCTCACGAGGGAGAGTTCTCAGGGAGAGAGCGCTTCGTGGAGACCTCGAAAACGGACAGCACGACCGCAGGTGGGTTGCAGAAGACGCGTGGGTGGCGTTGAACGGGAGAGCTGACGCTGGAGGGTCGACGCGAACCCGCAGCTACCGCGTCCGTCACCGGTCCAACACGGACGGCGATGCGACGACGGAGCACACCACGCTGAGGCCAAGACCCGAAGCGTCCCTAGGATTTGGCGAGGCAGCGAGCGTCGAGATGCGCGAAGACGTTGAGGACGACGAAGACGGGGGAGAGGATATTGCGTGGGTCCACGCTCTGTCGAGGCTGGATCAGATGTCAAGGCAATCGTCGGCGAGGTTAGAAGCAACACGACGACAGCATAATGAAGAAGGGTCAAGCGTGGTCCCTCGGGGACCTCCGCGGGCCCCTGGGGTCAACAGAGCCACGATGGGTACCACGAGACGGGCCAATGTTGTGCCAGTATGGTGTAAGTCCTTGGCAGAGAGTTCGCTGGGCGGGCCTTACTCATCATTGTACTACTCTACAGCTCGGCTTGTCCCCCGTTCTGGCCACATTTCTGCAGGGGAAGATGACTACGAACGGGACATGGCGGCAATGCGCGCTCGAGCCCAGAGTCTTATCTCTTCCATGGCAACATCGCGCAGCCTGGGCGGCGTCGCGCTCCCACCACCCCCGCCGACGACGCGCCCGCTCACGTTCGTGCCGACGACGCAGGGCACCCCAGGCTCGCTCTGGAACGACTCGAACCCGCGTGTGCGCCTCCGTGCGGACATCAGCCGGGCGTTTGATCGGGCTCGAGACTACGTGCCGCGTCCGCCGAGCCCACCCGCAAGCGGACTCGGCGCCGATGATCGTCGGCGCACACCTCCAGCTGAACGGGAGCCTGAACGGGCGATGTGGGGCTCGCCAGTGCCCTTCCACCCGAGCCCGCTGCCGCTGCCGCGTGTGGAGGACATTGGCGGTCTGGAAGCCCGCAGTCGTGCCTTCTCAGGACCAAAGACTGTGGCTCGGCTTCCCCGGAAACGCGGGTTTACTCAAGCAGGCTGTTGATTTGGTTCCAATGATGTATCTGTACTTACGGTCCTTCGCGAAAAGGGCGGAATCAGCAATGCCCAGTAGACGCGCAGGCACGATGCGCAGTTGTGAGGCATGATACGGAGCGTCACACGATGCCGTTCTCGGTCTGTCGTCTGGGGGACCCGTCTACCGATACCGCTCTCTAAACCTTTGTTCACGACCGCTACTCACTAGAGGCACGAGCGGGCACATCTTCGGTGCATTTTGGTTATGATCCCATTGAACATGCTTAGGTGGCCGATTCGCTAGGCGGCGGATGGCCGCAGCCGGACGTGAGCTTTCGACGCGGCCACGTGACGCTGGTCTCACCGCGCGTGATGAAATATTCGGGGAATGGTTCGATCTGCGAGGGGCCAATGGGAGGCAGCGCTGATGCAGACGGAAGACTCACGGCTCTCGTTTGTAAGGCCCACCATCCCGAGCAGCGTTGTGCGCACCCTCCGCCCGGCTTTCCTCGTCTCTCGCCGTCCGGCGCACCCGCTCGCCATGTCCGTCCTCGGTGAACGCTCCGTCTCGGCCTCCATCCCCTCCTTCACCGCCTACGCCAGCGAGTACGTCTCCGTGCCCACCCTTTTCTCTGTCTCGCCCGAGACCGCCACATGGCTCTGGACAACCGCCGCCATCGTTCTTTCCCTCCTCGCCCTCGAGCAAGCCGTCTGGCGCTACAAGAAAGGTGCTCTCCCCGGTGACAACTGGACCATTCCCGTCATTGGCAAATATGTCGACTCGATGCGGCCGACGCTCGAGAACTACCAAAAGCAGTGGGCTGCAGGTTCGCTGTCCGCGGTTAGCGTCTTCAACATGTACGCAAACTCTCCTCTCGTGTGGGCCTTGCTGCCCCCGTCTAGCTGTCTCTGACCATTTGTCCATCACTATTGCGGTATCGATCACCATGACCGCTCGATGACGTCTGTGTCGCCGTGCAATCGGGTGATCGGGGCTACAGCTTTATCGTAATGGCGACGTCGAACGAGTTCTCCCGCAAGGTCTTCAACTCGCCGAACCATGCCGAACCCTGCCTGGTCCACTCCGCGAAGGTCATCCTTCGCCCGGATAACTGGTGAGAAGCCTTGGCCGCTCGGCAGAAGTGTGTGCGCATGCAAAACCTGACCATGTGGACGCCGCTCCTCAGGGTTTTCCTCACCGGAAAGGTACACGTCGACTACCGGAAGGTCCTGAACACGCTCTTCACTCGCAAGGCACTCGGGTACGTCGAAGTTCTAGTCTTGTTTCTTTCCCATCCCCCCTCTTCTTTTCTTCGTCGTCCGTATCTATCTGGCTTGATGTCCTGCATGCGAAGGGACCGTTACACTAGCCATCTGTGTCAAGTTTGGCTGCCGTGTTGTATGCACATATATCTGTAATGCGCTCCGCATTTGGCATGCACACCGATTGTAAACGGCGCAGGTTGATGTTACGCCGACGCGTGGCGTGGATTGACCGGCTTTGCGCTGGAAGCCGTACGGCAGCCCATCAGCCCATGGGCTGGGTTCATTAAGGAGATGAAGCTTCTATGACCTTACCCCGAATGGACTTAGACCACCTTCGTGCTTTATCACATGCTTGTGTCGGCCCATTGTTGATAACTTATCCCGTACAGCATTTACTCCGCCGTCCAGGACCAGACTACGCGCAAGCACTTCAAGAGATGGCTCAAGACCGCAGAGGAGGACCCGTCCGCTAAGCCGATCATGATGACCTTCCGTGACCTGAACATGGAGACCTCGCTATTGGTCTTCTGCGGTCCCCACATCGAGGAAGAAGCGGCCCGCGAAATCGCCGATAACTACTGGCGCATCACTGTCGCCTTGGAGCTCGTCAACTTCCCCTTCCCCTTCCCTGGCACCAAGGTCTGGAAAGCAATCCAAGCGCGGAAGACCGCCATGAAGCACCTGGAGAACGCTGCGGCGAAGAGCAAGATCGCGATGGCGGCCGGCAAGGAGCCCGAGTGCATGCTCGACCACTGGATCCAGTCCATGGCCGAGCCCGGATACAAGGGCCGCAAGGATTTCTCCGACATGGAGATGGCCATGGTCGTCTTCTCCTTCCTCTTCGCCTCGCAGGACGCGATGAGCTCTGGCGTTATCTATGGCATGCAGCATCTCGCCGACATGCCCGACATCCTCGCCAAGGTCCGGGAGGAGCAGGAGCGCGTCCGCGGCGGTGACGGCGACCGTCCTCTTACCCTCGACATGCTCGACCAGATGACCTACCTCCGTGCCTTTGTCCGCGAGTCTCTTCGTGTCAAGCCCCCTGTTACGATGGTTCCCTACCTGGCCACGAAGTCGTTCCCCATCTCCGACAGCTACACCGCCCCGTCCGGTTCTATCGTCATCGCCTCCGTCTACCCGTCCGTGCACGACCCCGAAGTGTACCCTCAACCGAGCGTACTCGTCCCTGAACGTTGGCTCGACCCTGAGGGCAGTGCGAACACCACGCCGAAGAACTACCTCATCTTCGGCAGCGGTCCCCACAAGTGCATCGGTGTCGAGTACGCGATCATGAACACCATGATCGTCCTCGCTGACGCTGCGATGCTGTTGGACTTCGAGCACATCAGGACGCCCGAGAGCGACAAGGTCCAGTGAGTATCCTGTTGCTGCATCAATCGATGCAGATGACTGACATTTTCATGATCAATAGAATCATCGCTACCCTCTTCCCTCAGGACGGCTGTCTCATGAAGCTCCGCCCTCGTCAGCGCGCTTGAGCACTGCCGTGCTCTGGAGCTCGGAATGAAAATCCGATGACATTTGCACCCATCGTGCCCGACTAGATGCGGACTTCGCCCAACTGCTACCTTCCCCGTACTGTCCTTGGACACTTTCACATCGTCATTCGTTGTTGTTGTTGGACCGGAGACTTGTGCGCTCCGTCTGGTAACAACTGGTTGGTAACAGCGCGAAGACTCAGATTTGGACGCGAGTCACACTGACGATGTATAATTTACTACGATGTTCATGCTCCCAAGCTCACTTGTACACCACATCTTCATTCATACTAATGATACCATGTCTTTGCATATACCTTGACACTTGCGTATTGGCTTTTCCGTAATTTGGATGAGAAACAAATTGACGAATTGCAATGCGTGTGCAAGGTTGACGTTGCCCTACGTTTCAAGCGCTCGCAACGTCGCCTTATATCGTGAGCGAATCTTCAAATTATATGTCACGATCTGCCGTCGACACATGCTGCTCGCGCATGATGATAATGTACATTGCGAAATTTGAGCGGGCGAGTAGAAATACACAGACTCGTTCCACGTGAAGCATTACCGGCGAACCTCCTTCTCGACATCACGCTTGAGGTCGTGAGCTCCTTCTTTGGCACCTGCCGTAGCCTGCATATTGACTCAACATCCAGCCCTAGAACTTGTTAGAACGATGCTCACCTGATTGGCCTTTTGGCTCGCAGTGGTGGACGCTTCAGATGCCTTCTCCTTGGCCGTGCCTTTAGCAGGTGAATAGGTCAGCAACTCGCCGCCCGGGCGAGGGAGATGTGAGAGCGCACCCATCGTCTCTTTCGTCTTCGCCGACACATCTTCTCCCTTCTCTATAGCAGACGCTAAGCCCTGACCAACCTTCTTGTTGACCTGCATGTGCGCGCATGAAAGCGTGAGCCGCAATCGGCAGCACGGCGTGTCGAATCCCTCACCTTGTCCGCGACGTCCGCGACTTTTTCAGTGACGCTTTTGCGCGACACGGGCGACGTGTGGATGGTCCTCGAGGAATTCGCGACCGCAGAGCGCGTCGTCGTGTAGAAGGCTTGACGGAGAACAGACATGTGATGTAAGGGGGTGGTTGCGAACGGGTTCGGTGTGGGAGGCGGGAATGTGTTGGGACACTCTGCGCTCAAAGGGCGCTCTATGTATACCTCAGCCATGGATGACGTCTTCGCTCGCTCCCACCGAGCATTACGTGCCGCGAGGAGCAGGAGCATTGGGGTGACCGCGCCATGACATCATATCGTCGACGCGGTCACGTGGGAGAATTGCGATCGCGCCCGGACGCGATGCTGCATCCACAAGCGAAGTGTAGGATATCATAGTGATCTCTTCTCGCAACGGAGGCGGTCTTATGCGGTTCGAAACTCGACCCCATGACCTTGATGTTGACCTGGAATCTGAACTCTGGGTCCTGCCCGAAGAGGTCGGCTCCCGCCAAGCGGGTCGGTGCAGGACACCTGTCTCTTCTCATACGATAGCGACCGTCTCTTTTGTCTATTTGAGTCTCGGCCCTCTCCTCTGTCAGATTATCTTAGCACACTCGAGCTCCGAGACAGTCATGTGACCATGTATATTTATGGAGGACTTCTGCTGCCTCCGTGATAATAGCTCTTGGGATACACTGATCTTTTCCCCACTGTATTCGCGTGAGCCTCTCTCATCTCCCCCACTTTGTGTGATCTACCTTTCCCAGAGCCTCACATTTTCTGGTTTCCATTGGCCATGACCTCAGGCCTCGGCATGCTCGTCTCCCCTGCGAGGCAAGGTCACATCACCCGTGGAGTCGTCGACATGGACGCGTGAGCGCATCAACACGACCGAATCAGCACCTATCGAGGAGGGCAAGGGTCCCGAAAGACCGCTCAAGCCGCTCAACTCGTCCGCGAGAGCCTTGAGGCCGTTTGAGGCCGGCTCACCCGTGGCCTTCGAGCGACGAGTGCGCTTCGGTGTTGCACGTGTCGTCCTCCTAGTGCGGCGACAGCCGCGTGAACGCTTCTCCCGGGCACCGTCCGATTCGGAGTAGGGGCAGCCCCATCTCTCCGCTAAGACCCTGGTGGAGGCGGCCTGCTTCTTGATAGGTGCAATGGGGGTCCTCGGATCTGACCGAGGGTGGCGAAGTCAATGAAGCGGGGTATGACAAAATGAACACTCAAAAAATGTGAGGCTTTGGGACGCTTGAGCGGCGATGCGCCTGGCAAGGTCGAGCACATAAAGTGGGGGAGATGGTAGAGGTTCATGCGAAGAGAGTGGGGAAGAGATCGTATCGCAAGAGCTGCTGTCACGGAGGCAGCGGAAGTCCTATATAAGTATATGGTCACATGACTGTCTCGGAGCTCGAGTGTGTTAGAATGATCTGACACAGGAGACTCGAAGAGACAAAAGAGATGATGAGACAAGACGGAGTCGTACAATAATCGTAGAGAGAACGTTGAAGATCCGGACGAGGGTCCGGGCCGCTCGGCGCCCGGACCAGGCGCCCTGCTTCCAGTCGATTCCGGCCGACTTTGACCGGCCCGGAGACGAGAGTGTGCTAGCGCTGCCAAGCGAATTCGCCTCTCCCCGCCCGCTGTCATCATACTACGTATCTCACATGACAAGATCGTTCCCGATTTCTCTCGCCTTCGACCGGCCGCTTGTTGTTCTCATGGGGTGGAACGGCAGCCATCACGCAAGGCACGTTGACGCGTCCGCTGTGAGTTCGTGACGGTTTTTCAACCGACACGGGATGATTAGCTCTGTCGTCGGAAGCAGAGCAGCTTGCACGTCGTGGCCGCAATAAGTACCACCCCTTCACCCATGGTACCTACTTATATTCCTCGAGGTTTCAGAGTCATGGGGCCACTGTCCTTTCTCTTGCTCTCGGTCTGCCCTCGCACATCCGCTATCCTAGCAGCCTCTGCTGAGTTCTTCAACATCACGATCGACGACCACTATCGCCACTCCGTCTTCGAGTACTTCATCTACTCTCTGTCCAGCGCATGGACAGCTGGAAGCGCGACGTGCAATACTGGCCGTGACGGCGCCCTTGACCTACCAGCGGGCAAGGCAAGGTCGTGTACAACACCTGGTATCAAACGAACCTCACCAAAGACCCCACGGTTACGCCCTCGGAGGTGAAGGCGACCGTGGCATTCACCGGTCAGTCCTCGCATTTCGCTTCTAGAATCCTTTTTCTCGTAACATGATAGGCAACGCAGGCTCCTCGGTCTACGTCTTCGGCGGCGTCCTTGCCAGCTCTAGTACTGAGCTTCGATCCAGGCTCAACGGGACGGCTCTCTCCGATAATTTCACCTTCTCCACCCCGCAGGGGCCGACCAGTTACAGCTACAACCAATGACGTCTCGATCATTGTGCCCGTGGCTACCGTTGGCAGCATCCTCCTCACGGCCGTCACGCCTTCTTGGAAACGATGGAGACGCGCAAAGACGCCAGTGTCCGTCAGGGTGAGATTGAAGCCCATGGCTCCTGGTGCTTCCGATGCCAATAGAAGGACGCCAGCTAGGGAACAATGGGTGTAGTGCACGGTAAGCATGTTCGTTGTCGAGCGGAGAAAGTGGTTCTGAACGCGTGCTTAGATCCTACGAGCGCGCTGCGTATTCACCATCTGGCATTGATGAAGTTCATTGGTGATGTCCTATATACGGTATGAATTGTTAGCGGATTGTACTATTGAGGTTCGTACGCGAATTGGCCGATCTGGGCATTCGTCTTGAGCTTTGTGCGTCTATTGTGCTTGACGTTGAACACCAGACGAGACTGCGTTTCTGGGCCTGAAGATGTGGCCTTTTCGGAAAAACCGCGGGCCTGCGAGGGGGGGTACTGAAGCCAGCGGTGCAATGGTTTCTACGTTCTAGGGCACTCGTGGTAACTCTACACGTCGACATGCCAGATCTCGCCGAAGCGGGCTCGTACGGCGCAACCGGGACCTATCTGCGGAAGCAGTTTACGTATTGGTCAAGCCTCCGAAAAGTCCGGCGAGCCTATAACCACAGCACGCACCTCGGCCCCGCCGTCCGCCGTGCTCCTCGCGCCCCACGAGCAGGTTCCCATATGTTCGGAGACCCACTCCGTGTGCAGCGCCCGATTTCCACTCCACCCTGGCACTCTGCGGCCCCCGGCGGGTACCGTTCAATGTGGTGGGGTGCCGGACAGTGCTTGGCAGGTCAACGGCAAGAAGTTGATTATTCCCGTGCGCGCAAGACGCCGCGCTCTGCGAGTCTCCAAACCACACGGTGCAACCCGGTGAGCGTCAGGAGGGAGTGATGATGATGATGGATTCGTGCCAGAGCTCGTTAACTACACGCGTAATGCTAAGTACGTTCAGTAATCGCAACGGGACGGCGGCTATCCCGCGTTCAGGCGTCGGGAGGGAGTGGAAGAGCAAGCTTGGACACCGGGGCTTGGCACGGCTGTACACCGGGCGGGGGTTCACACGGCCGGACTGCGCATGCACTTTGCGGACGCGGGTGCGAGCTGGAGGTAATGCCAGGCGGATGCATTCGCAGAACAAACGCTACAGTTGCTAGTACGACATGACAGCAGCGCAAAGGGAAGGTGGTGACTGCGCTGTTGGAGCGGGGTATGTGATAATAGTGTGATATTACAAGGATGAGTGAAAACGGGGTCTAGTGGCGATGGGGGCGACGGTTGTGATAGCGGTGATGGACGATGGGCTGGTGCGGCTTGCCGCCCCACGCCAGGTTGTCGTCGTCGAGGAGCTCAGCGGCGCCCTGCGATAATACGAGGGCGTCAGTCTCCGGGAAAGACGCTGGAGACACGGCACAGGTACTCACATCGTACCACTGCGGCGGGGGCGACGTCTGGTGGCGGCGGATACGCTCGGGGCGCGTCGACGTCGACGTGCGTCCCCACGTGCTGTCGGCCTCGTCGAAGGTTTCGGCCTCGCTCTGGGGGAGGATGGCGCCGGGTCAGCATCCGACGCTCTCCGGAATAGAGCCGCTGCGGCTACTCACGATGGCCTCGCTCCTTGGCAAGCTTTCCCAGCTGTTGCTGTCGTGGGAGCGGTGGGTGTAGGTGACGTTCTGTGGTCAGAGGAGCGCAGTGAGCATCGCTGCGTCCATGTGCCGAGAACAACGGGAAGCGAATTGACCTGGTCATCGTCGTGGTGGCCGAGGCGGCGGAAGAATCTCTTGACCTTGGAGCCGCGACTCTGTTTGGACTGGGTGGGCTGCGAAACCGACTGAGCAAACGATGCGGAGCTGAAGCTGGGAGGGACCGCTACTGACCGACACCTGGTAGTGGCGGACGTCGATGCTGGAGGAGTGCATTGTGTATGGGTGGGGAAAATGTGTGTGTTGGGCGAGTGAGTGCTGTGGATACGACTGGATGTGGGTTGGTGAGGATGATCCCGCTCGTCGACGGGTGCTTATATGCGTCGAGCAGCTCGGGCACATGCTCGAGCAGAACCTTCGCGCCAAGGGAGCTGCGGGAAGCGTGGAGTGCTTGGCCGAGCTTTGTTTGGCCGCGATGGAGCATAGAGTTGCGAGCGAGCACAGTCGCACTGCCCCGAAGACGACCTCGAAATACGTCCGATCGTCATTTTGCGTGTGCGCTGCCGCGGGGTGGGTTCCCCGCTACCTGATCTGGTAAGTGTTGTAGAGATGATGGATCCGGGTACCTGAACACTGTGCCGACCCCATGCTCCTTAGCCATGATCCGGGGAATGACGTGCACGCTGACGGACTCTGCTGTGCCGTAGATTGTGAATACAGCGCCGATCCTGGGATGACGTCAGTTCTCCGGGCGCGCTACGCCTCCGCTACAACTAGAGAGAGAGAATAATAGTCAGCAGTCGCTGGGAAGTCAGCAGTGATAACGAAGGGTTGGTACTGTGCACCCCTCTTCTGCGCTCAGCATTCCCAGCCCAAGCTGGTCTGGGCGTGGAAAGCCGGGCCACACAAGGAAGCTGGTGTGCATTCGTTAAGACCGTGTATCCACTGGGCGGGACTGCCCAGTCGCGGAAGATTGAATGCTTTTTGTGACCCGCAGCGCTGGAGGAGGCGACGTGGGGCGTCCGTGGGACCGGGACTCCCCACGGCGCAGGCAGGGAAGCCATCGAGCAGAATTTCAGACTCAAGTGACCAAGCGGGCCAAGACATGCGCAGAGGACTTTGGCGTTGTGTGGGGAGAGGCAGACAGACAAGGCGCCTCAGCGTGTTGCTCCTTCTGGCATTATAGACGCTCGTTGTCTATGCTGACTCGGCGCTCTCTATGCTCCCATGTTGCACCATTTCTGGTGTCTCGGTTTCTTGTCCGCGGTGAATTAGCTCCGCCAAGTATTGTACGGAGGCAGGTGCCTGGAGGCACCTGGCCATCTGACGTGCGATCCGTAGATATACCAGCACCAGGTCAATCGTGCTCAGATGTGCATGAAGGATATGATGAATTCCATCCTGAGTGCGCAGATTCTTTCTCATTGGACCGACTTCCGTAGGGCTCAAGCCGGGTTTGATGTGCTCGGGTCTGCTCGGGTAGCTCGGCACACAAGCAAATTCAAACTCAGCTTCTTGTGCGGGCGCGCCCACCTGAGACATCGCACAAGTTGTGAGCCGATCAGAGCCGACGCGAGCCGACGCGTAGAGACGAGCCGTCAGGGCAAGCGTTGGACCCTGTCGGAGCGCCCGTCGCGCCCGACTCCTGCGCGACGCGCGCCGTGCAGCTCGCTCGTCATCGCGCATGCCCGCACGACGCGACGAGCACTGCGATGAGCACGCGCTCGTCCATGCCGACTACGTCGCGCGCGGTGCTGCCAGAATATTTGCTCCGCTGGAGGAGGACAAGGGACGTGGCCGCCTGCTACGACGCCAGTCGCGCCGACAGGCACGTCGACAGTGTGGACGCGCTCGACCGCCCAGTGCCAGCTCGGGCGCATGGACTCAGTTTTAGACTTCGCGATCGAGTCCGCTCGGGCTCGCAATCGGGGCGCGTTGTCTCCAAGAAACTTGAAGCGCGCGGTGGTGGGGCGGACGAGCATGGCCGCCGGCGAAGTGCAGCGCGAAGCGTAACACCATTTTGAGGACGACGACGAGCGGCGCCGTGTCTTGAATCCGCACAGGGCTGAAGCGCGGGGAAGACGCTGCGAACACGAGATCGCATCCGACATGCTCTTGTCGACGACGAGCTCAACGTTGTCCATCGCCCCCGCGAGCATCTCCGATGGCCGCGGCAGCGCACGCAGCGCGGCCTCATCCATGAGCTCCTGCGCCCACCCCTGCTGTGTCGCAGAGGCCCATTCCACCGCCCAGTCCCACCAGTCGTAGACGTGCGTGTCCGCGAGGAGCCGCGTCTGGCCTGCGCCGCGGTCCAGATGCACGGGAGCACCGCGCGCGCGCGACGTCGAGCCCGTGCACCATGTGGATGCTGCCCTGCGCGCCGAAAGAAAAGAGGACTGAGGTCAGCGAGCGTGAACTTGAATGAAGTCTTGTCTTCCCATATCGGGGCGCGCGCTGCGTGGTTGGGCTCCGTGCTCCCCCGTCGAGAGCGCGAACGTACGGACGTTGATGGGTTCCCTGTGTCATCAAGCTCCAGCGCGTATGCATGCCCAACGCACTGCATAGGGCCACCGCTCGTAAGTTCTTTGGCGCTTCAGTGCGCGACGAAGCGGGCGCCGCAGTCGGCGTGGATGAGCGCGTGCTCATCGCAGTGCGCGCGCGAGGACGGTGGTGCGCGAGTGGACGACGCGTCGTGTGGGCACGCGCGATGCCAGCTGCAGGTCGCGCAGGGGTCGCGCGCGATGGGCGCGATGGGCGCTCCGACAGCCATCAACGCGTGCCCTGACGGCTCGTCTCTACGCGTCGGCTCGCGTCGGCTCGCGTCGGCTCACAACTTGTGCGATGTCTCAGGTGGGCGCGCCCGCACAAGAAGCTGAGTTTGAATTTGCTTGTGTGCCGAGCTACCCGAGCAGACCCGAGCACATCAAACCGGCTTGAGCCCTACGGAAGTCGGTCCATTTTTCGCGCATGCTCCATTCTTCGCCTTTGTCTGGCGCGGCACGCATTCATCATGGATTGTGGCATAGACAGATATGTCTCCAAGTATTGAGGAAGACAGAAGGGTTGCTCAATATATACGTATATCAACACCAGCATTGATCGGTCATAAGACATTGCCACCGATCTATCGGGAAATCCCTCTCCGCAAATCACCACGTTCGTGTGCAGTGACTGGTATGCAACACCAGACGGAAGATTGCTGATTCTACCCTCTGGTCGGCCCGAGGCAACCGGGTCACAAGGTGGAATCGCTATGCACTGGACGATCTTTCAGACTCGGCCGCGGTCGAGTCTTCCAGGCGACACGTCGGTGACAGCGAGGTTGATGCCGCTGTGCAGCGGCGGTGTGCGCAACGTTGAGCACACGACAAAGTTTGTGCCATCTTGACAGATGACTGAAGAAGCACTGCACACCTGACCGGAGGAGCGCAGGCGTAGGGTGGACTGCCCTCGAGCGAGGAGGGCCAGTGGAGGACGGGTTAATGAAGAGGGACCAGGCACAATCGCGCGCGCCTGTGGGGGCAGAGGGAGTCGTCGGCGGGCGGCTAGAGATTGGACGGAGCGTGATAGGCTGGCCGGGTTCGCTCATTGATTGCAGGCCTTTTGGCAACGCTGGGAGCGTCGACGGTGCCCTCGCCCGCTCCATGACGGCCCTCCCACCCTCGCTTCCCTCCCCCGCCCTCTTCAGCCCCGCCCGGCACCGCCTGCCCTTCCCTTCCTTTGCCCCGCCCACAAAGCCCCGCGCACCCTCCCCGCGCGAGGTGCCGTCTTCCCCGTCATGCTCCTTCCGCTCGACGTCCTTTCCCTCGTCTTCTCCGCTTGGTCTCTCGCCGGCATTGCACCCGCCCACGCCGCTCTCCTGAACGTGACCATAGACGACTCCCTTGGCGACTCCCACACAGGCGCTCTCATCGCGTATGAGCCGCCTACCCGCTGGAGCGCAGGCCGGAACTGCACAGACTGCAGTGCGAACCTCGACCATTCCAAGGTCCTCGACGGCACCTGGCATGAAGCACTCTTCACTTCCACCCACGAGCGCGACGGGGTCGCGGATGTGCCGCTCATCGCTTCGGCCAAGTTTGAAGGTGCGTTTCTGCAAATCCTCGCGCGCTCGCGCATACACCCTGACCTCTGGACCCGCACCACTCCTCCTCCTCTCAGGCGTCGCGCTCTATGTCTTCTGCGTTGTAGCCCACACGTCAGGCAACACCGACCTGCGCTTTTTGCTCGACGGCGAACATGTCGGCTCGTTCGTACAACCGCCCATTGGGAGCTCGCATTTCGAGTACAACGTCCCTGTCTACGTCAACGAGTCCATCTCCCCCGGCGAACACACGCTCTCGATCATCAATGGCCAGCCGTTAGGAAACGAGTCTCTTGTCCTGCTCGACTACATCGTATACTCGTCAGTTTTCGTTTTCCCAGCGCTATTTTCGGGTGCCGTGTCTGATGTTGATTTGCCTCCGCACAGACGAGAAGACTCTACAGTTGGTTCCCAGACGCAACAGGCCACGTCCTCGATGCCTACTACCCTCCTCTCCTCCGTCGCAGCCCTGCCCGGCAATTCCGCATCCTCAAGTGCAAGCCTTTCCATCCGCGCTGTTGCCGTGGGCGCCATGAGTGCCTCCCTCAGCTCCCAGACCCGCACGATCATCATCGCGGTTGTCGTCTCCGTGGTTGGCCTCGCCCTCATCATCGTCGCTATCGCGCTCACCATCTACTGCGGCCGGAGACAGTACAAGACCCACGACGCCCGAGGTGGCAATGGCAACGGCGTCCTTCCAGGGAGTGCGGGTCCAATAGGCGAGGATCCCGGCACGAGTGGTTGGGCGCAGGGAACCTGGGGTGGTGAGTTGTCCCCGGACCTCCCGTTGTCTTCCGGACGGCGTACGCCGCCGACGAAGCGGAAGCGCGGGCCTTCGACGACGAGCTCCCGTGACGGCCTCCCACACCTCCACTCCGACCAGCCCCCGTTCATGCCGGGCCCGTACGGCCTCCAAAACGCCCCCGTCCCGCCGCGCGTGCAGCATTCGCAGTCGCGCACGTTCGGGTCCGACCGTGTGAGCAGCCCGACGTCGTCCTTTGGGAACATCAACGGCACTCTCCCCGGCCCCGACCCGATCCCGCCCGTGCCCCCACTTCCCCCTACTGCTGTCTCTGCTGCGCACCGCTACCCACAGGCGATACCCAGCAGCGGCTCTCGCACGCACCTCGGCGCGGAGCCGGAAGACGACTTCCTCGACATGGGCCGCCCCGCGTCCATGTACTCCGCCGCGGACGCGCTCACACACACGCACCCAAACGCGCAACAGCCGCCCGAGCTCCCCCCACAGAATACGACGCTCGCCGCGCACCGGGCGCACCCGTTCGCGACGGCACAGGCGTACCTGCCGTCGTCGTACAACCCCCCACGGCGGACGCCGACAGCGTCCACGAACAACACGACGAACACTGCCTCCGCGTACTCGAACTCGAACTCGAACACGAGCTCCACGGCCGCGACGACCGCACCCCCATCGGCGTCGGTGTCGGCCCTCGCGGCCGCCCAGCGCGGGCCGTCGCGCAAGAGGGCCGGCTCGAACGCGTCCCAGACAGGGGAGCGCGACCGTGAGCGCTCGAGGGACCGGGACGGACGCGGTGTCTCTCCTGCCCCTTCCCAATCAAGCATTGGGCAGGTCGCCACGACGGTCGGCTCGGGCAACTCTACAACAACGACGCCGACGAGCACGACGACGCTCATGCCGAAGCGCGCCCCCAGCGCCCCGCGGCGCGTCGACCCGGTGGACCCGAGCCTGCGCATGCTGCCGAGCCAACAGGCGCAGACGCAGCGCGACGCCGAACGCGAACGGGGCCGCGAGCGCGAGCTGCAGCGGCACCGCGCCCTCGAGCGCGAACAGCGCGAGCGCGAGCGGCTACGCGCCCTCGAACGGGAGCGGGCGCGCACGCGTTCGGACACCGAGCCGCGCCAGGCTCCCAACGAGTCCCGGCCGCAACCTCACTCGGAGTCGGACGGGGAGGGCACCGGGCGCCGCGGCGGGCGGCGGCGAGGTGTGATGTTCTCCGAGCAGCAGGGCGAGCAGTTCGGCTTCGTGGACGTGCCCAAGGGCGTCAGCCTCGAACTCGACGGGGCGCCGTCGTTCGAGCGGCGGGCGCGGTGAGCTCCGTCGTCGTCGGATCCTCGGTCCGCACGGTGCTCGACTCGCAGCCCCGGAGCTTGATTGAAGCCTAGGGCGTTAGGAAGGAGGTATGTCCGCATCCTTCCAATCATAGTCCTTTCAGGGTGCGCTTTTGGGGCCATAGATGCGCACGCTCGATGTGCGCGCTGTGGGCGCGGGTCGGCACTGGCACTGTCGCTCGCCGCGTCCGCGCGAGTCTGTTTATTGCGTCATTATTGCTGTATCTCATAGCTGTCCTTTTATTCTGTTCTTGTGTCACTCCCCCGTTGTATCCCGACGACCGAGCCCCATTTCGTTTCGCGTAGACGTCGCCTCGGTTCCTTCTTCTGATGTTGTGTTCATTTGCCTGTCATGGCCTTACCACCCTTTCCCCACCCCGTCATGCCAGATATCCGTACTGTACCCTACATATTCACTACTGCTACTCCTCCGTACTCAGAACTCAGTCGCAACCACTAAGTTATCACTATCACGGCCACCCCCACGACCGCTACCGTCGTCTCGGGCTCCCCTCTCCCCTCCACGCCCACATTCACCCATCTCAATAGCCGGCACATACGAGTCCACACGCACCGCCTCGTGCGTCCCTTCCTTGTGTAAACTTGCTCAATACAACTCCCCCACGCTCGCTCGCCCCCCACCCACCGTTTCGGTGTGTCCGGCATCCGCCGTCAACAGCGCGATCGGGCCTCGTGTGCGTGTGCAACGGAGAGTCGTGCGGTGTGGCATTCAAGGAATCGCTCGTAGGCTGTGAGGCTGGCTATGGTACACAATACGACACGTGCGGGTATACGGTAGACATTTCGTTTGCGGACGGTCGTGAGCGTCCGCCGTCCGGGACCCCCAAAATCGAGAGGGCTAGGAGGACGAGGGAGACGGGGGAGAGGCATGTGGTGCGGGGAGACAACGATAGCGTACACGGCGCCGGCTCGCGCGACCGGACGCACGGTACTCGACCGGGCGACTCGGTTCGGGCTCGGCGCGAGAGCTCGAGGGCGATGTCCGTGGAACTCGAACCCAAGCTCCGACGAATCACTTGCGCAGCCCGCGGTGGCGGGCGGGGGCGGTGGCGGGGCTGCCCCAGCCGCAGTTGTCGTCGTCGAGCATCTCCGCCTGCGTGCAGGTACTGCGGTCAGCATTGGACGCGCGATCGAGCGAGCGGGAGTGGGGCTCACCATCGACTGTGCGCCCGCTGTGGACGCGGTCGTCGGCTGGCGCGTCGGCGGCGCGGCCATCGGGGGCTGCAATGCAAAGCGCGGTCAGCGACGTCGACGGATTGGACGGACCGGGGGGACGGAGACTTCGAGAGAGGGCAGGGCAGGGCGTGCGAACGCGAGTGCGGGGCACGGGCGGCACGCCGCACAGCGGGTCGGGAGGGCGAGGGTCGAGAAGCGCGGACGGGGTTCGAAGAAGGAAGGCAAGGATGGGGAGGGGGACTCACGAGGGAGATGATGTAGCTCGGGGGCTCGACGGACTCGACGGAGTCGAGCGAGCGGCGCCGGCGTGAGGAGTCGCTGCTGGAACGCTGTAGGACGGGGTGTGTGTCAGCTGTGGTGTTGCTAGGAGCTGCGAGGGTGGCAGGGAGAAAGACGAGGACGCACACTTGAGCTGCGGGAGCGGAAGGAGAAGCGCTTGGTGAAGGACGTCATGATTGAGGCAGGGGAGGAGGAAGGACGGGCGGGGGCGAAGGCGAAGGCGGGGTTGGGCGCGAGTATCGGGCGTACGGGGCGAACGTTATTTTGTCTGTCGGAGGGCGGGTCGAGTCGGGGACGGGTCGTGCGCGGTACAGCAATGCGGGGCGGGTATTCGGTCGATGCCTGCGAGAGGATGGGGAGAGCGGGGAGACCACCCGCCCCGGCAGCCTATATACTCCTGCCAGCCCGCGCGCATGGCGCCCGGCTGAGCAGCGCGATGCCGCTCTCCTCGCGCTAAACCAAAATCACCATGCCACCGCCGCCGGTGCGCCAGCGGGGAACCCTGGACGGGGATAGGATCGAAGACCAGGTTAGGCCGTACGCGCTGCGAACCGAGAGGCTCGTGAGCTGCTGACGGACGGGCGGGCGCTGACATACCCCGCACCGTGACCCGGCTCAAGACGCGCGCTGACATGCGCCGCGTCGTGACCTGCGTGCCTCCGGCTCTCCGGTCGCGCGCACGCGCTTGCGCCCGTTTGTCGAGAGCGCGGGCCCCGGCGAACGTAACACGGAGCACGGAACGCCCGCGCCATCTCTTGCACGATGTTCCGCGGCACGGCGCGGGGGGCAGCTGACCGGGCGCATATGCCGCTGGACAGGCACAGGCTAGTGAGGGTGCGGGGCGAGGCGGGGGAGCGCGAGGGCTGTGCCGCCGCTAAGCACCTCATCCGTGACCCGGGCGGGTGGTGCTACATGTTTTTCCCGCATACGGGTCCGCGACTCCCAGGCCGTGGCTGGCCCGGACATCCGATGCGCAGACGCAAAGGCTGGTAATGCGGTCTCGTGACCGGCTTTTGGGCTTCGTCAGAGGCCTAGGGCGGTCAGCGGGGAGGGGTCGGTCAGACGCACCAGTAGTCCAGGGACTAGGCTGCGGCGAAAGGGCGGGGAGAAGATACGTCGGCGGACGTACCCCTGGCCTTGAAGGCTCGCGGCACGGCGTCTGGGCGGTCCAGAAGGAGCAGAGACAAGATTCAATGAAGGAAGACGGATGGATGTGAAGACCGCGTGCCAGGCTGGTAAGAAGCAGGGCCGTAAATCGGCAGAGGCAACGCTGGGGTGTAAAGATACTGGACCGACTTCCGTAGGGCTCAAGCCGGGTTTGATGTGCTCGGGTCTGCTCGGGTAGGCTCGGCACACAAGCAAATTCAAACCCAGCTTCTTGTGCGTGCGCGCCCACCTGAGACATCGCACAAGTCGTGAGCCGACGCGAGCCGACGCGAGCCGACGCGTAGAGACGAGTCGTCAGGGCACGCGGTGGAGCCCATCGGAGCGCCCGTCGCGCCCGTCCGCCGCGCGACGCGCGCCGTGCAGCTCGCTCGTCATCGCGCATGCCCGCACGACGCGACGAGCACTGCGATGAGCATGCGCTCGTCCACGCCGACTACGTCGCGCGCGGTGCTGCCATAATATTTGCTCCACTGGAGGAGGACAAGGGAGGTGGCCGCCTGCTACGACGCCAACCGCGCCGACAGGCACGTCGACAGTGTGGACGCGCTTGACCGCCCAGTGCAAGCTCGGGCGCATGGGCTCAGTTTTAGACTTCGTGATCGAGTCTGCTCGGGCTCGCGAGTCGCAATCGGGGCGCGTTGTCTCCAAGAAACTTGAAGCGCGCGGTGGTGGGGCGGACGAGCACGGCTGCCGGCGAGGTGCAGCGTTTGAGGACGACGACGAGTGGCGCCGTGTCTTGAATCCGCACAGGGCTGAAGCCCGGGGAAGACGCTGCGAACACGAGATCGCATCCGACATGCTCTTGTTGACGACGAGCTCGACGCTGTCCATCGCTCCCGCGAGCATCTCCAGTGGCCGCGGCAGCGCACGCAGCGCGGCCTCGTTCATGAGCTCCTGCGCCCATCCCTGCTGCGTCGCAGAGGCCCATCCCGCCGCCCAGTCCCACCAGTCGTAGACGCGTGTGTCCGCTTGGAGACGCGCCGCCGTCCAGATGTACAGGAGCACCCCGCGCGCGCGACGTCGAGCCCGTGCACCACGTGGATACTGCCCTGCGCGCGGAAAAGAAGGGGAACTGGGGCCAGCGAGCATGGCGAAAAAACTTCCGTCGTCCCAGGTCGGGACGCGCGCGGCGTGGTTGGGCTCCGCGCACCCCTGTCGAAGGCGCGAACGTACGGACGTTGACGGGTTCCCTGTGCCATCAAGCTCCAGCGCGTATGTATGCCCAACGCACTGCATAGGGCCACCGCTCGTAAGTTCTTTGGCGCTTCAGTGCGCGACGAAGCGGGCGCCGCAGTCGGCGTGGACGAGCGCGTGCTCATCGCAGTGCGCGCGCGAGGACGATCGTGCGCGAGTGGACGCGTCGTGCGTGCACGCGCGATGCCAGCTGCAGAGGTCGCGCAGGGGTCGCGCACGACGGGCGCTCCGACAGCCTTCAACGCGTGCCCTGACGGCTCGTCTCTAAGCGTCGGCTCATGTCGGCTCTGGTCGGCTCACGACTTGTGCGATGTCTCAGGTGGGCGCGCCCGCACAAGAAGCTGGGTTTGAATTTGCTTGTGTGCCGAGCCTACCCGAGCAGACCCGAGCACATCAAACCCGGCTTGAGCCCTACGGAAGTCGGTCCACTGGTCATATGGTGGAAGCTATCAAGCCACTCACGGAGTGTGCTAGGACGGACGCTCATGTCAGACAGATCGTCGATGTGTCTCTGCTGCGCAAACGCTATGAATGACGCTTGGACTCGTCATGTGCGAGGACCTCGATACACTACAACGGTGACAGGGGGTTTCAGCAATAGGTCACGTACGCATCGTAGTGTTCGTCGATGATTGCCGCGTCTCAGTTGGCTGTTCAGTGAACGCCGGGGCTGAGCCTGACTGTGCCCTGTTGACACAACCGTGTCGTTCAAAGTGTTCAAGATAAGCAAGTGTCGGGGCCGCCTGTGAGAGGCGTATACAACTCACGCGCTGCACAAGTCCTAGCTTCATAGACGAGCGCCGGTGTTTCTCAGCCTGCAAAGGGTGAACATGTAGCCCAGATTCGTCACCAGTCCCATTCATTGCTCATACACATCTGGGCAGGTGAAGTACACGGTGCCTCGTACGAGACCCTGATTCTGTGCCGTGACACAGGTCCATGGATTGGGTACAGAGCTTCCGAGCGGTGCCGGTTCGGTTGACGAAGCGCGTAGCAGTAGTGTCTCATCTAACGAATTAGTCTCATCTGGGATGAACGGTAGAATCATAGATGGAGCGCTTAAGTCGATATCGGCGAGGAGTAACCCTGTCCCGAGCGTCGATGTGGCAATTCTGGTGTGAGAGCCAGTCGTATAAGACAAGACATCGCTGAACATGGAGTCCTCACAAGCCAAGTCTTCGCGGAAGAAATCGGATCGTGTACTGTATACGAAGCGTCAGCACGGGCAAGTCCGGATGTAGCACTACGAACCAATACATTGGCTAGACATGAGGACAGTATCTGACATACCTGCGGCGTTATCCACGCATCCGAGACCACCCGCTGCGCACTAGGCATGACAAGGAAAATGCGGAAGGATTCCACCGTCAAAGGTCTCTCGCGATAGAGAATAGCCCGAGTTCAATCAATTGGGGACCAAAGTTCGTGTGGACACCAGCCATACAGAAACACGAGTCATGAATGGGTGGCCAAAGGGTCAATTGTGGAAAATGCACGGAACGCGATGGTCGAGGGGGAGCCGGGGAGGGAGATCAATCGATTGGCAAGTGCTGGGGTCCTGGTCACCTACAAATCAGTAGTAGTCAAAAGCCTGCCTTGGAACCTTGAACTTGGCTGAGCTTCACCGCGGACAAGAAACCGAGCACCCAAAAAAACGATGCAGGGGATTGAGAACGCCGAGCGTGCCGAGCGACAACAGTGCGCAGGCGTCGAGGAAGAGGAAGAGGCGTCTATATTGCCCTAGGCGCCTTCTCTCTCCGCCTCTCCCCACACAACGCCAAAGTCCTCTCCGCATGTCTTGGCGCGCTTGGTCACTCGAGTCTGAAAGTGCACTCAATGGGCTTCCGTGCCTGCGCCGTGGGGAGTCCCAGTCCCACGGGCGTCCCACGTCGCCCTCTCCAGCGCCGCGGGCCACGGAGAGCATTCAATCTCCCGCGACTGGGCAGCCCCGCGCAGTGGATGCACGGTCTTAACGGATGCACACCACCTTCCCGGCTTCCTTGTGTGGCCCACGCCCAGACCGGCTTGGGTTGGGAATGCTGAGCGCAGAAGAGGGGTGCGCAGCACCAACCCTCCCTTATCGCTGCTGACTTCCCATCTGCATCCCGGTGACTGCTGACTAGTATTCTCTTTATCCAGTTGCAACGGAGGCGTAGCGCACCAGATGAACGGACGTCATTCCATGATCCACAGCTCCATCAGCGTGCACGTCATTCCCCGGACCATGGCTGGGGACTACGGGGCTCCGTGGGGTCGGCACAGTGCTCAGGTACCCGGATTCATCGACTCTACAACACTTACCAGATCAGGCAGCGGGGAACCCACCCCGCAGCAGGCGCACACGCAAAATGGCGATCGGACGTATTTCGAGGTCGTCTTCGGGGCGGTACGACTGTGCTAGCTCGCAACTCCATGCTCCATCGTGGCCAAACAAAGCCCAGCCAAGCGCCCCAGGCTGCCCGCAGCCCCTTGGCGCGAAGGTTCTGCTCGAGCATGTGCCCGAGCTGCTCGACGCATATAAGCACTCGTCGACGAGCGGGATGGTCCTCACCAACCCGCATCCACGCAATCGCATCCACAGCACTCACTCGCCCAACACATACGCATCCTCTTCCTTCTCCCCGCCGTATACAATGCACTCCTCCAGCCTCGACACCCGCCACCACCAGTCGTCGGTGAGTGGCGTCCCTCTCGGCCTCAACTCCGCATGATGTTCAGCCCGGTTATGCAGCCTACCCAGTCCAAACAGAGTCACAGCTCCAAGATCAAGCGATTCTTCCGCCGCCTCGGCCACCACGACGATGACCAGGTCAGCTCGCTTCGCTTCGCTCTCGGCACATGGACGTGCGATGCTCACTGCGCTCCTCTGACCACAGAACGTCACCTACATCCGCCGCTCCCACGACAGCAACAGCTGGGAAAGCTTGCCAAGAAGCGAGACCACCGTGAGTAGCTGCAGCAGCTCTAGTCTGGGGAACGTCTGATGCTGACCCGGTGCCATCCTCCCCTAGAGCGAGGCCGAGATCTTCGACGAGGCCGAGATCTTCGACGAGGCGAGATCCGACGAGGCCGACAGCGCCTGGGGACGCACGTCGACGTCGACGCGCCCCGAGCGTATCCGCCGCCACCAGGTGTCGCCCCCGCCGCAGTGGTACGATGTGAGTATATGCGCCATGGCCACAGCGCCTTTGCCAGAGCCTGACGTCCTTGTGTTATCGCAGGGCGCCGCTGAGCTCCTCGACGACGACAACTTGGCGTGGGGCGTCAAGCCGCACCACCACATCATCCACAGTCGCCGCCCTCATCGGCATTAGACCTTGTTGCGACTCCTCGGGATCGAAACAAGCGTCGCCCTTGTAATACCACACCGCTATCACATACCCCGCTCCAACCAGCGCAGCCGCCATTTTCCGTTTTTCAGGCGGAGTTAGGCTCCGCGCTGTCATCATGTCGTATTAGTAACATTCAGCTGCAGCGTTCGTTTATTCGCGATCCATCTGCCCATAACCACTCCGGCTCCCACCTGCGTCCGCAGATTGCGCGCGCAGTCTGTCTGTGTGATCCTGCACATCCATGCCAAGTCTCGGTGTCCAAACTTGCTCTCCCACTCCCTCTTGACCGTCGCCCGGTCGGACGTCTAAGCGTCGTGAGAATGGCGGTTCGGAGCGCCTGGCACGCGGGAAGTGTCAACGTGCCATTGCCATCGACTTGTCCCGTGTAGTTTCCGGCGGCCCTCGACACTGGACACCCGCCGCAGGCCACGGAGCGCCAGAGTGCAGTGGGAGACGGGACGTGTCGACGGGACACGGGGCGCGGCGCACGTCTCCGAACACTGGCGCGTGAAGTCTGGGGGACGGGAGATGCGGCCGAGGTGTGTGCTGTGGTTATAGACACTGCGACGTCATCACGTGCGACGACGACGACGGTCTCTGTCCATTCCGTACGAACTCGCTTCGACGAGGTCTGGTCTGTCGATGCGAGGAGTTGCGAGTGTTCCGGACTTGATGCAACGCAGTCCCGTTGGTGTGAATGTTAACGTCAAGCACAGTAGCCGCACAAAGCTCAAGCGAATGCCCTCAGATCGGCCGTGATACAGTCGCCATTGATCAATCCACGCACGTACCTCAATACAGCCCGTAACAATCCACACCGTAGGTAGTACATCACCGATGAACTTCGTCAATGCCAAACGGCGAATCCACATGCGCCCGCATAGGTTCTAAGAGCGCATTCAGATCCACTCTCCCCGCTCGACAACGACGTGCTCACCGCGCACCACACCACCTCCCACCGGCGTCGTCGTCGTCGACCTGATCGCATCGGAAGACACAGCGGACGCGGGGCCCGATCTCACCCCGACGGACACCGGTCTTGAGCTGCCCGCGTCGGCCGCGCGCATGTACTCCGCCGAGGGCGGCGTCCTTGCGCTCCTCCACCGTTTCCAGTACCAAATCGAGAAGCCGCAGATGGCTGCGAGGAGGAGGGGGCCGACGATGGCCACGGGTAAAATGATATAGAGGTTGGTCCTTGTGCTCGCCTGGCTCTGAGGGCTGGTTGAAGTGAAGGTGGGTTGCGGCTGGGTTTGGGTTTGGGTTTGGGTCAGGGAGACGGGAGTGGGTCGATGTCGGTGTTGCGTCTGCGTGGACGTCGGAATGCAGGATCAAAGGGCGGAGCAAAAGACGTACGTGTAGACGAGGTAGTCGACCACCAGGAGGGAGCCCGCACCCCCTTCAACGTCCCCGTTGAGGATGTCGAGGCGATGGGTCGCTTCGGGGAGGCTTTCATTTGCGTAGAGCAGTTGGTTGTAGCTGTAAGTGGTCGGTCCCGGTTGGGCGGAGAAGGTGAAATTATCGGAGAGAGCCGTGCCGTTGAGCCTGAACCGAAGCTGAGTAGAGGAGGTGCTGGCAAGGACACCGAAGACGTAGACCGAAGATCCTGCGTTGCCTATCGTGTTACAAGAAACATATTCTAGAAGCGAAATGCGAGGACTGACCGGTGAATGTCACGGTCGCCTTCACCTCCGAGGGCGTAACCGTGGGGTCTTTGGTGACGTTCGTTTGATGCCAGGTGTTGTACGTGACCTCGCCCGCTGGTAGGTCAAGGGCGCCGTCACAGCCAGTAGTGCACGTCGCATTGCCGCCGTCCATGCGCCGGACGGAGAGTAGATGAAGTATTCGAAGAGGGCGTCGCGATAGTAGTCGTCGATCGTGATGTTGACGAACTCAGCAGAGACTGTGAGGATAGCGGACGTGCAAATCCAGATCAAGAGCAAGAGAAAGGACAGTGGGGCCATGTGCATGAGACGTCGAGGAGCCGAGGGTACCATGGGCGAAGGGGTGGTAGAAGGGGCCCTCGGCGGGGGTCGATGGGTGTGTCCAAGAGAGCGGACTTGGAGAGTGATTGCGGCCGCGATGGACGAGCCGCACCCGCGCCCATCGACATCTGTGCTCTGACAGCAGCCATCACCCGTTATCAGCTCGGTGTTGAGAAATGATCATGTGGTAGCCCCGGCCGCCACAAGGAACACATCCTCCTCCTCCTCCTGACGCCGACGGCCGCGCTCACCGCACTCTGACCTGTCCTTGATCGCGAGCAGGCCCCGCACACACATTAAAGACGCTGCTCTCCATCTTCCTGCCGTCCCCAGGTCATCTTCTGTGCTCGAGCCAACCCCTGAATCCCATCAGCAAGCACCGCCCGAACCTCATCAACCTGGACAAGAACACTCGCACCAGGCTTTCCGCAAGGGCGCGTCTACCCACACTCCCCGACTCATCACCGACAAGAACGGCCTCGAGTGGACGGGCACGATCTCCATTGGCACCCTTGGCCAAAACTCCCTCATTGACTTCCACAGGCTCAGCTGATCCCTGGGTTTCTCTTCGTCGTGCACCAGCGCATACGCGCTCGTCAATGGTAACGTCGCCGTCGGCAGATTCGAAACGTTTCTTGACTCGGGAACCACCCCCATCCGTCGACAGCGCGATGGTCTATATGGCGAATCCACCCAGGGCGAATACTACTCGAAGTACCATTGCCACTCGCTCCCCCAGGTCGTGTTCAACTCGGGCGGCCACTTGTGTATCTTCAACCTCGGCGAGACCGCCGGCCCCGGCAAATGCGCGATCGTGGACCTCGGTCTCGGCCACTCGTTCATGACCAACGTACTTACATATGTACACCGCGTTCTCGTTCGACGACACCGCCGCCCTCACGTGAGCGCCAGGCACTTGCGTGCTGTGCACTTGTCCCAACTCTGTAGGACTTGCATCCGACAGCGCTCCGGTGCACTTGACAGCATCGAGGTAACCTTACCCATCAGGCGTGGAAGTGCGGCGAACGCGGACAGCGCGAAGGCACCGCTTGCGGTTTGACATAATGCCAATTCGATCCTCGCACCCACGCTCCCTGCGGCTCCTGACAGGTTCACTGGCAGGCAGATATCACCTTCGTCCCTCGGGTCGCGACCGTCTTTCCCCCCATCCCAATGTCGCCTCGGACCACCCCCTCGGCCGTTCTCGCTCTTGTAATCCTTGCGCTCCGGCTGTCCCCCCCTGCGGCGGCCCAGGGCACCTTCGGCGCCGGGCCTGGCACGAACGCGACATGTGGACCTGCTTACGACTGGGTGCGTCTTTTTTTGTTGCCCGCGATCGTCCGTGCGTTGAACGGGTGTGCAGATGGACAATCACCTCTCCCCGCCACAATCCCCATGCTACGTTGCTTCCTTCCTGCTCTCCGAGTGCAGTTCACCCGCTTGTACGTGTCCTACTTCATTCCCCGTTCCATTTCGTTTCCACATGCGCCATCATCCAACCCCAGTCACATGCGATTCTGACTTCCCGGTGTCTCCGCAGCCTCATGGGTTTACCCGCTCGGTGACGGCCAGATCTACACCATCCCGACTGCGGACGACACCGACATCCAATGTGTTTGCAACTCGGTGTGGTACAACATCATCGAGGCTTGCGCAACTTGCCAGGGCCAGAGTGTCAACGTCCCACCGTGAGTGGTCGCCCCGTCTGCGCGCCGATCTGCCCGCATGTGTTCGCAAATTCGGGGCTAATAACACGTCCGACGTGGACCCCAGATGGCTCATGTACACCGCGGCGTGCAAGACCGCGAACGCTGGCCCCACGATCGGATCGTACGTTGCCTGTCTTCAAGTGACGAGTGCCGCAGACACGACTAGGCTAAACACGTCCTTCCGCGTGCAGCATCCCGCGAGGCTTTCCCATCCTCACCGGCATCCCTTCCTGGGCCTTCCTAGACCCAACAGTACGTCCTTCCCCGGCACCCGTCGCGTTCTCATCCCGATGTCTCGCCCTGCACAGCTCACGGGCACCTTCGACGCCTCCGCGGCCTCCTCCGTCGCGCTGTCCAACCCGACCGACTCGACCCAAGTCCGCTCCTCCACCGCATCCTCCGCCACCTCCACCTCCTCCACACGGACGACCGCGAGCGCCGACCCCGGCTCTCCTTCCAACGGGTCCGACAACGCCTCCAGCTCCAGCGGCGCCAAGAGCGACGTCGGCCCGATCGTCGGCGGCGTCGTCGGCGGCCTCGCCGCGCTCGCGCTCGTCGGCGGCGCGACGTACCTCCTTCTCCGTCGCCGCCGCGCGCGCGAGACGTACCCCGGACCGTCGCACGGGCAGTTCGATGTCGCACCGCCGCCGCCGCCGCCGATGAGCATGTACGGCGGCAGCGCGGGCACCGGGTACGCCGCCGAACCCGGCGCGCAGCCGTACGGGAGCCCCGTCCCGGCCGAGAGGGAGCGCTCTCCGGACGCGTTGGTCCCGCCCAGGCTCTACGTGAGTGTCCCTGCTTCTTGTCGCGGTGACGAGCGTTGAGCGTGTGCATGCGCTACAGGACCCCAACGACCCGTCGACGTTCCCGAACGCGCAGGCGTACCACGCGGATTCGGCACGATCGCCGACAACACAGGGTAGTGCACGGGGTAGTGCACAGGGTGCGCAGTTGGGCTACAAGGGCATCCCCGAGATGTAGTTCGGCTCGTGGAACGGACTGGCATCCCCATTCACTCTCGTGCGGTTTTGTGTATTATACATGTTTCGTGCGTACCTTACCTGTTTAATCACGTTGTTGCATAATTATGATCAGACTTCATAATGCTCATCGACACTTTCAATTCTCTGACGACGACGAGGAATAGCTGCAGTAGTTTAGTATCTCATGCCCGAATATTCTTCTGAGCGGGAGAGACGGAGACAGGTGCCGTGCTTGAGGCTGTGGTTGTCCTACACCAGGATGGTTGTTGCGATTGCGTGCTAGTGCGCTCTACCAGTATACATAAAGGGGAACGGCCTTGCGCTCGTGCTCCCCGACCTTGCATCCTTCTCCATCATAGTACGTACAGGCAGGCTCGTCGAGGGAGGCCAAAGGGTCGGTAGGCGCGAGGTGGTCGAGCACGAACACGGTGCGCTGGTCGGGGACCTCGACTTCAAACCAGAAGACGGGAGTGCGGCTGTGGACAGGCCATCAGTGGATGGCTCTTGAAAGCTTGACGGCTGGAAGAATATGGCATCGTCACGCACCACATTCCACGGCTCACACTATTGGACGATGCTTGCATCTCGCACGCAGGCAGCGCATGGTGCGCGGAGAGAGGAACGGAAACTCCATTTACTACTCTGACGTAGAGACTATGCGTGAGAGCACCCGCGGGTCGAGGGTCGGGGCCGTATCGTATATACCGGTATCAGAGGGGGACACGGACTGTTTCAGATTACAGATTGAGAGACGATTCCGGGATGGGGATGGGGGGTTTGTTTGGGAGAACGAGGCGAAAGGAAATGCATAATGGGCCGTGCACCGAAGCGAGGCGGCGGGGACGAACGCCCGCGAACGCGATAACGGAGGAGCACGGGAACAGAGAAGAGAAGGTGACGAAAAATATTCTTTGGGCGGGGTGGGGGTAGAGACGGTATCCGGAGAAGGTAAGACGCGTGTGCCGAAGTAACGAGGCGGCTGGGGGTCGAAAGCCAAGTGGATAAAGAACGAGCAACCAATAGCCCAAGGTCCGCGCGCATGCCCACGACAGGCGCCCGAGGCTGCCTGTGCGCGCACGCGCCGCCCGCTGGGGCCCGCGATCACCTGCGAGCGAACGGGGAGGTGGAGAGGAGGGGGAAGGAAGGGGAGGGAAGTTGAACATTGCCCGTGCGGAGAACGGTTTTACTGGACGGCCAAGACAAAGAGCGCGCCGGGGCGAGGAAGGCGAAGTCGAGACGAACTAGTGTAATCGCAGAGCATTGTGCAGGCGGAGGCGTCGTTCGGTAGGAGAAGGCGAAAGCGGGGGTGGCGAGGCGATAGCGAGCACGATGTACAGAGTGAGGGTATCCAAGCAGCCGCCGAATGCTACATGGTGTGCGCGGGCGGCGACGCAGGGTATGTGTTGTCGATCTCTATGTTACTGTCTGGCTTGGAACGCGTCCCGCTCATGCGGAGGCCTCGACTTCGCCCGATGGGGTTTCGGCCACCTCGACGATAGTCTCCTCCTTGATCACGTTTTCGCCTTTGATGATGTTCTCGCCTTCGGGAGGCTCGATCGCGCTCGGCGGCTGCGAGCTGCCTCCGCCACGGCGCCCACCGGAACCGCCCTGCGGGCCGGAGCGCGGAGGGTTTGCGCAGCGGTCCTTGCCGTGCGCGATGCGCAGGTTCGCGTAGTCGGGCTTGTTCTTCACACCGTCGATCGCCTTGATCGCGTTTGCGATGTTCGTGAAGTTGACGAACGCACAGTTCCTGTGATCGAACTATCAGCATCTATCCTACACGACGATCCTGGAGATCGACTTACTTCTCCTTCAGGAAGTTCACGAGCTCGATCTCGCCGTACTCCCCAAAGTCTCGCTTGAGCCTCTCCTCCGAAAAGGTGTCAAAGTCCTCGATGTTGCCAACATACACGTTGCGCGTCGCGCCCGAGTGAACCGCGAGCGCAAGCGCAGGCGGCAGCGGGCCCGAGTTCTTGCCCCAGCCAATCTTCAAGCGACGGTTGTTGAGCGTCAAGCCCTGGTACGAGGCCACCTGGAAGAACGTGAGGGACGCAGCAGGGTCCACGAACGTGACGAAGGCAATGTGCTTGTCCTGCATGTACCGCAGGCTCTGGAGGACACCACCACGGATTGCGTTGCACAGGTCCTCCGTCGTCGTCTCTGGGTGGATGTTGCCGAGGTAGACAGTCCGGTTCAGGCCCTGGCCGCCCGCGAGGCTCTGGAGCGCGTCAGGCGAGAACGGCATGTACGGTGTCAGCGGCGACGCGAAGGGGTTGGCGCCAGTCGCCGACAAGGGTGAAAGTACAGCCGACTGGGCGACAAGGGATTGTGCCGCCGCTGCCTGGGCTGCTTGCGCCGCGGCCTGCTGTGACTTGGGGATGTACGCGCAACGGTCTTTGCCGTAGTTGACACGCTTCCCTGCCCAGGCGGGTTCCGTCGGGAGCGTGTTCACGACCTTGGTAGCGGTCGAGATACTGAGGAAGTGGACGAAGCCGATGTTCTTGTCGCGAACGATCTTCACCTGGTCGATAAGCCCGAACCGGCTCAGGTCGTCTCGGAGCTGCTCCTCCGTCATCGCCTCCTCGAGCCCGCCAAGGTACACGTTACGGCTCGCGTTGCTCTGCTGGATCGCGAGCGCGACCTGGCTGGGCACTGGCGACGGCTTGCCCCAACCAATCTTGAGTTCCTGACCATGGAGCGCCAGCTTCTTGATGAGCGCATCGGCGTGGAAGGCCGCGGCGGTCGCACCATCGAGGAACGACAGGAAGACGCACGACTTTTCCGGCAGCACGCGAATGGACTCGAGGGGACCGAAATGGACAAGGTTGAGGAGCTCATCCACCGATGCCGTCGCAGGGAGGTTCCCGACGTAAACCGTACGCGCGGTCGTGTTGCTCTGTGCCGACAGGGCTGCGGTGATAGCAGCCGGGGAGTACGGAGAGGCGGCCGGAGAAGGGATAGTCAAGGAAGGCAGACGTTGCGTGTTCATCTGCTGCTGTAGCAACGGTCAGCGACCATAATCGACGGCTCGTAGAAGTGAGACAAGTAGAAGCAAAATGGCTCGTTCTGAGCCTGGTATGTCAGGGACTCGGGCAGTCTAGATTTGACGCAACGTCCGAAGAAACACGGCATCGGATGCAACGTGGATCAGACGGGAGAAATTGTACCCCACCAGAAGCTCTGGAAAAAGATGTTACGTAACACCACGAACGGACGGACGATGCAGAAGGAAACGATCAAGCGACAGCACGCGATAGGTCCAGCGCAATAAGCCAAACCAGGAAGAAGTCTTGATGTCGAGTGCAGGGCGAACCCAGGGACGGTTCGAACGCATGCTTCCAAAATACAACAGCAAATGCAGCACGATCACGGACGGGCGAAGCGCGATCGGGAAATGCTTGCGTGCTTGCACAGGAGAGCAACGGTTGAAACGCTGAAACGCGATGCGAAGCAAAGGCAGGCCTCAGTCGGCATGGTGGATATATGCGTCGCTCGCGCGCGTACACTCATCAGCAATGCCGAATCAGTGCGCGCGCCCGAGCGGGCAGAGCGGAGAACGTGTGAAATTACAGGTTTATCATGCCGCGTTTCGCGACCACAGAGCAAGGCGACAACCACGACAACGAAAAGAATTTGGGGATCGAAGCCACAAACGGGACGGAGAAAAGTGTAGGAAAGCTGCAGACTCACCTGGGTGAAGTTCGCGATCTGTGCGTTGTACGGGAATCCTCCAAGCATACCCATCCCAGGAATACCCATGCCGAGCATGCTGTAGCCGTTGAAGTTGTACGGGTTGGCGCTGTTCGGCGTCGCCGACGGAGGCTGCTGGTTCTGGGGGGTGTAGGGACCAGCGGTGTTTGGGCTCATCTGCTGCGGGACGCCGTTGCTGGCAACGGCCGTGTTCAGGCTGAGCTGCGGGGTCGAGTACAGAGCGTTGGCAGCGTTGGCCGCGAAACCGGAGGACGAAGGGGAGTTGTTGAAGCCGTTCTGAGAGACACCAACCTGAGGGCCGTAGCCGTAGTTGGCGAACGCGTCACGGTTGCCCTGAGCAGAAGCGTTGGGGACCCCGTTGTTGCCGTTGGCGAAGGAGGTGGGGGACCAGCGGGCCTTTTTGGGGTCGGGGCCGCCGACCGCTTCCATGGACCTCTGCTGGAGGGTTTGAGTGGGGGATGAGGGGTGGAGAACTATGCTGTGAGCGGTGTAGGGAACTGACCTTCATCATGTCGATGTCGAACGCAGAGTACTGTTGGTACTGAGCAGCAAACGCGGCCTGGGAATCTTCCATTGCGGGTCGACAAAGGTGATTAGAGAGCGTGGGGCGCGAGCAAGGCGGCGAGGCGGCGACGAGCAAACGAGTGTGGGCAAGAAAAGACACGCACAAAAGGGAGGGAGAGCGAGGTGCGTAATGCGAATGAACTGGGCTGCCCACCCCGCGCGAAGAAGAACAGAGGGTGAAAGGTGGAAAACGACGAGATGAGGATGCAAGAGACGAGCGTCGGGATCCTGTGTTGAGCGATCAGCATCCCACGCGACCGCACGGACCACCCGCCGGGAACGGCTAGCGGATGGGGCACCTTCCGCGGAAATGATTCAGCCACGCTCGTCTAGCAACCACCGCCTGCCTTCCGCCCTCGGCTGTTCCATCACCTCGACCTCGACCTCCCCGCCTGCGCGCCCGCCCTGGCGTCGAGCAACGCCAGACGCGGCGGCGGCCCTACCCAACCGACTTATACTCTTTACCCTCCACGTCCTGTCAAGCTTCCGCGTGTCGTCTCGCGCTTCCGAGTCCGAACCCTCGCGACTCCGACGAACGTTAGACCGAGAAGGTGGCCCACACCCTTCCCCGCTGTAGCCCGGATGCTGGCACACTTCCGCTCATATTACACGCCAAAGCGAAGCACGGCGCATGCAATTACGGCCCATTGGAGCTAGCTTCCGAGGCGCACCTCATAAAGGTACAGCCTATTGGAGCGTAGCCCTTGTGCGAGCTTCGCCCATGGGCGCAGGCTCCAGGCGTCGAAGCGCCTGGCAACACCCGTCTCGCGTCGTCCTGTCGCACACGCAACCGCGACGAGGTCGTGGCTGTCGTCCTGGCCTCCTGCGAAGCGACCGCGCTTGAGGCTGCCAAAGAAACGGACATCTCCGCAACCCGACGTCACGCTTCCGTGCGGAGACGCAGGCTGGAGAAGCAAAGAAAGGTGTTTGGAACGTCTTCGTAAGCCGCGCGGGGATGCAAGTCCTCCTTCTCGAAAAAATCTGGCGGGGATACTCATGCGATCAGCGATGCCACGCAGTATGAGAAGCATTTGGGCGCTGGATTAGAGTTGGTGAAGCTGTGAAGCCAGCCTCCACCCTCGCGAACCCTGGTCGTCCACACGCCGAGTGAGATGAGCAGCTAGGCTCTTATGGGGTCGGCATACAAGTACACGCATCAACGCTCCATCGCTCAACAGGGTGCTTGACACCAATGGCTACAGCCTCGCGAGCTGCATGATGTACGGCGAGCTCTTCTTCGATTTGACCTTGTCCACGTCCGCCCGGGTGATAGATCGACACTCGTGCGCGTGATTGTACCCGAGCCTGCCCAACCGCACGGAGAGAATAGATCAGCGCTGAGTAGAGCAAGTCCCACGCCATGACGCACCTCATCCGCCCGTCCTCACCACCCTCCTTGAAGAACTCCGGTCGGCGCAGCAGGCTGCAGACGATGGCCCCTCCAAGGCCAACGTTGTGCACGAGCCCGAACTTGCCGCGCTTGTCAGGGCCGTCAAGCAGGCCTGGGGCTTGCATCGGGCCCGCCCCTGCCACGCGCAGCCAACGTGTCAGTCGGCTGTCCCGGGAAACTTAGCGACGAAGATGCTCACATTGTCGGAGTTGCACTGCAAAGGTGACCAGAGTGGGATTTTGAGCTCGAGTAAATAGAAATGAGGCAAGCGCGTGTGCTTACTGGTGAGGTAAAAGTGCATGCCCAGACCAGTCGCACCCAAGGGGTGGCCCTTCGCTTCGAGCCCACCGCTTGGATTGATCACGTATTTGCCTCCGTACTGAGCTGGGGTCAGCCGCGAGAGTGCTTGACGGTATAGCGTCAGCATACCGTATTGTCTCCTCTCTCAACCATTGTGTGAGCCGTGCCTGGCTCACAGAGACCAAGAGCATCGTATGTGATGAGCTATTCCAGCGAGGGAATGTCAACTTATGCCCCCGAATCATGACCTCGCAACCGACCTCGTTCGCAGCGAAACAGTCGTGCAGCTCCACGACGCCGACCTGGTCGCGACCTTCGCCCTGTTTAAATCCAGCTTGCGCGAAGACGTCGTCCGCGCAGTTCTTAGCCATCGTATAACCGATCACGTCCATGGCGCTCCTGTTCTCAAACGTCGAGGGATCGTCCGTCCACAATGCAGTTGAGACAATCTCGATAGCCTGGTTCTCGAGGCGATGTTTGTGAACGAAATCTTCAGATGCAATAATGCAGCACGCGCCGCCATCCTGAACAAAGACGTGAGTGCGCTAGCTCTATGCAGTATAGCAAGGGGAGTGCTTACAGAGGTTGGGCTACACATGAACTTAGTAAGCTGCTTGGTGATCTTCGGCGCAGCAAGCACCTGTTCGACCGACCACCCGTCGCGGAACTGGGAGTACGGGTTGTTGACTGAGTGCTTGTGGTTCTTGCTCGCTGTATGCGCTCACTCAGCGCCCCATCGCCGACGCGCACATAACAAATCCAGCAACCGACCACGCACCAATCTGCGCAAGATGCCCAATGTTCGCCCCGTACTTGTCAAAGTACTCCTGCCCGCCGTTCGCGAACATGCGCGGCGCACCCGGCCCGTGGTTCTCCCCCGCCCCAAGAGAGCTCTCGAGCTCGAAGGACGCGGTGCCGAACGGCTTCGTCGGCGACTCGCGGTCGGGGAAGTTGGTGCCGAGGCTGCCGCGCGACATGCGCTCGAAGCCGAGCGCGAGCGTGCAGTCGTACACGCCGGCCTTGACCAGCATGTTCGCGTTGTAGAGCGCGGTGCTGCCGGTCGAGCAGTTGTTGTTCACGTTGGTGATCGGGATGCCGGTCATCCCGAGCTGGTACAGCGCTCGCTGCACATTGCGCGGTTGAGGGGAAGCACTGGACCAGAAGAGGTGTGAGACGCACCTGGCCAGAAGTTGAATCGCCGTAACAGTAGCCAACATATGCAGCCTGGACGGCGTCATAGGTGATCCCTGAGGGAGGGAGAAGGGAGACAAGGTCACTACTAGCTGACATACTCAACACGAGCGGCACACACCTGCATCAAGAAGAGCCTTCGTCGCCGCCTCCAGTCCCATCTACCTTGCACGTGAGATGTATGTTCTCGCATCGAAACACCATGCTTGCCTCCTCTGTGGTCCGTTGGCCGCGGGGCTGCGTTCAAAGAACAGAAGTCTGAGTGCCGTGGATATGAGCTAAAGCGTTCCAATACACGCACCTTGATGAATGCCGTGCAACCACAGCCGATGATGAACGTTCTCTGTCCTTTCGATGGCATGTCGACGAGTACTACTTTCCTTGGTGCGGGGAACACAGCTGGTGAACGTCGGGAGTCAAGCGCGCCAAGGAGGATGTGGAGACGGATCCGGTTTCCCCACTTCGCCGAAGCGAGTCCATGATTCAAGCTCAAGAGAGCACCCACGGTGGTCAGCTGGATGCAAGAGAGGCGCCTGTCGCGTCCTGCGTGTCGCGTGAGCGCGCGAGCCCAACGCCTCTCTGTTATCCCTTCCAGTTCATCCACCATGCCACTGCCTCCAATTTACTACCACTGCTTCAAGACACCGCTCTCCTACGCCAAAGCGCTCGCTCTCCAAGAGCGCATACACGCTCAGCAGCTGGTCCTCCGCAAAGAGAAGCTCTCCCGAGACTTCCTCTTCCTCCTCGAGCACCGCCCAGTCTACACCTACGGGCGACGACAGACAGAAGAGACCCAAGGCGACCCGCTTGTGCGACCTGACCAGCACGAAGCTCAGACGGAACGGCTCACTGACCTCGGCGCGGACGTGGTCCGCACGAAGCGCGGCGGAGAAACAACATACCATGGCCCCGGTCAGCTCGTGGGCTATCCCCTTCTCGATCTCGGCCGCTACGGCCCTCCGATGCCCATCCGCGAGTACATCTGCAGGTTGGACAAGACACTGAAGGCTCATATCCGCGAGGAGCACGGCGTCGAAGCCATCCCCAGTGAGCACACGGGCGTGTTCCTCGACCATCACACGAAAGTAGCCAGCATCGGCGTACAGGTCCGGCACCGGCTGACGACCCACGGCTTCGCGTTTAACGTGACAAAGGAACCCCTCGCATGGTTCGATCATATCGTAGCATGCGGACTCACGGACGTCAAAGCGGGGTGCATAGCAGACGCCGCAAAAGCGGATCCGGTCAAGGCACCCGTCACAGTTAATGGACAATATCCAGGCATTGTCTCGCGCTTTGGACGGGTCTTTGGAGGGACATGGTGCAATTGGACATGGATCAAGAAGGCTCGGAGGAAGAACTCATTCGAGATGCGGAGAAGGACGCCATTGTGCGTGGCCCATGGCCACGCATACCCAATGATTCGTCTACACGTCCTTCAAGACCATGATCGTTCTCAGGGGACCTGACGCGTGAGTATGAAATGATTTATCTCTTTGCCTGTGTCTGAGAATATTAGGCCCGGGTTGATGGGCAGTGAAGGATTGCAGGTCCCGACGACCATGGGGTTTCCAATTATAATCTAGACTGTATGTGTCACATTGTAATTTGTGGTCCCTGTCGTCCGCAGCTGAAGCATTCATCCGTCTCATCCGTGCCCCTTGAAGACCGGATATGACCACCCGTTGATCAGCACATCCGAATTTCGGAAAGACTCCTCGCCCCGGCTGCCGGCAGCCTTTGCAAGGCTGCCCGCCGCTTAAACACGTTTAGTGACTGCGCCGGATGATGCCGCCCTGGTGAGTACGTATCACAGTCTGGATCAGCACGACTCCACTCTATCATGCGCCGGTGAATTTGATCCTACGGTCCGCGGTGTACCGCGGAATCCGGTTGCGTCTCCGCTGGCTTTGACATGCGTTTTGGATGTCTATCGTGCGCTATGAAGTACAGCCTCCGCGGAACGGGTTGGCCGAGGCTCGTGGCCTGGGCTTGACAGCGCAGTTCGGTGTGATGGTTTGAAGTTGGTTTGAAGTGCCATCTGTGCAGATGTCCACAGCCACTCGTAGTCTGTTCGCGTCCGTGATCGCACGGGGCGAGCGAGACCACACGAACGACGCCAGACCACACTTTTCCGCACAGACCACACGTCTCCGGACAGACCACACTTCTCCGGAGTTGAACGAGTGGTCGAGGGTGCACAGTGCGAACGACATCTTGGCAGTGTCGCTTTTGATTCCTCTGACCACAGCTGGAGTGGAGGAGTGATCGTCGTCATGTCTCCGTTTTTCGCTTTGAGTGAAAGGCCCATGTTAGACGCACAACAAAGCGTTAGCCGTGATCCGCCTCCTTTCTTTGATGCGCCCGCGCACGGCTTTTCCGCCCCCTGGGGTATATAAACGGCCTTCGGACGTCCCTCGTTCCTCAGATCCTGCGGATTTCACCCACCCCACACTCCTTCCTTTACGACCTTCCTCTTCTCACCTCGTACGTTGATCGTCATGCGTTCCACAGCTGCGCTGTTCGCTCTTTCTACTCTCGTCTCTTCCGTTCTCGGAGCCACATACCCGTTGAAGGACAAGTTCGTCGGCGAGGACTTCTTCACTGGTTTCTCTCACCAGGCGATTGCCGATCCCACCCATGGCCGAGTGTGAGCGTTGTGGCCCTGCAGTCATGAGTGGCGCGACTGACACCCTTCGTCTTCGTTTAGGAACTACGTCGACCAGGCGACTGCGAAGGCGCAGAACCTCTCCTTCGCCTCTGACACGTCCTTCATCATGCGCGCAGACTCCTTCACCGTCCTCGACGCGAACGGGCCCGGCCGGAACTCGGTCCGTATTCAGAGCAACAACAAGTACGCCACCCATGTCTCCGTCTACGACATCAGGCACATGCCCCAGGGCTGCGGCACCTGGCCCGCTGCCTGGGAGGTCAGTGAGAACTGGCCCACCGAGGGCGAGGTTGACATCGTGAGTCCGCGCGCGGCCCGGCCCCCACATCGCTGCCCGCCGCTGACCGCTTCCCACGTGCGCCGACAGCTCGAAGGCACGAACGACATCGAGCCGAACCAGTCGACGCTGCACACGAGCGCGAACTGCGCGATGCCCCACGAGCGCTCGATGACCGGGGTCTCCGTGAGCGACAACTGCGACGTCGCCGCGAACGGGAACGCCGGCTGCGGCGTGCAGTCGACGATCCCGAAGTCGTACGGCAAGTCGTTCAACGCCGCCAACGGGGGCTTCTACGCGATGGAGCGCACCCCGACCTTCATCAAGGTGTGGTTCTGGTCTCGCGACGACCCCGCCGTCCCCGCGGACGTCAAGACCCCCGGCGCGGCCGTCAACACTGACGCCTTCGTGAGTGTCGCGTTTCGCACTTGTTTCGTCTCCGGAGGGCTCTGCAGCGTCTTCGCCCCTTGAGACCGCCACCGCTCGCGCGCGGAAGGCAGTCATCATGATAGATGGTGTCGTCCCCGCCCGCGCGTCGCGCCGGATCACAGCCACCTTCGTCGCTCATCCTCTTGACCGTCACTGATGCATCGTATCCCCGCAGGGCACGCCCGCCGCGCTCTTCGTGAACGACGCGTGCGACATTGCGACTCACTTCGCGGCGCACAACATCGTGATCAACCTCACGTTCTGTACGTAACTCGACGACTCGTCCCAGACATTCATCTGACGAACGCTCCCCGGCGCATCTAGGCGGTGACTGGGCCGGTATCCCTCAGTTCTTCAACACGTTGGGCGGCTGCCCTGGCGTCTGCTCTGGTGAGCGGCCCTTCATCCCCATCACCTTCAGGGCAAGGCTGACACCCGCATCTCCAGACTTCGTCAACGCCAACCCCGCCGCGTTCGCTGATGCCTTCTGGGACATCGCTGGTATCCATGTTTACGAGTAGATAGTAACGAACAACCTATTATTATTGCGGTAAGTTACCTTCAGTCTCCTCCCGCGAGTCATGGCACTGACTCTGCATGACAGCCCTGTGTGAATGACGACGTTCAGGCCGTCGACGGTTCTTGGTGTTCATTTGCTCCTGGATGTCGGATGATCGCTCCCTTCCCCTGCTGTATCTAATACCCTGACTAGAGTAGAATACTAATGAGAACTTCGGCTCGCCTAGTGCGACGAGATACCCCATTACACCTTCGTTCGACCGTGTGCGAGAGTGGTATTCTGGTGGACAGGTGAGCTGCGGTGGGTGCGGGTCACAATCGCGTGGGATACCTGACTAAGCAGCGAAAAAGCTGTCCTTGGCAACGAGGCGTCTGCAGCCCGGGCTTTACTAGCTAGGACCATCAGGCGTACTTGGCGGTAAGATCTGGCTCATCTCTGTCTCATACAGATCACAGAGGACGCATTACAGAGGCCAGCCTTGGACACGTATGCCTTCCACACTCCCGCCCTGGTCCATCTCAGAGGACGACCCTCTTGCCGAATCTGGCGAGGACACCGTGGCCACGCCACTGACCGTGCGCCCACCCCTGTCCCCGCCATTGCCAGAATGGTCTGCAGAGGAAGCACTCGCCGTCCGCACGCTCTCTCCCACCGCTCTTCAGACCTGGGCATCACTTGAAATGGATCACCACCAGAGGTACATCCAGAAATTGCGCGCCGTTTACAACAACGCCGCGCTCATTCACCGACGCCTCCCGCCGGAGGTTCTCATGGAGATCTTTGCCCGGATACGCCCTCAATCTCGCCACGCTATCCACGTCCTGCACGTGTGCAGGACCTGGCGCAGCCTCGTGCTCCGCACCGCTGAGTTCTGGGTCGGGATGCTCGCTCTTCCTTCCGGCCTCTGTGACCCCACTGGCCCCCAAGCATCTCGCACCAATGCTCGCTTCCTCGCTGGCTTTCTGGACCTTTCTTCCTCCAGGCCCATCACGTTCGACATCCAGGACTTCTCCTTCTACATGGCCGATATACTCGCCCCCCACTGCCACCGTCTCAGGCGCCTCCACCTCAAAGTGTCGTCGGAGCATGCAGAGCGCTTCTTCCACATGCTCAGCTTCGGCATGCCCCAGCTCCGCCACCTCACCATCCACCACAACTCCGCACCCCATCGCTCACGCCCCGAACTTGCGCGCCTACTGCAACTCATCGAGTTCCCCGACGATGCGCTCAACAGCTGCACAGCCTCCAGATACCATTTGCCTTCACGTCCATCTTCCTCCCACTATCCAGTCTCTGCACGCTCAAACTTGGTGGATGCAAATGCGACGGGTGCAACGGCTTCGAACCGGGCCTCATGCTCGACGGCGTGCTCTCTTTCCTCCGCCAATGCCCCCGCCTCCACGTCCTCCACTTCCTCGGAAAGAGCATCCGCCGGAGACAGCCCCCATCCCCGGTCTCCACCGAGCTCGTCGAGCTCGCGGACCTCAAAAACCTCCTCTTCGACCACACGATCGTCGAGTGGGTGTCCGACGTGCTCGCCAAGCTCGTCCTCCCCCTCAGCACCGTCATCCGGCTCGAGGTCAGCCCGGAGGGCGACGGCGGGATGTACCTCCCCGCCGCGCTCCGCACGCTCCCCGCGCGCGCGACGTACGACCACGTCGACTTCGACTTCCACATGGACGACGCGCACTTCGTCTCCAAGGTCCGCTGCAAATCCGCGCGCCAGCTCCGGCTGAGCGTGATCCCGCGCGACGCCCGCGCGGAGCCCGCGGTGCGCGCCGCGCGCGCCGCCGCCGTCTTCGCCGCCTTCGCGAGCCCCGCCGTCGCCGCGCTCGAGCTCTACGTCTCCAACTCCCGCATCCACGCCGCGCACGCGATGGGCCCCGCCACGCTCCGCGCGATGCTCCTCGGCTTCCCCGCCGTCGCCCGCCTCTGCGTCTGGCGCGCCGGCGTCCGCGACCTCCCCGCCGTCCTCCTCCTCCCGGACCCGGCGGCGCGCGAGCGCGACGGCGACGCCGCCGCCGCCGCCGCCGTGCCGGAGGTCGTCCCGCGCCTCCGCCACCTCGTCGTCCGCTGGCGCCCGCCGCGGCGGTCGCGCGAGGACGAGGTCGTCGCGGTCGTGCAGGAGCTCCGGAACGCGCTCGCGTGGCGCCGGTCGGTCGGCTGCGGGCTCGAGTCGCTCGAGCTCGAGCTCCGGCGGCTGAAGAAGATGGAGCGGGTGCCGGACCTGGAGGAGTTCCGGCTCGAGCTCGAGCAGGTGTGGCTCCAGGGCGCGGCGACGCACGTCACGGTGAGCACGTACCTCGAGGACTGGCCGAGCACGGCGCGCACGGGCGAGGGGGCGCGAGGGTGAGTGAGGTCGTGTAAGAGCGCTCCGGGATCTGTGGTGCGTGGACGGAGTCGAGGGTTTCTGGATGGATGTGTGTGTTGTGTGTTGTACCGTGTGCTCGCTCTGGATATCGGTGTTGTGAACTATGTATGTACAGGACCCTCGCTGCGCGAGAATTCCAAGCTGGTCTCCGTGTCAACTTGTGTTTGACCCTCGAGTTCAGCATGCGACCTGGGCGAGGTGCGCTGCGATTTTTTTTTCTCGTTTTGTTTCGTGCTCATGGTGTCGCCCTTCAGGACGCCAGGGCGTCGGTGTGCGTTGGGACATCTCGAATTCCGAATAGGTTGCCGCGACCAAATGAGATAGACTAACTTGAACATTGCGTCGAGCTCGGAGAAACGTCATCAAGTGACCCTGCACGATGAATGACAGCGGCGTAACATGTCCGCTCGAGCACCGCATACAAGGTACGTTCAGAAGCGTTGAGGCGCCGTACGTCCTGTACCCGTGGCTATGCTCTATGCACACGTCGAAGGAGTGGACGAGGTGGAAAGCACGGGAAGGTTCGTTTCAAACACGAATTGCCACCTCTTGCTGATGCGCGGATCCCCGCGTATCCCCACTAGTACTAATAGATAGCAGACGGTCCTTCCCTACCTGTGGGCGCACAGAACGGGCTCGACCCTCTATCTCACCCCCTCGAAGGCGCACCCGTCGAAGCCAGCCCCCCTCCGCCCTCTTCCCTGCCATTGTCGGGCACCGAATGTTCAACATCCATAATTCAGGGCCGATCGAGTGCCCAACGAAGGGTTCCGACCCTCTCCCGCCGCGCGCGATCCCGAACCCGAAGCACCCGGCCCGAAGGCCCTCGCTCCCGCCGCGCGGGCGCGGACTCAATGAGCCCAAGGCTCCTCTCCTCGGTGCTCGGCTGCGCAGGAACGAACTCGCGACGCAGACCGCGGTGCCTGCCTCGCCCAAGTCACCACTCTTCCGGGCGCCGGCCCCCGGGCCCCATCGTCGATCGACGCGCGCGTTCGACGTTCCCAAGCTCCACTGGAACGCCCCGGCCCTGAGGCCTGAGGCCTGAGGCCTGAGCTGCAGAGGAGGAGGAGTCGTTCGTGAAGTCCGCGCGCCGCGCTGACGCCGCCGCACGTCCGAGGCCGGAAGCCTGGGGTCGTCCGCGCCCCGCAGCACTCGCGCAAGGTCCCGCCTCGGACGGCTCGGACGCCCGTCTGTTTCGCGCGCCGCACCCCCCGCGGCTCGGTCGCCTGCCCCTCGGGCTTGTGCGGGCGTGCCTGCACTCGCGGACACTGCACCCGTGTGGCCTTCTCGGCGTGGTGCGGCGCGCCTTCGCCCCCCCCCCCCAGCGAAGCGCTGGCGCATGCGGTACGGTCGGAGTCGTCGAGTACTTGGAGCGTCGTTCGACTGGGCGCACCCCGCGGATGTGCGTGCAAACCGTTGCGCGGGCCTCGACTCGCCCGCGCACCCATCTTACGCGCACGCCTCCAGCCGGGCCTTCCTTTGGTATCTGGGTACGTCGGCGATGATGGGCAAGCCTTTCCGCGCACAACCACCCGGGCCAGCCGCTGCAGCCTGCAGCGCGCCAAGGGTCGCGGGACGCGGATCTGGTGCGGGCGGTGGTATACGACGCGCGCCGCGTCGGCGGCCCTCGCGCTCGCGCGCGCGATCGTGCACGACGCCCACGTATGTACATACATACCGATCCCCGTCCCCGTCGCCGCGGCGGCTCCCCGCACATCCCGGGCGCACGGCGCCGGCCGCGCTACGCGCGCGCGCGAGAAAGGCTCGAGTGGTCGGTGTATGTACCACATACGGCCCCACCCACGATTCCGTCCTACCCACGCTCCCCGAACCCACTCCCGTGGATCCAGCATTCAGGTGGGCCGGCGACCCACGGCGCGTTAACGTTGTGTGGCTCGACAATTAAATTTGAATGTACAGAGACCGAGCTCTGTTCTCCGGCGCCCCCAACATTGCCGAACCACCCAATATACGGACTGAATGGCAAACGCTGCGCACCGCACTTCGAGCTTCGAACGCACTTTCGACGCACGCCCCGCAAAAGCCGGTCTTCCACCCACCACTCGCGTTTGCGCTGTTCGTCAGATCGTCAGTCCGCGCCTCTCCGCCTGCACAAGCGCGCGGGCAATTCGGAGTTGCGAGCGCAGGGGAAATACGCAACTGCGTCATCACGACGGGGTGGCGAGACCGACGAGGCTGACAGGCCGTGCGAGACTCGAGGGCCGTAAGACACAATGGAGTTTCGGAATCGTAGCACTGTCATTCGAAAAGGCCGGTCGTGATAGAGATACACGGGACATATGGGGGCTAGAGTACAGCAGCGGTAGATTGTAGCAACCGAAAGGAGGGGTAGTAAAATGGCAGGGCAAATGCAGATGCAAAGCAAGAGCGTGAAGGGATGGTATGCGCGAGAAGGGGCAAATGCAAACGAACAGAATGAAGGAATGGATGACGAGCAGGTGGATGAATGGTGGAAGAAGATGGGAACAACAAGGCGCCGGAAGTTTTGGCAAAAGTACAGGAGAAGATGGAGGGATCAAACCGGCTAAAACACGAGGACAGGCAGATGATAGGGCAGAGCACGCGACAATGGGAGGCTGCTCGAGGGCGAGGGACGCGGCGGGGGCGGGGCGGAGGGTATCTGTGCCGCCGCCGGTCTACAGCGGTGGGGCGGGGATGGAGAGGGGAGGCACTCAAGAGGCGAGCCTATCGGCGCGCGTTCTTGGGACTCTTCTTGCCGCGCGCGGGCTTGCCCCACGCCATGTTGTCGTCGTCGAGCATCTCCGCCTGCAAGGGGGCGAGAAAGTCAGCGGACGCTCGTGGAGCTGGAGTGCGCGCGCTCAAGCGCGGAGGAAGGGACTCACGTAGTCGGAGTCGACGGAGGAGAGCGAGCTGTCTGTGCGCGACGAGCCGCTCTGGGGCGCGGTGGGAACGAGCCCAGGCTGGCCAAGGAAATGGTCAGCCATCATGCATCAATCCCAAACGGCGTGCAAGGAGAGAAGAAGGATGGGCGCTACTTGTGCCGAACAGACGGTGGGGGTGGGAGTAGAGGCGGAGAAGAGTGTGCAGACTCACGAAAGAGAGATAAGACACAGGCGAGGCTGCCGAGAAGTCGCTCTCGACCGACTGTCGACGGGATTGGGTGTCGACGGACGGCTGTGAGGGTGCGCAGGTGGAGATGAGTTGTGGTCAATCAGTGCGCGGTAAAGGGATGGACGTACGCGGGAAGACTTGAAGAGCTGGGAGAGACGGTTGAGAGACATGGCGATAGGTTGTGGGTGGCAGGGTGTGGACCGAAGCGTATTCAGGCAAGAGGGAGTGCAGGCGGAGATGAATGGGTAATGTGGGCCGGTGGCTGAGGGGGAGGAGGGACGTCGGTGGAGGCTGGCGGGGGAGGCAAGGGCTGACTGGAGTGGGGGCGAGGGAGTCGGTGCGGCTGGCTCGACGGCGGGCTGCTGGAGGACCAGATGGCGGGCGGGGGAGGTCTTATAGGACAGACGGACGCGTCTCGAATGATGGACGGCGACAGACGCCCGCCATCTGCGATCTACCCCACATCGAGATCTGCCCACCCCTGCCAGACGCCCGCTCAAAGGTCCCCTCCGTGGGCCACTCTCGCTCTCCTTCGCGCTCACACACGCTCAGGGAGCGTCGGAGCGTGGGCCGCGTCCGCGAAGCATGTGCGCGATCGTCCTCTCCTCTCCGGCAATTAAAGCACGAAAGGGGTCCGGGCACTCCTCCTGCGACCCAACAGCGGCGGACGCGCACTCGTCCGATTGGACCTCTTCGACCTCGACCCCGTCTTCTCTCGCTCTCGATCCCTCCGGTCTCGCGACGCATGGCCTCGCCCGCCCCGGTGCTGATGCGCGCCGTCGCCGCCTACGCGTCGCCGGCGAGCCAGTCGACCCATACTTTTGTCATGCGCGACCGGTTCGAATTCTGCGACCGGGATTCGCCCCCTCCTGCGCCCGTCTTCTACGCGCTGCCTCCTCCCCTCAGCCGTTAAACACCGCCGGCGCGGCCCGTTTCGGGGGCTCGCGTTCCCATCGTGCTTATTTCGGGCTGCGCGCCTTCGACGGCGCCGCGGCCTCCGAATTGGTGCAGGCTCGGGCGCCTCGAGCTCGAATCACGGAAGCCTTGAGTGCAGCTTGTGGGCGTGTGGCTCGCCGCACCCGCCCTCGAACTCGAAACTCGATGGAGAGTTTGCGATGGGACACCCTCGCCGTCTTTGCGGACTGGCCGCACACCCCGCCCGACTCGCCCGACTCCCCGCAGCTCTGTACATAGCCCCGACATCCTGTCAAGACGGAACGACGTCCATCACGTACATACGCAACCTACCAGGCCTCAGGCCCCGAGCTTCACGCTGACGCGCCACCTGGACGAGATGACGGCACACTTCGTGCCTCTCTCGCTGAGGCGCACCAAATGAAGGGGCGCGCGAAGGAAAGGAAAGGAAGCTATGATACGTACACATCCTGCCTGATACCGACGTCAGAAAGCCGCCGCCGCGCGTGGGCGGCCAGCGAGTGCGCACGCGGTCCGACGGCGGAGCGCATGACCGACCGACCTTTCGCGCGTGGCCTCCCGTCGATGTCAGCGTTCCGCGCTGGCCTATCGCCCCGAGCAAGTGCGGGGACGCGGTGCTCCCGAGCGTCCGATTGCTGCGCGGTGGGGCTGCCAAAAAGTATCACAAACTGCGGGTACCGCTCGAGAAGGCAGGGTTCACATCGTCTGAGCGACCCAAACACTCCGGATTCGAGAACCAACGGGATAGAACGCTCACCCGGAGAGCAAACAGACCCTCGAACACGACCCTGGCCGCTTAAGCGGGGGGGGCCTGCACCGCCCGGCGCGCGAAGCGTATGTCGTCGACGCGCGCCTCCGCCGGAGTGTGGGGAAGCCACGATGGTTGCACAGTGCCGCGACCAATGACACACGCCACATCTCTCTGCCCGCGTTTGTCAGATCACGTCGCGCGATCAGAAGGGGGGCGTGCGCTTGCCGTTCCGCGTGCCTACGGTGCTTCCGCGACGCGCTCGGGTGCTCGTCTTCCATAATTTGCGCCAATCCCCGGACCCTCGCTTGTAGCCTGCCGTTCAATACTCGCAGAACGTAATCGGAGGGCTAGGCCACGGTATGCGCGCACGCCGTTACGCGCACCTCCGGTAAGCACTGTGTCTAGCCCGGGATGCCCGTCGCTGTAATACAACGGACGGAAGGGGAGACGGCAAGCGAGTATCAGAAAGTCCGTCAAACAGCAATTGAGCAAGCGCGTGCGAACCCACCACGACTCTGCTCTCGAACCCCGTGGCTACACGCCTACCATAGGCTCTGCCTCGAGGCGTTAAACGAGGACGACAAAAAAAAAAAAAAAACCCCGTGGCGGCGCAGAAGACGTCCCCACGCGTATGGGTCGATGGGTTGAGGCCCGCGCGCGGGCGCGGGCGCGGCTCAAGTCGACGAACACCCGGTCGGGATCGGTGTTCCTGGTGTGCGCCTCGGTGGCAAGATGCGGCGGCGCGTGGAGGACGCTGTCGCGGTGGGAGGTCCTACGGAGCGGGCTTTGGGCGGTGACGTTTTGCGCTAGAAGACTTCGAGGGCCTGCGTCAAACTTTGGTCAGGTCAAGTCAGGCTCCGGACAGCATTTGCGTGTTTGCGCACCTCCCAGACTTGGTCGTGGAGCGCCGTCGCATCGAGGCGAACACTGCGCAAACAAACCCAATCACGCGGGCGTGGCGATGAGAGGTGGCTGGCAGTCGGACCGGACGACCTCGCGCAGAGCAAATTGTGGTTGGCCCCAGGATTGGCGAGGTCGTCGTCGTGCAAGTCCGCTTCTTCGTTCCTCAGCGGAATCAACAAGCCGCTACGGATCGAAGTTCGCTCGAGCCACGTAACTGTTGGGAAAAAACACGGTGGTTAGAGGTCGGGTACTGTTCGAGTGAGAGTTGAATGTGAACATGGAGCTGAAGGTGATCCGAGCCGACGAACGTCCGGACCGCCGCTGACTGTGTAGGAGACGCTTCCGCATTGAACGCAGGGCCCCGAGAGTCAGGCTCGACCATCCGGCCGCTTTCGCTCGAGGAGAGACGACGAAAGCGGCTGAGCGATCGGGCATAACGCCGCACGTATTCGCTACGCCGGCGATGCAGCGTGTGAACCCGTTCTTCCGTTCTGCACTCTCAGCCGAGCGCGGAAACCTGCGGTCGTGCCACCCGCAGCCCCCCTCTGGCTGCGCGGTGGCCGTGAAAAAGGATCCGTGGACGGAGATTAATTGGTGGACTGGAAGCGACCCTGAGAAGTCGATATCGTCCGCCGATGGCCAACAGTCCGATGCGACAGAACGTTCGCGCCCTGAGTACGGGCGAGCGCGCTTGGTGCGTGCGTAGATCGCCCGAGGACACGCCTCTAACGCACCGCCGAATCGCTCGATCAATGAGCCTCTGTCGCCCGCGGGGATGTCGGCAAACACGACAATTGGATAGACCTCTATTGTACTGCATGTATCTGACCGTCTTTGTCAGACCGTACGGCGCAGTCGTTCGCAAGAGCGCACATACCGTTCCTCGTGCACTACAGACAAAGCATCCGCGATGCTCTTCCATACATAGCGGCCGCCGTGACGCGCTCCTCCCCGACCTTGCCCCTCCCCGAAGTTCGTATACGGCCAGATTATCCCGACATCGAGGGCGTTCCGCGCCGCGAGCGGCCCGACGTTCACGCAAAGTCGGTGTGCTTCAGCAGCTCCTCCCACTTGAACGCCGTCGGGTCCTCGTGGAACGTCCTGAGGAGCTGCGCGCGCTCGGCCGAGCCCTCGTGCCAGAGGTAGAACCGCTGCATGTGCACCGCGAGCAGCTGCGCGTCCTGCTGGCTCAGCATGAACCGGCCCGCGTCGCCCCCCGCGGACGCGCTGCCGGGCGTGATCTCGCCCCGGAGGAGGACGAGCCCGTGCGAGCGCACGAGGTCGGTGTACTGCGTGAGGACGAGGTAGGGCGTCGCGAACGCCTGTCGGAGCTTGTACTCCTGCAGGGGCGTGAAGAGCACCGTGCTCGTCTGCGGGTTCGCGCCGGGCGCGGCGCGCGGGTTCGCGAACGGGTCGGCGGCGGCGGCGAGGTCGGGTGGGGCGCCGTGGAAGCTCCACTCCATGAGGTAGAACTCGTACGCCGGGTCGGAGGCGGAGCCGTCGGGGGCGGGCTCGCCCTGCGCGTTCTCGCGCGGGACGGGGAGGACGAAGGTGGGGTACTTGCGCGCGACGCCGACCATCTTCTCGTAGCTCTCCACCGGTACGCTCGCGCAGAGGAAACCGCGCCCAGTCCCGTTTGAGCGTGACTCGTGGTACGCGCGCCAGAGGAGCGAGATTTGCTCGGGCGTGTGCGGAGTTTCGAGGAGCTTTTGGAGATTGAGAATGGTGGAGAGCGGCTGGAACGGGGTGTCAGGGTGAGACGTTGCGGGGTTGTAGCCCGTGCGAGAGAGCAGGATTGACGCACCTTCACCGGAGAGCTGTCTCTCCGCGCAGCTTCTGATGAAGAAGCGGACTTAGGCGATGATTGCAGGGAGGTTGCGCCATCGGAGGTAGTCTGAGCCGCTGCAGCCTCTGCCTCCGCGGCTTTGTTGGCCGCTTCTGCAAGCTTCTGTATGCGTCGCTGCCTCTCTTGCTCTTTCAGCTCCCCCTTCAGCTCCTCGACACTCTTCCCGCGTCTTGGGCGCATGAACACACGTGTATAACGCGCTCAAAAGGACGAAACACGCACTCTTCCGCCCGCTGCTTCAGCTTCTCCGCATACTTGTCATCGTAATTGACCCGTGGGGAGCTAGGAATTGCATCTCGCCATATCCGGCTCGCGCAGAATGAGCGCGAGAGTAGGGAGTGCCTATTGAGGCATGGTCGAAGGGATGAAGGCAGCCAGCGTGTGGAGAGCATGCAGGTAGAAAGAGGAATGCAAGGAAGCGTGACACCAGCTGGACAGCAGTCGCGGTTGCCACCAGCGCGTAGGCGCCCAACTGGACGCGCGTGTGCTTAATGGCGCGTCCAACTCTTGCCCTCTTTCCAAATCCCCAGAATCGCTGCTTAGCCTCTTCGCGCATCCACTCACAAGAAAGGCGCTTGGAAATCATGGCTTGCAACATATGGCTCAAGATCCTCCAATCCCTTGTTCTACTCTACGTCCTGGCTGCAGTTTTGTTTACAACTTGGGTTCATGTTCTGCACCCTGTTTCCAACCTTGCTCGTTCTCAGTGGTTAGAACTCGTCAGCGACATCAGACCTAGGGACTCTGAGATACGGCCTCACTCACCAGCCGCTATCGACCTCTTTCGCGACTTCTACGACACTGGTTCTGACGCTCTGGGCGATGGCTCGTTGATGCAAGAAGGCTGGCCCCCGGGATATTCGTCCTCAAAGCTTGCAACGTTCTCGCACTCGGTGGGCTCGTACGCAGCGGACAAACCGCAAGCGCATATAACTACCTACTCAGTTCTGGAAGACACCTTGCTCTCCAAGGCGTTTGCAGACGCCATCCATCCCACTCGCATCATTCCATTTTACTTCAAAGCCTCGCGTAATGTCCACCCGGACGATGTCACCATAACCACCTTGATAACACTCAATCGCTTTCGCGTCTTCAAGCAGCTCGTCGAGCGATACCGCGGTCCCATCTCGGTTACAATCCATGTCCCCTTGCCGCTCCACACGCCTTTCTCTGCCCTCGCGCCCAACCACCCCTCGCGCCTCGCCCTGGCGGATTTGCACGCGCTCTACGCATCCTCGCCGCTCTTTGCACAGCACGTCGACATCCACTTGGCGCTCTCCCCGTTCACCAACACCCGCTCCCCCGGCCCTGGCTTTAGCTCGCCCTCGAGCGCTCCCCGCCTCGGAGCTGCCGACGTGGTGGACCCAATGGACAGCGAGCGGCAGTTCAACCTCTGGCGCAACGCCGCGCGCCTCTTCGCGCGCTCCGACTTCATCATGCTCCTCGACGTCGACTTTGCCGTCTGCACCGACTGGCGTGCCGTCGTCCGCGCCGCCTTCTCGCGGCAGCCCCGTCCCCTCGCTCGCCGTGCCGCAGCAGAGGAATTTGGCGCAGGGACCGGCCCCAGCGGTACGGGCGCACAAAACGCGACAGAGGCCGCGATTTTCGCGCGCCTCCGCGAGGGGTCCGCCGCGCTCGTCGTGCCCGCGTTCGAGTACGTGAAGCAGGAGCACGGCGTGGACCAACGTGCGTTCCCCACGGACAAGCAGGTAAGCACTCTCCCCACTCCACCCCTGCCCTGCTCCCCGATTTCGTCGGTACGCATATCATTCCGTGGCGCGCCCGCCGTGAATGTCGTGCGTACCGCAACCACGAAAGAGGAAGGCTCGTCAAGCGGCGGCGCTCTTGATCATTACCCAGACCCGCCCTAACCACACTCGTCCCGCTTCTCCACCAGGCACTCCTCCGCCTGACGCAAGCGCAGCCACCCGCTATCGCGTCCTTTCACGCTTCCTGGGCGCCGGGCCACAACAGCACCGACTACGAACGCTGGCTCGGGCTCCCGCCCGGCGCGCACGTCCTGTACGAAGTCGAGCGGTACCAGAGCGCGTACGAGCCGTACGTCATCACCAGCAAGCGCGTGCCTTGGTGCGTCAGCCTCCTTCCTCACTGGCAGGTGCATTGGTGGCGGCAGGGCGCATTGGGCGCGACAGCGATCCGTGCCTGCTCTGAAGTCAGCGCATAGTGTCGAAATCTAAGTTCTCTTGGGTTGGGCTGTCATCACCGTCCTGGCTGGCTGGCTAATATTGGCACGGCCCCCAATGGTCCCGACAGGTGTGACGAACGCTTCGCGGGATACGGCGCGAACAAGGCGGCGTGCCTGTTCGAGATGCATCTCAGCGGCGTCTCGTTCTTCGTCCTCTCCGACCACTTCCTCGTCCACCAGAGCCACGCCTACGAGGAGGCGGCGCGGCGAGAGGAGGTGAGCTCCGCGTTCGTTGTCCTCATATCCAAATTGACGCAAGACGCGGTGCAGCGCAAGGCGAACCGCAAGATATATGCCGAGTTCAAGGAAGAAGCCTGCCTTCGGTACGTTTCTTCTCTTACCGCATCGTATCTCGCCTCACCTCACTCCACACCGTTCCTGTCTGTTCTGCTTCTGGGTCTCTTTTCTCCTCTGATCTCCGCACTTCCATACTATGTCCCTCCTTCGTCTAGGTACCTTTACCGCTACCACCGCGACGGCACGCTGCACACTCCCCGCGCGGCGAATGCCCGCACCGAGTGCCGGAAGATCAAGAAGATCGCGAAGACGGTGGCGCAGGCGAGCCAGGCTCCCCTTTTACCTCGCAGACAAACCCAAAATTTTGACATACCCGTTCCTCTTGCCTACTCAGCTGATCGGCGACGAATGAGAGCACGGGCAGGGCCTGTGTGAGTGCTCTGTCATCGACAGCTTCTTCGTACTTATCAAGCTGTGCTTGACTTTTTGTTCAACGTTCAGGGTTCGCTCGGCGGTTAAACGCATGGCAGCCCCTCAAACTCAAACATCCCTCTGTTGCATACCCGAGTCGCTGACGGCAACGAAACCGCCCGCCTTTGTACGGCGGACATTGCAGGGCGACGTCGACACCCGGATAGGCACGCTCGACGGGTCCAGGAGAAAGGGCGGTATTTCTACTCGTACTTTAGTGGTCCTTGGTAGTATATGCAATGTACATTACGCCCCTCGGAACTGTTCTCGCTCTGCCGTGCGTGTGCGAGCCCCCAACGCCAAACGGACTGGGCTAGTTCTCAGACCCTTCGGAAAGCCCTGCAGTGCCGTGCATTCGGACTCCAATGCCCGGCGTAGGATGCGAAAGAGGCAACGTGCGTGGTAAACCTCGCGGAGCGCCCCACACCAGCACCAGCACAAGTACCGAGAGCTTGTTCGGCGGAAGCTCGCCGTCGCGCAGGTGAGAAATGCAGGCTCTAGAGTGCCCAATTTTGACAACCGAGTCGCGCCCGCCCGAAACCATGTACGGTCCATGTAGCGGAGGCGCTCGGCGGGGCGCGTGTGGCCGTTGGTGAGAAGCGTGGAATGCTGCATGCTGGTTCGATTGTATATCTGGGAGCGAAGCGCGTGGTCAGCATGGTGCGCGGCGGCCGGGAGGCGGAGCTTTTGAGCGTCGGACAGACGCGCAGAATGCGAGACAGAAATAGGGAACGAGGAGAAGGGAGGGGCGAAACTAGGAATGCAACATACCTTAATACCGTTCTCACCCGTCGCAGCAACAATCTTGCGGGTGTCGAACTGGAGCGCGGTGACGGCATGGTCGTACTTCAGCGTCTCGAAGATGCCGCCAGTGCGAACGTCCCAAATCTGCGGGAGCGAGACATTATGAGCAACGTTCGCCTTACGGCACGGCTGGAGCAGGTACGTACCCGATGGACTTATCCAGACTGCCCGAGACTATGTGCAGCTCGTCGAACTGTAGACTTGTCACGGGTGCAGTGTGGCCCAAGAGCGTCCGGTGCGGCTGCCCAGTGCGCACTTTACCCGACGGCGAACGGCTCAATGAGCAACCAGCGTAAGGCACGAAGCCACAGAAAGCACTCACTGTCCCACATCCGGACTGCCCCGTCTCCACTGCCGCTAACGAGCGCGTATCCCCAGAACTGTACGGCACCGACGAAGTCCTGGTACATCTCCCAGGTGCCATCCGAGTAAGGGGGAGTGGCGACTGCAAAGTTTCCAGCAGACGCCGCGGCGCCGGGAAGAGGTGCGCAGGAAGAGCGGTACCAGGAGTGGAGGCGGGAGGATGCGAGATGGCCCACAAGATGTCCATCGTCATGACGCATTGGCCGGTGTTTAGGTCCCATTGCCGCATGGTCTTGTCTGACGCTCCAGTCACCTGCAGACACACCTATGAATAGGTGTTCTGAGCAACGTAGAGGGCATAACGTACCAGACACTCGTCCTCGAAGTACATCGTGGACACTGCCTTGGTATGACCTTCCAATGTGCGGACACACGGCCCATCTCTTGACACAACGCTTGAAGGTCGACTGCTGCTGCTGCCGCCCTGCCGAATAGACTGCTCTTCTGCCGCCTCGTCCTCTTCCGCGACGTCGCTCAAGCTGAGCATGTCGCCCGATTCCCACTCTTCGTCCTCGTCAACGCGCCGCAAGTCCCAGACGCGCACCGTGCTGTCTTCACTACCCGTCAAGCAAATATGGTCTTCTACCTGGATGCACTTCACCGTCCCGCGGTGTCCGCGCAAGCGACCAATCTCTTCGCCCGAGAGCAAGTCCCACACACGCGGTTGCGTGTCATCTTGGCTGGCAGTGACCAAAGTGCCGTATGGTTCAGAGAAGTCGAGAGCTGTAATCGGTGTCGTGTGGCTTTCTAATGTCTGCCAGAAGGTGATTTCCTCGCATAATGTGGGACGAAGGTATCGCTTACCATGAATGCAACGCCAGGAGGGAGATCGTCATGTTCTGAGGGTAGGAAAGCTGGGCCTTTACGTCGTCTTGAAGTATGAGGTAAAAGCCCGGAATGCGACAGACTCCGGGCAGGTTGACTAGATGATTCTTCCAACTCCAGGCGTTCTCGAACACCCACCACTACAACCAGAGTGTTAGGAGGCAACATATAAAGTGGATTCGGGACGCATACATTCATCGTCGAGCTCGAGTTCTTCCTCCTGAAGCTTGAGCAGGTCTTGTCCCAACTTGGACCGAATGGCGTCCAACGCTTCAATCCTGTGAGAAATCTCATCGATCTCGTTGTGAATGAGAGCCTGGAAAACAATTGAGCCGGATGCACAGAATGGGGGCAAGTATGTGACACACCCTGCGGACGTGCAAGTTCTCCTTGTCCCGCTGAATCTCGTGAGTTTGTCGAGTGAGCTCCTCCGTCCCAAGCACCTTGCTGGCACTCAAACTCTGCCTCCCCTTCCGCTTGCCCTTCCTCCCCTGCAGTGTCCGGTCTGAAGCGCCCACCATGACCACATCATCCTCGCTGACCACGCTCTCCCCGTCGTGGTCCTCGTCTTCCAGCATCCCCCTTACGCCCATGCTGATCCTCTTCAGCCCCAACTTCGGCGTGTCGACGTTCCGCGTCTGCCTCCGCCGCGTCCGGCCCTTCTCCGCGCTCGGGATCGTCGCGTTGAAGCCCTTGAGCAGCGACACCTCGTGCGCGACGCCCTCCGGCTCCGGCACCTCCTGGTCGAGCAGCTCCTCCGTGGCCTCCCTGATCTGCAGGTCGCGCGACGTCACCCGGCGGGACCCGAACCCGAGCCGGAGCGGCGCACGGCCGAGCGTCGCGAAGTCGACGGCGGGGCCTCTAGAGCCCCCGGTGACGGACGCGCGCGGCCGTCCGGAGACCGTCGCGGCCCCGATGACGCGCGGGGTCATGATGACGGGGGCGACTGCATGGGGGGAGGGGAGGGGGAGGAAGGGACGGGCGAGACGGGCAGACCACCTCACGACTCAGCGCTTGCGGTTCGTGGAGCAGAGAGAGGGAGGGGGAGGAGAAACACGCACGGTCGGTGAGGATCTTGGCCGAGTCGTGCTTGCGGGACGTGAAGGGCGCCATGATGGCCTTGGAGACGGACTCGAGCTTGCTGGAGGCGTACGCGGAGGCGCCGTTGGTCGTGCTCGTGCTTGTGCCCGTGGCGAGCGGTTCAGGGCGGGCCTCGCGCTTCCTGTCCTTGTGGTGGTGGTGGCCAGACGACCTGCTGGAGGACGCCATTGCTGTCTGGCCCTGTGCGGGCAGCGGGGGGTAGGGCGGGCGTGCTCGCAGTGGGGTGGGGGGTATGGGAGGCAGGAAAGACGTTCTGTGGCCCGCTTGCGTCCTTGGCGCGACGCGTCCGAGCATGGAAGCGCCCGCTGACCACGTGCTCACTCCGTCATTCCTCTCCGTCTCTGCTCCGACGCCTTCCCGAAGCTGACCGTGGCGGACGGTGTCGACCGCTACGACCGCGTTCACAGCAGGATGCGGCGATATCACCGCGGGTGCGGGAGGGTATGGTGATGGTACACTAGAATTACACCGCGTCTAGGATATGGGCCATTGATCTGCACTACACAACCTCAACGTCCTGAATCCGGCCAAGTCAGGTCCAGCACCATGTTGAACCCAAACTTGCGCAAGTCATACTCTGCAGCGAGCCACGGAATGACCCCTTTCTTCGGCGTAGATGCTGCGCCCTTCGGAGAAGCAGGCGCCTCTTGGAGTGGCGGCACTGCAGCGATGCACTTCCTCGGCGCCGTTTACTTGAGTCGACCCCGGGTCCGTCGTCGAATTCGCAGCGTTGTCGGTTACACGCGGGGGAAAGAGAAGAGAGCGAGTGAGGATCCACACGAGCTCCAAGACGGTGCGCTTCTCCGGGACGCTCGCAATCGCGGGGGCGGTGGGGGAGCCTCTTTGACGATCCTACAGTCTGGCGAACTCGGGTCCTCGGTGCTTTCCTCGCATTGACGGCGCATGGACTCCCTCCGCTCCCTCTCCATCGCCGCCTCCAAGCTGTGCTTTGTCCTGAGCATGCTTGCCTCTTCCCATCTCGACGTGTTGTACGGCGTGAAGAAGCCACCGGAGAGGTCGCACCAACAGCGGTCCGCGACGGCGATGGTAGAGGGCACCTTGTCCTCGGGAAGGTCCGGCATTACGTGTCGCAATGCGTCCGCAAACGTAGTGATGTTGTCGGCCCATGGTTGTACTAGAGGCGTGTCAACGGCGACCGGAGGCCAGTAACACGAGGAGATGAACATCGCAAAGAGCAGGACCATGCAGTAGAAACTAAAAGACATTTGAGGGACGTGTTGTGTCAGAGAACTGCTGAGACGCACCATGGCCTCGCGTGCATTGTTGCCGAGAATATGAAGAGGCACAGGAAGTACGGTGGGGCGATCGGTATAGGAAGCAGCACCAGCGGGAGATACCATCGTGTACACCTAGAGCCAACGGGTGAGCGTCCTGATACGGAGACGAAGGCGGCACGTACCACATCATGGACTGAAGGAGGGGATGGGGGTGGCGGACGCTGCAGACGGCGCGGATGCAAGACACGCCCGGCGCACGCCGCACTGCACTGTGGACGACGCCCGCCCTAGATCACGTGGGAGCGCGCCAGTGACGCGTCCGCGTCGTGGGCAGAGGCGCCAGGAAGTTCTCCTGGCTTCGAGAGGCTTCCTTCAGCAACGCCCCGCTCCTCAAAAACGATCGCGCCCATCGAGCCCGACACCGTCAACGACCCCGACCAAAAATCCAAAATGACCCTCCACCCCGAAGTCCTCTGGGCCCAGCGCAGTTCCGAGTCCGACGAGAAAAAGGTACGCGATCCCCTCCCCGCCGCCACCCCCCGGCGCGAGTGCGAAAACGCCTCCTGCGCCTGCGTCCGTTTTGCTGACCCGCGCGGCCGGCGACGGCACTCCAGAACGTCCTCTATGTGACCGTGAACCTGCCCGACATCGAGGCGGACACGATGGACTTCAAGCTCACCCCGACCTCGCTCTCGTTCAAGGCCAAGTCGGGCAAGTGAGTGCCCCGCCCGTACCAGGCCGCGGTGGCGCGCACTGACGCGCCTCGACGGACTCGCAGCGTCGACAAGGGCCTCGAGGAGAAGGACTACGAGTTTGCGATTGACCTGTTCGAGGAGATCGACCCCGAGGTGCGTGTTCGCCGCTGCTCCGACTACGCACGCCTCCTGAGCACCCACTTTGGCTCGCATCGCACAGGCATCGAGCCGGAAGCTCACGTCGCGATCGCTGGTGCTCGTCCTCCGCAAAAAGGAGAAGAAGGCGGAGTACTGGCCGCGTCTGACCAAGGAGAAGGTCCGGAACGCGTTCATCAAGACCGACTTCTCCAAGTGGGTCGATGAGGACGAGCAGGACGAGAAGACCGCGTTGGACGACACCGAGGATATGGATATGGGCGGCATGGGCGGAATGGGTGGAATGGGCGGCATGCCCGGCATGGGTGGTATGGGTGGTATGCCCGGCATGGGCGGCATGGGTGGCATGGGCGGCATGGGCGGCATGGGCGGCATGGACATCGAATCGGTGAGTACCGTACAGCGATTCATCCTACCGCAGCACCTCTAATCTGCGTCCAGATGCTCAAGCAGATGGGTGGCTCCGGTGCTGGCGCCGGCGCGCTGAACACGGACGACATCGACGACGACGACTCGGATGACGATGGCCCGCCGCCACTGGAGGATGCTGAGCCCAAGGCATGATCTCCGCGTGGACGGGGATGAGATTGTAGACCTACAGAAAGGACGTGCGTCGTATATTGGACTGATCACTTGTAATGCACTCGCAGATATAAGAAGCTCTCAATGTATTATTTTGTGCAACACAATGTCAAAATGCGGTGATATCGGCGAATTTGACCAGCATTAAAGCCACCATGTGATATTCAAAATCCCGTCGCGCGAAAGGTTCTCCTGCGATGAGGGCACCGGTCGATACGAGATGCGATAGTATACATGGAGATACATACGTGACTACAAGGTGCGCCGACTGTTGAGAGTGGCATGTCTAATGCTAGTGCTACAGACGTCCCAGGTTGACTGGGGATCTTCCTCCGACAAACATGCCTCCAGTGTCCACACCCGCACCCGCCTCACACCCGCGTCACGCACCACTCCAACACCCAAAACTTCGCCCCGTCCGAGACGGTTGCAAGTCGTTCCTCTCCAGCTCCCACACGCGCGCGTCGACCCGGACCGCGCCCGGGGGAACACGCCCTCCCAGAGCTCCCGCCAGCTCTCCGGCAGTGGCAGAACATCTGCCGCCCGTGGCTGTTCGCGACCCCCGCCTCGACGCGGAAGCCCTTCTCCGCGCGGCCGCTCTGGAGGCCGAAGATCATCGAGCCCGGCTCGGGCGCGAGCAGCCCGCGAGGTTGCGCGCGAGCGCGACCTGCTCCTCCTCCCCGAACAGGTGGAAGACGGCGGAGATGTGGATCGCGGCGACGTGGCCCCGGAGCGGGTTGAGGGAGGTGAGCGTCGGGAGGTCGGGCCGCGGTGTGCGGGCGGAGTCCGTCGTGAACGGGGGCACGCACTCGAGGTGCGCGGGGTCGAAGGCGTCGCCGGCGATGAAGCGCGCGGGGAAGGTTTTGGGGGTGGTGCTGAAGAGCTTGTGGCCGAAGTCCCAGAACTCGGGGTGGATGTCGGTCGCGACGACGTTCTCGACGCGGAAGCCGTCCGCCACGGCCTTGCGGACGTCGTTGCCGACTGCGGGGCGGGAGCGAGGTGAGCGTTTGCGCGTCCTGGAGCACGCAAGAGGGGACTCACAGCAGCAGCCGATGTCGAGGAGGATCGCGTCCGGGCGCGCTCTCCCCAGCTTCAGCAGCTGGTTGTACCCAGCCACCTTCGAATTGAACTTCATCCTAATGTCCGGTCAGCAACATCCCCGCTCTCATCTGCGGGAAGCGGAGACCCACCTGAGAAAGGCGAACCGGCGGATGCACGGGTACGGATGGACGGCGAACGCCTCCGACTGGACGTTCAACACGTGCTCGCGAAGGCGCTCGTCGTCGTCGATGCCCGTCTGCTTTTTGACGAACTCACGTTCTTCCTCCGTGATGGTGTCGTAGCCGGCCTTGAGCAAAGGGTCGTGAGCCAGGGTCGCCTGGGCCTTCGCTACGGAGCCGTTGGCGGGTGGCGCGGCCTCCGCACAACCGTTGGTCGGGACGCTGGGGCTAACTCGATGGCCATGGCGCAAAGCTGTGGGAGGGGGGAGAAGGGGCGAAGGCGATGGTGTTGGGCGAGGGCCGAAGGTGAGAACCGAATCGTGTCCGGCCACCTTTATACCGCGGGGCGCAACCTTGGACAACCGAACACGTCTAGCGATGCACGGTGGTGTAGCGCGCGGCCTCCTTCCCTTCCCCAGAAACTGCACGGACGCGAATTGAAGCGCGGCGCGCCCGCGCGCAGACACGGCGACAGCACGCAGCGGTCTCCTTTTGCCAGTCGACGCGACACGACGAATTTTCCCATATATTTGTGCGCACCAGGATTGCGCCCTTCCCGCCGTTGCCGCACAGAGAAGGCCCCGAGGGTCGCTCGATGGCCCGGGGAGAGAAGACCGGCTTCGAGTGAGGAAGCCTGCGCGGTACGCTCGTTCCGCAGCGCGTCGCCGCCGCGGGGACATTGAACGGGCCCCTTCTCGCAGCGCACAGAAGTTGAGAGGCGCGCCATCGGACGAGCGGGCGGGGTCGGCCCACTTTCCACAGGCCCCGCACGCGTCGTGGATAACGGGCAGGTGGCCATGCCGGCGGCGACCGCTTTCGGGACGAGCCTTGAATGAAGCCAACCTTGTATTTGACGTGCGCTCGTCCCATGGGCGATCCCCGTCGCGGTCTGCTCCCGAGTTCACCGGACCGCCTGTGCGCGAGCCTCGTCCCCTGCGCTCGAGACGTCTCTCTGGAATACGGATGCCAAGCTGTTCGAGCCACCGCCAGGTTTCGGCCGCTGAACCTTCCTTCGTCAGGCCGTTCAACGCGCGCGGGGTACGGTACTGGCCGTGAGTTGCAGAACTGGCCAACTCCCGACGGGGCCATCGACGTGAACGGCGAGCGATCCTCAGCCAGAGCCTTTTGCCGTATTCCGAGAGGCGATACGCAGGCGTAGGGCTCATGGAGGATTTCATCACTTCTGTCAATGCCCGAGGCTCAAGGTTCAATGAAACACGTACAGGACCAGTCAAGGTAGTACCGCGGTTATCACGCACACCGCCTGCCCCAGGGGCCAGCACAGAGGCTGCGCCGATAACACAATCGCGAGTCACCCGGTAGCTGGTTGGATGGCTGAGTAGATTGGGGCGTTAGGAATTGGTAGCCCCAACTCAAGTGTAGTACCAGGCTGGCCCAAAAGCAGCGTCCCGCTAGACTACCGGTGGCAGCGCTCCAGAAACGTCGTGGCGCCCACACCGTTCATTGAATATGCGTATTTGTCTGTATTGAAAACCCTTGGCTGCGGATCATGGATCTCGTTGCCAGATGGAATCCATAGGAAATAAACCACACCTACGTTGAGATAGGTGCCGCTGCCAATCCTCCCCAATCGCAAACTCACTGTACAATTTCCTTATCACAATCTGAACCCTCGCCCGACTTCGAGCCGGCCGCCCTCAAACCCTGGTCACCGACCACACCAAGAGCCAAAACTTCGTCTCCGGCGCCGCATGCAGCTCATAGTCCTCCCTCACCACCTCGTGCAGCGTCGCCTCCACCTCCACCACCCCCTTTGGGAACACCTCCCCGTCCCAGAGCGCCGCCCAGCTCTCGGGCGAGTGGCAGAACATCGTCCGCCCGTGCGAGTTCGCGCGCCTCACCTCCGTCCGCAGCCCCTTCTCCGCCCGCCCGACGTGGCTCCCAAGGATCACGGAGCCCGGCGCGGGGTCGAGCAGCCCCGCGAGCGCGCGCGCGACGTGCAGCTGTTGCGCCTCGTCGAACAGGTGGAAGAAGGAGGAGGCGTGGATCGCCGCGGCCCGCGCCCGCAGCGGGTTCAGCGACGTGAGCCCCGCCGTCCACAGCGGCAGCGAGAACGGCGCGGTGGCGGCATCGGAGGCGGTGGGTATGGGAGGCGCGGCCTCGAGATGGGTGGGGTCGAAGGCGTCCCCGGGCAGGAAGGCGACGGGGAAGGTCTCGGACGTCGTCTTGAAGAGCTTGTGGCCGAGGTCCCAGTACTCTGCGGTGAAATGGTCGAGTTTGTGTTAGGACGGGAGCGTGCTCCGTTAAAGGGGCGGCGCGCGGAGCTTGGGGGCGTCGAGGGCCGCGCGCGCGGGGAAATGTGTGGACTAGGGGACGTACCTGAGTGAAGATCCGAGCCGATTACGCCTTCCATCGGGAAGCCGTCTGCGACCGCTTTGCGGATGTCATTCCCGACTGTGCAGGCGCGACGTTGTGAGCGCAACAGTAGTCGTGAGATATAGAGGAGCGCATACAGCAGCAGCCGATGTCCAGGAAGATCGGGTTCTTGCGCTCTTTGCCGATTGCCAGGAGCTTTGCGTACGCTGGCAATCGGGAGAGATTCAATCTGAAAGGAGGGTGGGGGGATGTAAGGAGTCGTATTCATGTGCAGTGCGCATACACCCACTGGAGGAACGAGAAGCGGCAAATGCATGGGTACGGGTGGACCTACGACAAGGCCCGCGCGCTCAATATTCAATCTCCAAACGAGTGTAGTTCGGGCACTGTAACTCACCAAGTACGCCTCCTCTTGTACGGAGATCGCATGTCTCTTGAGCTCCTCAGGGTCTGAGATACCGGTCTGGGCACCGAGAAATGCAAGACCTTCTTGAGGGATGATCGACCAAAGCTCCGGTTTCAACGGATTGGGCGTCAGAGTAGTGGCCATCGTAAGTGCCTGTTGGGACTGGTACTCTCGGGGAGAGGTCGAGAGGTCCTGACATGTGCGAAATCGCGCTATAAGTAGTCCTCAAGGTGTCCTAAGATATCCTGTGGGCTTCTGAACGCGGCCGGGCCGAATCGTGTATTCCTGGTGGGCACTCGGATGGCTCCGGGACTCCGAGGGTCTTTCGGCGTGTGGAGAACTGGGAATTTGGGATTTTCATACTCGGCGGGTGGGCGTTGGGAGATTGACGTGAAGTTATCCGGCCAGGTCAAGGCATCGAGCAAGGCGAAAGCAGGCACTGAACGAGAGGGAGCGGAGGTCCGGCTCCCACGTCCACGTGCGTCTCGGCCGAACGCCGCCGAATGAGGCCGTTGTTCAATGTCCTCCACCGACAATCGCTTTGTATTCCTCTTCGGCACACAAACGAATGACGCGTGCTGCGACCAATCAAACGTTCAACAGTCGAGCCTTCTCGAATGAACCCAACCTTGTATTTGGCGTGCGCTCGTCCCACAGGCGATCGAGCCGCCTGAGTCCCCTGCGCTCGCGCTCCTCTCGAATACGCATGCCAAGCCATTCGACTCAACGCCCGTGTGGGAGCATCTCGACACCAGGTTTCGGCCGCTGAACCTGCCTTCGTCTGGCCGTTCAACGGGTAGCAGATGCAACTCGATCCCGGGGGACTTCGACGTGAACGGCGAGCGATCCTCCCAGAGCCTTTCGTCATATTCTGAACTCGCGAGAGGCGAGCTTAAAGCTCATGGAGGATTTCATCACTTCTGTCAAACTCAGAGGAGCATGCCCGCTCAAGGTTCAATGAAATACGTACGTACAGGACCAGCGGGCGATGGTCAAGGCACGGCTGCGCCGATAATGCAATGGGGAGTCACCTGGCAGCTAGTTGGATGGATGAGCCAATTGGGAAGCTTCTCGTCAGCCAAGTTAACGGCGGCAGCGCTCCAGAGACGTCGTGGCGCTCACACCGTTCATCGGACGCGCGTATATGTCTGCATTGTGAACCCTCGGCCGCGGATCATGGATCTCGTTACCAGATGAAATTCATAGCAAGGGTATCGAACACAAACCACCCTTACATTGAGCTACCGTTGCCACTCGCGAGCTTACTGTGCAATTTCCCACCTCCCCGTGGCCAGACTCTGAACCCTCACCCGACTCCGAGCCGACCGCCCTCAAACCCTGGTCACCGACCAGACCAACAGCCAAGACTTGGTCCGCGACGCCGCGTCCTCCCGCACCACCTCCTCCAGCATCGCCTCCACCCTCACGACCCCCTTCGGGAACACCTCCCCATCCCAGAGCGCCGCCCAGCTCTCGGGCGAGTGGCAGAACATCGTCCGCCCGTGTGAGTTCGCGCGCCTGACCTCCGTCCGCAGCCCTTTCTCCGCCCGCCCGCCGTGGCTCCCGAGGATCACGGAGCCTGGCGCGGGGTCGAGCAGCCCCGCGAGCGCGCGCGCGACGTGCAGCTGTTGCGCCTCGTCGAACAGGTGGAAGAAGGAGGAGGCGTGGATCGCCGCGGCCCGCGCCCGCAGCGGGTTCAGCGACGTGAGCCCCGCCGTCCACAGCGGCAGCGAGAACGGCGGGGCGGCATCGGAGGCGGCGGCGTCGGTGGGCGCGGGCGGCGCGACTTCGAGGTGGACGGGGTCGAAGACGTCCCCGGGCAGGAAGGCGACGGGGAAGGTCTCGGGCGTCGTCTTGAAGAGCTTGTGGCCGAGGTCCCAGTACTCTGCGGTCAAATGGTCGAGTCAGTGTTAGGGCAGGAACGGGCTCCGTTAGAGGGGCCGCGCGCGCGGGGAAGTGTGTGGACTAGGGAACGTACCTGGGTGAAGATCCGAGCCAATTACGCCTCCCATAGGGAAGCCGTCTGCAACCGCTTTGTGTATGTCATTCCCAACTGTGTAGGCGCGACGTTGTGAGCGCAATAGTGGTCGTGAAGTATATAGGAGCGCATACAGCAGCAGCCGATGTCCAGGAAGATCGGGTTCTTGCGCTCTTTGCCGATCGCCAGGAGCTTCCCGTACGCCGGCAGTCGGGCGAGCTTCAATCTGAAAGGAGGGAATGTAAGGAGTGGTATTGATGTGCAGTGCGCATACACCCACTGGAGGAACGCGAAGCGGCGAATACACCGGTACGGGTGGACCTACGGCGGGGCCTGCGCGTTCAATCTCCAAACGAGCGGGGTTCTAGCAGAGACTGAAACTCACCGAGTACGCCTCCTCTTGTACGGAGAGCGCATGTTTCCTGAGCTCCTCAGGGTCTGAGATACCGGTCTGTGCACCGAGAAACGCGAGACCTTCCGGAGGGATGACAGACCAAAGCTCCGGTTTCAACGGGTTGGGCGTCGGAGTCGTGGCCATCGTTATCGAAGGTGAAGTGCTTGTTGAAACTGGTACTCGGGGGGAGGTTGAGAGATCGCGACATGTGCGAACTCGAGCTATAAGTAGGCCCAAAGGGGTCCCGTGTGGGCTTCTGAACGCGGGCCGAATCGTGATAACGCCTCTCACGTAGTTTTGGTTTGAGAATATCAACGAACACCGTGCATCACTGCGGACCCCTGGTGGGTACGATGGCACCCTTCTCGACAGTGGGACCCATCCGGACTCCGAGCGGCTTTCGGCATTTCGGAGAACTGGGAACTTGAGATTTGTGTGCCCGTCGGGCCGAGCTTGTAAGGTTGACCTGCAGTTATCCGGGCACGCCAGGCTGGCATCGAGCAAGGAGAAAGCAGGGCTGTTGCTCCACAAAAAAAAAAAAAAAACAGGGCTGAAAGTGCAGATAGAGGAGAGCTGGTTCCCACGTCCACGTGCGTCTCGGCCGAACGCCGCCGACCTTGTCCTAGATTGTCCTCCACCGACAATCGCTTTGTATTCCTCTTCGGCACGCAAACTAATGACGCGTGCTGCGACCAATCAAATGCTGAACGACCCTCAAGGCCTCAACTCTCCATGACGGGCCACCACGGGGCCACTCAAGCCGCTCGCCCTCGTCTTTGTCCTCGGCCTTCTCTCTCTGCTCGCTGCCCACCGTCCAATCCTTATTGTTCTAGTATGCTGTGGTTCAAAGAGCTCTATAAAACGACCCCATCTCGGTCTGCTTCACTCTCACCCCGCTCCATCTCTCCGAGACCTGTCTTCCTCCGCCCGGTTGCGGCTTCATCGGTTTCCTGTGTTTTTCCGCATCAACCTGGTGTTGCCCTCTAGATCCCAGCTATACGACCCTCTTCAGCCGACTCTGATGATGTTTCGCCACTCATTGACGACCATGAAGCTTTTCTCTGTCCTCGCCCTCGCTCTCGCCGCGGCCGCCCGCCCAGGCCTCTATGTCCCCCGCCAGGATTTCAAGCTCCAGAATGGCAAGGACGCCCTCGCCCAGAAGTGAGTTTTCCCCTCCCACTCCCAGCCTGGCATTGTTCCATGAATAGCTGCTGACGCCAGTGCTTCCCCAGCGCCAAGTTCGCGACGCTGAGCGCCGACTCTGCCTGCACCGTGGGCGAGAACGCCTGCGTCAACAACCAGTTTGCCCAGTGTGTCTCGGCCAAGTTCGTCCTCCAGTCCTGCGGCGATGGCTTGATGTGAGCGTTCTGCCCTCCCTATGTTCCCTTTCCCTGACCACTCGGATCCTCGACAGTTGCGCCGCTCTCCCCCTCGTTAACTCCGCGGGAACGAGCATTACTTGCACCACCACCGCCGACCGTGATGCCCGCATCACGGACACAGGTGCTACCACCGGGGACGCGTCGAGCTCTAGCAGCGCCGCTTCGTCCGCGACAACCTCTGCCAGCTCCGCTTCGGTCAGTCGCCCCCCGTCTACGTTGTCGGTCCCCACGCTCACCCATTCCACAGTCCACCAGCACCTCCAACTCCAACTCCAACTCCACCGACGACGCCCAATCCTCCTTCACCCTCCTCCAGTCCGTGATCGCGACCTCGTTCGCCAATGACGGCACCGCGACCGCCGAGCCCGGCCAGGTCGCCTCGCTCACCTCGACGAACAACTTCATCAACTTCTGCGCCACCGTGCCCTCCAAGCCGCTCACGAACGGCAAGCAGATCGCCGCCGGCTCCTGCAACCCCGCGCCGATGGGCGTCGTCGCCGGGACCGCGAACATGCCCTCCGCCAAGTTCGTCTTCCCCCCGAACGGCGGCGCGCTCCCCGCGCACCAGAACTTCACCCTCCGGCTCGCCGTCCGCCACCTGAACACCGGCTTCTTCACCAACCCGGACGCGAGCTACTTCGCGGGCCCGCAGACGGTCGACGCCGCGGGGGACGTCACCGGCCACGCGCACGTCGTCATCGAGGCGCTCGACGCGCTCGACCAGACCGCGCCGACGGACCCGCGCCAGTTCAAGTTCTTCAAGGGCATGAACGAGCGGGCGGTCGGCGGCGAGCTCACCGCCGTCGTCGCGGGCGGGCTCCCGCCGGGCGCGTACCGGATGGCGTCGATCAACTCCGCGGCGAACCACCAGCCGGTGCTCGTCGCGATCGCGCAGCGCGGGACGCTGGATGATATGGTCTAGTGAGTCCACCCGTCCGCTCGTGTGCTGTCGACGCGCGCTGATCCGGGTGTCGCTGCAGCTTCACGGTCGCGTGAGAGTTGCGCTTATTTGTTCGAGTTGTATCCATAGCGCCCCGTCCTACACTACCCACACTCCTTGTCTTATGTATCCATAGCTATCAAATCAATTACTGGGAGAGACAGACATTTTACAGTGGGACTCTGGATGCTGGAGATGCAAATACAATCTAGCAAATACTGCAGGTTGGCACGACCTCTTACTCGCGACTTGAAGTTTTACAACGCTGCTGCTGCTCATCGACTTCGCTTCGGCACGACTGAGACTCTCGGTGAGCCTCTGTCGCGCTCGGACAGGCAGCCTGGGGTTGGGGGGACACGTAGCAAAGCAAGTGCCCCCAAGCAGCGTGGAATCCCAGTGTAGTGCGGTCCATCGCAGCGAATTGTTGAAGTAACGAGGGCGTATATATACAATGGCGATACCATGAGACGTCATCGAGGGGCGTCCACCGTGCGTCCACCCAATAGATTCAACATAAAGAGGGGCGTCGACTGCACACTTGCGGCGGCGAAAATCCAGAACGGCGCAGTAGAAATGCTTGGCCAGTAAGCACGCGGAGTGGATCGATACAAAAACATTTTTCGGGCTCTTACAGCATCCGTTTACGGCTCATGATGTTCTACAACGCTGCCTCCCGCGACCTCCAGAACCTTCCAATCGACTTCGATCCCGTGGGTTTTGAAGATCGACCGCGCGTCCTCCGCAATAGCCTCGAAGCCGCCGGTGGCAAGCGCGAGGATGGTCGGTCCCGCACCGGACAGGCAGATGCCCAAAAGACCGGGATGCGTCGAAGGGGTGATGTTGCTCGTCACTTCGGGGAGCCCCGGAATCTGCGAGACGAGGCGTGTTGAATGACCGCGCATACACCCAGCACGCCGTCACCGCTCACCAGAGTCTTGCGGTACGGCTGGTGCACCCGGTCCTTCATCGCCTCGTAGATGAGCTCCGGGTCCGGCGGCGTCTGCGCCAGCGCCGTGGTGAGGACCGCCAGCCGCTGCAGGTTGAACACCTGCGTCGCCCCACCCCCGTGAACTTCCCCCCATCGCACGAGATCCGCGGGGCGCACTCACCAGGTCCTTCCGCGAGTACTCGAGCGGCAGCACCTCGCGCGCCTTCGCCGTGCTCAGCTCGAACCGCGGGATGATCGCCAACGCCCGCACGCACCCCGCCCACCCGAACCGGACGTAGTGCCCGATCCCGACGGGCGGCACGGGCGGGTGCAGGCCCCAGTCCTCGCCCGCGTCGGGCGGGTACTCGGGGAGGACCTCGCTGACGGGCACGCTCGCGCGCGCGCTGTCGCTCTCGTCGAGCTCGCGGAGGTACGAGCCGACGAAGCCGCCGACGAGCGCGGCGGTGACGTTGTCCGGGTGGCGCTCGACCATGAGCGCGAAGTCGAGGATGCGCGCGGGGGGCAGCGCGAGCCCGCCGAGCGCGTCGCCGAGGAGCACCCCAGCGACGACCGCGGCGCCGGACGAGCCGAGCCCGCGCCCGAACGGGATCTCGTTCGCGCAGTGGAGGGCGAGGTTCGTGGGGAAGCGCTGCACGCCGTGGCAGCGGAGGACGTAGAGCGCGACGCGGGTCGTCAGGTTCTTGTACGCGTCGAGCGGGACCTCGTCCGCGCCCTCGCCCGAGTACGTGATGCGCGGCGGGCGCGGCGGGTCGGCGGCGGTCGGCGGGGTGACGGAGACGGTGAGAGTGAGGGAAAGCGAGAGCGAGAGGCCGACCACATCGAAGCCGGGGCCGATGTTGGCCGACGTTGCGGGGACGCGGATGGTGAACGAGCGAGGGCGGGGGTGAGAGAGAGAGTCAGACATCGTGCGGCCCAACACCGGCGCCTGTCTCGCGCAGGACTTGAGCTCCCCTCGCGCCTAAATGACTCGGCCGCAAGTCGACAGGCTTCCGCTCATTTCTCCGCCAGCGCAGGCATGCACAACGTCGACCGCCACGTTGCAGGGTCGAGAAGCGAGGTTTTTTCGGAGAAATCCCTATTGCCCGTGGGCATGATGGGACGAGGATCACGCAGACGTGTCGACGCGGCCGTAAAGTTCATTAGATCTAGGTATTGGCCATGGCACATGGTGCCGGTGAGCAAAGAAAGTGTGTATGCTACAATGGTGGGAGTATGTGTATATCAACACATCCTCCACCTGCGCACCGAATCCGATCTAAGCGCCCCGCTCAGCCACCTGCAGCGCCGCAGAGGAGTCAATATTCAATAAGGTGGCCATTTGCCGGATGCGGCAGATGACGTCAAGAGGGCCACAAGTATATTATCAACGTCCGCATCCGTGTCCCCTCTATCACCCTCTCGCCCTCCATGGCGAGTCAGATGGCCCTTCTCCTCTCTTGTCAACTCCGCACTGTTGACCCCAGGCTTTTCCGGTGTGGCTATGAGGATGCTTGGTTTGCCTTCCTCCGCTCCGCATTCCCTTTCCCAGCTGGATTCAACATCTGCCCTGAGTGCTGGCCTTCCAGGGGTCGGCAATGTTTCCGCTTCGAAGTCAAATATGGCTGGGAGCACACAGTGTTTGTCGTGCACCAGAAATCGGCGGCGGAGATGGACTACGCAAAGGAGCTCAAAAGTGCAAACAGGCTGATGCGCAAGCATCTGCGCAGACCAGGCTCGTCACCCCCCACCTTTAGCCCTCTTGCTGGGGTTCACAATGTGCTCCAGACTGTCCTCTACCCGCTTTCCGTGGACTGAGCGCGTTGGGAACCACCTTTGCTTTGTATGCCGAACAGCACACCACCATCACCCCTCCTTCCCCTCCCACTTGGAGCCACAGTGTTCTCGACCTTGACGGGGTCTGCAGCATCCTGGAGATTGTCGAGGCCGTCAAGAAGGACTGCAAGGAGCTCAAAAGTCTGTCGTTCTCATCATTTGCGCTGTGAAGGGCACTAATCATGGTCTGACTTGCAGGATCGAGGAGGCTCACTGCCAAGGCTACTGCAAAGCAGGCCATGTAGAGACGGTCTTTTTGTCCACAGTTACGTGGAGTCCGCTTCGGAGCAATCCCTACACTCCGCGACCCTTGAGCCCCCTCTCTCACTGCATGACTGACACAACCATCTTGCAGCAGCTTTCCGGCCAACTTGGAATGGCTGTAATGCGTAGTTTCTGCATTTTATTCATTGAATGATAGTGGTTGTCTGCTACATCCCGCACTCTCGTTTCTCCAGCCGGCACAGACATGCATGGTGGCCACGACCACCACGTTGTAGGGTCAAGAAACGAAGTTTTTGCGGAGAAATCCCCTATTTCGTGGCCCGCGGGCATGATGGGACGAGGATCACGCAGACGTGCCGATGCGGTCGTAAAGTTCATTAGAGGCATTATCCATGACACATGATGAGCAAAGGAGGTGTGTATACTACGATGTTGCGGGGGTATGTGTGTGTATGCGAGTATCGAAACCTACTGCGTCCCCTCCACCTCCACACCGAATCCGATCCAAGCGCGCCCGCTCAGCCACCAGCGGTCAAGCAGACGGCGCGCGTCGCAACCAGCGCGCCTGCGGAGGGGTCAAAGGGCAGGTCGACCGTGAAGAGCACGTCGCTGCGGTCGCCGTTCAAGTACACGGGCAGGTTCACCTTGTTCGGCGTCGCCTCCTCCGACTGCACCCAGCGGACCTGCGACGGCCCTAGCCGGACCGTCTCTCCGTCGTTCAGCACGAGCTGGTCAGTCGACCATGCAGCGCCCTCGAGAACAAGCCCTGTAGATGACTGTCAGCAGCCGAGATACGTCCGACATGTCTTGAAAGCTCACCATCGACAATGAAGGCCTCGGGGTTGTTGACCTTCTCGAGGTCGAGTTCCAGACGAAGTGTTTCCAGACTCCACCGCTTGCGGTGCGCCACGGCCTGTCGCGAGGCAGTGATGAACGCCTCCGGGAAGAAGAGGCCGCCCAGCCAGACCTCGACGTTGTTGAGGTTGTCGAGCGTCGCGATGTTGTCGAGCTGTGCGAGCCGGCGCGCGAAGTTGGACACCCACTCGGACACACCCATCGCCTTGTGCACCTTGTACTGGCGCCAGTGAGTCGGGATCGTGCCTGCAGACGGCGGTTAGTATCTTGCGTCAATCTCAATACTGCCGACGTACCCTTGGTGAGCGCGCTCATGAGAGTGCGGAGGTGGTTCGTCTGTTTCAGAGCACCCTCGCAGACCTTGACGACGTCGCCCAGATCCCTGCGGACTTGCGACAACAGCTTGCTGCCGATGCTGCCCTCGCGGAAGAAAAGGCGATACAGCGGGTCCGAATGCTCCGCGCTCTGCTTCTCGAGAGTATGGAAGTTGGCTGGGAGCTGTTGGAGCCATTCCCCACAGCGCTCGTGGAGCTGACGCATCCAGGCAGGCTGTTGAGAGGCCTGGCCCGAAGAGGAGCCGCCAGTGGCTGGTGTCACCTCATCGTCATCATCGGCCAACATACGCATCTTGCGCAGCTTGCTGAGCAGCTCGGTTCCTGAAACATGATAAGTAAACGTCCCCCGCATCACCGTCTGGAAGGAACATACCTTGTGCGATGGCGATGACGCGCTCAGCGGTGGGCGGCAGGCTGAGCCATGATGGAGGCTCCTTGTCGGGCAACTGCGTGACCCAGGAAAGGAAGTGTTCGAGCTTCGTCCCGTCTGGCACAGTGAGCACCTGGTTGCCGGTGACGCTTGGTACGAGGTCAAAGTCGACGTTGTACGAGTGCGGCGTGAAGAGGCTGTCCACGAACGCGTCCACGATCCTCTGGTCGAAGTCGCTGTCCACCCTGCCGCCGTACACGGACTGCTTGACGAGCGTGCGGATGGCATCCCACGGGATCGAGGCCGGATCAACATTCGCACGGCCCTTGGCGACGCTGTTGAGCCAGGTGTCGATGGTGGTGAACGCGGCGGCCATGTCCGAGTCGTTGAAGTCGTACGTCTTGCTCCATCCGAGCGGAACGTAGCGCAGACGCTCCTGCACAACGGCATGGAACCACGCAAGGAGAAAGTAGAGGCGGACCTTCTCGGCTGGGCCCTGAGTGAGGCGATTGGACGCGATGCTGCGAAGCGAATCGGACAAGTTGGCCTTGATACCAGGGGGTGGCTCATTCATGAGGATGCGGGACTGGCGGAGGATGTTGACAGGGATTGACGGGTTGGCCTCCATGGTGAGGAAGAGACGGAAGTTCCTGTGCGGGTTGAGCGTCTGTAGCTTCTTCTCAAGCTGACCGAGCCATGAGGGAGCAAGGTGGACGTTCTTGAGCAGGACCCAAGACCCTTGACGTGCAGCGAGGGCGACTGCCTGGTCGGCGAGAGTGAAACCTTCTTGAGAACCCATTGCTACTGATGCGCAGCGCGAGCCCGTGTTCTGGACCATGTTCTCCACGCGGTAACTGGCATCGTAGCCGGGGACAGAGACAAGGGCGAGAGGGGTGGCGGGCTGGATCTCGTCTGAGACGATCCGAGCCAACTCGTACGCAGATTCGGCGGCGATGTCCGTCTGGAAGACCGAACGAACGAATGCCGCTGTCGACTGCAGAAGGCGATCAGGACGCAGACATTTGATGATCATCATGTCGCGGAGAGCCTCGACGGCAGCTAGAGAAGTACGTGAGCAGACAGTATGAGAAGTTAGAGAGAAGGGACGCACGAGTACCGACGTCCCACGGTTTAGGTACGTTTGTCTCCGGGCTAATCGCCTCAAGGAAGGGCAGCCATTCATCTTCGTGTTCCGTCAGATGGGTCATCACGGGCTTGAACATGGGCGACTTGGCGAACGTGACGAGACGCTGAGCCTGGTCAGTAGACAGAATGGTCGACTGCAGGGTCTCGGTGTTGATCGCAACTGCTCCATCTCCACTTTCCAGGAAGAACTCAAGCTCGTCAGTGATTTCCTCGACACCGCGGAGTTTGACTTGGGCGAGGAGAACGGCGAGCATAACGTGGTCACGATGGAGAAGGGCCCGCGAGGTCCGCTTGTAGATGACGAGGAAGAGATCACTGATCAGGATCTCCCTACGTTTGGCATAGTCGGTGACGTTACGCAAATTGGGGTTGTGGTGGAGTACGAAGTCGAAGATGTCGAGGAAGAAGCGGAGGGAGAATTGGTAGAAATGGTTAACGAGGTTCAGTTGCTCGAGGATGAAGAATACGGCACTGCACGCTTGAGCGAGTGGCAAGTACTCGGCGGTAACCTCTTCAACCTCCTTCATGACGAGGTCGGTCTCTTCGACTTTGCGAGTAATCTCGGCGGCTTCTCGCTTGAGCGTTTCAAGTGTATTGATGACCTTGTCGTCATCGAGGATGTTCCCTGAGGACTCGTTGAGGGCCTGGAGTAGCAGCTTCTCGAGGGTACGAAGACGGAGACGGAACTCTCCCTGCATCTTCATGAGGTCTGTACGCTTGCGCTCAGTGTCTGGGCGCTCGACCTTGAGGACCTGGTCGAGCGATTGGCTCTGCAGACTGCTCCTCGTCATCGTGAAGTTGACGAACGTGACACGACTGCAGATATCGGGGGAGAACTCGACCGAAGGGTCGCGAGTAGCAAGGAACATGGTGAACGAGGGCGAGAAGTCGATGTCTTGATTTCCGAGTCGAATGAGGACACGTCCACCGGTACGGCGGATTTCTCTGTTCAATACGGGGTTGAGGATGGGGTCGAGATGCTCCACGTCCTGGATGAGAAGGGTGTTTCCGAAACGCAATGCGCTCTCCAGCACCTTGAGGAAGGCCTCGTCGAGGAAACTCGTCACCGTGATCTTGCGGTCCTTGTACTCGTTCATGAGGAAAGTCGTAGCCTGTCCAGTGGGATCGATGATAAGCGGGTAGCGGCTGTAACGCTTGATCATGATGGCGTTCTCCGTGCAAAGGTTGTCGGAAGGCAGCGACTTCGACTGCCAGCTGAGGCGGTCATCGGCGGTGGAAAGGTACTCGGGGAGGGACAACTCGGCTTTGAACTGAACACCGGCCTCAGCCAAGTGTGTTGACCACTCTTGCCACATCTGTTCACGGTACTGCTGGTCGAAGAAGCCAGCATAGGCCAGGAATGCCGCAGAGAGCAGGACATCGCCGACGATGGTACCCATCTCCGTGTCGAAGGTGCGACTTCCGGACTCCCAACGAACCTTCTCTGAGGACAAACTCTCCAACAATTTCATACTACGGTCGACTTTGCTCTCGACGCGCTCCATCTCCGTCTTGATGGCCTCGGTCTCGCGGATGAGGCCGGCGTATTCCTCCTTGTAGCGTTCGATACTCTGCTCCAACTCCGCGATCATCGTGACCATCATCTGCGCCTGCTGCTTGGTCTGCTCGGCTTGGTCCTCGAGGGACTGCACCTCGTTACGCAGGGGCTCGACCTTGTCCAGGATCTCGGAGAAGCGGACCTGGGCAATGGCCCACTTGACGAGAGGACCACAAGCCTTACTGGCGCGCTGAACGGTCTCGAAGTTGAACGACGGGCGACTGAGGAAGTCCTTCTTCATTAGCTCACGGAGATGCTTGGTCATCTGGTTGGCAGTGTCGAAGTTGACGATGCGCTGAATGAAGTCGTCACGACGGATGATACCCTGGACGGTACGCCAGCTGTCGATTTTGTGACCGAGGAGAGTGCACACGGACTCCATCGCCAGCTTGACGGCCTCGGGAGGGTTGGCCATAGTACGGACTTCCTGCAGATGCTGACGCTTGATGTTACTGACAGCCGACTGGGCATCGAGGACAGCGGGCTCGGCGTCCGCGAGGTCGCCCATGACAATCTCCCTGCGCTGCTTGATGTGCTCGTCTTGTTGAGCAAGGGCAGTCTGGATCTCGAGGGAAGCGGCCTTCTTCTGTTCGGCCTCCTGTTGGTCTGCAACCATGCGCTTGAGCTTCTCGTTGGCCTCCGCGTTCTTTGCCTCGAGCTGTGAGCGCTTAATGGCGAGACTCTTGCGGAGCTCCTCGACTTGCTCGACGGTGTCCCGGAGCTTATCGAGACCGACGTGAAGATGGCGTTGCTGCTCCTCGAGCTCCTCGCGCTTCTCGTTGTGCAGGCGCACGTAGTGGTTGATGCTGTAGGAATGGACTGGTCAGTCCAGTATTCTGTTGAAGAAGCCAGAAGGACTTACAAGTCGAGGTAATGACGCGGCGTGACATAGTTGTAACGACCTTGGCGACGGCTGAGACGCACATTGATCGCGTGCATCGACTGGTGGACATGGACCAAACCGTTGACAAGAGCGGAACGGTGGGTAGGAGGCATGGAGAGATCGCGGTAGGCGATGGGGAACATTGCCGGAGGGTTGTACGAGGGAAGGTCGAGGTCAAGGGTGTTGGTGAACTCCATGCCGACCTGGAAGAAGGCCTGGTCTGACCAGTCCCCGAACCAATCGAGCACACAACGGTTGAACAAGGCGGGAGACGTGGCGGCACGAGAAGCAAGACCGTTCTCGGGAGGGTTCATGGTGAAGACGACGTGGAGGTTCTTGGCGACTTGTTGAGTGAACCACTTGTACAACTCCTCGTGTGAGTCAAGCATGAGGCCATCACGCTGTGAGCCTTCTTTGCAGGCTGTCATAAGAGCCGAATGTTCATCGCCCTCGAACAGGCCGGGCACTTCAGCGTTGGCGAGAAGGGTGTTCATACGCTCCAGGAAGCCAGAGTCGAGAACGTTAGACTCGTCCATGATGAAACAAATCTTCTCGCCCTTGCAACCGGAGCGGCGAAGGACGGTCCTCAGATCCTCGTCGAAGTCGTCTCCAGTGTACTTGTTGGAGACCTTAATCTGGAAGATGCTCAGACCATTCATCCATGCAACGAAGCGCGATAGTGTAGTCTGAAGAGAGATGATCAGTGTTGTAACGCCTACGCGCGAAGAGCACGACTGACCTTTCCACTTCCACTGACACCGATGAGCAACAAGTGACCCTGAATCTGACGGAAGACACGGTCGATGCGCAGGACGTGATCCAAGACGTCGTTGAAAAGTACGAGAGGGACATCGAGCTCTTCTTCGTAGAACACACGAAGACGAGCCTTCGTGTACTCGCGGAGGACTTCGCGGTCGACGGGGATGTAGTTCTTCGACGTCCAGTTGGAGAACAGGATAGGGCGCGAGAGGGCTTCCTCGTTGTTGATGGTGGGGAAGTGCTCCATCGCTGCGCTGTCGATGGCTTCGTCTGTCCAACGCTTCTCCTCCTCGGTGACTAGACGATCCTGGAAGAGACGCAAGGCTTCGTGCGCCCAGACGCGGACGAGGCCCTCCACAGAAAGCGTCTCGAGCGGCCGGATGGCCTCGTAGATACCACGGGCCCAACGGGTAAGCTCACGAGGAGAGTAGACGTAGTGAGCTTGGACGTCGGTTGTGAAGCGTTTCTGAGAGGCGAGGTAGACAGTGACCATGGCGTCGGTGAGTGGCTCAGAGTAGGCACGGAGGTTGGGAATGACTTTGAGGAGGCCGCGGTTGTACGTCCCGTAAATCTGCTTGAGCGAGAGCTCTCCGGGGTAGTCGACCATGACGAGCGGGGCGTGGCGAAGGAAACGATGGCTGAGAGGGACACGACCGGGGTCGGTGGGCGGGTTACACGCGCCCACGAATTGAATGCGCTCGAGCTTGACCCAAGCCATGTCACTGGTGCGCCAGTACCCGCCACACTCGACGAGCTGACGGATGAATGAGATGACGCGTTGGGTGCCGTATTTGTCAGTTGCGGGCAGGTTGATTTCGTCGCAGAAGACGACGAGCCAGCGACCGAGCTGTGAAGGAGCCAGGATGACACCATTGGGAGTCTTGCGGTACTCGCAGTATTGCTCGAAGGTCTTGAGGATGAGCTCGGGGACGGTGGCACTGGAGAAGTTCAGACCAACGACCTCCATATCCGGGAGCTTGCGCAGGGCGCTGAAGAGCGTCATAGTCTTGCCAGAACCCGGAGGACCGCAAAGCATCAACGGCTTGTGCTCAGAGAGCCATGAGTAGAGGACCTCTTCGTGGCGGACAGTGTCGACAGTGGGAACGACAACGTCAGAAGCTGTTACCGCGTGCGACTCAATTTCAATGACGGGAACACGGGACTGCCATGCACCCCACTCGCCGTTGGCCACGGCGACGTCGTAGTCGAGGAGAGACCCGCCTTGGGTCATCGGAGGGAGGTCGACACCAGTATGCTTCCTGAGGAAGTCACCGAGCTCGGCACGGAGCTCTAGACGAGCATCTCCAGAGAACGCCCAGATGATGTTGACGATTAGTCGCTTGGTGACATACTGCTCGATCCGCTCGTGTGGAAGGGGGAAGTCAGAATGCTGTATGTTGTACTCGATAACGTTGCGGACTGTCTTGTTGATGAGGGAGAAGAGGGTGTTAAGAGCACGGGTCACGGTGAAGTCCATGATGTGTTCGATGGTTTCCGCATATTGCAGTGCTGTTACGATAAGCTCGCCCTCTTGGAAGAAAGGCTCGAGGATGGTGGCAATCTGCTTCTGGGTGGCCAGGTGGGGAGACATCTCGTTGTCGTCGGCGCGACGACCGGGGACATCGAAAGCATCCTCGTCTTCGGCGTCCAAAGGTACAGTAGACAAAGTGTCAAGATAGTGGCGGAAGACCATGGAGGGCTCCACGACATCGTCGCTGAACCAGATCATACCGCAACGACTGACAGTAGCGAGAGTGGCGTACTTGAGGTGTTCCACCTCGAACATGATGCGGACGTTGGATGGAAGGTTGAGACGTTCACCGTTAGGCAGCGTAAGGAGCTTGTTGTCATCAAGTACACTGCGCGGGATGCGCGTGAACGTCGGCGCCGCAGAGACACCGTGCAACATACCTGTTCAAGTTTTCGACCCACTCTGGATCGACATCGCCGTCGAAGATGATCCAATGCCTCTTTCCACTCTCACCACGGACGTCGTCGACAATCTTGCGCAGGGTGTGGGTGAAGAGACCATCGTTCCATTCACGAGTCGTCTGGTCCAAGGTACCATAGAGGTCGTCCTTGTGCATGGCCTTGGGATCGATCACGTACGACACACCCTCGATGCCATCCAGACGTTCGAGAGCAGCCAGGAGGACTTGCCAAGCATTACTTTTGCCAGTTCCGGAGGGACCGACCATCATGAGACCGTGCTGGATCTTCTGAATCTGGTAGAGCTGTAGAATCTTGTTGATCCAACGCTCGCCCTCGATGAGGCGACGCTCCGCGCACACTTTGCTGATCTGCTCGCGCAGCGCGTCGAGGTCAACGGGGACGTAGTCGACACCAGGGAACACATCCGCCAGCAGACTAATGGAAAGGTGAGATTGTGATCTTCCGTGGGGATAGTGTCGAAGGAAACATACCTGGTCAGGAGTGGCACGTCGTCGGCAACAAGCTTAGGCACAATGGTCTCGGTGACACTCTGGATGAGGATGACTTGTTCAGATGCCGCGTCCGAGAGTCCAACAGCGTCGGCGCCTTCAGAGCTGGCCGCGAGCAGCCGCTCACGTTTGAGGATACCGGCGGATGCGAGTACGGCCTTGAGGGCACGCAGGCCGAAGTCGTAGTGAGGCTGAGGGGAAAGCTGCTCGTCGCAAAGGTTGAAGAACGGCACGATCTTCGAGGCGAGTGATTCTGCTGTACGGAAGCCCTGTGAGAACAGCATGACCTGGGCAATGAGTTCTCGATCCGGCCGCGTCATGGCCATAGGACGGAAAAGCTTCGTCAAGTTAGGCGGTAGCTGGGAACGACCGGCATAATTTGGGTTGGTAGTGATGAAGATACCCATGTTCTTGTTGAGCTTCACATTTTTGCCGACGAGCTCGATCTCGGTGTTCGGATTCTTGACGAGTTTGGCGAGGCCTTGTTGGATGCTCTGCACTTGCTGGGAGACGGCACTAAGAATACGCTCTTCGAGACGGTTGAACTCGTCAAAGCATCCCCAGGCGCCTACTTGACAGAGACCGACGAAGATACGACCCATCGCCTGGAAGTCGAAAGTCTCGTCACAGCAGAACACCAGCACGAAGCGACCAAGTTGGACACCAAGTGCCTTGACAGACTCCGTCTTACCTGTACAGTTATTAGCAACTTCGCCAATGGAACAGGGCAAACGATGATTCTCACCAGTTCCGGCGGGACCGAAGGGGGCACCACCGAGCTGGTTGTCCAAAGCTTGAGTGAGTGTAAGGTAACACCTGTCCGTGAGGGGTGTCTGCACGAGACGATCTGTAACGCCGAGGTACTCCCATCCGTAAGGGAAAGAAGCGTCTGCTACGCGGATCGCTAGCCTCTCCAGGGGGTTGTTGAGGGACTTGTCCAGGTAGAAGCGCATTTGGTACAACCACGAGAAGGCCCTGTTGTCCGGTATGTGCTGTTGGATGAGTTGACGAGTGACGTCACGCTGATGGACGAGCTCAGTGATGAGGTGCTCGCACTTGCGACGAGTGACGGGGGCGAGTTCCGTCAACACGACGTCGGCGAGGAGGTCAAGGCCTTGTAGGATGATACCGAGCGGCCCCTCGAGTGACTGGGAGCCTTCCAGGGCAGCTTCGACGGATGCGGTCCATGCGACTTGGATCGACAGTGTGACCAGCTGTGCCGGATACTTCTCCAACCAGGCCATGAACGGATCTTGAGGTAAAGGTGTAACAGCCCCGTAGAAGGATTGCAACTCGTCGACCGAATCACAGAGAAGTTGTGACAGCGAAACCCGCATCTCAGCTTCGAGTTTAGTCAACCAGTCGTTGATCTTGGGGAAATCCTTGAGCAGGATTGGGTCCTTGAACCGCACCTCCTCGCCCTCTCTTGATGCCATACCCTGGATCTGTGTGAGGTCGTCGTCCAGCATGATGGTCGAGATACCAGCGAACATCTTCTTGAGATGCTTCATGATGCGTAGGATCTCCTTGCTATTACCGATGATCTCGAGTAGGTCCTCGTCACCGACGAAGTAGAAACGAGGGAACGAGGCACGCTCCCTCTCCAAGTACTCTCCGAGGGCCTTCTGGATCTTGTTCAATAGGTCCGCTAGTCGCTCTAGGGACTTCTGGATGCCTTGAATGTTCATCACATCAATAACAAAGGGCGATTTGTAGACCTTCTTCATGACCGCGAGGAACTCGGTGTTGATGTTCTGGAACCGCGCGGACTCCACGGGGAGCAAGTGTTTGATATCCGCGCTGCCAGAGAAGATACCTTCCAAGTAGACCCATTGGCGCTGAACATCGATCCAAACGTCTGTGCCCACATGTAAGTGCTGAATTAAGGGGATTTGCAAGACGAGCGCACCAAACAAGACATGTATGCGGTTCAGCTTCTCTTCCCATGACCCGGCCTGCACAATGCGTCAACTCATGCTAACATCTAGGGAGTATGTAGTTGGCTACCTCTTCCTCGAAGACTGCGAGGAGGTATTTCTGTTAATGTGAAGTGCGGATATGATAGGCCCAGGACACTCACCCTTGTAGTATGGTGACAGCTTCATGGCGGTAAGTGAGTTCAGGTTTTCGCTGCACTTGTTGAACAGATCGTCCCATCCCCTGCAAACAGTTTTAGCACACAATTTTGCCAAGAAATGAAAAGGCACATACCGAATTAGACGACACCTGTTCTGGTAGTTGACCAACTCTAGGGTATAGCTCGTCCATGTCTCCTTGACTTGCCGGATGTACTCTTCTAGGGCCATCTCGAGGGAAATGAGAGCGAAACTTGCAATGAGATAGTCCAGAACTAACCTCTCCCTGAGCCTGAATAATGACCTCCTTGATTAGGTTCTCGTTTCGCCGCAGGTCCATGTCGTAAACATGGCCGAGAGTCATCCTATGCCGGCTAAGCGGTGAAGCGCATCATACCAATATAGAACTCACAGTGGTAGACTGATCTGCGACGGCACCCTTAACACCTTGAACAGCTGCTTCCAATGCCTGTCCTTCAAGGCCTCCGATTTCAACTCCCCGATGAGAGTGTTCGCCTTGAGGAGTCCACGGAGCTGTTCCTGAACGTACTCGAACGCAGCGTACTGGCGCATGCGAGTCGGCATCTCCTTCGTCGACTGAAGCAGCCCGTCCAGCTGCTGCCTGAGCTTCCTCGGCTGCACCGTCGCCCACGTCATCTCCCGCAACTCCCCAATCTGGTTCCACACTCCCGACAGCGCCGTCCACACCGCCTTCAAATCTCGCAGCTCCTCGAAGATGGGCTCCAACCTCGTATGGCGGATGAGCTCGAGGTCGAGGGCCTCCTTTGCTTTGCAGACCATCTCATAGTCATCTTGTACGCGCGTGAGCTTGCCTTCGAAGATGTTGATCGTATTCAGCGCGGTGTCCGCCCGCATGCTGCCCTGCACCGGCCGCGTCTGCTCCCACTCCTGGATAATGTCGTTGATCTTGTTCTCCACAATCTTGTCCTCCGCAACGATCTTGAGTTGCAGGCCCGCTGCGAGCCCCGTCCACGTCAGTCCCGTCCGCATTCCTCCGGCACACGTTGCCGCGTGATGGGGTGGGGGTGCGCACCTAGCTGCTCTTGAATGGAATCGTTCTTCCGCTTGAGGATCTCATTGAACGCGCTCCACTCTCCGCGTAACTGGTCGCTGTACAGCCAGTCGTCCGGAAACTGATAGCGGAACCGTTCGAGGGTCTTCTCGCCGCTCGCGCAGAGCTCGATCATTGGACCCCATGTCTTGGTCTTTCGTTTGAGATCTTGAACGAATGTGATGAAGGTGACCGCCGCGGCGGTGGAAGAGTTGGATTGTGTCAACAACTGCGAGATCGTCAGTGAGCTGCGCGAAGAGCAGGGGGCAGAAGGGACGCGCCTCCATGTTGTTGACACTGGGTGAGGGACAAGTTGGGCCAGACGCGACGCGTCGTTACATGCGTCGGCAACTTCCGAGCCCGCCTGCAGTGGCTGCCCAGTGCGAGCATGCTCGAAGCGTGCTCCTTGTTCGCAGCCCTCTCCTACTTGATCCCTTTCACGACCCTTTTCTTCTCCTCTACCATCCCATCTCATCACCAATCATGTCCGGACGCCAGCAGCGTGTGATGGTTCAGCCCATCGTGAGTTCTCCGCCCCAACGTCTTGACTAGGCTAACGTCCAAAACGCAGAACGTGATCTTCAAGAATCTCCAGCAGGTAATATTCTTCGCCCGACGCGAAAGTACGCGTCTGACCTTGCTTTTCAGAGGACCAAAGTTGTTATCTGGCTGTACGACAACATCGAGATGCGGATCGAGGGAACAATCATTGTGTGTGTCTTCATGCGTCTGCAAACACTCCGCGCGTTGAACCCAGTATGAGCGAAGGCGATCGCTTCTTCATTGCACATGATACTGCTCGCGATGGTGTTTCACGCGCTGTCTTCTTTCCATGATCCTTTCTTCCTGCATCCGGACTTTGAGATCGTGGCTAACCCCAATTGCTTCCAGGGATTCGACGAGTTCATGAACATTGTGATAGACGATGCGGCGGAGGTGTTCGTGAAGGACGCGCAACCACGGCGAGAACTCGGTGCGCATGTCGTCATGTCCTGCAGAGGGTTAAACTCATAATTGTGTCGCAGGGCGCATCCTCCTGAAAGGTGATAACATCACGCTCATTCAGCAAGTCGTATGAGTCGTCTGTCTCCTCAAAAATTGTGGGCTCCTTGCACACGTGTTGTACGTTCTTGCTGTGTTAGTACTCCAACTCTACGCTTTCGATTTTCTCTCGCTGGATATATCATGCCAAGCCCAATGAGTCTATTATGGGGTGCTAGAAGTACTACAGGTTATATATGGGTAACAGTGAGGCTAGGTTCAGTGATTGTCGACACAGTGGGCACTCCGCCTACAAGATGAAATCAGCCTATGTTGAGATCCTCAAAGAACCTCTCACCTTTTCCCGACCCCAGCCTACGATGCAATTCCAGCAAAACAAATGACCACAATCTGTAGCGCAAGTCGCTGTACGTTCCTCCAGGCATAGCGTGCACGTTCTTCCTGCCCTAACTGCTGGTGGCAAATTGGCTACGTCAAGAACAGTGCGTTCATCCTCATCTGCCGGCACAGGGGGCGGGTCCTCCACGTTCGCGTCTTCAAGAATCGTGGAGATTCGACGGTCATCAATGTAAATTTCGTCCTCGCCATCTGATATTCGTTTTCCCTTCGTGCCATTGACCGCGCCTGGTTTTGCTCGCGTGCGGAGGTATGTCAGAGCTCTGTGGATGAGGCGAACGCCCAGCAATATTCCCAACAGAGCATATGAAGGAGGTCGTGCATTGGGGTTCCCCGGAATGGCAGAAATCTGTTCAAACGTTAGCAAAAATCCCCGGGACGAGACTGATATGACGCACGTATTTGATCCCTAGTAGCCTCTTCACGAGATTGTAATATGTACCTCTCAAGTAGAAGATAGCAAGATTAACTTCCGCCAAGACTTCCAGCAGGGTAGGGATATTGCGCAGCGTTGCACCTATTAGAGAAGTTTGGGAAAGGGATGCGCCCCACTTATGAAGAAGGTAGGAGGGGAGTGTGGGCAGCAGAACGAGAGCAGCACGCAATCGTGGGTTGAGGCGACGTCGTGTGCGAGAGGGGTGAAGCCAGATGTCTGTATACTCTTCTCCAAGAGTTTGCGAGCCTGAGGCAACGGCTCAATACAGGTATACCCGTCAATGGAACTTCTATGGACGTACCCAGTCCGACAGTAAGCCCGTAGTAGAGAATGTTTACAGCAAAATCAATCTCCTTGTCCCAGCGCGTCAGCCACCTGGTCCCTGTCTCAAGGTTAGCTCATGTGGCTCGATTGTTCAAGCGAGAACTCACCTAGCCACGAGCGCAGCACATTCTCCGCTTCCTCGCGCAAGCTCGCGACCTGGAATACATCCCGTTGATTTGAACGGACTGCAGTAGTACATCCACAGATGCGGCGGCGGCGGCGTTAAGCTCTGGGCCCATCCGGGACATACGGAATGTGCTGCACTCACTTATTTGCGCCTGTTGAGCCAGGGGGAACGAAGGCAAGGGTGGCGACATGTGGAACCTCTAAGTCCGGAGGTGCAAGTCGAGGTGGAGCCTTGGAGGATTCGGAGCAAGGGCCGGGAACCTCATGTGATCGTGGCAAAGTCGGAGATCAAATCTTTTAGCTGCAGCAGTTAGCTTTTGGGGCGCCGACGTTCGGAAGAGAAAGCCAACTCTGAAGGCGCGTTTGCCGGAATTGGAAACCAGATGACGTTATTCAGCAATCGCCATCTGGAGCCACTCCTACGTTGACCTCTCATATGGTGCTCGGGAAAGTCGACCGCCATGGCAAATCCATATCAGCGTTCAAGGTGTTCCTTGCTTGCCTCTCCCCCAGTGGGGAAATGCTGATCTCTGCCTACTCAGTCCAAACTCTTGTTGACGCTGAAGTCGCCACTCTTCGCGCGTCGACTACGGAAAACCGCCGCACCCTACTTCGGCGCGTTCATGTACCCCTCATCGCGCCCCTTCAGCAAAGCCTATGTATGGACTGTGAACCGGGTCCGGAGGTTTATCGAGGACACCGCTCCAAAACGCCCGGAGTGGACCAAGTCTCTCTCCGTCGACCCACGCCAGCTGCTGTACGAAATCGCTCGGACCGCGTATGACGCATGTAACCTACCTGCCCATACCCAAGACGCTGTACACTACGAAGATACCGATCTCGTGCGGGTGGTGTGTGTCTCCGACACTCACTGCCAACAGGAGACCCACCCCTTCCTCCCCTCTGGCGATATCCTCATACACGCCGGCGATCTCACGACTACCGGCACCGACGAGCAGCTGCACAGCGCGCTCTCGTGGTTGCATTCAATGCCCCACCAGCACAAAATCTTCATCGCCGGCAACCACGATCTGGGGCTCTCCATCCCACATAAACGCAACGAGATCCTGGCCCATTACCCGAACCTCATCTACCTCGAGAACTCCTCGTGCATCCTCCCCGTGCGCGACCGTCTCGTGTCCGTCTTCGGCAGCCCCCTTACACGCAACTGCGGGCCCGGCAGTGTGTTCCAGTACTACTCGTGGGAGGCCGAGGAGATCTGGCGGGATGCGATTCCGCCGTTCACCGACATCCTGGTCACGCACGGCCCGCCCGCATATTTCCGCACCGGCTGGACGCGGTTTCGGCGGGAGGGAGGATGCGAGGGACTCCTCAAAGCACTGTGGACTGCGCGGCCGACTTTGCACGTCTTCGGACATGTCCACCACGGACGCGGGGTCAGCACGCTGCGATACGGGACGGTGCAGAAGGCGTACGAGAGCGTTTTTACCGGGGTGCGGGGGTTAGACGCGCTCGTCCTGCTCATCTGGGCGAGCCTGGCGGCGACGGTGAGGAAGGAGGCGGATGTCCAGCCAGGAATGCACACGCGGGTGGTGAATGCGGCGTGGTTTGAGAGGTCCCGCGGCGGCATCGTGATAGACATGCATATACCTCGGAGGCTGTAATGGGTGAGCCACAGCTCTAGAGTAGACTTTGTGTACTAGTACTACACCCATTTTTGACTTGGAGTGTGCATGCGTCCGCCATTATATGGTCGGTCTGTTCGGGGAATAAAGCTTCGCGTCAGACGAGAGAAAGTGATGGCGGGGATGTGTCGCTGGGCGTCCGGAACAGAGTCCAGGCAGGGCGTGCCGGAGCCGGGGCCAGACGTCGACCGTCTTGCCACCACCGCCCACGACGTCAGAGCTCGCTGTTTGACTTGACCTCCTTCCCTCCTTCCCTCCTCTAAACCGGCTTATATTAGCTTCCTCTCCGTCATGCCCCCAGCACCGATTCCTCAAGGACATGGCGCCCCGACTGTTTGGCAAAAACGTACGTGACTGCTACGTCTCTGCTCACAATTACGCGCTGACGCGCTGCTTCGCAGTGAAGTACGTCCCCACCACACTTACATTGCTATGGTCCACGATTGAAGTCGTATAGGATGGGCGCCGCCATGGGTGCAGGCGTAGGGCTGACTATGGGGTTCTTGTTCGGCGGGTTCAGCATTCTCCGGTGCGTCGCGAAGCATTCACGTCTAGACTCTGCTCATTTGTTCATCTGCCAGCGGTGGCGCGGGTCCACGAGGAGTACTACCGACGCTCTCCCAGTATATGCTGAGCAGTGCTGCAACATTCTCTTTCTTCCTCGCCATCGGCTCGGTGCGCGCGTTCCCCCAGTTCGTCATGGACACCCTCTCACTTGAGCCGCCGTTCAGGTCATTCGTAATGACGGGGAGCTCCCAGCTCACCTGGAGGCAGCACGTTTGCAGCTTGCTCACCCTGTGATCCGATCGAGGGCAGAAGGTCTGGCACATATGAGGATGCGGTGGTCTCTGGAGCAGGCTCAGAAGTGAGCTCACCCGTTATCCTGCTTCTTCACCTCTTACGTGTGCGAGAGCGCATGTATTCTCCCCCTACGCGATTCCGTCAAGCGGCCCCACTCTTCACGCCGACTGCGTCGCGACTCACAAAACGCACTATGTGTTTGGACTACTCGTAGCGTACATGATTCAGTCCCGTCCCTTCTCCTTGAACGCTGGCCCTGTCATGCGGTGAACTTGGGCCTGTCTTCCCCTGCTTGCAATGTCGCCCCGGGAATGCAGACCCGTTATCCAGAACATGCACGTTCCGTAATAGCCGTTCCAGGCTGCGTGCCTGCGGACGTCGCTTCGATAGAGCACTTGGGTTCAGGAGAGTTCAGACGTTCAGAAGCCGTGACGCCCAGCGCAGCGAATCGCGAGCAGCGGCGCGGACGGCGCGAGGAATGCGGCCGCGGCATATAGGGCGGCCGCGGGTGCGCGAGCCACGCATCGAGTGCCCCTGCCCTCTGATCATGCCAGCCACGCCAGCAGAGGCCCTCAAGCTCAAGAACGAAGGGAATGCGCTCTTCGTGAAAAACGACTTCAGCGCCGCGTACAAAAAGTACTCGGCCGCCATCAAGCTCGATCCGAAGAACGCCGTGCTCTACTGCAATCGCGCCGCGTGCGCATACGGCCTCCACAGGTTTGTCTCCCAGTGGTCACTCCGGCGGCGACGTGTACTCCGACCCACTTGCGTACCTCAGGTACCTCGACGCGAGCACAGACGCCACGAAGGTCAGCCGCCGACTGCAGTTCGCCTGTCTTACTCTGCTCACGATCGATGCGAGGGCCAATAGGCCACTGAACTTGACCCAACTTACGCCAAAGCATGGGCACGTCTGGCAGCGGCAGAGCTAGTAAGCTCCTCCCCCCACATATCTGTCCGATGGTTGATAACTTGTCGCATGGTCGCCCTCCAGAGCTTGGACGCCTACACCCCAGCCGTCAGGGCGTATAAGCGCGCTATCGCCGCCCTTCCGAACGAGAACCTCACCCCTGGGGAGGAGAAGCAGCGCAAGCAGTACGAGGCGGAGCTCGCCACCGCCGAGACCAAACTCAAGCCGCCGAAACGACTTACGTCCGGCCCAAGGGGATGGCGATGGGGCCGTCGAACACCGAGTTCCCATGGGTGCGGGCGAACCGCGTGCTTCCTGACTATGAGGCGGGGAAGGTATGGGAGAGTAGCGTGAGTTCACCAGCATATGCTTTCGTTGTTATGATGTTGACCCTCTTTGGTGTAAAGGCATGGATCATACAGTATGCCCACATGGTACATGTCACCTACTCTGCGTGACCGCCTCTTTACTCCGCTTACGCAGAACCCGTAGCAATGGGAGGGGGCGTACAAGAACTTGAAAGCTGGTCATGCCGTCCCGGGGCCTCCCGGAGAAAACAGATGGTTCGCGTACTATGGAGTGAGTCTGGTAGCATGTCCATGTCACAGCATACTGATATCTGCCCAGGTCATTGAGGGGTTGACAAATGCTATTGTGAGCGACAGCCGCGTTTATCACATCTCCGACTCGAGATTCCCCGACATGTATAACAATCAGAGTATGTTCGTGTTCAAGCATAGTGCTTTCCGCTCATTCCATCTTTTTTCTCAGTGAAATGGGAGGCCTTCAACGCGAAGGCATGGACAGATTTCGGCGCTCAAAAAGTTATTGAAGAGGTCCCAAAAAGACTCAAGAAGGAAGGATGGGAGTCAGTCCGGCCTGCGCTCTCGGTCACAGTGAGGTCAGATCCTTGTCGTTGCAACTTGCGCTTCGTGGCCGGGGTGTATCTCTGACAGCTCTCAGAGGGTGGATCTTCCGCGCCTTCGGGACCAATGCTTTTGATCTCAACAAGGGAGCGGGCCTCAACCTCTACACTGCGGCACTGGAAGTTCTTAGGTGGGGCGCAGAGAAGTACAAAGACGTGGGCACGGAGAAAGGCGTCATTTTCCAGCTGACCTTCATCCGTGGAGTGAAGTGCATGCGTCTGGTCCAGTACATGAATGTGAGCTCCCTTTTGTACTTCGGTTGCGTTTCTCGCCGGGTCGCTCACCTCTCGTGCTAGACCATGGACTCGACCAGTACCGTCACGAGGCACTCCATTCCTTTAGACGAGCTGCTCGCCGGTGCGGACGAGATCCTGGAAGAGCTCAGAGACGATCCCAGCGATCCCTCCGAAGCACTGCAGCAAGGCGAATCCGTAGGATTCTGGTATGCGTTCCACAGGTATCCTGTTGGCGTTGCTCACTCGTGGGTGTCCTGTCAAAGCCGTGCTCCATGGATGGTCTAACTGACCGCATGACTTCGTAGCGTTCGTGGGTTCGCCTTCCACCGCAAAGCCATGAAGCTTCGAGAGGAGGCCGGCACGTTGACGAACGAGGCCGACCAGCTCTACTCTCAGGCGAGTGAAGAGTACCTCGAAGCGGCGCTGATCTATCCCCCGGACGATTTCTACCACGTCTGTGAGTGGCAGTCCTTCCAGGCGACCGCCACGATGTTCGCCGTATCTCACTAGCTTCGGCAGGGAACTTGCACTGCGCCCTCCACGCCCAATTCGACGTTTCGGCGTCTGCCCGGTTCCTGATCTTCGTCTTGGACATGATGGAGAAGGCCATACCTCTCGCCGCGAAGCTGTGGGAAAACTCCGCCGACTGGCCGCGGATCAGGCCCGCGTTTGATGCTGACATGCAGCTACTCTACCGAGTCAACAAGGCGATGGAAGCGGGGACCATCCAGGTGGACACTATCGTGACAAAGGCCACCATGGGTGTCCCGCAGGGAGCAGAGCGTCGAGCAATAGGAAATTGACGGCTTCGCTGCGATGTTGCTTGCTTATCTCCGCGGCGTAATGTCGATCTATTTGGTCTGTGCGTCACTGCTCGGTCGTATCCGTGCGGAGTCGTAGAAGGTAGGGTCCTCCAAAGCGCAACGGTGTCCTCTGCAGTGGTCTCTGGGTGTATGATAATAATGCAGATCCGCTTGTAAGTGCGCTTTTGTATCCGAATATGCTGGCGGCCTGGGAAAACTGGCTCCGCGACGCTCTCGGCTGCGTCCGGGTACTTGATTGTCAAAGTTTGAACTTTGCAGGGGTGCCGTCCGGCAAATCGCAAGACGTGGCGTGGACGGTGCGAGGCAAGGTTGCAAGTTCCGTAATCCGCAGCTCGTGACCCAGCCAACGAATCAGGACGGACGCCGAGGCACCGCGGCATATACGGTGCAGTCCGGCGCTAGCCTGTCCTCTCCCCTCTCCAGCGCCCATCATGGCAGACGCGGAGGCTCTCAAGCTCAAGAACGAGGGCAACGAGCTCTTCGTCAAAAACGACTTCAGCGCCGCGTACAAAAAGTACTCGGCCGCCATCAAGCTCGATCCGAAGACGCGGTCCTGTTCTGCAACCGCGCTGCGTGTGCGTACGGCTTGAACAGGTGCGTAGCTGCCATCGCGAGCTCAGACGGATCCGAGACGCAGTCTTGACGGGCATGTGCGCTACCCAGGTACTTGATGCGTGCACCGATGCCAAAAAGGTTCGCTTCTGACTACTTCCGATCACGGCCGTCTCTGGCACTCATACGAGCATCCTCAGGCGACCGAGCTGGACCCCTCCTATGCCAAAGCGTGGGGACGTCTGGCGGCCGCGGAATTGGTAAGCCAGTCTCTCATCGCCCCAATAATCTCATGGATGGATAACGCCCGGTGTGCACTAGAGCCTCGAGAGATACTCGGAAGCGATCAAATGCTGGAAACGCGCAATCGCGGCCCTTCCGAGCGAGAACCTCACCCCAGCCCAGACCAAGCAGCGAAAGGGGTACGAGACGGACCTCGCCGCGGTCGAGGCGAAAGTCGCGGGCATGAAAGCAAACCCAAAAATGCCCGGAGGCGTACGGACGGCGCCGAACAACGTGGAACTCCCATGGCAGCGAGCGAACCGTATGGTCGCGCGACTCGAACAAGAACGGACTGGAAGAGTTCTGTGAGCGCATTCGCCACAATCACTGGCTTTCGTGCTGACAACCATCCCGTGATTGAGGCATGGCTCTTGCTTTCGCAGATGCCGTACGCGTTCTACTTGAGTTACGCCGCGCCCTCTCGTCTAATATATCTGATAGATGTGGGAGAGAGCGCTCACCCAGCTCAAAGCTGCTCATCTCGTCAAGGGACCTCATGGTCAGGATGGGTGGTTCGCATATCGCGGGGCAAGCATGACAGAGTTCGCTCTCTGTGCTGAATACTGATACGTTTGCACATAGGTTCTCGAGGGTTTCACCAATGCCCTTATGGCCGACGATCGTATATTCCGTATATCAGACCCCAAATTCCTCGAGACGTTCAACCACCAAGGTATGTGCACGAAACTGCGCTCGTACGTTCTGCTGATTGCTGCCCCAAAAAGTGGCTTGGGAGGCTCAGACTGCGAAGGCGTGGACTGAAGTCGGTGCCCAGAAAGTGATGGAAGATGTTCCAAAACGACTCGAGAAGGAGGGATGGTCCTCAGTCCGGCCCGCTCTGTCGGTGACCGTGAGGTGAACACCTCGCCGTGCATCGTGCGTTGTGCCGTTCTTACTACTCCGCAGAGGATGGATCTTCCGCGCCTTCCTCGCGGACGCTCTGCAAGACAATCCAGCGGCCAGCCTTGACATCTACACCTCAGCACTGGAGGTGCTTCGATGGGGTATAGAGAAGTACAAAGACGTTCCATTGGCTGAACGGGGAACTGTCCTCCAGCCGACTTTCATCCGCGGATTGAAGGCAATGAGGTTGAACCAGTACATGAAGGTGAGGGTTGAGTCACTCGTACGTACGGGCTTGATGTTGTTATGGTTCCTCATTGCCAGTTGGCACCTGTAGCTCGTCCACAAGACCAATACTGTCACAAAGCACACAGTACCTATAAATGAGATCGTTTCTGGCGCAGATGAGATCATAGAAGAACTGAAGGAGGGTTCTGAGGGCCCCGAAGAGGCAGCAGCCCGGGGCGAACCCTTGGGTTTCTGGTACGCGTATTACAGATATCCGAAGGCGCTGGCACACTCGTAAGCACCATCCGTCCGTGTGACGACAGGTCCTGGACCTCAATCATTCTCTTTGAGCCTCCGAGGATATGCCTTCAATCGTCAAGCCCTGAAAATCAGAGAAGAAGCCAACGAGTTGACGGGTGAAGCTGCAGGACTCTTCGCCGAAGCATCAGAAGAGTATAAGAAATCGGCCTTGATCTACCCCGAGGACGATCCGCAGCACGTCTGTGAGCAGCGCAGTGTCCATCGCTAGGAACTGCGATCTCTGGCTCACCCGCGCGCGTCCAGGGTTCCTCCACTGCGCGTTCGAAGCGCAACACAACGCCGAAGCCCCGATCAAGGTCCTGGTCAGCACATTGGACCTGATCCATGCGAGCATCCCGCTCTCGGAGAAGATCTGGGAGAACTCCCCTGACTGGCCGCAGATGAAGTCCAGCTTTAACGAGGCGATGACGATGCGCAAAGAATTGAAGAGCGCGATCGAATCGGGGACCTTGAACTCTGAGCGTTCTGTGAAGATAGAGCCCATGGGGTAGAGCGAGGGCGGTCGTTGGGGCAGCCCTAACTGTTTTTGTCCTTTGTAGTTGTTTTTTTGCATCGCTGTGTATTGACAGTGAGTTGATGTTTAGGACAGGAGCAGTGCATCCGACGGGGGCACTCGACAAACCCAAGTTACGACGCGCCCATAGTGGTACGGTAGTATGAGCGAGCTGTGCTCCGGATCCGAAGTCACTCGCAGCCCCGAGCAATCGTCGTTGGTTGGCACAGCCTGGTCGAGGAGTTAAGAATAGTCGCTGCGCGGGCTGTGCCCCGCAGGCTCATCGGCCGGCGCTCAAATCACCGAGGCGCCCAAACCGCACCCATGGGCGGCTGTTCTCCGGGTGCTTTCGCTCGTCCTCCGCGACATGCGCCATCCGCGGTCAACGGCTGTGTTGCACGCCCCGGGATGGCACCCACCGCTCGCACCGGAAGGTGGCGGCCTCGCGTGCTGCGCGGAGATAGTGTCGCTCACGGGTGCGTTCGCACTCTCGTGCGGTGCTTTCAGTGCATGGATCATGAACTAACGGGAAATCGCCAACGCGGTGGCGAGAAAACGGCTAATGTGTGTGTCGTTAGCTATATAGCAGCGTTGGACTTGGCTTCCCACCTCATCCAGCTCCTTCTCCCTCCCTTCAAAACATGACATTCGACGCCCGGGGCATCATTGCTATCGTAGAGATCGTCATTTATGTCCCCATCCTCCTCATCGGCTTCGCGCTCACCCTCAAGCATGGCTTCAGCAAGAAAGCCGGATGGCTCATGCTCATCATTCTCTCCATCGGTGAGTTGTCCGCTGCCCAGAGCTCTGAGGGATCTGCCAGCTGATATTGTCTTCGTCCAGCCCGTATCATCGGAGGCATCACACATGTTCTCTCTGAACAAAATCCGTCAAACATCACCGAGAAAACCATCTACGGTATCATGGAGGCCGCTGGTCTCTCCCCCCTCCTCGTCGCAAGTCTAGGCTTCCTTGGAACCGTGTACGTCTTGCTCTCCCTCGCGCTCCATCCCCTCCACTCACCCGTGTCCCCCCACAGCACCCAGTACTCACTCGAACAAGAGCCGCTCGTCTTCCGCGGCCTCCGCCTCCTCGGCGTCCTCGGCACCGTCGCCCTCATCCTCGCCATCGTCGGCGGCACCTCCGCCGGGAACCCCTCCTCCGCCTCCGACCTCTCCTCCGGCACGAACCTCCGCCACGTCGGCACCATCCTCTACGTCGTCGTCTACGCCGGCGTCGTCCTCCTCACCGCCTACTGCTTCGCCCACCGCGCGCGCATCCTCCGCTACCGCCGGCAGCTCCTCGCGGGCGTCGCCGCCGCGCTCCCCTTCCTGTTCGTGCGCACGCTCTACGCCGTGCTCTCCGCGTACGCGCCCTCGCGCATCCGCTTCGACGCCGCGGGCAACGAGGAGCTCGTGCCGGCGAGCGACGCCGGCCTCGGCAGGTTCGGCGCCGGCTCGGCGAGTGGGGGTTCTACCTCGTCATGTCCGTCATGATGGAGTACGCCGCGGTGCTCATCTTCGTCGTCGTCGGGCTCGCGACGCCGCTCAGCAAGGACGTCGGGCCGGACTATGACGCGGCGGCGGCGAAGTCGCCGCGGACGAGCAGTACCGAGGCGTTCCGGATGGGCAAGTACGGGACCGGGTTCGCGCGGCCGGCGGCGTAGGCGTCGCGGTGGGGAGGTCGTTGACGTGGGTGCGGTGGATGCCTCGGACGGTCCTTTTTATACCTCTCGAGCATACCAATATGAGTGATCGTATTATTCCCTTGGATTGGACTACTTACTACTACTGTGCTTCAGTTGCGGGGGAAGACACAGCTTCAGAATACCGGCTCAGAGGGGTCACCTCGTGTCACCGGCGCCGTGGATGAACCGCGAGCTAAGTTCGGTACGCAGTTGTACTATAGAACAAACGGGTCATCGGCACTATTTTGGTATTGAATTGATATACAACGTTGGAGGAGGAAAGGGCGTCACAGTAGCATACAATCACATAATCATAACAAGCTCGCTCGTTGACATTGCCTTCAGCTTTATGGGAAGGTCCCGATCGATGTCCCCCGCGTCGATTGAACTCTGCAGATCCTCGCGCATGTCCATATCGCGGTCCAAGGCGGGCTTCATCTGAGGCCAGTCGGCGGAATGCTCCCAAAGCGCCCCCGCGATCGGATAGTCCTGACTGATCTCGTCCAGGGTCCTGAGGAGGACCCAGGCGGGCGCCTCGGCGTTATATTGCCCTTCGAGCGCGCAATGGAAGAACCCTAGACGCATGCAGGTGAGGACAATGATCGATATCACCAGTGGTCACGGACCATTTACTCACAGACGTGGTGCGAGTCGTCCAGAGGATACAGCATGGCGGATTGTATGTATTCATCTGCCGAGTTGAAAAAGAGATCGTAGGCCTCCGGTGTCAACCCACCAGCCTCCTCTCGAAGCTTCAGGGCTTGTTTGTTGAAAACATATCCTCGTATGCTGGAATATATAACGTTATACCAAGGAGCTGTCTTGGCACCGGTGGATGGTACTTACCCATGTGCCATGGCGTTCGGATATCTGTGGAATGCGTACCAGAACCCCAGATTTTCGCCCCTGGCTACTGCATCATCAGCATCCATAGAAACGTCCTTGAGCTCTTCTATGAGCTCATCAGCGCCGGCGATCATCCCTTCTAGAGGTACTGAGTGCGTCGTGATAGTGTGGGTCTTATTGAAAAGCTATGACCAGCGATGAGCAACACATCGCCACGACGAGCTCGCGTGGACGTTTGAAGACTCGCCTTCATGTACTGGTTCAGCCTCATAGCCTTCACCCCGCGGATGAAAGTCGGCTGGAGCACAGTGCCTCGTTCCTCCGAGGGTACATCTTTGTACTTCTCCGCTGCCCACTTGAGGACCTCGAGTGCAGAAGTGTAGACGTCGAGGCTTCCCGCCGGATTGCCTTCCAAACCGTCCTTCAGGAATGCACGCAAGATCCATGACCTACGGAAGTTTAGGACGGTACAACGCAATATACAAGGCGACGTACTCACCTCACAGTGACAGCAAGAGCTGGCCGGACCGAGGACCATCCTTCATTCTCGAGTCTTCCCGGAATCTCTTCGATCACTTTCTGGGCGCCGACCGCTGTCCACGCCTTCGCGTCGTGGGCCTCCCAAGCCACTATCCATCGAGGTGTCAGCGTCGGCTCGGCGTACCCGTCGCAGGAGGCGTACTTTGGCGCTGAAGCTGCTCAAGGAATATGTTGGCGTCTGACATGCGGAAAATCCGTTCATCGGCTATGAGGGCATTTGTAAAACCCTCAAGAACCTGCGAACCCACGCATAAGTCGCCATAGGTTGTCGATACTGTAATGCTTACCCCCCGGTATGCAAACCATCCCTCCTCTCCTCGAGGTCCTGGGACGGCATGAGCGGCGTTAAGCTGGGTGAGTGCCCTCTCCCATTCCTGTCGCAGAGTTTAGGTCGAAGTGCTTTTGGGGACACAAGACGAATACGCACGGAATTCGCATAAGACAGTATCCATACCTTGTATGCGGGACGACGGTGAGCACTGGAACCCGGTGACCGGTGTGCGACGCGCTTACACAGGTCCTCCAGAATCTTTTTCGTTCGAGTTCAGCCACTATCCGGCTCGCACGCTGCCACGGCCGGAGGTCTTGGCTATCGTTTGGGTACGCCAGCATGCCTTCGGGCATCTTCGGGTTCGCCTTCATGTGCTCGAATTTCGCCTCGACCGCGGCAAGATCGGACTCGTACCCTTCGCGTTGCTTGGCTTGTGCAGGCGTTAGGTTCTCGTCCGGAAGGGCGGCGATTGCGCGTTTCCAGCAGTTAATCGCCTCCGTGTATCTGTCCATGCTCTGCAGTATGAGGAGAAGTTGTCTCACAGTAAGAGCACTGGCGCGGCGAGAGAAGTCAGCCAGTTCGGACGCTGCCAAACGCCCCCATGCCTTGGCATATGTGGGGTCCAACTCAGTCGCCTGCGCGATAATGGTCGTATGAGTGGCCGATGGCATGACCGCGAACAGCTCGCGGAAGGACATGTGAGTACGACACCAACCTTTCTAGCATCGGTGCACGCATCGAGGTACCTGGCAGTGAACAGACGACGTCAGAACGCGGATCAGCGCCTCGGAGGCGTAGCTCGTACGCACCTGCTCAGGTTGTACGCACACGCGGCGCGGTTGCAGTACAGAACCGCGCTGTCCGGATCGAGCTTGATGGCGGCCGAGTACGTGTGGTAGGCGGCACTGAAGTCGTTGTTGGTGAAGAGCTCGTTGCCCTCGTTCTTGAGCTTCAGGGCCTCCGGCTGGGTGCCTGCCATGGTCGACGCTGCTGGGAGAGGGACACGACGAGCTCGCGGCGAGGCGCTGGCTTTAAGTATGACGCGCTGTACACTTTGAGTTCAGTACGCGTGACCGCGACCGTCCACGCATTCGCTGCCTGCAGGCTGTCGGGGACGCCCCACGGCCCACGAGGCAACGCTTCTGGACGCGAGGTGCGCTGCGTCCAGTTCACAACGCCTTACCGCCGCCGCGGAGCACTCGCGGAGCTTGCTTCATGCTTCATGCGTGACGATCTCTCCGCACTGTCCGCACCGCGGCTTGGGATTCGCCGGACTCTGCGAACGATGGTCAAGACACGGATGCAGCCGAGAGGGTCGTAGAGCCGGCGCCTTATGGCCGCAGGCAGTTTCTAGAGACGTACTCACAGCCGAGTTACACATGAAGCAAGAGAGTGACTTGCTGCGCAGTCGATTTCGAAAACATAGTCGGGCTCGAAGAGCGTGAGAGAAATATAGGGCGCTTATTCGCATTGCGACGCGCTGCGAGAGGCTGCGAGCTGCACCCGTCAGGCCTTCAGCCCAGCCCAGACACTCATCGTCTCCGGATCCAGCTCTCTCGCGCCAAACCATCCTTCATGGGTTTGTGTAATCGATTTTCGGACATTCAACTGGGTGTGTGGGCCACCAAGCGCCCAAGGCACGCGGTGCACCGCAAAAGGAAACCGAACAAGTAACGCGTATGGGCGCCTTCGTCCTTTATTACTTCTTGTCCTCGACCACCACACGCCTCAGACAAAGGCCGCCTTTGCACCATTGTGTTCCAATCTCGGTTAGTTCCATCGATTTCCTCCGTCGCCCATTGTCCTCCCACTGACTCGACGGCCGTGCCCTTGGTGGTCGCAGGCACACCACATACCTCACCGTGTTCCAACCACCCGTGGGTATCGCATAAATCCCCAGTCGGCGGGCGACAAATATGTGAGTCCCCCTCATTTTGCGACCGAGGTCGCGCCACTCATGGCTTCGAACACCCTTCAGCCCGGCACAAGTGCCCCAAAACCCGGACAGCCCTCGCCCCTCCGCAACACAACGACGCACAACTCCAGTGGGAGGAACACCGGACTCGGCGAAAACATCGCTTCTACCCTCACCCAGCGGATCACCCAGCAGATTACAGCGATAATCCCCCCAACCCCCGCGCCACTGCCCTCGACGACCCATCTCGCGCTCGTGAACGCCGTCTCGAAATCATGCTGGACCACGCCACCAAGTGCACTAAGGGAGTGCCGTTGAGGTTCTTCTATGACCAAAAGCTTCTCGTTCCTCCTACGTCTCAGGAACTCGCCAAGATCTTCCCCGAGTCCGACGTTTCCGATATCTCAAAGAGGCTCCGAGTTGCGCTGAAAGTCAAGAACGGGAAGGAGACCGGAAAGATCATGGAGACTGATGTCAGCAGCATCTGGGTACGCCTCACACGTTTCTTCCTGTACGCTTCTACGATTCTTTCAGTCGCTCACATGTCCGTTCAAGGCTGAGTTGGACGAGGCCTACCACCTCTGTCCCGATCACACCTTCCGGCTCTCCGAATGCAAGGCAGACAAGAACGACCCTTCCAAGTCCAAAGTCGACGGAGGATTCTTCCACCAAGACGACAAGCAGTTCCTCCTTCCGGACTGTCCAAACTGGGAGTATCAACACTACACCGTCGAGTTCAAGCGAGGCGGCAACGGCCTGGATCCATTCAGCGACGACAAGGATATCGAGCCCAACGCGGATAAACGGCGGGCGGCACGTCGCCAACTCTACGCGTACGCCAGCTGCGTATTCGACGTCCAACATCGTACCGCGCTGTACATGCTCTTCGTCAACCGCTCCAAGTTCCGTCTTCTGCGCTGGGACCGGTCCGGTGTCATCGTCAGCGAGGCGACCGACTACGCTACATCGAAGGCCAAGACGAAGATCCTGCTTGAAGTCCTGGTCAGCCTTGCTCGCATGCAAGACGACAAGGCCGCCCCCGACAACATGTCCGTCCTCAAGAAGGCTGGTATCCTGACAGTCGGCGCCGAGGCAGCGGGATTCGACCCGACGGCTCAGCGCCTCTCACCCAACTCCTGCGGTTGGGCCCGTATGGATCAACTCGCTCAGGTCGAAGCCGATTTCGACGTCGACGAGTACAACACCGAGGATCACGTCACCTCTGGACTGCCTGCCGAGTTCCGCAACAACGAGCGAAGTACCTGTGCCCCCTTCACCTCCACCGGCAGCCACCCCGACCCGCTGGTGACGATGGAGGGAACAGCCGGGGACGCGTGGCCAAGGCACCTCAAGCGTAGCACCTTCAACTATATCCGGCAGCGGTTTGCGCTCTCTCTCAAGCAGAGTAACGTGCGGTACGTGCTAGTGATCGACAACAAGTATTACCTCGTTGGTCGGGCCATGTTCTGCGCGGACGATGGACCGATCGGACGAGGAACGCGGGGGTGGATCGCGCTGGAGTGGCACACGCAGCGTTTCGTCTTCGTCAAGGACGCATGGCACCCGCACTACGTCGACGTCGACCCCGAGTATGTCATGCTCAAGAAACTCAACGACGAGAAGGTACGGCGCGTGCCCACGCTGATCGCTGCAGAGGTCTACTCCGGGCAAGTCACCTACCTTTCCGCCTTTGCATGTGTCACCAAGCCTGCTGCACGGGATGCAACACCTTCCTCGTCAGACTCTACCCCTTGCGCTTCGGATGGCAAGCCTCTCGACATGCATTCGCCCCATGTTGTCAATGTCCCTTCTGCCGGCACAACGGCCTCCGCCGACAACCCACCTTCTGGCTCAACCAACAAAGCCGAGAAAATCGATGGCCCCACCGGTATACGGCACCTCCAGCACGTACGCATGGTGGTCGATGAGGTATGCCTTCCGTTGAAGGCATTTCCGACCGGACTCGACCTGGTGCGTGCGATCTACCATGCGATCGTAGGTGAGTGCTGGTTCCTTTGCGTCGCTTGCGAGGACGAAGCTGATGAAACAACAGCGCACGAGGATGCGGTCGACAAGGGGAAGCTGCTTCACCGCGACGTCAGCGCTGGGAATATCCTTCTCCTGCCACGATTCGAACACTATGAGGATGGAACGTCAGCGATCATATGGTACGGTATCTTGACAGACTGGGAAATGGCGAAGAGCACCGAGGCCACCGCGCCCCGGCAGCCGCTGAGGACTGTGCGTGCTCACTTATCGGTTCAGACGGGCTGTGCGGCTAACCTTTAGCAGGGAACGTGGCCGTTCATGTCCATCCTTTGGCAGAAAGACGCGACGAGGCTCATCGGTATCGACGACGAGCTCGAGTCTTTCACGCACGTCCTCATCTTCGAGGGCGCCATCTTCTTGTCCCACAACTGGGATGTGGAGCGCATCAGGACGTTCATCGACCAGTATTTCGACCAGTCCGTCCGGGATTCCGTGGGCGGCTGCACTTGCAGCGAGTACCGCGAAAAGTGCATCGAAAAAGGCATTTTGAGGCTCGGGGGCACTGAGCTTGAATTCCACTCCCTCGGGAACGACAAGACTAAACTCCCTGGTCACCCCCTCAACGAACTGCTCCGCTGGCTGCTCCAAAGGTTCAAAGCCCGCCTCCTCGTCCACGAGTGGGAACACCAACCCGCGCCGCCGCAGAAAGCCGCTGAGACGACGCAGAACGCCGCGCCCCAGAAGAACCTACGGAGAGCGGGGATCCTGGTCGAGGCTGGATCTGAGCCTACGATCACGTCCACTGCTGCCGACGTTCACGCTACCTCAGCCGACAACAAACACGACGAGCGCGAAGAGCAATCCCGCAAGGATATGAAGGACATGGCCGAGGGCCTCAAGACCCATGCGGAAGTGCGGGCCAAATTCGAAGAGTTTTTGGTGAAGGACTGGCCTAGTCGGGATAGGGCCATCGACAGGGAGGCGCCGGCTCCGCCGCCGGCGAAGGAGCGCACCCACCCACGGGAGGGCGACGAGCCGGAGGCGAGGCCGTCTAAGAGGTCGAAGCGTTCGCACGAAGAGGCCACAGTCAGATCGAGGCGCAGTGCACGGATCGCTGGTCGAAAGCGTTCCAAGGGGTCGTCCAGCTAGTTGATGTGTGTATGATGCGTATGATTTCTTCCTGTACAAGTACAAGTCTTTTGCCTATCCCACTGCTTCATCGGCCCAACAACTACGCGGCTCGCGTGGCAATTGTCACCAAGTATCCACTGCGCCGCAGGGGGGAGGAGTGTATCTCGACAGGTCTGGTTCTATCATTGCTCAGATTGCCCGCCATACAGGTATCAAGTTGAACGTATCGAGTTCCAGTTCCAGCAGCCTCATAGCTAGAAGTTAGCGTCGGCGATCCAGGCGAGACATCCGACAATGAGGATCGGTAGGACATGCTCGGTGCTCGCAGCGAGTGACGAGGCTGAAGAGGTGTGGTTCGCGGTCGCGGCCGATGAAGGCGTTGTCGAACCTGTCGTTGACGATTGGCCAGTTTGGGAGGCGGGTAGCGGAGAGTCGATGTCCGTGTCGCGCCTGCGGACCACGGGACGTCAGAAATTCGGATAAGCCTCTCAGGTTAAGGCGGATGGGACCCACGTGTAAACTAGATAGTCAAGGATGAGGAAAGAATTGTTTCGGTTGCCATCGTCTCCGGTGAGCAGCTGTTTGGGGTCCCCGTTGATGATCTCGAGGGTATGCGTGCCCGCAGGCAAGCCTTCGAGCATACAGAGGAGCTCGTTGTACTTGTAGGTAGTAGGCCGGGTTGGGCGAGGGTCAAGAAAATGGACGCGAGATCCGTGCCGTTGAGCGTGAACCGTAGCCGTGTGGCTGCATCGCTTGTGGATACCCCGAACACGTATAATGAAGTGCCTAGATTGTGCATTACGTCAATAAAATGTGCAGTGCGTGTATATACGTATGCACACAGCTGACCTGCGAAGCTGACAGCCGCCTTGACTTCTGAAGGTGGATCCGTGCCAGTGTTGACGGTCAGATTCGTCTGGTGCCAAGTGTTGGACATGAGCTCTGACGCTTGTAGGCCTGGGGCGCAAGTGGTGCATGAGGCGTCTCCAGTCGTCCAAGCGTTGGATGGGGTATACGTGAACACATCAGAGAGGTCGTCTATCGTGACATTGACCAGCTCAGCGGAGGTACGGAAGACAGCGAACGTCAAAACCGAAGTATACCACAAGACCCGTAAAGCCATGGGTCCTCGAGAGATCGAGTGAGGACGGCGCAAGAGCCTGTGAGTAGTAATGCTGGCAGAAGCGATCGCGCCGACGGTGAGACTTGGAGGGGTCTTAAAGGGCGCGGAATCGCCGAGGCACGCAACCCGACCTGTCACGAAGATGGGACTCACTTTCAGGAATTCAATGAGTTCAGTGAGAATCAGAACGCCGCCAACAGCGCAGCCTGGTTTTTTGACAGTTCTCATCAGTCCAGTCTACCAAGTATAAGTATGTGAGCTAGCTCACGGGTTGTTAGCGCACTCGGCTCTGTAGTCAGGACGCCGCCAATCTTCTGCGCACACCGCTGTCTGTGGGTCGCTTTTGCGTGTGGCACTCGCTGGGCAGTTGTTGAGAAAAGTTGAAGCACTGCTTGGGCACTGCCGCAGAACGCACGCCAGGCGTCTTACGACACCTTCAAATGCGATGTCGTCGAAGCGCGCACGACCTCAAAACACCCTGTTTGCACGCGACTCCGGACGCCTCGGCTCCAGAACAACCAGACATGCATATGCGGAATCGACGAGACTACAGTCTACACCTCGGACGCGGCAGCCGACGCTGTCGCCGTGCACACAGTGCACGCCAGTGCGCAACGACGTCGCCCACACGTACAAAAGAGCCAAGTAGTGTCATCATAGTGCATAGCGCATGCCGCGGGGGGCATGGCACCCGCGGTCGCGGACCGCGGGCGGGGGACGGGGATGGAGATCATGGGGGGTAGGTGGGGTGGAATGCGATGGATGAGGAGACCGCCTGCTGACGCCAGTCGCGTCGCGAGCGGCCTGAATGGTGGGGGTTGAGGGGGCAGCCATGAGGGGATGCGATGCGGAGAATCTGTGCGGAGGAAACCATGCGAGGAACGGAAGAGCATAGCTGTGCAGACCGAAACCGTCGTCAGCAACAGTTCCACGGAGTCGCGAGCGGACGCCGCGAGCGCGGGACTCACAAGGGACGGGCGCGGCAGTAGCCGCGGGCTCGCCGCGGCTACTACCTGGGCCAGTAGGTCGGCGTGGGCAACCGGTTGCCGCACGACCGTACGGACCCAATGCTCGTGTTCGACTTGACCGAGCGCAGACTTGCCGCGCTGCTGCCGCCCGCGCGCTCGGAGCGCGCGGTGGCGGTCACCGTCTCACACAGAGGGTATGGACCCGAGATCGCCGGCCGGCCCGGCACGACGCCCTTCTTCGTCTTCGCCTTTCGCGATGGCGGGGAGGAGGGTTGGGAGGAGGTTGTTCTGGAGGAGGAGGATGACCCGAAGAGCCACTTGAAGCTGAAGAACCCGCTCAGCCCACGGGCCTTCTTCGGGGGCGGGGGCGACAGGCACGCGGACGAGCTCGGCTCGTGTGACGCGCCGCCGCAGGGATCGTGGTCGTAATCGTCGTGGTAGTCGTCTTCTTCGTAGTGGATCGTGGGCACGTCCAAAAACTTGACTGACGGCGCCTTGCGCCGCCGCGTCTTCGCCGACTCGCTTGAAGAGAGGATCGACTTGGCGGGGGCCGGGCGCGTGCGCGAGGACGCGATTGACGTCACCGAGCCTGCGCGCTTGCGTGTCGAGCGAGGAGGGGATGGTGGGGGCACGATGCTAGACGCGGTGGAGGATTTGGATATGCTGGGACGCATGCCGATGAGCCCGGTCCAAAAGGAAGGATGGAATTCGTCCTCGCCAGCGATGGTGGCGGAGACGAATGGGATTTCGGGCATGTCATCATCATATTCTGGGATAGACTCCATCGATATTTGCGATGAGGAAGCATCACTGTCGGTAGCTTCGGGTGTTGGTGGTGTCTGGGGTACAACTTGAGGAGGAGAAAACCGGAGAGCGAAGGAAGATGCTTACCAAGGAATAAGCCATGGGCATGGCGGAACATTGCGTCGTGTCCTTCAACGGACTTCGGCGCTACTCACGGGACGCTCGTGACGTGAACTTGCAGTAAACCGCAAACAAAGACTTACCAGGGGTGATGACTCCCGGCGAGGGTTTGCAGATGAAGCATCCCACGAATACTGGAAGAGGGGCTTGGCATGACGATCCAGGGCGCGACTCCACACAAAGACTCACGTTGGCACTGCGTCCAGACTGCTGCCAGTCTGCCCAAATTCGACCGTCGCACTTCGGTACAGCGTAATAGCTGCTATGGTTTTGCATGGCTGCGGAGAGCGAGCGCTGAGGCAGAGACGGATCAGCAATGGGGGATGAGGATGGTGGAGTGGAGGAAGTGGGGAGCAAAGCGGAAAACTTACCCAGCGCGGGCAGGGGGGATATGGCAAGAGGCAAGGTGCGACCCCAATGTTCCGGATGGCGGATACGCGCTTTAGCAGCCACACGTGCACTAGCCGTGCGCCTGCAGGATGGATGACGGAGAGATAGGGAGGGCGTCCGAGTCACCGGCGAAGACGCTGCATCGTGTTAAAGGCGTGGATCAGTCGGACACACACCAGGCACGTGGACACGCCGAAATTACCGCTTGAGAGCGATGGTCGACGAAGCTCCGGGGTGCCTCGCGGAGGAACTGGCGGCCGCCCGGTGTCCAGCACAGGCAGCATTCCTGCCGTCCCGGAACTGCGACGGGGGGAAGGGACGGGAGGCCGGAGGCGCTTCGGTGCAGTCGGAAGGTCCGGCCACCAGAGCGGTCCGGCGGTCCTCGACGTCGGCAGAGTTCCCGTTCTTCAGCACGGCCAATGGAACGTGCCATTGCCGGCCTTCCTAATCGTGCATGCCTGGCACACGAGTGTCTAGCACAGCCAGCATGCGAGTTTGTTGGATAACTGCGGCAGACGCATCAGCATGAGTCCTCGCGAAGCCTGAAGATACGTCAGGTCGGTCCTCTGACGCAACGCACCATTAAGAATTAGAGAGCATGAGGTAAAACTACAGACGGAAAGCCAGCCGAGTACGCACTCATATTCTGAATGGTTCCTCTACGTGTAATCCGCTCCAGATACCTCTCGCCGCCTCGTTTCGGCTCTCCACTATCCTCCTCTTGAGAGGCTTGATTTTCGCGCCAGAGGAGTCGAGGAGAAGCTCGACCTTCTTCTCGATGCCGTTAACCTCAAGGCCCTTGAGACAGATGACCTTGTCTCGGTTGTTGACTGGGGCAGAGGGCGGTAAGGTCACCCGATAGACCACATAGTGAAAGGAGTGACGCACTATAGAAGCCCCGCACGACCGGCTCCTTGTTTGGTCTCTGCTTCACCACAAACTCAACATGAGGATTCTTGCGCGCGATCCCTTCAAGGTGATTGTGGATGTAGGTGCGGAAGTTGGCCGAGGACGTGTAGGTGTCACAGTACTCGAACACCATTTTGCGGATCTGGGGGATGAAGACCCCATGCCCGTTCGCGGGAAGAGACCTCTGCTGCGCGCGAAGGAGGGGCCTGAGCGGGATGGGGAGGGCGAGTTTAGAGGCCATGGCGACAGTGAGCAGAACGGAGTCGCGACTGCCACCGCGACGCGACATTGACGGGAGCGTACGGGTGACATAAGCACGGCGTCTATCAAATTGCTAGGTTGGCTTTCGGAGATAGAAAACTAAAAGATCGAGGCTTTCGGAGAGTGAAAGGGCGAGGCTTAGCGGGCGCCCCAAGGACAGCAGCGCTTGTCTCCCGCCCAGCAGCACCGACGCGACTGAATCTGCCACGGGACGCGTCTTGAAGACGCGTTTGGCTCTCCTGCACCAGCACCTCCTCCCCAGCCACCCGCGCGTCTTCCTCGCCCCCCGCGGCGCCAATCGCCACCATATACGCCCTCGACATGGCGCGAGCTACCCGCTCATCCACCGCACAAGAGGCCACCGACAAACACCAGATCCTCCGCCGCCTTCCCCTCGCAAGGGCGCGTCCAAAAAGCGCAAGCGCAACTCGAACGCCGAGAACGGCGACGCCCCCCTCTCCAAGCAACCTCGCCCCGACGGCAGGGACGAAGCGACTCCGGAATATGACAATGGCCAGGCGAAGAACTTCAACGAACTCCCAAGTAGTGGCTCTGTGCCCATCCAGGATGCCGATGCCGCCAATATCCTCCAAGTCCTTGAAATGTGCGTACAGCGCTTACTTTCCCTTACCCCTCCCCTCATCTACCCATAGGGTTGATACTCAAGGCCTCCTTGACCGCGTCTTCCCTCTCCCTATCGACCATGCGGAAGTTGCCAATTCCGGAGCATCCTCATCCTCGACAACTTCGATGCTTTCCCTGCGCGCAATGCTCAAAGAGTCCGCACGCTATCCCATGAGTGTCCTTCGGGTACGTCCTGCTTTGTATCTCACTGCCGGTAGGATTGAGGCTTATCACCCACCCCTAAGGCTGCTGTCAAGCATCTCTACCCAATCTCCTCTCATCCTCGCTTCCGCCCATCGGAGACCGCCTCTCAGCAACTACGTTTCTGCAACCTCGCCTTCAACCTCCTCGACCAAGCTTCCCGCCAGAACGCCCCCGCTCCCCTCGACGTGGAAAGCATCCTCGCTGATGTGGAGATCCCCAACCCTGATGCCCCCACATCTCCCACCAGTGCACAAGCTCCTGATGCCGGTGTTCGCCCGCGCAAATACGCCCTAGTGCAGCACCTCCCCACCGGCGACTGGTGGTCGTCCGCGAGCTCCTCGCAGCCCGCCGCCGACGAGAGCGGCAAGGACCTCAAGTCGCTGTACACTGCGAAGGCGGAGCTTGTCTCCATATTCCCGTCCGCCTCCGGGTCTCAGCTCGCCCGCAAGGGCACCCTCGGCGACTATGCCGTCAAACGTGCGCCGGGGATCATCCCTCACAAGCCGCCTCCGCCCCGGAAGGTCAGCTGTGGCCGGTTCCTCGACTACGGACCCTACGCCAGTTTCGCACCATACTTCGACCAGGATGGGGTGGAAGTCGGCCGGGCGGCGATGGGCGAAGTGATTTATGGTCAGGAGATGAGGCGCAGACTCCGGGCAGCCGTCAAGGGCAAGCGGAAGCATTCCTCTCGCAGTCGTCAACGGTGAAACATCCACAGAAGACGTCGTTATGGAAGACGACCGGTCAAGCTCGAACGCTCCCAATTCTTCGGCGGAAGGTATCGATGTCCGACCGAGTTCGAGTCTCTACTCCCATCCGAAGAAGTCGACGCGATCAAGTCCGCTCTGCACTCTTTGGAAATGGAGCAAGGCGTCGAAGAGTTGCTCCAGCGGAACAACAAGGCCTTGCGGCGACTAGAGGAGCTACAACTGCAGCGCCTGCGGTCACAAGGAGGTGGATCAAGCGTAGTCGAAGTAGGATCGGAAGAGTGGGACGTCGGTACGTGGTCGCTCCGCTGTCCGTCGGACTTGGTTTTCTGACTCCCCGCGGAAATAGCGCAAGGCATCACGGAGTCTCTTGCATTACTGGCTTCCCTCCGACCCCGAGCATCAAACGCAGATGCTGATCATGCACCCCTCATACCGACCCCCTCCGTCCTGCACAAGCTTCAACGCACGCTACCCTTGGAAGCAACGGAAGGGTGGTACGGGACACTTCCTGCAGGTCGCACATCCGCGTTCCGGGATGACACTACTGTGCATGTGCGTGCCAGTGCCACCACTGCTACCAAGGCCGCACCGAAACCCACGACTACCACTATCGCACCGAAACCCATCGCGCCAGCCCCTCCTTATACCCCCTATCCCGCGTACACCGGATCATACACCAGTGCGCAGAACAGAGCAGGGTACGGGACTTACGGTGCCAGTCAGACGCAGGGGTATTACCCCAACGCGTCCTACGGCATGAGCTCAACGCAGACCGGAACCAGCAGCTACTACCCGAACGCGCATTTCAACGGCCAGTACTACGGGACGTGGCAAGCGACTTCGGGTCAATCCACTCCTCAGCCTACGACCCCCAAGGAGCGTACTACTCAGGAATAGCCCCACAGGGCCAGCGCGCCGTAGCAAATACTGTCCTTTCGGGGGCAGCGCCGGCGATGACACTAGCCAGACGCAATGCGCCATTTGATCCCGCTTCGCATGGCGGATACTACCCTTCGTATACGGTTCCTCGATGAGGAACGCCGATGGTCTGTTGAACATCACCTTACATACATTATTACATATCATCAGCGAGTGTACATAGCTCCTAATCATTTTCGTGCTGTTTTCTGGTCTTTCGTCCGATATAATGGTAGTCCGAGGGGTCATGATAGCATTAAACTGGTAGCAAAGTTACAATACATATGCGTCGCCACACTCGCCAATGCAAGATACCACAAACGACCTAAACGTATCCGAGAGGAAAATGTCTTACGCCGTCTAGGCTCTCATTCCCACTCGCTCTGGGATGAGGAGCTGACTTTCCAGCATAAGGGGGGCCCCTTGCGGTGGCCACCTGGCTCTGACACGGCAAACCACCCCCTCAACGCCTCGAGCGCGAGCCCTACCTGAGGGGGAAAGCATCCGTCGCGACCCCGACTGCCGAAAGCGACAATAGAGACCAGCGAGGACGGAGGAAGACGTGTTGTACTCGTATGAAGGAAGCCGCATGCGCCGCGCGTTGAGCCTTATATGCGACAAATCGCCTCGGCCGTTGCCGTGAAGTGCTCGGGCGCCAGTCAACGTCCCGGGGCCAGAGTCAAGTGCTCTGTACGAGGTGCACAATGAATGATTTGTCTGCTTCCATTCGATGCAGTATACGTAGGAGAAGCATGCAAATGCAGCACATGACATTTGCTGCCCCTCGGGTCTGCTACCGGGAGATCAGCCCATTGCCTATTCTGCCCCGCTCCGCGTCGTCACGGGCGTACCGGGCCGCGGGGATATAAAAGTCTGGCTGGTCAGTAGAGAACGGAACCTCATCCCCGCTCTCAATCACCTCCTTCTCCGACCACCATGGCGCACGACACCAACTGTCCAGCGGACACCGTCTACTACCAAAGCAGCGCTGTGCCGTCAATATGGATGCTCCCCACCGAGGTGATCGAGCGCATCCTTATGTTGTGCGGAGATCCACGGAACGTCGCCGTACGTGTCCCGCTCTCTGTCTCGCCCGTGCCCACCGTTTGACAACATGGTGCACAGGCGTTCGCGCGTACAAGCAGACTCGCACACAGGCTCGTGTACGAAGCGGACGACCAGTATCTCTGGCGCGAGCTCTACTTCGGACGACCATTCGACGACCTTCGCCGCGCCGCGCCAGTACCCAAGGAACGGCGTGCTCTCCTGCCACCAGACGCGGAGCCCGCGTGCTCTTCTGGGTCGTCTGACCTTAGCCCCGAAGCTGTCTCCGCCTCCTCTGGCCTTACCTCCGCGCCCCGCACATCCCGTGGAAGACGGAGCTGCAGCGGCGCACGCAGGCGGAGCTCATCGCGGCGTCCGGCACAACGGATGCCGCGGTGCTCCAGCTCGTGTACGAGGCCTTCGTCGCTGCCATCGAGACCGCGAGCCCCGCGACCGCGCCAACTGAGAACCTTCCCAGTACCGCCCCGCGGCAGGGCCAGCACCCTCCAGGGCTCGCCGCGGTCACCCCACGCAGCGCGCTGCACACCGAGACCCCAGCGCACACGCCCATCGTGTCGCCTCCAAGCCCCACACCACCTCCCGAGGGCCAGACGGACGCGGGAGGGGACGAGGGCGATCGGCTCCCACGGTCCGAGAACCTCCGCTGGCTGGACCGCATCGTCCGCAAGACGCGCATCCTCGACGTCGCGCCGATCTGGACCGTGCTCGAGCCCGAGCCCGAGACCCCGCCGCCAGAGGACCCGCTCCCGCGCTCGTGCCACCCGCTGCTGGACGAGGACGAGGACGCGGACGACCCGGGCTCGTTCCCCGAGCACGAGGAGGACGACGCCCGGGGCAAGCGCCCGGTGCGCATGCGCGAGCGCGTCGTCGACGGCACCGACCTGCGCTTCGTGCCCGAGCGCGAGCAGCGCGCGTTCCAGCTGCGGTGCCGGCTGCGCGCCGCGCTCGCGCTCTCGCACGAGTCCTCGTTCGACGCGGACGCGCGCGCGCGCATGGCCGCGCTCCGGCGCGTCTCCCGCGCGTTCGTGTACGACATGCGCCGCTACCAGCCGCGCACGCTCTGGGGGCCGTACCGCGTCTGGGACGCGGACGGGCGCACGGTGCTCGCCGACTGGGAGCACGTCGAGCACATCGTCAATGTCGTCGGCCTCAAGCTGCGCGAGATCCAGCTCGCGAGCCTCGGCTTCTACAAGCGCCCGCTCTTCAGCGTCGAGGCCCTCCGCGCGTACTCGGCCGTCAGCGCGCACTCGTGCCCGGAGGGAGACTGGGCGGGCGTGACGGGCAAGTGGCGGCGGTTCGTGTGCTTCATGGACTACCGGCAAGTGCTTTCTTCCGCGCCCTTCGATCTCTGCAACGTCCTGATGTGGCCGGCCCTCGCAGCGACCTCTACATGTTCAACGTAAGTCTTCCCCGCTTCGTGGCACCGCCCGACGTGCTCACACGCTTAGCTTGCCCACCAGTACAGCCTGCTTCCGCCAGGCCCGCACGACCCCTCCTTCTTCGACGAGCCGTTCGACGAGGCGCTCCGGCCGGTCGAGCTCAACCTCGCGCTCATCTCCAAGGACGAGTACTTCAGCAAGACGCGCGAGGTCCCCGTCGACCCCTCGCGTGCGGGGCCGGAGCACCCCACGGGGCCGATCGCGGACGCGGAGGACCCGGCGTTCCCGACGCTCTATTTCGCCGGGCAGTCGCACGGGGTGGCGAGCGTGCGCGGCAAGGTCAGCACGCTCGCCGACGGGGCGATCAGGTGGCAGTTTGTGAGTGACGGCGCTCGTCTCTCGTGCGAAAGGATTGACAGGTTGCATTTGCAGGTGACGTCTTACGACGGGAGGATGCAGTGGAGGTGAGAGGCCGTCGCTCAGGATTTGGCGGTCGGAAGCTGACTCTTGGCCGCAGCGCTGAGGGCATTCAGCTTGGCAACGTCTGCAGCGCAGCCGGGGTGGCTGGGATCTGGACGGGAGCATTCCACGACCGAGGTGAGTGTGTCCGGGCGCGGTCCTTGAGATGGTTATGTTGACGTCAAATGCGCGTACAGAGGATCCAGCCGGTCCCTTCTGGATGTCGAAGGTCGGCGACGACCTTCCTACCGGTATTCTCAACTCCTTGCACTAGTCTTGTGCTTAGAGGCCGCTTGATTCACATGAACCATGCCATCTCCCTGGTTAAATGTTACCCCCTCCACTCTCACGCAACCAATATCCAGAGCGCAGACAAACGGATGTACACCACTAGGATTCTCATGTACGAGTACAATGATGGGCTCATATATTGCTATGCTAGCTGTGCCATATGCAGAAGCGGACTGGCGGATTGCAGACCTCCAACATGGCCATCTTCGAAGGTTATGCCTGCGCGCATGGGCTATTCATACGGTCTCCCGTATTCATGTCAGGTGTGTACAGACTGTTCAAGCCCACTCATCTGTGCACAACACGCTGATAGAATTACACAGGCAATATAGTACACGATACATAGGAAAACGCGGACATGCACTCATTCGACCTTGGTACCACTAGTCTTGCTGAAGAAGCCGATGACGCGGCCGTATAGGTCCTCGTAGCTGCGCAAAGATGCAAGACCTGGTCAGCGGTCCTTCTTTTCGAGGTCAAATGACAGTACGCACTGCTTCTTATTCTCGGCGTCCTTCAAATCTGCTCGCGCGGCAGCAAAGCCGTGGAACCTTATGGCGGGGTCAGTTGGGCGGACACCCTAAAGACCGAAGTAAACCCACGAATCGTAAAGCTTGTAGTCGCTCTTGTCCTTGATCGGTTTCTTGGAAATGATTTCCATAATCTGCTTGGACTGTATGCGCAGTCAGTATGATTGTTTCATCGGCGCATGACAATCGTGCTAACCTCTTCCTCAGGCTCGTCTTTACTCGGGTACAGCCCGAGGGGAATGGCGAGGTTCGTGACATCACCGTGCGAGAGCATTCTGTCGTCGCACGGTCAGCACCCATGTCCCGCGAAGATCGCAGGCCCGCGCCACAACGGACACGCACGACCCACAGTCGGCAAGCAAGCACTCACGCAGGGTGCACGGCCGCGGCGGCCCCAAACGGCGTCGTCTCCGTCGAGCTCGCGAGGATGGTGACCTTGCCGCCCCAGCAGAAGCCGTACACGCCGATGAACTCCACGCCGTCCTTCTTGAGCGCGTCGGCGACGGCGAGCAGGCGCTTGACGTTCTCGCCCGGGTTCGCGAGCCCGCCGAAGAACTCCTGGAGCTTCTGCTTGTCCTCGTCCGTCGTGGGCGGGAAGTTGTCGACCGGCCAGGGCGCGCCGTTCTCGAAGAAGTCGGGCATGAGCACCTGTGCCTTGAGCTTGTCCGCGATGATGTCCGCGCCCTGCTGGGTCTGCGGCCAGTAGCTGCGCAGCGGTGTGCGGGAGGGGGAGGGGCGTTCGCGCGCTCAGACGCCGCTGCCTCGAGCTAAGAACGCCAAGACGAGAGCACGCACCCGAAGATATCGTACACACAGACGATGGCCATCTTTCCGGGAGTCTCAGGGCCCGTCACGTACACCTACGTCGCGCATGTATTGCAGATCACAATGTGGCGCGTAAGTTCGAGGGCCTCGCACGCGAAGAAACGGCGTCTGACCTTGTTGAAACCACCATAGGGCTTGAAGGTGCCCTTTGGGGTGTAGTCGGACTGAACAGGGGGGATAGAGCAGCAGGCGACGTTGGAGTTGTGCACCGTGGCCATCTTGCGGGAGCGGGGGTTGATCTGGGACGCGAGCGAGCGGACGCGGGTAAGGAGCTTGGACATCGCGCGGGTCCGTCTTCCAGCTGTGCGATGACGTCCGTCCTCGCGCCCGCGCCTGATATACTCCCCAAAGCGGCCTCGCGTCGAGGGCGCCTTCTCACGCGCGCCGGCAGTTTTCTCGCGCGCACACGCCTCCCGCTTCCCTTTCGCAACCCCCACCACCGCTCGCTGTGTCTCCGAGCCACTCTCCGTCTCGCTTCGCGCCGTGACCTGGGGTATCCGTGGACCACGCAGGGGTAGAGCACGCCCAACGCCGAGCACAATTAAGCCGGAGCGCGTCCCGTCGCCGCCGCTGGCACTCGCGGCCGCGCGCGGTGTGGGAAGTGCTTGACTATGAAGCTCGCACATCCCCCCTTCGAATCTTCCTCCGAGCCCCGGTGAATACTACCTGTCTTCTCTTGTCTCTCACGTGTGCGAAAAATGGAGCTCTGAATCAGCCCTATGGGGAGTGTTTGGTGGGAAGACCAAAGGTCAGTCGGTGATGCGGGCTGTTCTGCAAGAAGGGCGGAGGGCATTGGATTTATCCTTCATGCGGACGCAAGTGCTAAAGAAGCTTGCTTCACAGAACTCTGGATTTGCAGGGTCTTCTTTACGTTGACTGTCAGAGTTGCCTTTCTCATGACGGGAGTCGGCCACATACTAGCACATATTCGTCCCACAATAGATGGTTCTTGGATTGATGTAGGCCTGAATCTGAAGCGCTTTATGCCACCTGCTTGTCTGAAGGGGCTCTAGATGTGGTGCTGGTCGCGGTGATAGGGGGATTCGTCAGGCAGAGGCCCGTGTTTATGTCGAGTTGACATGGCGAACATTGGAGATTGTCTCCGAGTCTGTTTGACCTGGTGCTATCTTCTGTCTAGCGATCGGAGCTATCCCAAAGTGCGACTACTTGGGGGTTGGCTGTGCGTGAGCAGGCCGAGTCACTTTGTCTGCTCATCACATTGTTTGGTACTAGAAGCCGACGAAGCCACCGAAACTTTTCCTCGGGACATGAGTCTAACCCTGACAACGTAACAACCTTGTAGGCCGCACATGGAGGAAAGCCGTCGAGACCAATCATCACGCGAGCATCGATCAGGTGGAGGCCAACGGAGTGCTTGTTTCTTCCCACCACCGCCTAGTCGCGCTCCCCTCTCTGCTCGCGCTACCCATTTACGACACGCCCCACCGACGTCAACACTCCTATGCGCCTTCAAGATAGTGACCGTGCGCCGCCTTTAGTGCAGGAAATGCGACGATCGAGCGGACGGACGGCGGACGGACGGAAGGCAGACAGAATATTGTGCCCCTAGAGCCTCGACGGTCGGCAGTGAGCAGGCTCCCGGCTCCGTCCATCGCGTTCTACGGGCCCATCGATCGCCGCTGCGGGTTTTGTACGGGCGCGAACTTCCCGCCCATCGCAATTTGGCCGAGGCTCATGTATAAGCCCCACATGGCCCACATTGAGCCCCAAATCTCTGCCTCTCTGCCTCCCCCCTCTTCTTTGCACGCGCAAGAACGTCCCGCCGCGTGGCTTCCCAAACGCGTCTCTCTCAATTCCGTTTCAAGCTTGCCTGTAAGAGGTTGACTGACCGATGACGGTGGCTGGCGATACTGTTATGCTACGATCGCCCTCTGTGGCCCGGTTCGCCCTACGTGAGTCCTGTCGTTCAGTGCTCTCCCTCTTTTCTGACCATGTCTTCCCCCTCAATCCCAGGGGACGCGAATGACCAGTGAGTACTTCGCAGTGTATCTCGCCCGCACTGGGTGCGACCTGTATTGCGCACGCAGGTTTGACCGTGGTGATGTTTCCTTCATCGCTGTGTGCGGCATTCTCGTGTTCTTCATGGTCCCGGGTGTAGGTGAGCCGCATTTCATAGTTGTTCCCCGCAACGAGGCGCTCAGAGTCTGGTCAGCCTTCCTGTACTCGGGGCTGTCAAGACGAAAGAGCGCACTCTCGCTTGTCTGGGCTGTCGCGGCTTCCAATGCCGTCGCCATCTTCCAGTGGTGGTTCTGGGGTTACTCTCTCGCCTTCTCCCCGACCGCGACGAATGGATTCATCGGCAACCTCCGGAGCTTTGCTCATCGCAAGGTGCTGGGCGACCCCAGTCCCGGCTCGCCCCTCATCCCCGAAATCCTATACAGCTTTTACCAGATGGAGTTCGCGTGTGTCACGGTCGCCATCCTCATGGGTGCCCTCGCGATCGCGGGCGCGTCGTTCCCGCGATGGTTTTCACGTTCCTGTGGATGACGCTGGTGTACTGCCCCATCGCGTGCTGGGCGTGGTCGACGAATGGTTGGGGTTTCAAGTGGGGCGTTCTGGACTACGCAGGTACGTGCTCACTGGCTAGTGAACGCAGGACTGCACCGACTGAAACACGCTCTCTCAGGCGGCGGTCCTGTCGAGATCGGAAGCGGCATATCAGGCCTCGCCTACTCCTGGGTCCTCGGGCGCCGCAGCGAGCGTGAACTGCGCAATTTCCGCCCGCACAATGTCTCCCTCGTAGCCCTTGGCACCTTCATTCTCTGGTTCGGCTGGCTGGGGTTCAACGGCGGGTCTGCCTTCGGGGCGAATCTCCGCGCGCTCATGGCTATATGGAACTCGATGCTCGCCGCGGCTATGGCGGGTCTCGTGTGGTGCGCGCTCGACTGGCGGGTCGAGCGCAAGGTGTCCATGGTCGGGCTCTGCTCCGGAATGATCGCGGGCCTCGTCGCAGCGACGCCCGCGTCGGGGTACATCCCGCAATGGGCCGCGGTAGCGATGGGCATCGTCGTCGGCGCGATCGCGAACTACAGCACGAAGAGTACGTCAGCCGCCCCTACCGCTCCTCCGTGCCCCGTAGCTGACCCTCCCCCTTAGTCAAGTTCTTCCTCCGCATCGACGACGCGCTCGACCTCTGCGCCGAGCACGCGATCGGCGGCATCGTCGGCCTGCTCTTCAACGGCCTCTTCGCGGACGCCGCGATCATCGCGCTCGACGGCGTCCCGACCTCCGCCTCCGGCGGCTGGCTCAACCACAACTGGAAGCAGCTCTACATCCAGCTCGCGTACGTCGCCGCGTGCTGCGGGTACGCGTTCACGGTCACCGCGCTGCTCGCGGCGGGGGTCAACGCCGTCCCCGGACTCCACCTCCGCGCGACCCCCGAGCAGATGGCGCTCGGGATGGACGACGCGGAGCTCGGCGAGTTCGCGACGGACTACGTCGAGGTCCGCCGGGACTACACGGACTGGACGCCGCCGTACAAGGACTACGGGAGGAACGGCGAGGTGGCCACCACCGTGCCCGTGGATGGGTCGGTTGCCCCGGTCGCCGCGGGGGACAGGCACGGGGTGCCGGACAGCCAGCTCGGGCAGGTGCACGCGCCGCACGGACGCGATGGCAGTGAAGAGGAACCGTCGTCGGCCAGCACGGAGAAAACGCACAACGGGGACCTCGTGGAGAAGGTGTAGGAAGCCAGTCTGCAAGGGGGCAGTTCTCGATAAGTGCGCTTGTTCGCAAGCACACAGAAAGCAGCGCATGGTGCTCTTTAATATTCCTGCGATCGTGGTTTGCATGCGAAGAATGGGCGGTTTTCGTGTACGATGTTCTCTGCTGTGTTGTGTCTCTTCTAGATGTACGGCTTGCTCGTGGTTGGGCCTGGCTTCATACTTTCACCTTACTCTGTCGTGCACGGAATGCGTTAAATCATGACAAATTGGTGGCTACACGTATTTTGGATCGGCTCGGGCAACTGGAGAGGACAAAAGATGCAAGCACACACTGGGAGACGCGGGCGCATGGTTTGCGCATATGCCTGGTGGCTGTCAAGCTTGTGGTCCGGAAGGCTGGTGCCTGATGTCGAGTCAGTGGGGATCCTTCTTCAGCTGGAACAATGGAAACATGACGGTGAAGAGTCGGATCACGGACACTGGAAAGGAACAGTTCTAGTTAGGTTCGCGTAGCCAATGCAGTATTGCACAGCCACGATGTTTGTTTCGTTGCGAGGCCAAACTCGCAGCGAGTCTGTTGAGCTCGGACGTGCGCAGACCTTCTTTATATCTGCACTCCTGCCTATGAAAAATGCCAGTACTTAGGGTAAGCTGTGAGGTGGGCGAAGTGGCATTGTCATAGCGGACCTGCCTCGTGGGGAGCGCGTGAGTGTGATTGCCGCTGGGCGCTCCGTCTTTGGTTCGTTTTCAATCTCAGCCACGACCATTGTCCTCAACCACCACTAGTCATCAATACGCCACTGACCACCCTGCCTCTTGCGATATAAGAGGACAGGCCCCTCATTTCGTACGTGCGTTTCTTCCCTCTCCCCTCTACCATCATGTCTCAACCCAGCTTTTCGGGATCTTCTCCCATGAAGAGATCAGTAGTCAAGGGTGCTGGCAACGCTAGCATCGCCGGCGAAACTGGCAAAGAAAACCTAGAGGACTATCGCGGACACGTCGCACAAGACATGGCGCACAGGGCTGTCCTCTCCGACGTCAGAACCTTCTGCGACAAATTCTTCCCCGTTCTCCCCCACACCAAGCGTCGTCCCAACCGTACCATCAACCCTTTCTGGCGGCTCGAAGCCGCCGGTGGAATGCTCGAGAGGCAGATACAGACAGATTTTGTGAGTCACACCATGCCCTCGTCTGCTTTCACCCTCCCAACAGAGGCTGATTTCGTATGACTAGGCCGATGCCGTCAAGAAACTCGTCCCGGGCCTGGTGATGGCCGTCACGAGCGACAGACCGGACGATCTCGCGGTAGATCCCACCAGACAGAAGGGCGACGCCGCCTTCTTCTACCCTCATTCGGTCCCTGAAGATGGCAAGCCCCGCTGGGGCGACCAGATCATATCTGTCGAGTTCAAGCAGGGGTTGCCTGGCAATGACCCTTTCGACGAGAAGGTCTCCGGATTCTCCGACGCCATCTCGCGCACGGAGGTCCGCGGCCAACTGATCTCCTACGCCGCTCTCCTGCTCGCGATGCAGCAGCGCGAAGCGTTCTTCTCCCTCTTCGTCATCGGGCGGAAGTGCCGCTTCATACGCTGGGACCGGTCTGGGGCGATCGCCACGAAGCTCATCGACTACTACTCGGAGTGGAAGGCATTCTGCGACATCCTGTGGCGAATCGGAAAGTGTTCCGAGTGCGACGACCAGCTTGGCCTCGATCCTAGCGCCACTCGTATCTATCCCGGTACCGAGGAGTTTCAAGCCATGGCAGATATCGCGACGACGCGCGACGGAGACGTCAAGCACAACGAGCGGATAGTCCACGACGACGAGCTCAACGAAGCCGGTGGCTTTGACGGGGAGTTCGACTACGTGCGTGACATGTGGGCCGGATCCTCGTCGACAAATGGCCCCGCTACGAGATCAAGGTCGTGGACAAGGACGACGGCAAGACATACGCCTTCTGGATCGCGAAGCCCGTCTTCGTTGCCAAAGGCCTCGCCGGTCGCGGCACCCGCGGCTACGTCGCCTGGTGGGTCGAGCGCCGCATGTTCGTGTGGCTCAAAGACTCGTGGCGGGCGGCGTACGCCCTCGTCCAACCGGAGGGCGACATCCTCAAAACGCTCAACACCGCGGGCATCCCGAACATCCCGACACTCATTTGCCACGGCGACGTTCTCAACCAGAAGACGCTGACGCCTGACTGGTGGCGTCAACGGAAGACGAAGAAGCTGCCCACCTTGCCCCGTGCCCTCCGCCCCTCTGGGTCTTCGGCGCCGTCGATCGCTTCTGGAACTTCGACTGCGCAAGGCTCGAAGCGCTCGAAGCGCAAACAGGACACTGTGGAGGAGCCAACCGAAGACGACCCTGAGCCCGACCCCTCATGCCCTATGCGTTTGCATCGACACTACCGCATGGTTGTTCGCGAGGTCGCGAAGCCGCTGAAGATGTTTCAACATGAGCGACAGCTGTTCAACGTCCTTGACGACATCTTGGCCGGTGAGTACTTGAGCGTTTAATTTGTACCGTACTCTCACTCATGCGTGCGCGCACCAGCTCACGAAGCAGCTGCGAATGGCAAGGGGCTTCCGGAGAAGCTCCTTCACCGCGACATCAGCGCAGGGAACATCCTCATCTACCCGAGGCTCGTCGTCACCAAGACGTCTCGCTACATTCGCTTGGGCGGCATGCTCGCCGACTGGGAGATGTCCAAGCCCATTCCGCTGAACGTCGAAGACGACAAGCCTCGCCAACCGGAGCGCACTGTGAGTGATCCCGCGGTGTTATGGGCTACAGCTGCTGATACGCACCACAGGGAACATGGCAATACCAGGCCGCCATCTTACTCATCGCGGGCTCGTGTCGGCGCGCGGGGATCCCCGAGGAGCTCGAGTCCGTCTGGTTGGTCTCTCTCTACCACGCCATCCGGTACCTGCCTTCCAACCTCGATGACCTCGGCGTCGCACGCTTCATCCACGAGTTCTTCGACACCTACCACAAGATCACGTACGCGGATCTGACCTTCGAGTGGGTGTGCAGCGACTTCAAGAGCACCACCCTTGGCTTCGGCAAGCTTCGCAAGGGTCCGAGCGCTTACGAGGTGGTCAAGTTCAACTCCGAGAGCCTCAACTCGTTCATCCAAAAGATGCTCGACTCCTTGTGCGCGCATTACGCTGTTAGACAGTTCAAGGAGGAGGAAGACGCTGCCTCGGACACGAACGACGACGACCACGGGGATTCGACGACGGCCGACGAGGCGAGCACCGGCATCGCCCAGTCCGACACTGCCTCCGAGTCCACTACCGCTTTCGTCGCGCCCTGTGTCGGCGACGAGGACGAGGACGAGGACGCCAGCTCGCCCGTGACCGGCAAGACTACCGAGGCCAAGGGCCCGTCAGTTCCACAACTCGCACTGGCCGTGAACATGGCCCAGCACGCGTACATGCGTTCGCAAGTCAGGATCGCGGCGAAGAAGGCGTCCGTCGACACCTCGGAGAAGCGCGACCGCATCCCCGACACCTGGATGCCGCCGCGGAACCCCGTGCACCGCGCCGAGGCTCGGGGCAAGAAGCGGCCGAAGTTCTCGAGCGACACGCAGACTGCGGTGGACGGAGCGCACACGGCGCCCGTCCCGGTCCTCAACGCGACGAAGAACCCGTTGGGCTCGGGGGAGGGCAGCTCTGAGCTGCTGCTCCCGGCCGTGCTCGGGCAGAGCGACATCGCTCACGTCAGGCGCCGGAAGTCTGGGAAGTCGAGGGCACGTTACAAGGTGCCGGGTGGTGATATCAACGAGCTTGACGGGGCGAACTAGTGGCGACGATGTATCTCATATATTATTTCTATGTAATGCAGTTACTTCTCTACATCTACTCCCTCGTGTTACTATCCCGGCCTCCAAGGCTTACCACTGACTTAGGTAGGACTCGCATCGTTCTCACTCCTGCCCCGCATGTCCTACCGATCCTCATTGTCGGGTGTCTCGCTTGGCTAACTTCTAGCTATGTACAAGGTCGCGGGAATTCGAGATGTTCAACTTGCTACAGGCAATCTGAGCAGTGATAAAATCTGACCTGTTGCAAGTCGCCGACATTAAGCTCGTGTTTGTGGACACATCAACCAGTGGAATGGGCAAAGGACTGAGACTTGTACAATACGAAACAAAACACTACAACATGGAAACGTCAACTAGCAGGACGACCTGAACGCTTTCGAATAGCGATCCTTGCACTACGCCTCAATCCGACTTTGGGCTCTTTGTGCGAACGCTTCGACTTCTTCGACGGCCTGGCGTCCGATATCTCCTCCTTGTTCCCCGGGTCACGCATGCGCTTATTTCCTGCCTGTGGCTCAGCGGGCGGTGCGAACCTCTCCACCGCCTTGTCCAACAGTGGCCAGCCCAAATCCAGGAACGCTTCGAACTTGGCGATCACCGCGTCGTGCGTTTTGAGGCTGTCGGCCTTCGCTTTCATGTCCCCGTCAGGTCCACCGCGCTCTGAGTCGACAATGGCCGTCGATGTAGAAGGGGTCGCCGCGATGCGTGCCTTGTTCTTGGGGCGTCGGGCCATCGGAACGTCGATCGGAGCCGCTACGGCGGTTGACGACGTCCGCGCGGTTCGGTGTTCCCACTCGTGGACGAGGAGGCGGGCACTGAACCTCTGGAGCAGCCAACGGAGCAGTTCGTTAAGGGGGTGGCCGGGAAATTTTTTTCCGCTGTTCCCGAGGGCATGGAATTCGAGCTTCATGCCGCCGAGCGTCAAAGTGCCATTGTGGATGCATCTGTCGCGGTATTCGCTGCAAGTGCAGTCGCCACAGGACATCCGGAGGGTCTGGTGGAAGTATTGGTCGATGAACATCCTCAGAAACTCCATGTCCCAGTCCCAGTTGTGGGTCATGAAGATGACGCTCTCGAAGATCAAGACGTGCATGAAGGATTCGAGCTCGTCGTCGATCCCGATAACCCGCGTCGGGTCTTTCTGCCACAGAATGGACATGAACGGCCAAGTTCCCTGCTTGCAAGTCAGCCGCGCAGTGGTGTGCGAACACTGGAAGAGCACATACAGTCCTTGGCGGAACGCGGGGCCCGACAGCGGCCTCGGTGCTTCTTGCCATCTCCCAGTCGGCCAAGATACCATCCCATTCAATCCACGACGTTCCCTCAGATTCGTTGTGTTCGAACCGAAGCAAAAGAAGGATGTTTCCCGCGCTGACGTCACGGTGAAGCAGGTGGCACTTGTTGACCGCTGTCTTGTGGGCTATGATCTCGTCAGCGTGTTGCTGCCAGAGCAAAAAGACAGCACAGAACTCGCCTACAATCGCGTGAAGGATCGCGCGAACGAGATAGACCCCGCAGGGAAATTCCTTCAGAGGAAGGCATACCTCGTCGACAACCATGCGAACGTGTTGACGCACTCCTTCTAGAACAGGTTCTTTGGGTTCGTCTTGCTGCTGGCGGTCAACTTGCTCTGTTCCGGTTGCCAAGTCCGCGGAAGCTAAGGTCGCATTGGTGACGGCCGGGAGGTTGACCACGTGAGGCGAGTAAATACCGACGGGATCAGCATCGGAAGAGGCAGTCGGCGACACAGGCGAACCATTCGTCGGAGAAGGGGCTGTCTGGGCGACAGCAGGCATGGCGGTCCCGGCGATGACGGAGAAATACGTGACTTGGCCAGCGTAGCTCTCTGCCGCGACCAGCGTTGGCACGTGTGGTACCTTCTCGTCGTTGAGTTTCTTGAGCATGACGTGCTCGGGGTCCGCGTCGACGCAGTGAGGTTGCCATGCGTCCTTGACGAAGACAAAGCGCTGCGTGTGCCACTCCAGCGCGATCCACCCTCGCGTCCCGCGTCCGATCGGTCCGTTGTCCGCGCAGAAAATCGCTCGACCAACGAGGTAGAACTTGTTGTCGATCACTAGCACGTACCGCACGTTGCTCTGTTTGAGAGAGTGCACGAACCGCTGCCGGATGTAGTTGAAGGTGCGACGTTTCAGGTGCTTTGGCCACGCGTCCCCAGCTGTTTCCTCCATCGTCGCCAGCGGATCAGGGTGGCTACCGGTGGGGGTGAAGGGGGAACAGGCGCTTCGCTCGTTGTCGCGGAACTCGGTAGGCAGTTCGGAGGTAACGTGATCCTCGGTGTTGTACTCGTCGACGTCAAAATCGGCTTCGACCTGGGCGAGTTGATCCATGCGAGCCCAACCGCAGGAGTTAGGTGACAGGCGCTGTGCTGTCGGGTCGAATCCCGCTGCCTCGGCACCGACTGTCAAGACACCAGCCTTCTGGAGGACGGACATGTTGTCGGGGGCGGCCTTGTCGTCCTGCATGCGAGCGAGGCTGACCAGGACTTTAAGCAGGATCTTCGTCTTGGCCTTCGACGTAGCGTAGTCGGTCGCCTCGCTGACGATGACACCGGACCGGTCCCAGCGCAGAAGACGGAACTTGGAGCGGTTGACGAAGAGCATGTACAGTGCGGTGCGATGTTGGACGTCGAAGACACAGCTGGCGTACGCGTAGAGTTGATGACGCGCCGCCCGCCGTTTATCCGCGTTGGGCTCGATATCATTGTCGTCGCTGAACGGATCCAGGCCGTTACCGCCTCGCTTGAACTCGACGGTGTAGCGTTGATACTCCCAGTTTGGACAGTCCGGAAGGAGGAACTCCTTATCGTTTTGGTGAAAAAAGCCTCCGTCGACTTTAGACTCGTTCTTGTCTGCCTTGCATTGGGAGAGCTGAAATGTGTGATCGGGACAGAGGTGGTGAGCCTCGTCCAACTCAGCCTTGAACGGATATATGTGAGCGACTGAAAGACACGTAGACAGAAATTTATGAGACGTACCCAGACCCTGCTGACATCAGTCTCCACGATGTTTCCGATTTCCTTCCCGTTCTTGACTTTCAGCGCGGCTCGGAATCTCTTTGAAATTTCCGAAATGTCGGTCTCGGGGAAGAGCCCGGCGAGCTCCTGAGTCGTAGGGGCAACAAGCAACTTTTGGTCATAGAAGAACTTCAAGGGCACTCCTTTGGTGCACTGGGCGGCATGGTCCAGCATGATTTCAAGACGGCGTTTACAAGCGCGAGACGGGTCGTCAAGTGCAGTGGCGCGGGGTTGGGGGCGTTATCGCTCTGAAGAGCGTTGTTCTCGTCGAGTCCGGTGTTCCTTCCACTGGAGTTGTGCGTCGTGATGCCACAGAGGGGCGAAGGCAAGGATTCTGGGGCACCTGTGCCGGACTGAATGGCGTTCGAAGCTATGAGTGGCACGTCAAAAGCAGTGAGGAAGGTTGCGAAATGAGAGGGAACTCACGTGTGTGTCGCCTGCCGACTGGCAATATATATGATACCCGCCGGTGGTTGGAACACTGAGCGCGCATGCGTTATGGGGCAATTTGGTGTGCCTAGAACGGCCCGGCCGTCGAGTCAACGGCAGGAAAATAGGCGAAAGAGCATTCCGATGGGAATAACTGAAATTAGGGAACAATGGTGCAGAGGCGGACCTTTGTCTGAGGCGTGGTGGTAGTAATCAGGGCCGCAGTCTGGCGCCCATAAGCGTCACCTTGGGCGCTTGTGGGTTCAGTTGGATCTCCGAAAAACCGATCACTCCCAACACCTCAAACGGTACGCTCGGATGAGATACATTACAGTGGTGTCATAAACCAAACCAAAGACGCGGCATAATTAGAAGGAACACCAAACCAGCAGTTGCAAAGAAACAGTGTCTGATCGAGACGATTCGAGCCATGGATAGAGCTACAGTTGCCTACACTTAGATGCGCGAGCCTATGGAAAGGTCCCTCTTCGTTACATGATGTTCGTTTCCGTCTCGTAAAAAATCGTCACTCGTCGTGCACGACCGCACCGCGACTACGCGTCTGCCGACGCCTTCCGCCCGTGCGCCGACCGCTTGCTCGGGCTCGACGGCTTCGACCGCGACCCTCCCTCCTCCGGGGACCCCGCAGCCGAGTCTGGCGACGGCGACTGGCTCGCGAACGCCGCCGCGGACGCCGTCGACGACAGCTCCAGTCCAGACTCGTGCGAGCCCGTGCGTACAGTGGCTGGCGGTGGGCCCTGAGGCGAGAACGGCATCGTCGCAGCCCTGGGCGGGCTCGCACCCGCGCTCGGAGGGATCGGAATGTTGTGAGGACTCGTTGGCGGCGCCGCGGCGGATGGGGAGAACGGGTCGGTGGGATCGGAGGACGGGAAGGGGGCCGAGGGTGCGGCGGGTGCGGAAGAGGAAACGGCGGGAGGGGGAGAGGCGGCGGGAGTGGCTTGGATGAGTGCCTCGGGCTTGGACGGTAAGGGAGGAGGGGGCGGAGAGAGCGGAGGCGCGTCCTCCGACGAGCTGCGGCTGGATGCGGCACGCGATGGTGGACCGGTCGGGAGCGTCGTAGAGCTCGCTTGTGGGCTCGGGGTGATTGCGCTTGCTCCCGGGGCCGAGGACGCGTATACTGGTTCCCGACCCACAGGAGATAACAGGAGTGGGGCTGGAAGGGATGAGGTGCTCGTGTTGGCGCTACCTTCGTATGTCGTTGACAGCGACGCTGCGGGGGTTACGCGTAACTGTTCGTCGAAGAACTGTCCGGTGCGAATTGAGGGCGCTTGGCTTCGGGATGGGGATGAGTATGGGCCGGCACGGAGGGAGGGGTGGATACTGTTCGTTGGACGGGGTGGAAGCTGAGGGGTGAAGTCCTGGGGGACAGGCGGGCGTGGTGGAAGTTGAGGATGGTCTTGCTGCGATGCAGTGCGAGGTGAGATGAGCTCTTGGGGAGTGGGACGCTGCACTTCGAATGACGGGCGTTGCACATCAAAGGAAGACCGGGGAGTACCAGAAACCGAGGATGCCTTCTGGTGCTTCCGTGGCGAAGTCGGAATGGGTGGTGGCGGCATATTCGAAAGCCTCGTATGTGTCGAACCGTACGAGATCGGGGCCGCGGACTCGTGCAGAGGGGCTGGAGGCAACGGTGGCGAGCTTGTGCTACTGTGCTGGAACAGTACGTGCGCATACGTGATGAGGTCCTCCATAGTGGTATCCTTCCACGATTGCATGCCCAGGAGGTCCCCGCCCTTGGGCAAGTCGTCCTCGCCAAATATCACCGACCCAAAGACGATCGCCAAGTTCTTCGGATCCATCTTGTTCTTGTCAGAATTCGCGGCTACCCGCGCGAGATGCTCAACAAGTGCTTTCAGGGTGGCCTGATGTATTTGCGGCAGCCGGCGAATCTTCGACCGCAGGAGGGCAAAGTTGTTGGCGGCATGTTCATCTACCACAACGAGTGAGCAGGTAGTACATGCACACATAAACGCAGAACGCACCAAAGTCTTCCGTATGCTGTAGTCGCTCCTGGACGGGCCATTTGAACACGGGCTCAGGTAATTCGCGTAGGTACAGCTGCGTCGAAAAAGGCTGAGTATCTGTATCATGCTACAGATCGAGCCAATGCAACTCACTTTCAGCAGCGATGATACACTGTAGACATCATCATGTTGTGGATTGAATGCAAACGCACTCTCATTGCGTTCAAACTTATGTTGAAGCTACCAAACGGGCATCAGTAAAACAGGTCGTGAAGCTTCGGAGCATCCCACCGTACCTCCTGCACAGCAGCGTGCCTTCCAGAAACCTATCCAACTTCCTAGTGAGCATACATCCAACACACAACATAGCAAATCGACTCACCCGGTAAATGCCCTCGGCCTCTAGCCCCCTTCGATCAACTTCCTCTATGCATATCCGGATAATCTTCGGGATGTCCCCCTCAAGGGGCCCACGAGCGGTGGCGTAGTCGACAAGACCAACACCGAAGACGAGGTCCTTGCACTCCCCGACGTTGAAGTTGTAGTAATACACGGGCTTAGGCGAGGCCGCCGCGAGCAAGCGCGGGATGTTGGCCGCGATCGCTGCACAATCTCGCTGGGGGACGATCTTCTCGATCATTCGCCCGCCGTGCTCACAAAGCTGGCCCCGCGTCGCTGCGGCCGCACTGTGCGATTGAGTCCGATTGGCGTTCGTAGTGTGATTTGCAGAGCATACACGATCCGGCGGGTCGGAGGGGGGATATGAATCAGGTCCAGATCAGTGGGAGGCGCGCTGAAATGGCGGGGTCTACATACGTCAGGCTGTTGTTGTACATGTCGAGGACCTTCTTCATCATATCCGCTGATTCCCGCACGAACGCCTCCAGAGACTATCCCAGGACGTGAGCCACCAAGGTGGTCATCTCAGACAGGAGGCACTCACGTTGAACCCAGACTCCAAGATCTTGACTCTCCGGATGCGCAGCGTCTCGAGCCAGTGCACCCCCCGGCGGTACTCCTTGTCTGGACGCCCGCGATGTCAGTCGGACTGAACAGCCCAAATCTCAAACCAAGAACTCACCAGCATCATCAGCCTCTCGCTTCGCGCGCACCTGCCGGAGCGCGTTATCGGAACGTCCCCCATCGCGTACGTTGCCGCCCTTGTCGAGGAAGGTCATCAGCTGGTTGAGCTGCTTCTTTCCCTGGTGCGCGAGATCCTGGAGCGCCGTCGCCGTGGACGATGGGGCGCCGGCCGCGGACGGGGAACGGTTCCGGTGCGGGGAGCGGTTCCGGTGTGCGCTCTGCGATGGGCGGCGGTCTAGCGGCCGAAGGGGCTGTGGACCGGTCACTACCGGCCGGGTCCCGCTCGAGGGGTTGGACAGCGGTTTGCTGAGCGGGGGCATGCTGGCTTGATCCTGTGGCGACGTCGACGTCGGTGAGAGGGGTGTGTTCGCGGCGTTCTTGTACTCCTGCGCACAATGAGCGGGCCGAAGCGAACAGAGAGGACGAGCACTGGGCACTGGCCCCGCTCATGCAAGCACGCACCTCGACCTCCTGGCACTTCCTAATGTACGTCCGCTTGAGGCGTGGGAGGACGGTTTCCGCATACTCCGCATGCGCAGAGATGGCCTCCTTAACGTCTTCCCGGATCCGCTTCCGGATCCGGTCTTGCTCTTCCTAGACCGCATAGATATCTCGTTCGCACAGCGCGCCCCTCGGCCTACGCAGCAGGATGGGAAGCTCACCTTGAATGTGGCGAGCGGGTCGATGACGAAGCCCTCGAGAGACTCAACGAATGCCTGATGGGTCCCCGCCTCTGCGCGCGAGCGTGAGTCGAACGATACGGCTGCGCGCCGCCCGCGCTCAAGGATAGGACGCACCGCGCTCGACGTTGTCTGTGATCTCGTTCCACGCCATTCGGGTGGTGCTAATCTCCACGCGATCGTCGATGTATGCGTCCAGACTCCGAGACTTTCGGTGTAGCTTCATGAGCGAGGCGACGCTGTGGGGTCCGGGAGGCTGAGCGCGAGCGCAGCCGGACACAGGGAGGTGGGACTCACTACTGCTCCTCGATCCTCTTCCTGGTAGCGCGCGCAGAACATGAGCGGCGCTCGATGTATGAGTGAGCAAAATATATACACACCGTTCCTGGAAGAAGCCAAGGTACGAGTCGGCCATGACCTTGAGATGTTGTTCGAAGAGCGCCGTCGCGCTTGCGGCCGGGTCAGAGGGAGGTGTGCGAGACGCGGCAGAGGCAGCAGCCTCTGTAGAGGAGGCCATCGTGGGATGCGGCGAGAGGGTTAGCGAAGAAGAGGAGGGGAGAAGGCAGAGCGAGCGGGAGACGGTCAAGCGAAGTCGGCTTTATGGGCGTCTATGCGGAGATCAACCAGCACGTGGGAAGACGTCAGCTCGTCCTCGACCTCGGACCTACTACGCAGTAGCTCCGCTGTTTCCGGGGACAAGTTCCGAGTCGCATCCTCCCTCACATACATCATCGCACCGCTCGCCCGATGATATTCGGACCTCACGCATTTCCGGGCACTCTGGAGCATTATTATATTCACGTGCAGTGTGCGTAGTCGCATACATAGGTGCTACTGATACACAAATAGGCTGCTTGCAAGTACATTAATAGGAGCAACGGAGCAGGGGAGGCTCCGCCCGGACACAAGACGCTTGGCACGCCGGCGGGCTATCGTACAATTTCAGACGTCATCATCGGGCCTGCTTCGAGGCTGTGAACCATCGGGGGAGGTCAGCGCGCGGCTCGGACAGGGCGAAACGCCACTCACCAGTGCCCACCGACCGGCTCGCCGTCCGGACGAGGTTCGCGGGGCGTCCCAGAACGCTTCCGAACGACCGCTTCCGCGCGTGCGTGGCGGGGCCGTCGCGCTCCTTGTCCGACTCGCCCTCGAGCTTCGCAGCCAGCTTGCGCCACAGCTTGCGCGACTTGCCTGCGCTCGTCTGCGAGGTCGACAGCGGCGTGATCGGCGTCAGCGGCGAGCCCGCGGAAGACGCCGCTGACGCGGAGGAGCGGACCGAGGGGGATGGAGAAGGTGAGGTAGAGACCGACGACGCGGTGTTCGCGAGGGGCACGTTGAGCATGTTGAGGCCCTTGCCTTTGGGAGACTTGGACACCGGTATGCCGCTCGGCTCGCTTTCGGCGTCGGGGAGACCTTCATGGGCGGGACCGGGGGAAGATACCACTTCCTCGATGGCTGGTGAGATCGGGAGCTGCTCCTCGTGAGATAGGTGTCGCGAATGAGCGTGAGGATGGTGTGAGTGTGAGTGTGAGTGCGAATGCGAGTGCGAATGCGAGTGGTGATGGTGATGGTGGTGAGAGTTGAGCGAGTGCATGGACTGGTGCGAGCTCGACCGGCTGTGCCGTCCGAACGAGCCCCACTGCCGCGCGCGAATCCGGACAGCGTACGCCTCCGCCTTACTGTGCCCGTCGATCCCAGCATGGTCGCCGTCATCAGCATCGTCACCAGGGCCTTCAACGGGCTGGACGAGTCCGTTTGCCTGCACCTCTTCCTCTCCGTCCTCCATCTCGAAGACGCTTTCCTGGGGCACGATGCTGCGCGGCCGCCGCATGTGACTGTACACCGAAGTCGTTGGCGACGTGGGGGTGCTGACCGAAAAGTCCCAACTGTCCATCGTTGCGTGGGTGTGGATGGAGGGCTGCTTTTTCCGCTCCTGTCGCTTGGTAAGCGCGGGCAGGTTGCGCAGGATGGCGTTAACTAGGTAGCTCGGTCGGCGAGCGCCCTTGAAGAACGGAAGCTGCAGCAAGTCTGAGGCGGCGGGTCGTTTCGTGGGGTCCTTCTCGAGGCAAGCGGCAACCACATCCGCAAAGGCAGCTGAGTACTTGTTTTGGCCGTTGTTTCGCTCCAGTCGAGGTGGAGAATCCCGGACCGTTGAGAGCAACACCTGGTTGGGGTTCATCCGGGAACGCGGGGCTCGGCCCTGAGCGAGCTCGAGGGCGGTGATGCCAAACGACCAGATGTCCGCGGACGCGTCGTACTGCTTGCCTTTGACGACCTCCGGAGCCATCCAGCAGGGCGTGCCAACGAACGACTTGCGCTTCCCGAGGATAGATGGACGCCGCCCGGGATCAGGCACAGAGACGCTGCGCTGATGTCCGCGCCCTGCTAAGTCGAAATTGATAACACGAGCTTTGTTGGCGGCCAAGCCCTCTGAATCCCAGAGAAACGCGGCCACTCCAAGATCCCCAAGGAGCACCGTGCCATCGTCGTCGATGAGCAGATTGGCGGCCTTCACATCGCGGTGTATGAGTCCATTGATGTGGAGATAACTGCCAGGATAGTCAGCAAACGGAAGAACTCTCGGGCGGTTACATGCGCATCCCTCGGCCTCGCGCTGCTCGGGGCTTTCCCGATCAGTGAGCTGACCAACATCTGCCACCCCACCAAATCTCCGACGTCAAAACGAACGAGAGGAAACTGCGGACTCACTTGAGTCCTTGCAAAGCCTGCTTGAGGATGCACCGGATGACTTCCTCCTCCAAACCACCCGGCCAGGCATATCGCATTACGTCCGCCACACTGCCCGCTTTCATCAAACGCATTGCGATATAGAGCTTGTGGCCGTCCATCCACGTTCCACGAACACGGAGCACGTTCGGGTGTTTCGACAATGACATGAGCTGCGTCTCGTTTTGCAGAAGGCGAAGAGCACTGGGCGGTAGTCGGTCGAGGTCGAGGACCTTAATGGCGCATGGGATGGGCTCTGGGGCGTCCGAGGGGTGGAATTTTGCCACATACACTATGGACGAGGCTCCAAATCCAATTGGAGAGCCTATTTCGTAGTCCAAGGCGTGGTTACTAACCATCACGTTGGAGGTGAGGCGAGGACTTTCCAGATACGAGAGACGCACCTGTACAGCTGCCACTCATCCTCCACAGCACCTATAAACTTCCTCGCGATGTGGTCCGGGACTGGAGGCATGATGTTGTTATATGCCAGAGGCCAGCGTCGGCCGAGGTAATTCGCGACCGAGCTGGGATATATGAAGCACAGAGGATGTCGAGAGAGTCGGCGGGGGCGAAAGGTGGGGCAATATCGTTATGAGGTGAAGGTGGGAGCGACAGTCGGTAATTGGAGATGAAACGAAGTTTGAGTTAACGTCTCAGCCGTTGATAGGGAGACGGGAGGGGGAGGGCGGGCGGCGGACAGGGAGATGGGTTACGCGTATGAGCGGGAGGTTGGGGTGATGGAGGAATAAAAGCAAGGGACGAGCATGATCAGCCACAGCTCGATGGGCGCAGGCGCCAAGCAGGCGCACTGTGGCCGGTGTTGTGAACCCGCGTCAAGGGATCTGATGCGGCCCACGTTCCTCAAAGACTCGAGCCGGATTGCGAGGCACTCTCCGCGCGTTCGCTGCAGCGGAAGGCAGGCGGTGGAGTGGGGCGTAGAGGCGGATGAGGTCAACGTCAGCCAAGTCGCCGCCGGAGCCTCGCACTGCGCAGTCTGACCCCGGCCCAGCCATTTCGGGCTCGTGTCCAGGGCTGAGGCTCGTGATTTGGCCCGTTCAATTGCTGGTTCTCGGCTATCGGACCTCGGCTCCGGTTCCTGGCCCATCACTCCCGTGCGCTTTGGTCACTCAACGCCTCCTCCTCTCCGTGCACAGTCTACCACCCCTCACTTGGCCGCGGGCTGGAACGGTGACAGTGGAGATCCGGAGCATGCTCGTTCAGCCGATAGCATTGCACAGGGGCAACGCTTTTGCGGGCTGTTATCTCACCTCGACAATTAGGGCATAGCGGATCTAGCAACACGGAGAATGCACGTACCGTCGTCGGTACAAGCCCGCTTGGGACGACGGACCTTGACAAGTTCTATAAACCTTGCCGCCCAAACTTCGTGCCCCCGTTCCTCTGCGACTCTCGTTGACGTACGTTCGCCGCTTGAGGTGGGGTACGGTGCATCGAGTCGACCTGCGGACATTATCTGAGGTGGTAGCGTGAGACTGAACCACAACACGTTGTGCGGTAGAAGCCTCGTTGTCGTCATTGTCGCCTATCTCAGCCGCGCGCAGGCATACGTGTGATGAGAACGAAGTGCGGGGTATGTATAAGCAGGAGTCGAAGACCGTCCGTTATCAGCGGAACCCCTCTCGCGCGGATATCATCATAAGTATATCATTCCTTTGTACCCTAGAGTCTTCACCACATCTCGGTGACGGCATTGTCTTTGTTACTCGGCGGGTATGCTGATTGCCACGGGCTCGCGATACGTCTGCTTACTCTTTCTCGCAGCAATCGCGCAGGCGGCGGGGCAGGACGCATAGATCGCAATTTGTAGAGTTGAGCTCTTCTCGCCAGTAGAGTTCTACCCCTCTATCTTCGCTCAGGAGCTCAAGATCCTCCCGAGCTGACTCGGAACGGCGGGTGCGCGCTCACCAAGCACCAAACGCGGAGCCTGCGCGCGCAGGTCCTCCCATCGACGGCTACCGAGACCATTCCGACGGACGAAAGTATGGCCGCCGACGAGACAGGTCCCCATGTGGACATCGCGGTTGTCGATGAGCTCGAGCGGCCCCGGGCCGGAAAAACGCGGGGAAACTTGAAGGCTAAAACGGTCCACGCAGGTGAGCCCCTGTGAGCGGCGCGTGCGGGAACGGCGGCGAAGGCGGGCGGAGAAGAGATCGTGCGAGGGGTTTTGGAGGCCGGAGGGAGTGCGTTGTGCCACCCAAGTGTGGGCAGGGAGGGGCAGGGGCGGCAGCGTTGATCGGATCGCGGCCGAAATGCAGCCGCGTGTTTTACAGTGGGTGACCCGATGTGTTTCTGCGAGATGGGGCCGCGGAGAGAGGGTACGAGGGCGAGGGCGCGGAGGATGAGCGGAGGACGAGAGCACGGGGCGGGGCGCTGCAGGGCCCGGGCGCGGTCGGGAGCCAAAGGAAGAGGCGGGGAGGCGAAGCGGGCGGGCTTACGTACAGGCTCTCTGAGTCGTCTGCGGCGTTCTCCGGCCTCAATCGCCGGGCAACGATTGGCTGCGGAGGCCGCGATAACAGTGGCGGGCGGCTGACGTAAGAGAGGAGTGGCCACAGCGGCCGAGCGGGAGGACAGGTTGATATTCCCCGTCCTGCCACATCGCTGCTCCGGCAGCCCTCGCCTTCCTCTCCTCTCTCCCGTACATGGCGCCCAAACAACCCTGCGCAAAGTACCAATACGTCGTCACCTCCTCCGGTCCCAAGATCGTTCCTGTCCCCGATGTCTCTTCCAAGGATGAGGAGTCTCCCGCGGACTACAACTCCGGAGGTTATCTCCAGGTCAAGATCAATGACACTTTTAAGGATGGCAAATATCTCGTCCTCCGCAAGTTAGGGTGCGTGTTCATTGCCCTGCCGCGCTCTCCTCTGTCACCTCGCGCGGTGCTTGCAACCTATTTACTCACTCACACGAGCAGTTGGGGACACTTCTCGACGGTGTGGCTTGTAAAGGATACCCAGTACGTCTCCTCTTTCACAACTCCTGCGCGCCTGCCATGTCCCTGTGTTTCACCAATATGAAGTGGCACCCTGAACGATCCGTGGCGGTATTGCCTGCGCGCAGTTGCGTCCATGCGGTTTCGCCCGCCAAACCACCTGTACGCCCCGTTGTCTCTACCACAATATATCTTGCATCCCGCGGATGTGACTTAAGATTCATTACGCGCCTCCCGTCATGCTGGTTTGTACCATTTTGCACATGGTATATTGGTGCATTCGTTGCAGGGAGGCACGGAGTGAATCTATGTCAGTCCAGTCTTAGGTGGCGGGTTGAGCACTATGCCCGCCTCGAATCTTGCGGAGAGTGGGACCATCAGGTCGCTGTAAGACTCAGGGACATGAGCAGGGATCCGGGAATATTCCTTGCGAGTATGAATGCTGACTCACGCCCATTAGCACCCGTCGCCATTCCGCTCTCAAGGTGGTCAAATCCGCCGGTAGATATGCGGAAACGGCTCGCGACGAGATTAAACTGCTTCAGCAAGTAATGGATGCCAACCCCACGCATCGAGGACGCGAGCATATAGTCGCTTTCCTTGATCATTTCGACCATACCAGTCCCGACGATAAGCATATTTGCCTTGTGTTCGAACCATTAGGCGAGAACCTCCTCTCCCTTATCGAGCGGCACAAGAAGACAGGTGTAGCCGTCGACCTCGTTCGCGCGATCACGAAGCAATTGCTTCTTGGTCTCCAGTATCTTCACGATGAGTGTGATTTAGTTCACACTGACATCAAGCCGGAGAACGTCTGTAAGTACCTTGAGCACGTCGCATCCGTCCCCAAGCGCTTTTGCTAATGTTTGCCTTTCAGTGATCTCTATTCCAGACGTTGAGTCGCATATCCAGTCCGAACTCTCCCGTTCGCCCTCTCCTATGTCAAGAAAGGTCGCTGTCCCTCCCAAACAGCTGACTCGAGCCACCATCGCCATTCCTTCGCGGCATAAGTCACATCGCGATCGCCAGGTGCAAATCTTCGACTCCCAACCATTATCCAGTCCATCTTCATACAGCTGTCCGAACTCCCCCGCCCGCCTGAGCTATATCTCGAGAGTCGCCTCCTTGCAGAGCAATCTCGCATCACTTTCGAGCTCTGTCGACGAGATCCGGAAAGGTGCCGGGAAGCTGGTTCTCACCACGAGCAACCTGGAGTCAACCACCTCGCAAGGCTCGGACGACTCGCATGGGAGCTCAGGTTCAACTTCCGGCCGCGACTCTCTGCTCGTCCCTTCTAGTGTCGCTACTTCGCTCAGTATCGACACTACCGCCACCTCGGTTGCGAGCGTGGCATGTTCCATTGACAAGATGGTGCTCACCGCCTCTCCTGCCACCATCGAGCCTTGCACCTGCAGTACGTCTTCGAATGCACCACCAGAAGATGGACCGGAGTCCTCCACTTCGCCGCTCCCCACCCGGCCACTAGTAGGGCCTTCACTTCTCTCCCAGACTGCACCTCGAGATGCCGTGCCCAAACGGTCAACCTCAATATGCTCGCTTCACCCTCCATCCCCATTATCCTCACAGCCACCTCTCTTTCCCCTCACCTCTCTCCCCGTCGCCGGACCGTCCTCGGAGACATTACTGCCGCCTCTTCCCGTATCCATCAAGATCGCTGACCTCGGGAACGCGACACCGACCAACAAGCACTATACCGAGGACATCCAGACAAGACAGTATCGCGCTCCCGAGGCCATCGTCGGCCGCACCGACTGGGGCGCGACGGCGGACATCTGGTCCGTCGCCTGCCTGGTGTTCGAACTACTCACCGCGGAATACCTCTTCGACCCGCAAAGCCAGGGCAACCTGTTTGGCAAGGACGACGACCATGTCGCGCAGATCATCGAACTCCTGGGAGAGTACGGTGAGACGAAGTGGGGCGGGCGGTACAGCAGGGAGCTTTTCGACAGCTCAGGTACGTGTCTTCGTCCTGTTCGTTTTATATGTCTCGCGGCGCCGCTGCAAACCTTGCCCAAATACGGCCTGCACTGGGACGGGGCGTGGGCAGGGACTGATTGCGGATGGATGGGCGCAGCGGGCGCGGCTTCTCGCGTTTGTGCACGTCCCGCCCCGAGCGCACCGGCGCACCCGCTGATACCCGCGTCCTGATACTCCATGTGTTCTTTCGCTTTGCCGTTCCAGGCAGCGTGTGCCATCGCGCCTGGCGCTGCTATGGCTGATGTGCATTCTTGTGGCGTCGTTGGCTGTCCTCCTCTTGCGGGAACAACGGCTGACTGTCACTTTTGCTTCCGGATATCTAGGCGCGCTGCGGTACATCCGGAACTTGAAGCCGTGGCCGCTGAAGCGGGTCATGATGGACAAGTACCTCTGGACGGAGCGCGACGCGGAGGCGGTGTGCGCGTTCCTGCTCCCGATGCTCACCGTCGACCACCAGAAGCGAGCGCATGCGCGCGACATGGTGGACCACGCATGGCTTGAGGTCGACCCGCTCAGCGAGGATCTCTGGGGCTGGTAGGCCGGGACGCATCCTGGGGTTGCCGGAGATGCGCCGCGGGCCTCGATGCTCGCCGCGCCTGGTCGGCGTTGGTTGTGTGATGCGTGGGTGGTCGCACCGACGTGAAGTGCTTAGCGGAAAGTCGTCGGTGTCCTTGTGCCATGGTTTTCCTCCCTTTCATCCCCTTCCGCTTCAAGGACGGTGCGTGCCGGCCTTTTCTTCTCCCCCCGGATCCACGCGGGGCTCCTGTTGTGTTATGTCCATTTCACCCTTCCCCTTCGCCATGTTGTGTACTTATGCCACCCACCTCCCCTTTGTTTCCGCACATTTTCGAAGCATTACTTATGGCCAGCACGCCCACGCCTTGTTTTTGGTCCGAGATTCGTTCTCATTCTCGCTCCCGTTCTCGCTCGCACTGCACGATCTTAGACGTTTAGACCGCATTTGCTTACCCCTGCTACGGCTTCTCCCGTGTTACCACCTACAGCACGCGTTACCCGATCCTCTAATGTTGTTCTCCTCCCGCCCGCTTACCACCCCCCCACCTCATGCCCTCCGTCGCGTCACCCTCCTCTTGCCTCCCGCATTATATCCTGCTTTGCTGTCCCGAATTGTCTCGGTATCATTATGGGTCGTACATATGCGCGTTTCCGCCTCTCCCTCTCCCTCTTCCGTCCTCTCCTTCCTCTGGGTTATCGCCTTCGTGTATATATGTTATGTTGCTCCTGCTCTTAGACGCTGATCGGTGAAAATATAGCTACGCTGTCCGGTTTTTGATCTGCAGGGCGTTTCCCGCCATCGCGCTTTTTGTGCCATTGCCCGCAAGAACTGTCGCGCTTCTGATGCTGTCAAGTACCCGCATAATACGAATGGGGTGGATGCGTGCGAGGGCGCGGGCGCCTGAGGCGGACTCGGGCCGTGACGGAGGAAAGCGTGGTGGGGAAATTTGGGAGCCCAGCGCGCGGCCTGGACACGCGTTTTGTCTCCGACTCCGACGCCGTCTGACTCTCGACTCCTCAACACCCTCTCGCCCGCGCATGACCGCCCCTCCGCTCGCTGCCCCGGTCGGCGAGCACCATCAGATCCCCCCAAGCCTGCCGACTCCTGGAAGCCTCCCGTCAGCATGGACGTCGACCCCCCGCCCCGCGATCGCGACCACGGCGACCGCGACCATGACGCCAACGGTGCCCCCCATCCCCACCCCCAGCACGACGACCGTGCCGCTCCCGATGCCAATGGCAAGGACTATGCACCCAGCAACGGCGGCGGCAGCGCTGACGACGCCCGCGCCGATGCTGCCCAACGCGGCGAGAAGATTGTCAAGGTGCTTAGTCGGTCTCTTCTTCCTGCTCCCCGCGCCGTGCCGTATGCGTACATACTCTCTCCCCCTCTCCCCCTCCTTGCTGTTCTGTAGGCTCTCCGTCTGTTCTGGCCTCGTCTCGCTCGTCTCTCCCACCTCTGGCGCGCCACGTCGCACTGCTTTGTGCCTGGCTCGAGGGACCTCCTTCGGACAGATGTGGCTGGTCCACCACCATCCGCGATGGGCCGAGCCGCACCGTCCACCCCGTCGACCGTCGCACGCGCGACCCACAGGCGATCTCGCACGACCATGCGGCGACCTCTGGGGCCCGGCACCAACCAAGCGCCCCTGTCCTTGCATCCACCGCGCCGGACCGCTTCTCGTCCTCGCTTTCGCCATTTCCGTCTCCTTCTCTCTGCTCTGGCGCCTGCCCGTTCGTGATCGCTGACTGGCTTGCTTCACTTCTCACTCATGCTGCCTGCCGCCGCCACCGCTCTGGGACTCCAGCTGAACAAGGTCTACATCGGGGGACTCCCCGAACATACTCGCAAGGAAGACCTCGAGAGCTGCTTTCGCAACATCGGGACCATTGTCAACATCGAGCTCAAGTGAGCACTTTTCGCCGCAGCTGCTTCTCTGTACGTCACACTGACCAGGGCGATGCATCGTGTGAAAGGGTGGGCTACGGCTTTGTGGTGGGTGGACGGTCATCCCTTTCATCGCTTGCTCGGGCTGAATTTCGCGTTCTCGCAGGAATTCGACAGCCGGGAGGCCGCGGAAGAGAGTGTAGCCAAGTACCATGAGGGCTATTTCATGGGCAACAAGATCCGCGTGGAAATCTCGCACGGTGGCGGCAGAACCGCGAAGTACACCGGTGACCCTGGGGCGTGCTTCAAATGCGGTCTGATGGGCCACTGGGCAAGGTTAGCACGTCACTGCCATCTTGAACTATGATAGGAGATTGACCCGCGTGACTTTCGCCAGGGAATGCCCTAACATGACAAGCGGGTATGTTTCCACAGGTTACGGTGAATGCCGAGAAGTTTGCAGCTGAGGCACTTGCTTGATTGCTCAGACGTCGTCAGAGCCATCCTGGAAGTGATGCTCCTCTCATTGACCGCATCCAAACCACCAGAGACTACCCTCCTCCCCCGCGGGACTATCCCTACAGGGGAGGGGAGTACCCCCATCTGCCTCCTAGCGGTGACCCGCGCTACTACGACTATCCTGCTCCTCGTTCCTACGGCCGTCCTCCGTCGCCTCCACCGAGGGACTATCGGGACTACCCGCCTCCTCCGCCTGCACGCTCTGCTAGGGAGTATGACGATTATCGAATGAGAGGCGCTCCCGCTCCTCCGCCTGCTCGCGTTGACTCTCGAGGCTATTATCCTGGAGGAGAGCCTGTGCCTCCGGCTGGCTACCCCCCTCGCGACTATCCTCCTCCTCGGGACTATTACGACCGTTACGATAGGAGGTCCGGGCCTCCTCCTGCGGATAGGTACAGCTCTTACCCTCCGGCGCCTGCGTCTGTGAGACCTCGTACCCCTCCTCCTGCTCCTCCGGCTCGTGCTGCTCGCGACGATTATGACCGTCCTCCTCGGTAAGCCTTCACGGCCGCGCTTCGTTCAATCCCTAGCTCACTCGCTATCGACAGCGACTACCCTCCTGAGACTCGCGGCCGTCCTGCTTCTCCCCCGCCTGCTCGTTACAACGACTACCCTCCTCCCCGTGCTGGGAGCGTCGAGCCTCGATACCGGTACGTTTTTCTCCTGTTCCCCGCCGTCCCCCGCGACGAGGCTAACGCCATCACCCCCTCGAAGTGGCCGTGGTCGGTCTCAGAGCCCCCCTCCGCCACGTTCATCCTCTGGCGCCCCCTACGATACTGCGGGCTACGGCTCTGGAGGCCCGCCTTACAACAGCTCCTCTGGCTATGCGAACGGTGGCTACTCTGCAGGCGGTGCCCCGCCTCCTCGCGGCTCTGGCGGCAACAGAGACTATCCGCCGCCCCGCTCGCGCGACGCCGAGCCGGCGAGCTCCTACCGCCGCGCTTAGGCTCACGCTGAGGCTGGCAACGAGGAGTGGCGCGCGCGGTCGGGGGCGCACGTCCCAATATCTGGTGTCTTGATGTCGTATCGGGAAGTATGTCGTGCTGTGTTGCTTGGCTGTGCGTCGTGGAATCTAGGGGAGACGGAGAGCAATAGTAGTAGTGGGCGGGCAGTCTTGGTGGCTTGCGCGAGCGGCGGCGGATGCATTGTGGTCATCCAATGCGGCTGGCTCAGGTCCGATGTCCCCCAGGTTTCGGATATCTTGTCTGTCAATATGTCGATACGTGCGTTCTGTACCTAGCTCTGTGTCTTGTGTTCTCGTTCCGCCATCCCATCCTCTAACCCCGCAACCCCCCTCCTAATCCTCATATCCTCCGCTGCGAACTTGCCCATAAATTGTCGATAAACCCAGTAGCACCTTGTTTCCAACGTTGATCGTGCTTTCGTCGAATGACACTGTTGTCTTGCTGACATGTTCAGCCTAACCCATACTTGAATGTGTGGCACTCGACGGGTCCGGCACCAACAGATGAAAACGCAGCTGCAGCCAGCGGACAAGAGTGTATTATAGCGTTCTCTACATGTACGCAGTCTATCAACCAATGACCAGCTTTCCCTCCGCGTCGTTGATCTCGTACTGAGGAATCTCGAGGTTGAGCTAGGGGCGACGGTATGAGACACGCATGCACGGAGACACCCCAAACAAGCACTCACAGGAGCGGGTCCCTTGCGAATGCGCCCAGCTGCAACGCAAAACCTTCAGCCTCCGCCCTCCGCGCACACACCGGGCACCGCACTCACAGATGTCGTAGTGGGAGCCGTGGCACGGGCAGAACCAGCCCCCGTAGTCGCCCGCCTCGCCGATGGGCACGCAGCCGAGGTGGGTGCACACGCCGAGCATGACGAGCCACTCGGGCTGCTTCGTCCGCGCCTCGTCGCTCTCCGGGTCGCGCATCGCCTTCCAGTCCGCGCCGCGCGCCTCCGCGACCTCGTCCGCGGTGCGGTGCCGGACGAACACGGGCTTCCCGCGCCACTTGATGACCACGTTCTTGCCCTCGGGCACCGCGCCGAGCTCGACCTCGACCTTGGCCATCGCGAGCACGTCCGCGGAGGCGGCCATCGTCGACAGGAACTCGGTCACCGTCGCCTTCGCCGCGGTCGCGGAGAGCAGCCCGAGCGAGCCGACCATGAGGTACGCGAGCCCGCGGTTCGCGCCCGGGTCCTTGGCCTCGTACTTAGAGAAGTCGGGCACCTGCGGCGCGTCGCGCGCGACGGCGGAGGTGTGCAGCAGCGCCTTGGGGTAGATCCCCGTCGCGCGGGCTGGCGGGGGCCGGGGCGGTGCGGGTGCGGAGAAAGGGCGGCACGCATGCGCATGCACGAGGGATTGGGGACGGAGGGGCAGAAGAAATGGTGAGCGACCGTCGTTGGCGTCGGGGATGGGTGGCAGGGAGTACGTGCACGGGCACCTCGAGGGCCGCAGCCCGCCGCCCCACGTCCAAGCTGGCGACGGGGCCCCCAAGCGCACTCGAGAGCGTGTGGAGGACAGAGACTCACCAGAGGGGAACGATTTGGAGACGAGGCCGGCGGACGTGCGCGAGACGCCGCCCGCCCAGCGGGCGGGGACGTCGTGGCGGGGGCCAACCTCGCCGTGCGCGTGGTCCTCGTGGCCGTGGCCGGCGGGCTGGCGGGCGGTGAAGGAGACGAGGGGCGCGAGGGGCACGCCCGAGGCGAGCGTGCGCACCGTGCACGGGACGGTGACGGCCTTTTTCGTGAGCTGGACGGCAGCCATGGCGCTGAGTGGGGAGGGGAGGGGGGTAGGCGGAGGCGAGCTCGCTGTCGGTGGTGACGAGCTCAGGCAAGGGCGGGGGTGGAGTTTTGATGTTGGCGCCCGTGGGCCCGTCCCGTTCTCCTCCGTCGGCGCCTCTCCAAACGCGCTTCTCTGATTGGGCGCGGCCGCGCCGGTCAGGCGAGGCCTGTCCGGTCCATGTCCGAGGCCCTCAGACCGCTCCTTCTTGGTCCTGAGTGTATGCACATGGTGTGGTTGCTTTGCATCATCATCACTTTACAGGATTTGCTTCAAGAGAGATCCAAAAGCTTAATCGTGGCAATCTATCTATGTCTATATAGTACATCCATTATATTCTTCTATATCCGTCCATGCGTTCTAAATGCCCGAGATGCTGCTGAAGATGAGTCTAGAAATCAGCCTGCTTTTCCAGGTGGTCCTGCAGACACGCGAGCACCCGCTGCTTCGGATACTTGGGTGCAACAGGAAGGCCTCTGTGCTTTACTAGTCGGCGGACGACGTTGGGGTCTATGAGGAAGACGATCAGCCCAAGCCTCAAAGCGAGCGAGCGAGAAGGCCTCTCACAGTCCGAGATGATACCGTCCGCCTTCCATTCCAGGAGCTCCTCCACGATGGTGTTCCGGTTGACCTATAGCCGGCACGTCAGCGCGAGCCATCTATTGACCAAAGAGCGAACGCCTCACAGTCCACGGTTTGACCTTCATGCCCAGCCGGTGAGCCGTGTCGATCATCTCCCGCGTAGTGAACGGCACGTAGCCGTCCATGTCCGGGTCCGGCACGGGACGTCCCGCTGGACGTCGCCGCGGGGGAGAGGACGTCGGCCTTGACGCTATGTGCGGCGTGGGCGACCCGGTGCGCGAGAGTCGGGCCGGGAAGGAGTCAAGGTTGAGCCCGGCGAGCCACGGCGTGACGCCGTGCTCCGGGTTCGCAGCGGTGTCGCTGGACACAAGACGCCCGATGTCAGCCTCGCGCCTTCGCGACCGTGCGCCGAGATCACACCACTCACTCGTCAATGAGCGCGGAGGTGGTGATGGACGGGTCGAGCTCCTTCATGGCGACTATTGACCGCCAGTCGAAGCTCTGGTACTGTTGCGTCGAGATGGCGTCAGTCGGCGTGCGCGATGCGTGGTCACGTTGCTCGCTCACGGTGATCGACTGTTTGTACGGGCTGTTGCTGAAGAGCTTGTACTGCTTCTGCACGAAGTCCTCCACTGATCGCGTCTGATTCGGGTGCCGGGCGTTTATTTTCGACTCGATGTTCCAGAGCACCTCGTGTGGGGGTCGGCACACTCGACGAAGTCGAACACCTCCTGCATGGTGGATATCCGCGTGCCGGGGTAAACCAGCTGCATCGCTATGAGATGCGTCATATCCTGAGAGTGAGCGGCTGACCGCTGTGATGCGCGGTAGTCCCACTTACGGTACCCAAACTGCCGCTTGGAGCCGCAATCGACGGTGCGCAGCTGCGGGAGGGTGAGATTGGCGATGAACTTGCCGACATACGGGAAGTCGGGATCTCCCTGGAACTGTATGCGGGGGAGCGCGGGTGAGCAACGTGGGCCGAGCTACATGCGGGGCAAACGAAGGCACGTACCGCGGGTCGAGTGTCGCGGCACTTGGCGGCGGTGATCTCCTCGTCATGCCAGACCACGACGTGCCCATCCTAGGGGACATCGCATACGGCTCGGGGACAGCGCGCAGCGCTGGATAGGAGAGCATTCACCTTGGTAATCCCGTTGTCGAGCTCGAGCGTGGAGGCGCCATCGATGAGACCCCTGGAAGGAGTCGAGCGCGCGCTGAGCGACCGGCGCGCAGGCTATCGAAAGAGCAGAAAGAACACACCATGCGAAGCTGGGGAGGGTGTTCTCGACGGTGTTGCCGCGTCCGCCACGGTGAGCCTGGGGCGAGGATGAGGATCACAACTACGTAAAGGCATCTGCTAGGCTATCTGGACTGACCTGGACGTCATAGAAGCGGGTGTGGCGCTGCACGGCGAGAGGCTCCTGGGCAGGGAGGCGACGACAAAGAGTGCGTCGCTGGCGAGATTGAAGAGGACGGTCCAGGGAGCGTACATGGCGGCGTGGCGAGGCGCGGGTGCGGGGAGGGGAGGGAAGAGGGCCAGCGAGCATCGGCGGCGCGCTGGTCGGTGGACGGACCAAATAGCGGGCGCGGGGAGGGAGTCGGGAGATCACACGTTCCATGTCTTCACCGCGGCTGTCGCTGTGGCCAACGAACGTGCAATCGCCGCTGGCCAAAAACGGCAGGCACCGCTCCATATACGGCAGCCGCTGCGACACCGCCATTCCCGCGCTCCCGTCCGTGCAGAGGCCTCGAAAGTGGAGCCCATCGCGCCGCGCGGCCCGAATGTCGAACGTGCTCCCAGGTCTCAACCTCCGACGAACCTACGACGTCGGCCGGGGAGAGGTGGCCGTGCACATGATGCAGCCGCGCAGAACGCGATGACGACGGCTCTACGCGGCCGAACAGTTTCGACCACGACGCGGGTCGCTTGGCGATGTACGCACTCGGGAGTCGAGAAGCGGAAGCGTAAGCGCGGCGCACGCCTATTTTGCCGGAGAGCACTGCCAGAAGCCCATCGACCTTGAAGAGACCGTTAGCCGCCACTACGTTTTTGGCCGAAGCTTCGACACCTACGCACGTGAACAGCGAGCATCTTGTCGGACCACTGCGCTATCAGACAAGCAATGAGGGGGCGAGCACTACTAGCAGCTCGTGCGATATATTGAGAGAATTCCATATTGTAGACAGTGCGGCGGAACGGGACGCGGCGCGGTGGATAATCCGAGGCCGTAGCGGGCCAGTCGCAGAAGGAGCATTAGCTCTTGCTTTTAGGTCCGTCCTTGGGATCATCCTTGTGTCCAGAACTGCGCTCGTCGACGCCGTTCAGCCCCAAGTTCTTCCAATCATCGCGCTCCATCAGGCCGCTGCGTTCACACGTCAGCCTGCCCGATAAACGAATACGACGGGGCTCGGCTCACCGCGCCATCCGACATTCCAGATAGTCCTTGTTCAAGTGCCGGCACGGCGTCGAGTTGCTCCCGTTCTTGCGCAGACAGTCGAGATAGCTCTGCATGTACTGCTTGCATCGCCTGCCCGTATCACCCCCTGAGCCGGTTGCGCGAGGCCTGAGAACAGATCACGCACCATAGTGGTCCAGTGGAAACGAGCCGCGGTCCTGGACCGGCACGAGTCAACGAAGGACGAGCGACTGTGCGATGCGCTCACGAACCGGGGCGGAGACGGAGAAGCCGCCAGAGAGAGATGGAGGGCGACCGAAGGACATGGTGGCCGGGACGGAGAGGCAGCGCACACGACTCCGACGCGCGGAGGGCCTCACGTGCGGAGTGTGTAAGGCACTTGCTGGCAGCTGAGAGTGACGACAGACGCTATTTGGAATTTCAGGCGCCCGCAGGCTGCAATTCGGAATTCGGCATCTCTGATACAGTACATAGGCAAAGGCCCGCCTCCTCCCGCCGCCTCCTCGCTCGTCTCCACCGTCCCCCGCGCCCTCACCCGCCCCGCCGCCGCCCGCCGCCCTTCGCGTCGCGCGTGCGCTCCTCGTCCGTCGTGCTCCCTCGCTCCCCGCGCCTCCCCCGCCCCGCCCGCCAGATCCTCCAACTTGCGACCCGCCACCGCCTCCACCCGACGCGCTCTGGCTCTGACTTGACCCCGCGCCCGACCCGGAGGCCCGCGGAGTGGGGGGCCCGAGCTCGGGCACCTGCCCCGCTATGCGCCTGCTCTTCAGGGTGACGATCTCCTTCAGCCACCCGTTCTCGCGCCGCAAGTCCTCCGCCTCCCGCTCGAGCTCGTCCACCCGGCTCGACAGCCCCGTCACGGTCGCCTCGAGAGATGCCGTCAGCTGCTTTTTCTTGATCCGGAACCGCGCTGTTGGAGGAGGGAGAGGGGGAGGAGGGCCCGACGCGGAGGCAGGTCCAGACGCGACGCGGTCAGCGCTTGCGCCTGCGCGTGGGGGGAATGAAAGGCTCGGACTTAAGGTGAGCACTCACCCGAGGCTGCTGTGTTCCGCCGTCTCTTGTCCTCCGCGATCGCCCCCGCGTCCTCCTCGGGGTCCATCGGCGAGCTCCCTTCGGGCGACGAGCTTTCGGCGATCGACGCCGGGGCGGACGCAGGGTACTGGTGCGGGTGCGGCGGCGGGAGCATGCTCCCCCCGTGCGGGCTGAGGGGCGGCAGCGTCCCGAACGACGTGGGGGAGTACGGCTGCGCGCGGTGCGGGTGGTGTGTGGGGAACGGCTGGGACTGGGAGTGCTGGTGGGACGGATGCTGCTGGCGGTACGATGGGTGCTGGTGGTCGGGCTCCGAGTGCGCCCTCTGGGCGACGACGAACGGCATCTGCGGCGACGAGGAGTGCGGGTAGTGGGACGGCGGTGGGCCAGGCTGTCCCGGCGGCTGGGCCTGTTGCATGTACTGCAGCCATGGCAGGGCGGCCAAGAACAGGTCCTGGGGAGACGTCCCCGGGGCCTGTCCTTGTATCGAGACGCGCTGCATGTCGGGAAGATACGCAGGGTGCGGTGGTTGCTGGTATTGCTGCTGTTGTGGTGGTTGTTGTTGTTGCCGCTGCTGCTGGTTCGAGGGGAGGCCGTGAGCAGAAGCGTTGGAGGGTGGCATCGCGCGCAATGCCCCGCTGATCGCCCCCTCGTCATATCCAGCTTGAGGCTGATAGACCCCGCCCCCGCTGCCCGCCCCGTATTGGAATTGCATAAGCTCGAACTCTCCGTCGCCGAGCTGTGTGCGTGCGCGCGCCCGCCGATCAGCTCATCGCACACCACGAGCACGCCACCGGGACTCGCGCGACGTACTCTGTCCGCGCCCGTACTCGCGCTCGGCCCCGGCGGTGGCCCGTGGGCGTGCGCCTGCCCGTATTCGTATTCGTAAAACCCGTCGGCGTGCGCGGAGCTCGAGCCTCGGTGGTGGTGCTGTCGTCGATCGGGATGCCTTCGCGCGGCGCCGTGTCCGCCGTGCCCGCTGGGTCCGCCGCCGGTGGGATGTCCGTGGTCCATGTCGGGCCAGGCGAAGAAGCGTGGTGCGGGGTGGAAACGGGCCTCCTCTTGCGTCGGCGATCCCCAGCTGGACTCATAACACCCGCTCTGCGCACGCCCCCCCCGGCCTACTTGAGGTTCTGATCCAGCCTCGCCCCTCCCCCCGTCCGCGTCCGCGCGTGGGAGAGCCCACGTACGACCGCGGGCCCGGGGCGCGCGCACAGGGTCTCGCGGCGGACGGGCCCGCCGGCGGCACGCTCGCCGCGCTGGAGGCCCGCGCATTGCAAATACTCGCCGACGTCGCGACACCGCGCGGGGGGGCGTTGGTGCGCGGATTCGCATTCGCGCGGTGCTGATTCGCGGGGCCCGGCCGCGTTCGCCATCGCGCGCGCCGATGGCGACACTCGAACCGCGACTCGCGACAACACGCCGTCACGGGTCACGGCGCCTCCGTGGGGGGTGACCGGACGCGTCGCGTCGCGTCTCGTAAGAACAGCCCCTTATCGGCGCGCGCATTGCTGCTATTTGACATCCTCGTCGGTCTCGGCGGCGCGAATTTGTAATAGTACATCTGTTCCACGGCGTCGTACAGGTCGGCGGCGTCGAGAGTTGTTGAAATACATGCTCCTCGCCCCCTCCCCACTCTCCCACTGTGCGAACTCCCGACGGCCGCGAAGAGGCAAGCATCAAAGCCTACGTCAAACCACAAGACGCAGGTTACACCGGTGACGCCCCCGGAGCACCGGAGGGCCAACGGCAGAAGCTACGTTGCTCTATTGCAGCGGCAGCGAGCAGATTTCGCAGTCCGTCCCGCCGTGCGTGTTCTCGAACGTGCAGTGCGGGCAGATGCGGATCCCAGGCCCGCCGCTCGCCCCACCGCCCCCGCCTCCTCCGGCGGCGGACTCGCGCGCGATCTGATCATACACTTCCTGCGGGATGTCGTCGGTGTCCATCGGCGCATGGCCGGCGTTGGCGGTGGACGCGGCTGTCGGCGGACGGCAAGGAAACGCGGGGGTGTTCCGTCGTCAGCGGAAGTGAACATCTAGGAAGCCAAATAAACCTTTAGCTTACGCCCAGCTTCGCGCGCGAACGTCATGAGCGTGAGCCAGCTCTCGGTCCGCACGAGGTCGTCAAGCACGTGCGTCGCCGTGATGTCCGGCGCGCTCGCGGCGCGGACCAGCGCACGCATGTCAACCTGGATCGGTGGTCAGTATGAGTCCAGACAGGCCGGCCGCGCAGCGGGCGGGGTAAGGTCAGGGGACAGCACTTACGGGACTGAGAAGGCCCGTGGTGCCCAGGAAGGTGACCAAATGCCAGTCGCTGAGATACCGGGCGAGGGCCTCACGTTTGGCAGGGTCGCCACCGGCGCCGCTCACGGGGACATCGAACGCCTGCAGCTCCGCAAGCTTGGCGAGGACGCTGTCAATGCTTTGGTTTTCTAAGCCTGGCCGGTTCTCGATCTTGTAAGAGGTTGAGCGGAAAACCGGCGAAGGAGATTGGGGGAACCCGTGCGAGACCTGCCGGGTCATGGGTTAACATCCATTGCGGGGTTAGACGGAGGAGGGAATCCTTACGTTGACCAGAAGGTATTCGACTGGGAAGCACGGCTTCGCATTCTTCTGAACCTCAAGACCGTACTCGTTCTTGTATCGGAAGAAGACGTCGGGGACGTAGCGCGCCGTGTCTTTGCTCCGGTCCTCTTCCTTGACGCGCATGATGCTGGGGTCCATGCTTGCCTCGATCATGTCCGCGTCTACCATGGCACACGCCTGTTCGGAGACTTGATAGGCTGCGATGTCAACTCCGCCTTCCTCAGTGCCGGTAAGAACCGCAGTGACCATCCTCGATCCGAATTTTCCCGTGAACGAGGCCTTGCTCGGTGTGAGGTTGGCGTTCTGGATGACAGAGGCAAAGATGATTTCCAATGACGAGAGGTAGAAAGACTGCGGATGGCGTTTGTATTTGACCTTCGATCTATCCTCGTCTTCAGGCTCAAGATCGGTGAAAATATACCCAACGACCTGCAGCGGAGTTGCCGCCTGAGAGGCCAGCTGACGGATGCGCGCCTCGTCTTCCCATGGGATCCCCAATTCCAAGCCGTCCACTTCTCCTTGCTGTGGGGGTTCGTGAATGGCCTCGACTACAGCCTTGACGCCCATTGGCACATCTGGATAGGGCTCGTAGTGACCGATGAGCCACCCGAATCGTTGCGTGGCCGTCTTTCGCCACGCCTGAAGAAAGCGCTCAACGATGTCGTCGGAGGCAATCTCTAGGTGATCAACCATACGGAACGGCTGACTCTGAAGAGTGATCGCGGAGGGCTGGCAGCTAGTACAAATACTTTCGGGCCATGGTTTGTGGCCTCCAGTCGGACATGGGTCTTTGACTCTGTACATGAGCGGGCTGAGTGGCGGGAGGATAGAGGTGACAGATGCAGATGAAGAGGCCTTGGGGGTGACCTTACGGAGGTAAGCGTTGTAGGAGAGGTGCTTGATGCTGTGTTTAGTGTGGTAGTCGGCATCGTAGGGCTCCAGAGGCATGCAGTAGTCGCACATCGCGTTCGCACCATGCTTGCAGAACCGCGAGTCACGCCCCCGAGGAATCTTCCCGTCTTGACTGCGCCAGTAGCGATCCACGGGGGGCTCCTCTACTGTTTCCCATGGGCGTACAGCGTCCTCCGCGGAAGAGCTGGAACCTGCTACAGATTGGGGTGCAGCTTCTTCAGGAACGGCGCGAGTCTGGTAACCAACGAAGAGAAGGTCCCCGTGTCTGCGCTTGGAAGTTTGCTTATGCGCAAGAGGGGTAGGAACAGAAGTGGACGCACTTGAAACCTAGTGATTGCAGATCCCGCTTGCCGATTGTATTGACCGGTATCTCATTCCCTCGTGGTTGGTTCGAGATCGTGACTGTATTTGGATCTGCTTCAGGCGCAGTAGATAAAATCTGGCAAATCTTGCGTGAGGTATATTATGGGGGCATGCGGCCAGCAACTGACCTTGGAGATGAGCTCGGAGATATCATCGGTGGGCTGGAACTCGAAGCGAAAGTTCCCGTCTCTTGATCGTATCCGGATGAGCTGGATCGGAGGCGTCAGCGCGTCTCGGAGGTGCAAGACGGAGGTGGTGTCGACGCACCATGGCGATAGCGATGGTGGCAGGGGAGAGAAGAGCGAGCTAAACGCGGAGCAGAGGACGACGAAGATGACCTCAGAGGCAGATGACGCGTCGCGCGTCGCTGACTAAGCGAAACCAAGCACGCGCACGTGATGTAAACGTGTTTCAATACAGGATGAAGCGCCCAAGTCCCGAACTGGACGCGGCGTCTGCCGTCTGAAGGCAGTCTCCGCCTCCTGTGTCCTCGTCTTCTCCTCATCCTCCTACGGCCTTCCTGGCGCCCACGTCCGCGCATCCGCGCACTGCCCTCCTGAAAAGCGTCTCGAGTCTGCCAATCCCCTCCTCGCTTGTTCTTGGGTTCCGCAGAACCTCCACATCCGATGTCCATGAGTTCCATATAAGCCGCCACGCTCCTCTTCCATCTGATATGTCTTCCATGCCCAACCAATCTCCCTCCTCCAGCGCCATTGCGCCCTCCGTATCCTCGTCCTCCTCGGACGGCAACCCTAACGAACCCCTCAACCTCAAGAACCTCCCCGTGTTTACGATCTCTATCATGGCAGCAAAGATCACCCTCTGCCCGTCTGTTTACATCCAGAATGAAGCAACAGCCAACGTCGCATCTCCCAGCTCAAGGCAAAGGTCCTCGGTTTGACCTTGAGTGGCGACCCAACTTCATCAAGGGCAACCCGGAGAACCCCGTCGCCCTGTGCAACTCGCAAGCGAAGACACCATTCTACTCATTCACCTCGCGTTCATGGCTCGTGAGTCAATACATCTCACCTCTTTCCTGCGACCATGACACTCCAAGGTTTCCTGATAAGCTAAGGAGTTGTTGTTGGATCCCACTGTTGCCAAGGCTGGTGTAGGAATACAGAGTGAGTCACCTAGATTGTTCTCTGCGCACAGCGTCTTACCGGGACCGCCTAGAGGATTGTAAGAAATTATTCGCGGACCACCGCGTCGATACCCGTAATTGCGTCGATCTCTCTCTTCTCGCTCGCACTGTGGACAATCAGAGGTGGAAAGGGAAATACGCAAACCCGATCGGGCTGTCACGCCTGCTGGAGACGTATGAGGAGTACTCTTTATCGAAAGGTAAAGTGCAGATCAGCAACTGGGAGCGGTCCCTAGATCTCCGTCAGCAGCACTGTACGTACTACGTCTCCTCGAGCTGTGTTTGTTGAGGCTGAGTCTGCCGCGGCTCCCAGATGCCGCGAACGATAGCCATGCTGGTCTCGTCCTCTACGAACGTCTTGCCGCGATGGTAACGACCATGGACCCATGCCGAGAGATTCTATTATACCTTCGATACCATCTCCGGCCTCCTCTTCGCGCCTTCTTCCGGCACATTATGGAGCCCGTACAATCCTTACTACGACCCGGCCCCCCACCCCCGCCACGAATTCCGAAGGCGGTCGAGGGCGAGGAAATCTCTGGCTCCACCCGGTCTTCGCGCGGCGGGCGCTCTCGAGACCAGCGCACACGACCTCAGCGACCGCTCTCTCCCACGGCGCCGTCCTTCGTCCCCGGTGCGAAGCACCACTCGCCATCGCCATCTCCAAGCCCCCGCCCCGGCTTCGCTCCACGCGCGAGCATGCGCTCTCCGCCCCATCCTCCGTTTTCGCACGCGCACGCGCAAAGAGAGGAGCACCCTATCCCTGCGTACTACACCGAGCAGGACACCGGCGGCTTCCCTGCGCTCCCGCGCTCGACGCCGCGGCAGGTGTGGCCCCAGGCTTCTCGGCCGAGACAGACGATCCACAACAACCAGCGTGGCAATGCCGTGCCCTCCCGCGGTCAACCGGTGGGTCGCGGTCGCGGTCGGGGACGTGGCGGGTACGCCATGGTTGCTGCGCCGATCGGGTGAGGACCGGCTCCGCCCCTCCAGACCCCCGTCCGGCGCAGACCTCTGGCAGAATTCTTGACCCTTGACCCTTCCTGACCTTGTGACGATCGTTGCCGCTTTCCACCTTCCATGACTTGTCCTACTCTTTACCCACCCGTTGTCCACGTACTGTCCGTAAACCTCATCCCTCGCCCACCGCTCATCCATTCGATCTTCGTCACCGTTATACGCTGATATGCTCTCCCGATATGCGCACCTGTGATGTATACTACCACCCACCTCCTGCAATGTGCTGATGCGTTGATGCTGTCGGATCGAGGGGTTGGTTTTGTTCGAGAAGGGTATGGCACGTACGATGAGGTCCTTCCATGTGCGGAATGCCCTCGGATGAATCGCAGCTTGGCGTTCTGCTGATCTGGTATTTGTGCCTTGAGATAACAAGGCTTCTGGGCCAAGCAGGATCGGGCGGAGGTGACCACTTCCGAGCACGGTGCTAGTTCCACTTTGGTGCCTACGCTTAGCGCCCGACGGCTGTCTGGCGGGAATCTCCGGAGTCGCCGCGTCCAGACCGATCCGTCAAAATCGGATTCGCGACTCCGAGAACTCGATTCTCGACTCTCGAGTGCGCGCGCACTGGGGGGCTATCGGTAACTGGCTATTCTATGTTCTAAGACTCGAGCGAATGTTAGCTTTCACGTGCGCTTCTCCGCCTCTTCGGCGAGCGCTCCGACACCTGCCTCGGATGTCTCACTTTGTGTTCGGTCGATATCGTCTCGTTGATCGGACAATAGACCATTGAGAGCACCATTGCGCTTTGCAGGAGATGCCATGAACGCAGTGCCGCGAAATAAGGGAGAAGGAAATGATGTCATGTACACACGGGCATCAGATCGAGTGCGGGGATGGTTGCCCATGTGCCGGGCAGTGACTAGATGCGGTGCAGACCACGGTGTTCGCAGCTTGACCGCAGCTATCTTGGTGCGTCGCGTCTTCTCCACTTGCACTGCTGCCCACACGGCTCCGGAGAACCCATGAATGTGCGCATTCGCTACCGGTCCCACTGGGTCTGACCCTAGGCTCGAGAGGCGCGATCGATCTCGCCAGGATCTCGCACACGCCGCCAACATAAGTACCAGATACAGAGCCTATTTACGGATTGGGCCCGGGAGGCACGGCGAGCGCTGCGCCCATACACCGGCCAGACCGCGATACTTACAGGCCTGTCAGAACGCCGCCCACAACCAGCCTTCCGCCCACCACGTCCCTCCCCGCGCGGCCTGTCCTCCTTCCTCTCCCCCATCCAAGGTCCTCGCCGCCGGTCTCGTCTCTCCCCCTAGCCCTCCCCACTCTTTTTCGCTTTACTCTCCTCCCCTAGACTGCCTCTACCTGGCCCCACCGCCTCTCGCGCTTTTCTCGACTGCCCGTTCCGAGGGCCGCTCATGGCCCGCCTACCCCCCCGCTCTATCTGGCTGTCGCTCGCACTCGTTTGCGCGCACCTGCTCGTTCCCAATGCCGCGGCGAAGAACATTGTGCCTGAGATGGAACAGGTAAGAGTCTCGTCCAGCGCTCCAGCGTCCACTCCATTCCCCGTCCTTGGATTCTGTCGTTCAATGGCTTCTTTATCCAGGGTTTCCTTTCGACTGGTCTGCGGATCAAGCCACCCCCATTCCTACTGCCGGTCCGTCCCTCGTCCTCCGTCACCGTGTGGTGGCCGTGCTGAACGCAGCCGTCTTGTCACATAGCACAATGCGATACACTGTCGATTACATGGGGTCGGAGGAGCGGCACGGGGTACGTTTTCCTCCCTCTGTTGCTTGGCGTGCCCCGTTCATCCCTCGCACTAGCCCGAGTCCCATCGCGCCCTACTACCTCCAAGTATACACCTCGTAAGTCGGGTGGTTTGCGTCCACATTTGAAATGGTGTCCTGATGGTATCGCCAACAGCACGTTTATCGTCCCCTTCGTGATTCCCGCCGGAAGCGGGCAGGCGTTCGTGCGTATATCATGTTGTCCTGCATTCCACCTCTTCTCAAGTCCTTGGACCCTCCGCACAGAACTGGCCCGTCCCATTCATCCCCGGGACCCAGGTGAGCTTCTCCGAAGCGCATACTTCCCCGCTTCCCCTCGGCTGACCTCTCGCTTACAGTTTCAAATATGCATGGTGAGTCGTGGTACACGGTCCGAAGGAAACCAGCGGGAGATTGACGGTGTGGTCCAAGTTTGCTAGCAACGGGGTCTCGGGTGGCTGCCAGCAGGTGTACACCGTTTACCAGGCGCCGGGCACCACGCTTGCGGACCCTCCGACGTGCCAAAATTTGACGTACCCGGCAGGAGCACTGGATGTGACGGCAAAGATGAACGATGGGTCGTGGTCGACATTCGGTTGGATCAACCAGGTACGTTGTACGTCCATTGCTGTGACGACTTTTGCTGATATGCTACAGTGTTCCGACATCACTATCAAGCCCAATAACGGCACGCCTCCCTACACATATACAGTGAGATTCTCTTGGGCACGTTTAATCGTGTTTCTCACCTTTGAATAGGTTTCTCCTGCGCTGCGCCCACCATTCAACTTCACGTCGATACACAGACCAAGTGGATTGGACGGTCACTCTGGTACGTTAGAGTACATCGGTCCCTTGCGAAGTTGCCAATCCTTGGTTCTAGGCGTATGGCCTTCCTTCTGGCTCACAGTGGAGGATTCAACCGGTTGGTCGTGGACGAACGGTCCCCTTCATGCAAGCAACGGGTCATTGAGTTGTCTCCTTCTCAAACGTGCGTGATGGCGATCCGGCATTATCTGTTTATTGATCTCTGACTTCTCCGTTAGGCTCCTGACAACGGCTTCCCGACCGGAGTGCCATCGGCATCGCATTCGGTGGACTGATATTCGGACTGCTCGTCGGCGGTGTGGGCGCATACTTGATCTCACGCTCCCAAGCGAAGAAACTCTACAGCCCTGTCTCTCACAGTGGCACATGGCTGCGCAAGTCGTCCGACAACGCCTTTTCTCGCCGGAACCGGGGAATCCCTCCGCGCTATCGCCCGGTACGGGTGCGATTCCACCCGAGATGTCCCCTCAGCGCATCGATCCCTACATCATGCCTGACCACAACCCCTCTGGGGAGTACTCCCCATACGGCGGCACATACTCTTCCGTCTCCCGCACCCAAGGAAGCTCCGAAGCCAACGCACAGTTCCACAACAACGCACCCCCGAGCCCTCTCCACTCCGCCAGCAGCGGTGCTTCCCCAACGTCGGCGAGAGCGGGTACGGCACCGGGAGCGGCAGTCCGAACGCCCCGACCTCGCCACAGCGCTCCGGTAACCCCCGCGGCAGCTCGCATGTGTATGTCGTGCACCACGACGGCGGCCGCGCGCCGCCCGTCACGGTGTTCACGAGCGATGGGACGGAGGTGGTGGAGCTGCCGCCGCACTACGAGGCCCCGGCGACGGCGCAAGACGCACAGGAGCGCGGGCTGCAGGTGGAGGGTGATCCGGGCCCGCGCACGCAGGTGCGCCCGCCGCCGGGGTGGTGTGCAGCAGCGCCAGCCACGGCCGCTGGGGGCGAAAACCCGAAGATGCGCAATGCCTCATAGCCATGGCGATGGCACTGAGCCGGGGCAGTGATGGATGCTTGGTCCGTAGTCGTGCGTCTTGGTTCTCTGGTAACGTTGTGCTGCGATCTTTTCATTCTGGTCGAGGGCGATACCACCGCAGTTTCCATCCGGCCTTCATTGCTACCCACTTTCGTCTACAAGGGCATCTTCGACTGGGGTCCGCCTGCGTGTTGCTGGCGCTGAACATACTCTGTTTCTCTTGTTCGTCTACTATACTATGACCCCATCCGCTCGCACAGCTGAGACCTATTGTACAGTACACCGAGCCCACGCACCCGGACGCTTCCATCGTGCTCCATATATTCTACATACACCGGACTGGCTTCACGACCCCCCTCCCAAACCCACGATCTTTCACCGTCCCACGCCCCGGCTGGATTGGATTGTACCGCTGTTGCTACGCCTGTCCGCACCTTTCGCGCCTTACACTTACACAACACTCACGCTCGCACTCGACCGTCGCTGTCCGTCTTCCGCTTCGTGTACCTTCCCTTCCTCCCCGCGTCGGCGCGGGCGTGTAATCTACTACAAGGCTGTCGGAGAGCACGCCGCTCCCCACTACTATAATTCACACGTTGACTCCGAACGGTCGAATTGGAATTGGACGAGACGGTGCACCGCGAGTCGGGGAACATCCTGGAACACCTCGGACTGTGATGGCGCCATGGGTGTTGTGGGCCCACAAGCGCCCAAGGCACGCGGTGCACCGCAACAGAAAACCGAACAAGTAACGCGTGTGGGCGCCTCCGTCCTTCTTTACTTCCTGTCCTTGACCACCACACGCCTCCGACAAAGGTCCGCCTTCCGACCATCGTGTTCCAATCTCGGTCAGTCCCATCGATTTCCTCAGCCGCCCATTGTCCCGCCTCTGACTCGATCACCATGCCGTTCGGGGTCGCAGGCACTCCACGTTCCTCGCCCACGGTATCGCATAAATCCCCCAGAAGGCGGGCGACAAATTTGTGAGTCCCCCCTCCTTCTGTGACTGAGGTCGTGCCACTCATGGCTTCGAACACCCTTCAGCCCGGCACAGGTGCCCCAAAACCCGCACAGCCCTCGCCTATTCGCAACACAACGACACACAACTCCAGCGGGAGGAACACCGGACTCGGCGAAAACATCGCTTCTACCCTGAGCCAGCGAAATACCCAGCAAATTCACAGCAACAATACCCCCAACCCCCACGCCACTGGCCTCGACGACCCGTCTCGCGCTCGTGAACGCCGTCTCGAAATCATGCTGGACCACGCTACCAAGTGCACCAAGGGAGTGCCTTTGGAGTTCTTCTATGACCAGAAGCTTCTTGTTCCTCCTACGTCTCAGGAGCTCGCCAAGATCTTCCCCGATACCGACGTTTCCGATATCTCAAAGAGGTTCCGAGTGGCGCTGAAAGTCAAGAACGGGAAGGAAACCGGAAAGATCATGGAGACTGATGTCAGCAGCATCTGGGTACGTCTCATACGTTTCTTCCTGTACGCTTCTACGATTCTTTCAGTCGCTCACATATATCCGTTCAAGGCTGAGTTGGACGAGGCCTACCACCTCTGTCCCGATCACACCTTCCGGCTCTCCGAATGCAAGGCAGACAAGAACGACCCTTCCAAGTCCAAAGTCGACGGAGGGTTCTTCCACCAAGACGACAAGCAGTTCCTCCTTCCGGACTGTCCAAACTGGGAGTATCAACGCTACACCGTCGAGTTCAAGCGAGGCGGCAACGGCCTGGATCCATTCAGCGACGACAAGGATATCGAGCCCAACGCGGATAAACGGCGGGCGGCGCGCCGTCAACTCTACGCGTACGCCAGCTGCGTCTTCGACGTCCAACATCGCACCGCGCTGTACATGCTCTTCGTCAACCGCTCCAAGTTCCGTCTTCTGCGCTGGGACCGGTCTGGTGTCATCGTCAGCGAGGCGACCGACTACGCTACGTCGAAGGCCAAGACGAAAATCCTGCTTGAAGTCCTAGTCAGCCTTGCTCGCATGCAGGACGATAAGGACGCCCCCGACAATATGTCTGTCCTCCAGAAGGCTGGTGTCTTGACAGTCGGTGCCGAGGCAGCGGGATTCGACCCGACAGCACAGCGCCTGTCACCAACTCCTGCGGTTGGGCTCGTATGGATCAACTCGCCCAGGTCGAAGCCGATTTTGACGTCGACGAGTACAACACCGAGGATCACGTTACCTCCGAACTGCCTACCGAGTTCGGCGACAACGAGCGAAGCGCCTGTTCCCCCTTCACCCCACCGGTAGCCACCCTGATCCGCTGGCGACGATGGAGGAAACAGCTGGGGACGCGTGGCCAAAGCACCTTAAGCGTCGCACCTTCAACTATATCCGCCAGCGGTTCGCACACTCTCTCAAGCAGAGTAACGTGCGGTACGTGCTAGTGATCGACAACAAGTTCTACCTCGTTGCTCGGCCATTTTCTGCGCGGACGATGGACCGATCGGACGAGGAACGCGGGGGTGGATCGCGCTGGAGTGGCACACGCAGCGCTTTGTCTTCGTCAAGGACGCATGGCACCCACACTACGTCGGCGTGGATCCCGAGCATGTCATGGTCAAGAAACTCAACGACGAGAAGGTACCACACGTGCCCACGCTGATCGCGGCCGAGAGCTACGCTGGCCAAGTCACGTATCTCTCCACTATTACCGGTACCACCGTACCTGCTGCTCCTCAGGCGACCCCTTCTCCGACGAACAGTTCACCTTTGTCCTCGGCCCCTCTTCCGATGCTGATCCGTCGATTTCACTCGCCTCACGTGTCAACCTCCGGCCGTCACCAATGCGACCTCAGCTCCCCCGGACTCGACCTCCAGCACAGAGCGAGTCGATGGCCAACAGCAAGACGAACCCAAGAACTGTTCTAGAAGGAGTGCGTCATCTTCAACACGTTCGCATGGTGGTGGATGAGGTATGCCTTCCTCTCAAGGAGTTTCCCTGCGGGGTCGATCTTGTTCGCGCGATCCTTCACGCGATTGTAGGTAAGTTCATTGTTGTCTTTCTGCTCTTGCGGCAACACACTGACGGCTTCACAGCGCACGAGAAAGCGGTCAAGGAGTGTCACCTGCTTCACCGCGACGTCAGCGCGGGAAACATCCTTCTTTTGCCTCGGTTCGAACACGATGAGTCTGAGGGCATGTCGTTGATCGGATGGGCCGGTATCTTGGCCGACTGGGAGATGGCCAAAAGCACGAGAGCTATCGGGCCCCGGGTGCCGCTAAGGACTGTAGGTGCTTTTCTGGTATTTGCACACGACCGCACAGCTGACCTGTAAGCAGGGCACTTGGCCGTTCATGTCCATTCTGTGGCAAAAAGACCCGATGCGGGTTATCGGAATCGATGACGAGCTTGAATCCTTCATGCACGTCTTGATCTTCGAGAGCGCCATCTTCATGACCCACAACTGGGACGTGCGCTTATCAGGACGTTCATCGACCAGTACTTCGACCAGTCCTCTCGCGCCGTCGGAGGCGGTCGCACGTGCTCCGACTATCGCGATAAGTGCATCCACGACGGCATCTGTTCACGCGGGGTCACACCTCGAATTCCACTCCCTCAAGAACAACAAGACTAAAAAACCCGGCCACCACCTCAACGAACTGCTCCGTTGGTTGCTTCAGAGGTTCAGAGCCCGCCTCCTCGTCCACGAGTGGGAACAGGCGTCGTTGATCGCCGTCTCCGAACCTGAGTCCGATGATGAGGCCGCTCCGGTGGCCCGACGCCCCAAGAACAAGGCACGCATCGCGGTGACCCCTTCGACTGAGACGATGTCGACGCCGTTGTTGGCTCAACGCCCGGTGAACCTGACGGTGACATGAAGGCGATGGCCGACAGCCTCAAGACGCACGACGCGGTGATCGCCAAGTTCGAAGCGTTCCTGGATTTGGGATGGCCGCTGTTGGACAAGGCGGTGGAGAGGATCGCACCGCCCGTTGCGCCACAGGCGGGAAGCAAGCACAGGCGTGACCTGGAGGAGGAGGGGGACAAGGAGGACGTATCGGACACCACGCTGTCGAAGAAGTCGAAGCGTTCGCACGAAGAGCCACCAGTTGGATCGAGGCGTAGTGCAAGGATCGTTCGAAAGCGTTCAAAGGGGTCGTCTGGCTAGTTGACGTGTCCATGATGTGTCTCACTGTACAAGTCCTTTATCTATATACCCGAAGTACCGTTTAACCGGCCCAACAACTACGAGTTTGATATCGGCGACTCGCGTGTCAGTTGTTGCCTGATATGTTCACTGCGACGCAGGGGCGGGAGGGTATTTTGACAGGTGCGGTCCCATCATGCAGATGTACGGAGGACAGAACGTCGAAGCCGGAAGTATACCACCAAGCACGCAAAGCTATGGGTCCTCCGGGGTGTGAGAACGGCGCAAGAGGCAGCCTAAGCGATCGCGCGGGTAGTATTGGGACTTGGAATCACCAATGCGATCCATTATGGAGACGAGAAATCACTTTCGGGAATCCGAGAATCGAGGCACTGCATGGGCACTGGCCAGGCACTTCCAAAGGGATGTCATCGAAGCGCGCACCGACTGCAGATGTGCACAAACCTCGGCGGGTCCAGAACAACCCGACATGCATACGCAGAATAGACGAGTTTACAGTTTACATTTTGGACGCGGCAGCCGACGCTGTCGCCATGCACACAACACAGTACACGCCAGTGCGCAACGATGTCGCCCACCCGCACAAAAGAGCGAAGCAGTGTCATCAGAGTGCATAACGCATGCCGCAGGGGGCATGGACCCGCGGGCGAGTAACGGGGATGGAGATCATGGGGGATAGGCGATGGATGATGAGACTGCCTGCTGACGTCACTCGCGTCGCGAGCGGCCTGGATGGTGGGGATTGAGAGGGGCAGCCACGAGGGGATGCGAGTGTGGAGAGTCCGTGCGGTGGGAACCATGCGAGGAACGGAAGAGCATAGCTGTGCAGACCGGAACCGTCGTCAGCAACAAATCATGGAGTCTCGAGCGGACGCCGTGAGCGCGGGACTCACAAGCGGCAGGTGCGGCAGTAGCCGGGGGCTCGCCGCGGCTGCTACCTAGGCCAGTTGCCGCACGACGAATGGACATGGGATGTGCATGACGCGGTGCGACCATATCCTCTGTGCAAGGCATACCATGGCCGGCTACGAGGACAGCGTTCCTCCGTCAGCAGCTCACGAAGACCCCGATGGGCGCCGGCCTCCAGCCGTCCCGCTCGGAAAGCCGTCTCCAGCCCGCAGGCAGCGTCCGCGACGCGGCATCCGCGCCGGCTTCTGCGGAGGCGGAGGCTGGCACGGCGTCGGTGTCGGCGTCGGGTGTGGTCGTTTCGTTGTGGATCCCGAGGAGGGCGTTCAGGCGGGCGTCCATCTCGGCGAGCGCGGACCCGTCGTCGACGTCCTGCCGTGCCGGACGGGCGAGATCAGCGAGCGGAAACGACCAGCGCGGAGAACGACGGACCACGGCCGTCGGCGCGGCGCCGCCGTCCTGCGCGAGCACGGAGAGCGCAGCGGCGAGCCGCGGCCGCTCGGCGCTCAGCGCGTGCAAGAGCGCGGCCGACCTGGAGCGATGGGCGACGGGGAGGGGAGGTGTCAACAGATTTCCGAACGGCGGGGAGGAGAACCACCGACGCTTTAGAGCCCCCCGTCTGGCCCGGGCCCAGCGCGCTCACGAGGCGCACGACGATGGCCTCCCGAACCTCTGCGCCCGCCGCACCCGCGCCCGTGTCTGCAAGCCACTTGGCCCAGCCAGCGAGGCAGAGGTCGTAGGACGGGTCCGCGCGCGGCCTCTCGGAGTCCGGCTCGTCCGCGAGCGCCACGGTGTCCGCGCCTGCGAACGCGTCGGGCTTCTTTTCTCGAGCGCGGGCGCCACGGACAGATGGGCGGCGATGGTGGCGGCCAGGCGGAGCGCGAGCGACGGGTGCAGGACTGCAGGCGGACGAGGAGCGGGGCCCAGATCGCGACGGAGGCCGGCGGGGGCGCGAGCTGGGCCCCGCGGATCCGCTTTCTGCGTGCGGGATGCGGTCAGTCCAGTCCAGATCCTGCCTCGAGCACGGCGAGAGGCGCACTGTTTCGAAAGCGGGACGAGCGTGCCTTTCTCAACGAGGGCGTCCGCGAGCCGCTCGAGCGCCCACCGCTCGCGCGCGTCCTCTGCATCTCCGTCCCCGTCGTCCTCTCCGTCGTCCCACGCGCTGGAGGCGGACGGCGCGGCGAGCTTCGCCTCGGCGAGCCAGCGCTCGACGGCGCGCGTCGCTTGCTCGATCGGGGCGCGCAGCTGTGCGTGCAGCGTCGCGTCGCGGGTCACAGACTTCAGCAGCGTTTTGTATTGCTTGAGCAACGGGCCGACCGGGCGGAGGGGTGCGGAGGGTGCGGATGACGGCGGTGCGGGGTTGAGGGTGGGGAGGAAGTAGTTGTGCAGGAGCCATGCCATCGCCTGAGCGGGAGCGTTAGTGATGGCGAAGACACGGGGAGACCGCGAAGGCGACAGACCTCGCGTGCGGCGTCCCGGAGGAGCTCGAGGCTGGGCAGGTCTTCGTGCGTCGCGGCGTGGCGGAGCTCGACAAGCCACGCGGGCAGTCCGAGTTGCTGCGCAATGCTGTGGATCGAGCGGGCGTACGCCCCGAGCTGGAGGGGGTCGACGAGGCCGTTGACGAGGCGGATGATCGCGGACGCGTAGCTCATCCGGAGGGAGAGGTACGAGGATGAGGGCGCCGCGGTGCCGTCTTGGAGGATTGCGCACAGCAGCGCGTGCGCCGACTCCAATGCATGGGGGAGAGGCACTGCGACCTCCAGGCTGCGAGCTGCCAGCCATGAGCTGTTCAGTTTGCGGCAAAAGGCGGGGAATTGACGTACTCTGTCTACGGCGCGCTGCGTGGCGTCCCGGTCAGATTCATCGGTGTATATCCACGAGCATACTTGCTCGAGCTCCGAGAGAGACTCCCAGGGTACTCGCGCGGTAGCCGCATGTCGTCGTTCTCCTTCAGCTGCGAGCGTCTGGCAGCGCCGGGCGCAGATTTTCGGATGCGGCGACGCCAGGCGCCATGAGGGGCGCCCGTCAGGTTGTCCCAGACACTCATCACCCCTCGCGCCAGTGCATGTCTTGCCTTTATGATGAGAGGCACCGGCTATTTACATCCTCATCTGAAGATCAAATATCAACTCCTGTCCGTACATCGCTAGCTTCTTCTAAACGAAATGCTCCAGCAAGAATTCAACAGTATCCTTGAAGCCCCCTCTTTCCCAGTTTTACCTTGGGGTTGCTCTGCACAACGAAATAATCACAATCAGAACATACTGGTCTCCAAAGCACTTCAATACTCACCAGGTCCCCCCGAACCGCGAATCCGTGGCCGCAGCCCTCCCAGTACGTGCGCTCGTAGCCTGGCGCGAACTTTCCGTCGCCGAGGATCTCGTCCGCCTGCGCCTGCGCCTCGATCGAGAACTGGCCGTCGACCTCGCAGGTGTTGATCAAGAGCGCCGCCTTCGACAGCTCCGCGTATTTCTGCCCGAAGCGTCAAACACACGCACGACCCCCGACGGCCGCGAGGACGCACCAGGATATCGTCCGGGCACTTCAGCAGCGAGGGGTGGGACGCGGCGACGACGGAGACGTCGTTCGCGATCGCGAGGTCGAAGGCCGTCCGGCCCCCGTAGCAGTACCCGGTGCATGCGAATCTGACGACCCCTCCGCCCTTGAGCCCGGCGATCACCGCGCGGGCGATCTCGAGGGCCCTGGCTGGGGGATGGCGCGCGAGGAATGCGGGGAGGTCGAAGTCCGGCTTGACGTCGTTGGTTCCGACCACGACCGACATCGGGATGGGCTCGCCGTCGAAGCAGTCGAGCAGAACGGTCTTGAAGCCGTTGCGCGCGAAGTCGTCTGCGAGGAGCTTGGAAGAGGCGCGCTCAGCGAAGGTCTACATACAAGGCCGGGAAGACAATACCTGGCTGTTTGTGGATGGGAGGCCCATTGCATCAGGGAGTAGGAGGAGGACCTTGCCCTCTGCGTATTCGACAGACGGTGTCGCGACGTAACAGTCTATGTCGCCTATTCGAGTGAGAGCACCTGTGCTTCTAGTTCAGAATACTTGTAAGACAAATTGCAGCACCGAAGGTTACCTTCGGGTGTGCCTTCATGGCGGACGCCTAGTATGGAAGTATTTTCAATTGTAATCGCTTGTTCAATTGAAAGACAAGCGTCTCGTACCAGAGATACAAGCTTCGCAGAGTGGCATGTACGACAGAGGGCGAGGATTCGATGGCGGGATCGAGCGGTACCAAGTGAAAGTGGACACCAGTGCGGATCGGGGTGAAGTACAGAGACATCCCCGGCCTTGGTCTCATGTATTCATAAAGGGCGTCAGATTCAAGATGACGCGTCCATCCCATACCAAGCTTTAGTAGCGACGCTGACGCGTCCCCGAATGATGCCTCCGCCTCTTTCAACAGTCAGCTCACGCGCTGGGTTAGAATGAAATGGTCAGCCATAAACCTGTGATGATCATGTCTCATCGTTTTCGACATGACGCCATACCGACATACATTTACAAAGGGCATGCGCTCGCAGTAGGTATACAATAATCAACAGAGCAACTACAAACAATCAAGACATCCTCGGCCGTCCCAAATACTACTTGGGTATGGGCTCTATCTTCACGGAACTCTCAGGGTTCATGCCCCCGGACTCGACTGCGCTCTTCAGCTGTTTACGCATGTTCATGGTCTCCTTCAAGCGAGGTTTTATCTGAGGCCAGTCGGCGGAGTTCTCCCAGATCTTCTCCGCGAGCGGGATGCTCTCGTCGAGCTTGTCCAAAGTGCTGATCAAGACCCTGACGGGGGCTTCGGCGTTTTGCTGAGCTTCGAACGCGCAGTGGAGGAACCCTAGACGCACGCGAGTGGGATAGCGCTCGCTTACAGGGACCGTGAGGGACAGAGCGTTGACTCACAAACGTGGTGCGTGTCGTCCTGAGGGTACAGCAGGGTCGACTTCATATATTCTTCGGACGCTTCGTAGAATAGTCTTGCAGCTTCGGCTGTCAACTCATTGACTTCCTCTCGAAGCTTCATGGCTTGACGATTGTAGGCATATCCTCGAAGACTGGAAGGGGCGTATCAAAACAAGAACCTGTCTCAGCATGTGCAGATAACACTCACGAGTATGCCAGTGCTTTCGGATATCTCTCGAACGCGTACCAAAACCCCAAGGGCTCCCCCTGGGCCACTGCATCTGCGGAGTCATACTAACGTCTCTGAGCTCTTTGATGAGCTCATCAGCGCCCGCGATGAGTTCATCCAGGGGCACTGAATGCTTCGTGACAGTATTGGTCCTGTTGGCGAGCTATACCCGGCGGTGAGCGACGCATCAAGGTCGAAGGGATAGCGATTGCCACTTACCTTCATGTACTGGTTGAGCCTCATGGCCTTCACTCCGCGGATGAAGGTCGGCTCAAGGACCGTACCCCGTTCCTCTAACGGCACGTCTTTGTACTTCTCCGCTCCCCATTTGAGGACCTCGAGCGCTGAAGTGTAGATGTCGAGGCTGGCCGCCGGGTTCCCCTCCAGGCCATCGGCCATGAATGCGCGGAAGATCCACCCTCTGCGGACGCTCAAAACGGCACATCACGATATGGATGGCAAGGTGCTCACCTCACTGTCACAGCCAGAGCAGGCTTGACCTTGGACCACCCCTCCTCTTTGAGTCTTTTCGTGACCTCTTCCATCACTCTCTGGGCACCGAACGCTGTCCACGCTCCTGTCATGGTGGCCTCCCAGGCGACTATCCATGCGAGCATCATCAAGACGTATGCACACCATGCACACCCCGTGCGTACCTTGCTTATTGTACATTTCGAGGAAGTTGCGGTCTGCTATACGGAAAATTCGTTCATCGGCTATGAGGGCGTTTGTAAAGCCCTCAAGAACCTGCGTGGATATGAATGAGCCATCATAAGAGGTGGATACCATCGTGCTCACCCCATGATATGCGAACCATGCCTGCTCCCCATGAGGCCCCCTCACGGGATGAGCAGCTTTGAGTTGTGTGAGCGCCCTTTCCCACTCCTGTCGTCGGAGATGTGAGGCGCGAGCGGACTCAGGGCGGAAGATGGGCACGTACAGCATCCGCATAAATCAGAAGCCACGCCTGGGACGAGGGAAGAAGGTGAGCATCAAAACTAACACGGGTGTCTGACGCGCTCACAGAGCTCCTCCACGTTCGATCCTGCTCGAGTTGATAAACGAGGCGGGGAGCCCGCTGCCACGGGAGCTCCTTGTTGTTCGGCGCCGTCCGCATACCTTCAGGCACTTTGGGTGTGCCTTCATTTCCGCAACCTGCGCCTCGAGTGCGGCGAGGTCCTTTTCGTACCCATTGCGCTGCTTGGCCTGTGCTGGCGTGAGGTTCTCGTTAGGAAGGGCTGCGATCGCACGTTTCCAGGCCTTGATCGCCTCCATGTGTCTGTACAAGCTCTGCATCCCACGACAAAATGGTACCTGCTAGTGGGAGTATCAGCGCGAAAGCAGGTCGACTCACTAGCTCCGCCGCTGCCAAACGTGCCCACGCTTTGGCATAGGTGGGGTCCAGCTCAGTCGCCTGTCGATGCTCGTATGAGTGCCAGAGATTATGACCGCGAACCGATCGCGAAATCGCAGAGGCGTCTGAGGCTGACCTTTTTGGCATCGGTGCATGCGTCAAGGTACCTGGCGTTGCACAGAACCGTCAGGACACGCCTCGGGTACGTGCATAGCTCGTAGGCACCTGTTCAGGCCGTACGCGCACGCCGCGCGATTGCAGTGCAGGACCGCGTTCTTGGGATCGAGCTTGATGGCGGCGGAGTACTTCTTGTACGCGGCGCCGAAGTCGTTCTTGACGAAGAGCTCGTTGCCCTCGTTCTTGAGCTTGAGGGCCTCCGCGTCTGCCATGATGGGCGCTGGAGAGGGGCGGCACGGCCAGCTGCAGTACATATATGCCGCGGGCTGAATTCGAAGTCCTCGCGGCGTCCGCGCCGCGTGCCGCGATTGGCTAGGCAGCTGACCGTCCCTGAGCGGATCGGTTCTCGCGGACGTGTACGACGCTCCGCCGCGATCGCGGAGCATGCGCGGACTCCAGGCCAACTTCGTGCGTCTTCGGAGCCTTCCCAGAGCCTCATGCCGTCCACGCCACGTCTTGTCCTGCCATGAGACATAAGTGGCCCCACATGGGCAGGCGGCGCAGCTTCGGCATTGATACGATTGCTCGAAACTCTGTCCATGATACACCGTCGTGCCAGCGGCTCGGGCAGCGCAAGAGGTGGGAATTGGCAGGAGTCCGAAGACAGGTGGGAAATGAGGAAGGGCATAGATTGACGGAGTCATACAGCACTGAGTTCCTGGAAAGCGTGCTTTGGATGGATGTAACACTCGCACTTGATAGTAACAGGTACCAGCGCGATCGAAGCTCCATTTAAGTGGTACGCACCTCAGCAGATAACAAATGTATTCCGGATAGCCAAGGTCGTTGATCTTTGATCTTCTTCGTGTGCGGAGTGAATCAACGAAAAAGAGCAGAGATAGAGAGCCCTGGAAACGCTTGCATGTCTGAGAGAATGAGAGTAAATTAGCTGAATCTAGACAGTAGTCTGCAGAAGTAGAGTAGATCACAACAGAGGTCAATCAAAACGCGTTCCTTATAGAACAAACAAGACGTCGACTCAAAGATCCGCCCAGTAATCAAGCTCTTCGTCTATCTCATCCTTCACCGGTCGAGGGGGCACGTTCATCGCGTGGCTCATCATCCATTCTATGACGCGAGGATGTGCTTGTACCCTGCAGAAAGAGGAACTGAGTTGAGTATGGCGCCTCGAAAGCGGGCTCGCTGGACGTACTTGATAGGCTCGAACCGCCTCAGCTCGAGTGTCTCCATCTTCGTTGCTCGCGACAAAGCCACATACGCTGTACAAGATGAGCAGGTGTGCGCGAGCTCCAAGAGCGAGAGGAACACACCTTGACCCTTCTCGAACGCACTGCCCAGGTCGACCCGCACCCTCTCAAGTGTCTGACCCTGAGACTTGTGGATGCTCAACGCCCACGCGAGAATGAGGGGAACCTGCCCACAGAACGTCCAGATCAGCGCCGCACACCCTCGCCACCCCAGCAAAACGCACCTGTTCCCGCACGGCCTCGATGCTCCCGTCCGCGGTAGTCGCCTCGAACGGGAGCGGCACGCACAGCTGCAGCGGCCCGCTCGCGAACTGCACCGCGGGCCACTGCGCCTTGTCCGCGAGCAGCTTCTTCATCTTCTTCTCGCGGTCCGCGCGCGCCTGCTCGAGCGCACGCTGCACGTCGCGCTCCCTCGCGCCGTGCGCGAACCGTGTGGCGACAGCGCTCTCAGTGGAGCTACCGTGAATCACGTCGGGGTGCATTATCGACGCGCCGATGGCCATGCCTTCCCTGGGGGTGTAGAACCCGACGACACGGCCAACGGTGCCGTTGACGAGCACGCCTTGGATCATGTTCTGATATGTAGTTTGAGCGCGCGCGCAACATGGGGGAAGTGGGAGACGTAGACGCACCTTGATGAGCATCACTTGCGCGCCGACTTTGAGCGGGAGCTCCTTGAGGACCACTTGGTGCTGCAGCGCACGTTCGACGCGCTCCTGACTGATAGGACGGTTCTTGTCGTCCACACCTGGTTTGTCAATGGCTCTGTACATCTTGGGATATCCTGGGAGTTTATTCAGACGGGAGCTGTTGGCACTTTCCACTTCCTTCCTCGTCGGATACCTGTATGTACAACGCCTATTAGCTTCTGGGCCTACACATCGTCGGGACGGTGAACTTACAATTCGGTCGGCTCGATGCCGTCGTCGTACTTGACCTCACGGTCGAGCTTCCTGAATGCGCGCACCGCCTTTTCGTCCATATTGCCGAAACGCATTGAATTGAGCATATCGACGAAATCTGCGTGTATGCATCATCAGGTAGGTGTCAATATGATCGATGATGACTACACACCTTGGTCTTTCTGACGGAAAACCTTCGTGAGCACCATCGGAGGTCCCACACAGCGGTCCCACGACTCAGCGTCGAAGGCGAAGCAGGCCGGAACCACAGCGCCGTTGGCCGCCCTGTCTGGCACAGGAGGGAGTTGGCAGAAGTCGCCAGACAGGACGAGCTGAATGCCCCCAAAAGGCCGTCCATCCTTCCTGACCTTGCGAGCGACATATTCCTGGCACACAATCAAGGCCTGCCCTCCTTAGTCATTGAAGTTGCGCTCACCAGCTTATCAAAGAGCTTCCCGTCGATCATTGAGACTGCGGAAGTAAAGAATATATGAGTGCATGTCCTGGAGCGCAGCTTCAATCAGCCACTTACTCTCATCAATGATCAACGTCCTCACATCCCTCCACCGGTCGAGTGACTTGCTCTTCCGTTCCTGCACCAGCACATTCATATCCTCCATCGACAGCTCCCCACTGCCCGCCTTGGCCTCGAGCGCCTTCTTTTTTCCATCTCTTCCTTGTACGCCTTTACGCTCATTCCGTAGATCTTCGCCACCAGCTGGTTCTTGTCTTCCTTCCCCAAGCCGATTCCTGCCCACGAGTGCAGCGTGCATCCGCCGATGTTGATCGCCGCGATACCCGTCGAGGCCGTGATACCCAAGAACTTGGACGACACCTCCCGCTTGCCCCCGCCCCGGCACATGTCGATAATCGCGCGGAGCAGCACAGACTTGCCGTCCCCGCCGACCCGGTGAAGAACACAGAGTCGCCGCGCCTCACGCGTTCGAGGACCGCCTCCTGGGCCGGTGAGAGCTTCACCGGCGGTGGAGGTGGCGGGAGGTCGAGTGGTGGAGGCAGCGGTGGGGGTGTGGGTGACAGGCGGCCCCATTCCGCGAGGACGCCGTCACCGCGCCCGCCCCCACCGTAGCTTTCGCTGGGGAGGTCTTCTCGGCTGCTCCCTGTCGTCGAGTGGGAGTCGGGCGTCGCTCGCGTCTACGATCCGCTCTTGCCTGTCCTTGCACATGCGAGATGGAGTGGGCAGGCTCATGCGGAGGAACTCGATGTCGTCGTCGTCATCATCTTCTCCTTCTTCCTGCTTTGGGAACGGGACAAAGTCCTCCTCCCACGACGACGACGAGCTCGACTCTTCGCCCATAGTCACCGTCCGGCTACGGCTTCGGCTCCTGTTCCGCGCCGCTGCAGCCTCCTCGGCGTCCATGACGGCGTCCGCGTCCGCCTCGAGCGCGTCGTCGTCGCTGTCCGTGATCACCATCGCGTCGTCGTATGTCCGTCCGGTCCCGCCACGCCCTATCGTTCGCCGCGGCCCGCTGAGCGCCGACCGGTACGGCGTGTACCCGGAGCATGCACGTCCCGCACGGCAGTGTCATATCGTGCGGGTGATGCATAACGCGTCGCGCTTGAAGCCATGCTGGGCGAGGGACTGGGTGTGAAGTGGGGTTGGTTATGAGGGGGATACATGCTGCCACCTGGTGCATCTGAGGAATGCATGAAGAATGAGAGGTGAGCCAGTGAAAGGGCGTCCGAGATGGAAGCGCAAGATATGTGGTGCGAGGTGCGGGAGGGGACAAAGGGAAGACATACACGCATGTGGGGGCTGGGAAGTTGGCGGAGAAATGAGCGACATTGCGTCCTCCAAGCCCTGCAGCCACGCCTGTGCTCTCCGGAGGTAAGGAAACTTTTGTACTTCACGTTTGAAAAACGATTCACCTATGAGAGATGTGTCAGGCAACTCGGTGCACTAGCAAGGGTGGCAGGTACAACTCACGTTTTCTTTCGCCTGATGTTTGAAATCAGGTAGGAGAACGCGCAGAGAAATATGAGAAAAAGCGGGGTGCAAAAGAGGATGGCAGGGGACGCAAACGACACGCAAGAGATGTCCTGGTTGTTAATCGCTGCGGCAGAGTGAGGGGTCAGGACGCACCTCATCCCACGTCAGGTAGATCTGCGTGCCATTTCTGCCCCTGTACACCGCGTAGAACTTCTGCTTTTGCTTGGCCATAATGAGATACTAAAGCCAGCGGCGGCTCACGCGAGAGAAGATGAACGACGAGCTCAAAAGAGAACAACCAGTCACTGGTGGCCCGGTAACGCGGTCGCGTATTTGTCACGTGTGCGGCGAAACGCGGCTGTGGCGAGGCTCGGCTCCATCAGCAAAGTAGGTGCGGAAACGATAGTGTATGATCGTGCACTGGGGCATTTGTAGCGTACGATAGTTAGTGCTAGCGAAGACAATAGAAGGTAGATTAGTATCCAAAGAATGCAGTATCCCGTATTGTACGGCCGTCTGCTTCTTCCGCTATCAACTGATGATCGATTCTCACGGGCAGGGCTATCAAGTCTGAGTGCGCGCACGACCGTATATCGGTCATCTGCGGCGCATGAGATGATAGTGCTACACGATAAGAGGTCAGAGTTAGCGGAGGAGATGACAGAGAACCTACAGCATCATGCTGAACATTATCGTTTTCTGTCGCACACTAGGGCTCGCGTATAATCACGCAGATATAATTCAATTGCGCAATAATCCATTTGGGATAAATACAAAACAGCAGGTATGGTACACAACGGACACAAGAGCAGAGTAAAGGGCTTACGTAGTCAGCAATGTGGCCGAGTATCAGCACGTCGACATACTCCCCGAATTGAGGGAAGTGTTCCCTCTCGTTAGTACTATCGGAGTGATCAGTAACAGCATGTAGAAAATTCGTATCTAGACAGTGCTGACCTGATAGAGGGGTCAATGCGGAGGGGACGGAAAGCTCGGTCGAGCGTGGCGAGATAAACACGTCAGGTGTGGAGGGGCGCCATGGGCGCGAAAGGGGGAATTGGTTGGGCGCAGGGAGATGGTCGCCTTGAGCGTAGATGCTCGCGTCTTCATTGTCTTCGCTCCCTCACTCCTCACCATGCTCTTCCTGCGGCTGC